TTGGCCTACACTTTGTCTTCTCTAGTCGCTGTATCGAAATGATCCAAGAAATTTATTATCAACGCCAAGAGATTCTCAAAAGGTGAAAGTTACATGAGAAGAAATATTGATTGAAATAGTTTCGTAATTATACATATACTAAAAACCGGGTTTTCTTGGTTTTGCAGAGAAAATTTGGTGGATGGTTGTAACCATAAACCTGTACTGGCATATCTAGAGGTGTTGCCATCAACACTATATGTCAAAAATCTCAAAGACATCATCATTAAGACCCTCGACAGAAATGATGGCTCGTTGTTTCATTCGCCTTCGGCAACCGCATCAGCATTTATGCTCACTCGGAACACAAAGTGTCTAGCTTATCTTAAAAATCTCGTTCAAAGATGCCCTCATGGAGGTTTAGTGAACATTCTGTTTGCTACGTGTATAGTTTATATCTGATTAACAATTTACTTGCATTTAAATGTTTCTTAACAAGCTATATGTATGATTTTTGTCTCAGTGCCACAAAAGTACCCGCTCAATGAAGAACTCATAAAACTCTCCATGGTTAATATAATCGAGAATATTGGTTTAGGAGAGTTCTTCACAAGAGAAATTGAACATGTACTTCAACAAGTTTACAGGTAAGAAAAATTTGTAGTCACCATTTTTTATACTTCTTTCAAAATATAAAATGGGGAAATTTGACAAAATCATGACCCGATTGAAAAACTAACCTAAGTTTTAAAATATTTGAAAGTAATATTTGTATCTCTTTTTTATCTCTATGAAACATGATAATTACAAAAATACAATAATCTTAAATAGTCAAATCAACATATTATTATATTATTAGAACAAAATATGTATGAAAAACTTTACTTTTCCTCGTGTACATTTAAGGAGCTACGAGGCAGAAGACGTTGAGAGACTTCCGATTTCGGATCAATTGCACAAGGACTCTCTCGCATTTCGGATGTTAAGAATGCATGGGCACGATGTTTCACCTAGTAAGAATTAATCATTATCTCGGTTACGTGTAGAAATTATATTGTCAAATGGATTGCTTGTTTTTTTTTTTTCTGTTCCTGAGTTTAAAAGTCTTCGTATAAATGATTTTCAGGAAGCTTTTGCTGGTTCATGAATGATATAGAAACTCGAAATCATTTAGAAAGAAATCTAGACTCTAGCGTCCCCGTAATCCTTAGTGTTTACAGAGCCACAGATCTCATGTTTCCTGGAGAGCATGATCTTGAAGACGCAAGAGAATACACTCGGAAGTTACTTGAGAGAAGTCGGTCTATCGACGAAAAAATGGTACGTACCAAGATTTTTGATTTTTCAAGAACTTGAAATGCTTTAAGGGCTTTAAAAATGCATTTGTTAATCATACAAATAATAAATGATTGATTTTCTAGATTAAGCATGAATTAAGTACTCCATGGATAGCTCGCCTAAAACACCTTGATCATAGGATGTGGATTGAGGACAAGAACTCATATGTTCTCTCAATCGGAAAAGCCTCATTTCTAAGGTATATATATTATATATGCAATTGATTATCTAATTTTAAATGGTTTTAAGACTAGGTAATTTAAGGTTTGTCTGTTTGTGGTTTTATGGAATCAGATTACATAGCTCATACAGCAACAAACTGACTCATCTTGCTGCAAAAAACTTTGAGTTTCGACAAGCCATATATCGACGTGGGCTGGAAGAATTGACAATGTAAGTAGACTTCAGTTTTACGCTTCGGACCAATTGTGGAGAACAAATACATTTTTTAGTCAAACTATGGCTATAAATCCTGAGATATTTTTATAGCAAATTTTAAAGTTTTGGCACGCAAAATAGAATCCAATAAGTGTATATTGTATTCTAACAAGGGAGATTTGAGACAGGTGGGTGAAGAAATGGGGACTTAACGATATTGGTTTTGGTAGAGAGAAGACAACATATTGTTATTTTGCAACTGCGACTTCATTGCCCTTTGAAACTGCCGTTAAAGTTGGAAAGTTAGCAGCCAAGAGTGCGATCCTCATCACAGTTGCCGATGATTTTTTTGATGAAGAAGGTTCTTTGGATGATTTGAAAGTTCTTACTCAAGCCGTTTTAAGGTACATTTTCAAATTTTCGGTTATACTTGTATAATAACTTAAATATCTATTGGTTCTTGATTGATGTTTACGTATATATGATAGATGGGAAGGAGAAGAGCTTAAAGGTTACGGCAAGATCATATTTAGAGCACTTGATGATATTGTAAAAGAGACTGCTGAGACTTGCCGTAAGCAACACGGAATCGACGTAACAGACCATCTTCGCAACATCGTATGACTAGTCGACCTAATCCTTTATACTTTTCTTTCAACGACTTTTTATTATGTTTGACTTATTCAAAAGAATAAAATAGTCATTTTCTTTCCTAAAAATAATTCCAAAAGTCTGAAACTTAAAAGTTAAAACATAATTAAGTTCCAAAATTCTCATGAAAGTTTTCTTATTGTCTATTATCATGCATGCAGTGGGGTGAAACTTTTGAGTCATGGCTACGTGAAGCCGAATGGAGTAAGAAGGGACACACACCGTCGATGGAAGAATATCTTCGAAACGGAATGATCTCAATCGCAACACACACCCTTGCTCTTTCCATCTCTTGTCTCATGGAACCTTGTTTTCCCCAACAGAAACTCAAACCCGGATGTTATGATAACATAACTTCATTGCTCATGATCATACCTCGACTTCTAAATGATCTACAAAGTTATCAGGTAATTCAACTTTTAGCCCTAAAATATCTCTGATAGGGTTTTAGTGGTATAATTGTCTCATTGGTCAAGATCAGTGATCGATTTATGGGGATCAAAATAGCTAGGGTTTAGTCTGGGATCCTTGGTTATGATAAAAAGAAAAATCTCATTGATAGGGTTTTTAGTTTATCCAAATAAAACTAACGTGTATTAATTTGTGTGAGTGTGTGACTTGGTAAATTGTATGGTCAAAAGAATTAATAAATTTATAATTTTGTACTTACACGATCAAAACTTGTCATGCAACCTAAATTCGCAGAAGGAACAAGAACAAGGGAAGAGCAACTCCGTGCTGCTCCACACCAAGAATCATTCAGGTGTCGAGATTGAGGACTCGATAGCTCATATCGAGAAGATAATCGAATCAAAAAGGAAAGAGTTTCTTGAGCATGTCTTAGTTGAAGGACTAAGTGATTTATCCAAACCGTGCAAAGAGATTTACATGGCTTGTTGCAGAGTCTTCGAGATGTTTTTCAACAAGAAGAACCGTTATGATTCGGACACAGAGATGATTCAAGACATTAAGAAGGCTCTCTACGATCCTGTGAATGTAAATAAACTCTCGGAGATCGAGCCTATTCCATTGATGGGACATGGTGATGAGTTTCTGATGCTTCCTATGCTTTTGAACCTTTCACCAAATATTCTTGAAATTAAGAGGAAGGACCAATACGGGGCGGTGAAAACATCCATGTGCTTGAGAAGAAGTTTTCATGCTCATAAACGTGTTATTGCCTCACAGCCTCTCAAGATTGTTGCCTCGCAGAGGAAATCAGTAGCAATGATGCCAACTATGCTCTCACCGTGCTTCTACTGATGATTAGTCTCTTATCTTTATGTGTTATGTATAGATTGGTGAATCATCTTTATTAACATATGTTGCATGTAAAATAGTGTGTGAAAATTGTTAAGAACTTGTAGGTGTGTGAGTGTAAGATTTAAAAATTGTTATATGTTGTATTCTTTTTTTTTTGTTATATGTTGTATTCAAATTTATTTTTGCTATTCACACAGGAATTTTAGAACTATTGTTGTAAACAAATAATGTAAAAGGTTAATCCTTTTTCATAAAAGGAAAAAATCTTAATTTCTTGTTACTAACCTTTGCTTCTTCTCTTTCTTCACGTCTTCTGAGCTCTCTAAAACCTTGTAGCCTTGCTAGTATGGCAGTAGCATCCTCATTGCGAGCACGAGATTCATTGGCAGACTCAACTCCACCAGGGAAATAATATTCCAACTCCTGCTTGACATAAAGTAGAATAAGTGAGAAAAGGGAAACTTGTGGAGAGAATCAAATAGTTAGAGTTAGACAATGACAAGAGTTTAGATGCTTACTTCAAGTGCATGTTCTTTACTCAGGATATGCTTGGTGAAACTTTCAAAGCCAAAGAGACCAATATAGCATCCTGAGATTCCTGAGCAATACAAGGTAGATTTCAGATTTACCAGTTGTTCCACTGCACTCCTCCTTCTTGGCCCCTGGAAGAGAGAGACTTGTCCGTAAGCTTGTGAGTAACCTTTCCCAGAGGAAGCACCCTGCACGCCTTTGGAAGACAGTGGGCTCTAGTTTACAGTCATATGGAACTTTTGAACAATTCAAGCCCAATTCGAAATAGTCCAGATATGTGATGTTTGTTGTTCGGTTTCTTGTCGGTTCTGACTTAAGAAAAAGGCAACAAAGGAAGTGAAAATCAGAGGCATCGTTGGCTAAAGATGATTTTAAAATATACATAAAAATATTATTATATTATGTGATTTGTACAAAAATAAATCAAAACATAAATAATTTCTAAACTATGGTATATTTGATTTGTTTCAAAAACATTTGGATCACTAATAAGATGACAAGTGTCTCATCTGAGGGGTTCTCAAAATATCTTATATGAGAACAGGTTCTCAAGTTTTATCAAATTGTTTTATTTTTAAGTTGGAACTTCTATTGAAATATTTTCAATGGAGGTCTTCTTAGTGCGGAGAATAAAAATAAAAATCGGATATTATAGTATTAACTTTTTCGTGAGAGTTTAGTTGGAGCCAAACACAATTCGTCTAAAAATACCCAAATATGTTCCAAAATTGTTACAAAATATATGTTATTTATTAGCTTATTGTAATTTTTCTTTTTTCTTAGCTCATATTATAATAATTTTCAATATAATAATTTTTTTTTTTGGTAAACCAACAATTTTCAGTATAATTTGTTTCTCTCTATAGCGACAAAGGAGGAGGAACTCCTTTGAGAAAGGCAGAGAAAAACGCAAGGGACTCGCTTGGTTTAAACGAAGGCACATCATGTCCTGCTCCTTTGAATGTTGTGAACGTTAAACCTTCATATTCTTGAAGCCATCCACTAACCTAATAATCATAGAAAACAAAATGCAATATAATCACGCTTAAATTACAACTCTAATTATATGATGTGATATCGATTAGTAGATTTTTTTTAATGCTATCATTTTGACCTGTTTCTCGTGGTACCATGCTCTCCAAGACGTCTTGATGGGTAATTCCAATTTATTTATGCAGTACCTTGTTGCTAGTACGGGAACTCTTCCGTCCGTATCGCCACTGAGCCAACACCAAGGAGAAGAACGAAAAAAAATAAGCAAATGACCAAAAGTTCGAAATATTTATGGTTTTTGTTTTTTAACCATAAACCCATATTATAAGCCACGAGAAACAGAGACAAAAAATAACCATATTATTGTCAATTGACTTTCTATAATAATCATATTATAAACTTCAACATTCTAATTTTTGGTCATTTGGGTTTACAATAATATGGATTTATGGTTATGGTTATGGATTTATCGTGGCTTATAATATGGGTTTATCGTGGCTTATAATATGGATTTTTTGTTTTTTAACCATAAATATTTATGGGTTTACAGGTAAACTGACCGTTTTATTTTTGGTCATTTGGGTCATAAAACTGAGGGATTTAGCATGAAGATCAAATTTACCTGTAAACCCATATTCTAAATCCTCCAGCGATTAATATCTTATATATTGGCAAAACTGAGGGCTTTATATCAGCCCAATTATCAAATATATCATCGCTGTTTGGCAGAAAAAAAAAAGATTAATTTAGCCAAGGATGCGAAAAAAAGTTTGAATAAAGGGCCCTTCTACTAATTAAAAAAAATTGAAAAAATAAATTAAATTAAGAGTAGTAGTACTTGCAAATGGTCCAGTTCTTGAGATGAATACCATCACTTGCATGAAGAGCTTTCTGGACATCTGCTCTATTGTAGAAGACTCTTGTGTAATCATCCAAACACGGGTCGTATCCACCCATCATCCTAGGCACCTACTGAGAGTTTTAGTCGCGACATAAAATGTGACATATATCTATACAAAGTAGATGAGTCTTCGTTAGTACCGTTTTGGAATTGGCACGATTAGTCTTGAGCCGCATTGAATCGACGAGCGTTGAATTTCCAATACATGTAGGAGTATAGAGACTATATTGATCAATTTTGTGATATTGTTTGACTATTTCGTCTACGCTGTCTTTGCATTCTTTAACATCCCAAGTAGTACTAGTACTGAAATTGCAACTTCTTTTTATGACTCTATATGTCTCGTCTGATATCACTGCATGGCTCCATGCGTAATCCACGTATCCGTCCCAATCTTCGGCTTCTGATGTTTCAGGATTTCCAAGTTAACCAGAGAGAAGAAAAATATGTAATTATCATCAAGGTTACAGAATCAGTCGATATGTTTAGAAAATATTGTACGATTATATTTGTTTTAAATTATGAAATCAAAAGTACTAAAAAATCTAAAATCACAAGTATCAGGTATTTAATATTGTTAAAATCCAGTATATAACTAAGAGATAAATCAAAGTAATATTTTAAGATTAAAATATGCATTACCAATTGATCTTGACTTAGAAGTTTATAAAATTTAACTAGATGAATATAATTTAAAAGTACCAAAATACTCAAAACTCTAAAAGAATTCGGACATTGTACAATGTTTTTTGTATGTTTTATGAGAATGAAAAGTATCAAAATTCCGTTAAGTTTCAAAATGAAAACTGCACAATGCATGATGCAAGTTAAACAAGTTACAACTAAACGTATTGAATCAATGCTCTTAAAATCTAATTAAACAAAGTACGATGTGTTTTTTATGTAGTGTCAAATACCAAACATACCAAAATGCCTTTAAGCTTGATGTGAAGTGAGGAGTTATCATTGTTCTTATCATAAATGAACTCTGCAAGCTCTGGTATGTACTTTCCTGTATGCGTTTGTTTATAAATCAAACCATGAATCAAAATTAGACGATGGTACAATTTTTTTAGTACAAAGTCCAAACCTGCATAGCTCTCTCCTGCCATATAGAAATCGTTTTCTCTGTAAGCTGGGAATCTCTCTAACCACTTTTGGATAAAAGCGTATGCGTCTCTTGCTGTTGATCGCGTTATACACAGAAACATTCGTCAGGTTCGTGAAGTACATGCCACAATAATATATTTGACGTCTATACTAAGACATAGAGTATGTAGATTAAACAATAAAAACATACATATATACCTGTAAAATCGTCGCCGATTTTCTTATAATCACTCGTTGTGTTTGAATATGAAAACCCAACACCAACGGGAGATTCGAGAAACAGCATGTTGGCCTCTGCATTAGAAAATTCAACAAAGCTATTAACGTTAATTTATACATGATGTTAGGAATCTATAATGTATAAAGAACAAGAATCATTTCGTAATTTCAATTCATTGCCGTTTTGAGATGAAAAGACCACGAATATAGACGATTAATTTAAATATACATCATATAGTATAATGATATAATAATAAAATTTTATATATAAAATACTTTAGTATACCATGATTCCATGCGTAAGGGTTAAAGGTAAGACTGGTTCCTTTGTTATCCACAAGAAATGGACCAATCTCTTGAGTTGCTCCATATCCCACAGAAGAACATCCAGGGCCTATTACAACATACATACACACATGCATATATAATATAAATAACAGGAAAAAATAATCAAAATAAGTGTCCTACTCCTGTTACATCTGAATCTCTTTGGAAATGAATATGTTTTTTTAGCAAAAAAAAAAAAAAAAAAAAAAGAAAGAAAGAAATGAATATGTTTCCTTAGAGGTCAAATTAAAATTGAGTTTTTGATTACCTCCATTAAGCCATAGTACTAAAGGCTTCTGATTTGGGAGACTCGTAGCTTCGAAAAACCAATAAAACATAGCCCTCCCATTTGTTTTATTGACCGGGACATAACCAGCGTAATGCTTGAAGCTCACATGCGATTGACCAGGCAAATCTGTCACAAGATCTTTCAGTGCTTCTGGGCTATCAGACGAAACAAATGAGAAAAAAGTGCAAATACACAGAGCAATCAACACATTGTAAATTTTCATCGTTTGATGACACATGCATTAGGGAGTGAGATTTTCAGAAGAAACAACAAGATCGGTAATGTGGTAGTTGAGACATAAGGCTTGGATTTTTATGAATTTATACAGATAAGATCTGATTCAATTTTGGTACTTTCTTTTTGTTTTTAATAATATGGAAATAAAACAAATTAGGATATGGAAGAATAGTCCTGTGCGGCAATTAAGAGATGGAAATGTGATCCTATTAGTCAAAGATGGTTTATCAAGTATGTAAAATTTCTCTAAACTGACATTTGTAAATATTACAAAAGAAGGAAAACAAATCTAACAGTTATGATGTATTTTGACTTTCTTTTGGATAAATTAAATCAGGATATAATTCACTGTAATTTAACCAAACATTAAAGAGGAAACTTCAAAAATAATTTTACCAATAATTTGATATTTACAATCACAACTTTTACATACAAATTAAAATAGTCTTTAAATTTTAAATGTTACAGTACCCAAAAAGCCAAGAAACATCACAAATCAAATCACCTCTTTCGCATCAAGTACTCAAATAAAACATGAGATATATCATGACTCATATGTAGTTGAGCTACTTCAATTACAGTATCAACTCTATACCTAATGGTAAATTCCATTGCGTATAATAACTAAACAAACTTCTTTACATTTCTCAAATATGACTTATATGTTATAATATTATATGTCTTACGAGTGCATCTAGCATTCTTATATACATCAGTCTTTAGTAGTCCACAAAAAAAAATTCTCTTTATTAAAATGTGATATTAAACCAACAACGGAAAATAAAAATAAATCGACGGCGTAGTACAGAGTTTGTTTCTACTTTCTATGGTAAGGTCTTACAAAGTAAAATTTAGAATTTATTTGTTTATATAAGCTTAATATAAAGATTTATGCTATTATAATCATGAACGTGGTTGAAATGAGTTTCATACATGAAAGATGTCTGCCACTAGATAAGTTTATAGTTTACCCTACCGTGAACGATACGTAACATGTATATATGTGGTCGGTCATATGTAAATGATCTTTTGATATTTTAAATTTGCTTCGAACTCTGTCGCGCCGACGGAGGAGGAACTCCGTTGAGAAAGGCAGAGAAAAACGCGAGAGATTCGCTAGGTTTGAAGGAAGGCACATCATGTCCTGCTCCTTTGAATGTTGCGAATGTTAGACCTTCGTATTCTTGAAACCATCCACTTACCTAATAATCATCATAAAAAGAAAGCAAAACAATTAAATACATAATAACGCCTATCTAATGTCTAATGACATCGATTAAGAATGTTTTTGAATGAGATCTTTTAATTTCTTGGACCTGTTTCTCGTGGTACCATGGCCTCCAAGTTGTCTTGATTGGTAATGCCAGTTTATTTATGCAGTACCTTGTTGCGAGTACCGGAACTCTTCCGTCAGTATCGCCGCTGAATCACCACCGAAGAGAAGAATAAAAGCGGTTGAGTTAATTTTCGTTATATGTATCAAAAACAAAAAAAAAATTTAAGCAAGCTTTCGTTGGAAACAAGGAAAATAGATGGAAAAAAAAACAGTCTGCTTGGGTGGCAAGCAACCAAGATTAGAATGTATGTTTTAGTCCTATTGCTCATATGCCCGTTATTCAGTTTGAAGTATCAATACAAAAACGTAAATATTTTATTTTGCGGAAAATGTAACCAAAAGTTTACCTGTAAACCCAAACTCTAAATCCTCCGGCTATGAGTTTCTTACTGCTTGGGTGGCAAGCAACCAAGATTAGAATGTATGTTTTAGTCCTATTGCTCATATGCCCGTTATTCAGTTTGAAGTATCAATACAAAAACGTAAATATTTTATTTTGCGGAAAATGTAACCAAAAGTTTACCTGTAAACCCAAACTCTAAAAATCCTCCGGCTATGAGTTTCTTATATATCGGCAAAACCGATGGCTTTGAGTCAGTCCAGTTCCAGTAATTTAGAATATCAGTGCTGTTTCTCGGAAAACAAAAATATATTCTCTATCAGATAATTATTCGCACAAAAATCTGTAAAAAATAGGAAGTATAATCGATTAATACTTGCAAATGGTCCAGTTCTTGAGATGAACACCATCAGTGGCGTGAAGAGACTTCTGAACATCAGCTCTATTGTAGAATACTCTTGCGTAATCATCCAAACACGGGTCAAATCCATCGAAAAGCCTTGGTATCTGTTTAAGAATTTCATGTTATTAGTTCGTCGTAAGAAACACAACTAATGAATGTGTTATTATTATATACTTAGTTTAGTTTACCGTCTTGGATTTGGCGTAAGAATCAAGCTTTGATGCATGGTGGATGCATATAGGAGTGTAGAGGCTGAATTGATCAATCTCTTTGTATTGTTTGAGTATTTCGTCTACGCCGTCTTTGCATTCTTTAACCTCCCAAGTAGTGTCACTACTGAAATTGCAACTTCTTTTTATGATTGTATACGTTTCGTCCGATATCACTGCGTGGCTCCATGCATAATCCACCCATCCTGTCCAATCTTCTGCGTATGATGTCAATGGATTTCCAAGCTGCGTCCATAATAAATAAATAAACAACGACGCAAATTTCATTTCTTGAATGGAAAATATGGGACAACGTATGTTTTTGTTTAGTGTATTTCTAAAATGCCCTTTGAATATATATTGAAAGCAGGTCGAAAATAAATAACTGATTAATAATTGAAAAGTGGTCGAAAATAACTTTATAATGAATATGAAATTCAAATGCACTTTTCTATGTCCTTAAGGCTTAAGGTCATAGTTTTTGTTATAAAAAAAGGTCATATTCAAAAATCGAACAATGTGTAACGTAAACTTGCTTAGTGCAATGAGAATCAAACATGTGGAAATGCCCTTTTCAAATATGAGGTTAGCGATAGAGGTGTACGATGTGTTTTTTACTGTTTTGTTAATTTTTTACTATGAGAATCAAACAGATAAACTACCAAAATGCCAATAAGGTTAATGTGAAGTGACACGTTGACGTTGTGTGCCTTGTTCTTGTCATAAATAACCTCTGCAAGCTCAGGCACGTATTTTCCTGTCCATGCGTAAATGTTTATAAAATTCAGCAAGATTTCATGATATAAGCACTTTAAAACAAAAAATCAGCACGAATGATACTAGATGACGTATAATATAATGTTTTCTTAGATTACAAAAATTAAAACCTGCATAGCTCTCTCCTGCGATAAAGAATTTGTTCTCTTTGTAAGCTGGGAATCTCACGAACCACTTCTGGAGAAAAGCGTATGTGTCTCTCGCTGTTAATGGTATATAAAAACCATCAATCGAGATCCAACAACAACGAAAATATAAAATTATTAATTGATAAATACATAGATATAGTTTCATATAAAATTATTACCTGTAAAGTCATCGCCAAGTTTTCCATAATCACTACTTGTATTTGAATACGAAAACCCAACACCAGCAGGAGATTCAAGAAACAGTACGTTGGCCTCTGCATCACCAAATTTAACCCATTTAATCTTTATGGTTCACGATTATGATGATAATGATGATATGGACATAATTAAATAACAAAACAAATGTTTAATACATATATATACCTTTATTCCATGCGTAGGGGTTAAACTTAATACTGTTTCCTTTGTTATCCACAAGAAATGGACCAATCTCTTGTGTTGCTCCATATCCCGCAGAAGAACAACCAGGGCCTATACATATTGTGTTAACCGAATTCCGACCCCAACACATATATATACAAAATTAAAATGTGTCCCAATATGCCACAAATATATGCATAGAAAAAAATAGGTGAGACTATCATAATATACGTATGTTTCCTTCCAAGTCAAAATGTGATTTTGATTACCTCCATTAAGCCATAGTACTAGAGGCTTCACGTTCGGACTGTTCATAGCCTCGAAGAACCAATAAAACAAAGCCCTCCCATTGGTTTCATCGACTGTGACATAACCGGCGTAATGTCTGAAGCTCACTTTTGGTTGGCCAGGAAAAGCTGTCACGAGATCTCTCATTGCTTCTGGAGTATCAGAGGAAACAAAAGCAAAAAGAGTGCAAAGACACAAAGCAATGGACAATAAGAAAATGTTCATACTTTGATTATTCATTTTGGATAAATAGTTTTGAAGGAGATAGTGAGAAGTAATGAGATGAGATGGGTAAGACATAATGGCTTTGATGTCTATCTATTTATAGGGAATGATGGTGACTCGATTTTGTATCAAAACGGACTTTTATATTTTTAATATGAAAAAATATATAATTAGGTTGATATGAAATATTAGTATCCTATGTTCACTTTTAGTCGAACCTTCAGTATTTTCTCGATCAAATACTGTATTTTTTCTTTTTAAATTAACATTCACAGTTTATTTTTGGTAAAGTCATTTCATTATTTACTGGAAATTTTACTTACAAAACAAACCTAACTTAACTTAAAGCCTAATTGAACCAGCCAACCGGGGAAAGCCATATATCTGGTAGTTGAAAAATGATAAAGCACACAGTAAATGGGAAGCAAGTAAACCAACATTTCGTTGATGTATCTACTAATTCCATCAAGAATGGCAGGTGTATTCAATTGAATTTATCCCCCCCCCAAAAAAATTATCTAACATTTATCTAATTTATTCTTATAGACACTTTATATATTTGAATTTCTGTCAACTAGTTGATTTCAAAGAAGTTTTTAATAGCTTTACTCAAATTCTTCCAAAATATAGCTATTCATTACCATTAGAGTTCTTTACTGGTTTATCTATTAGAAAATTATCTTAAAATTACACAACTATAAGAAAAAAATTTAACATATTTTTAGTACGTAATGAAAAATAAGTACTAAATATCTTTACTGGCCTGTATATTGGCATTCTTTCTAGAAATTTTCTCTGGTATGACTTTTGTGGAGCGGATGAAGCACTTTCTTTTTTATGGGTTTTAATCACGCAATGGCTAAAAGTAATGCATATTTATTGTCTTATTAAACCTGAAAAATATGAGAATTGATTAGCCCCACAAGTCCACAACTGCATTACTGCAAAGAATAAACATTATACTGCATATTTATGGAATGTGTGTATATTTTACGTGTGAATCGGAAGAACCAACAGAAATAGCTAGCTTCTATTGTATATAGATTTATGTAGATTTAACACTAGCTTTTGATTTGAAAAAAATTAAATACGTAAATGAGATCATCAAACTAACAAATTTCTCACAACTACAGCTGACCTCATAAAGAGTCCATTGATGGGATGGATATTCTTTCAACATAAGATATGACTAATACATTCGAAAAAAGAAAAAAAGACATGGCACGTTGAAATATCTTTGAACAATTGATCTTTGCGAAATGAAAATGAGGTATATATTCTAAATTGGTGGTGCCTTCAATCTTTATATTATTAATTGAGAAGTACATGAAAAAATTATGACTAAAATATCAATCTAATTATGAAAAAATGTGTTTGGCAACAGATTTAATTAGGGTCAATTTAGTGCATTGTAATGTTTGGATACAAGTATAAAAGAAAAAACTATTTGGATAGAAGAATAAATGGAAAAAAATGTTTGGATACAAGAATAATAACTTAAAACAAACTGATGGTTTAGAAAACTTAACATAATTTAATGATAATATCAAATCAATAGAATAAGCTTCTTGGATTTTCGGGTTTTTCTTTCAGTTTAGGGTTTTCCGGATTTTTAAGATTTCGGGTTTTCGGGTTTAGATATTTTAAAAATGTTTGCGTATTTTAAAATTTTGATTAGGGTTCCGGGTGAAAAGTTTCCAGATTTTTTTAGTTCAGTTCAGGCTTTTCGGGATTTTTTTGATTTCGGATTTTCGGGTTTAGACATATTAAAAAGTTTAGGTTTTTAAAATTTTTGATTAGCTTTTTTTTATCAGGTTCGGATTTAAGGTTTAAATTTTCTACACAAAACCAGAACGTTACACCGTATAAACGTGCGGGTACTCTACTAGTTAAAACATTATTAATTCCAAATTGGTGGTTTCAGAAAACCCAGACGATTTCGCAAACTACCAAAAGAAAATGGACTTTTGTCATTTCTGGCAAACCTAGTGCGTTTTGATTCTTGAATTAAACTCGATAGACCTACTAATTGAAAATAAGTTATTAGTTGCGTGGTGAAGACTAAAATATAGTAAAGAGAAATGAGTCCATGAAAGAAAAAATAAGTAGTGTTTCGTTGAATGGCTATGACTTATGACATGGAATTCAACTTACTATTTTGAGGAATTACAAGGAAATTTTAATAGCATTAACTTTTCCGTGTGACACTTGGCATTTTCCTTATTTTTTTTTGGTAAGGCAACGGGAGATAAAGTATCCCCGTGGTTTTATTCAAAAACAGAAAAAAGTTACTAAGCTATTACATTTCTTGGACGTGTAATTCCAATCTCATCTTCCCATCGGATCAACTCCAATGATAGGGGGAACAAAGTCAAACAAATGAAAGCCTAAAGGCAGAGAAAACGCATGATTCGCCAATCCGTCCGCCAAGCGGTTTGCCTCATGGAACACATGCGTAACACGGACCAACCAGTCCTTCGACAAAAAGCCATGGCACAGTCGTACCAGGAAAGATAAGGGATGTGAATTTTGTATCCCTTTCATCAAAAAACCAACCACCACCTCCAAATCCACCTCTAAGACCAGTCGCGGTATCTGCTTCTCCCACGCCATCATTAAGCCGTAGTAGACCCCCCACAGCTCCGCTAGAGGAGCTGAACATCTCCCAATATTCAAAGCGAAACCACTACACCACCGACCATCTCCGTCTCGAAGCACTCCCCCAGCCGTAGCTAAGCCAGGATTGCCCTGTGACGCACCATCCGTGTTGAGCTTAAACCACTCGGCAGCAGGAGCCTACCAACCAATTTGCCTCTCTATTCTCGGTCTAGGCCCCTTACTGCTACCCTGTGCTTGGTTTGCTCGCCATATTTCCGCCGCAAGCTCCATAACGAACCGAACCCGATCACGACATTTCTGATTTTCTCCAAACACATTGCCACAGCGCCATTTCCAACCCCACCAAACGGCTATTGCGAAAGTCGTAAACCAGGGAATATCGCCTACTATAACACTGGCCTGAATGTTATCATATAACCATACCAGCAGAGAGGATTGAAAGAAGCTCTGTCTCATGTGGCGTGGCACTATTCTCTCCCAAATACCTGCCATCGCTGGACAGTCCCGAAGGGTGTGAAGTATGGTTTCAAAACCTCCCTTACAAACTGTGCAAATCTCTGAATCACACAAATGGCATCTCTTCCTCTCTACATTAGTCATGAGAACTTGATGACTAGTGAGCCAAAGAAAAAGACGCACCCGTTCCGGTGCGACCACGTGCCATATCCGATCAAAGAAAGAAGCCATGTCCTGCCTTGGCTGAGCATCTCTAGTGATTAGCCTATAGGCCGATGACACCGAGAATTCTCCGTCAGCACTCCCCTTCCAAGATATCCGATCTGTAGCTCCTATTACATGATCAAGAACCACCGCCATTAGTTCCAACTTTAGATTCTCTGGTAGAAAAGGACCTATCCTCGTAAAGTCCCAACCCATGCCCTCTCTCCACATATCCTTCGCCAACAGAAGTTGCGCGTTTCCAGGGAGCTCGCCAGTAGCCGAATGGATGAGTGGTCTATCTGAAAGCCAAGAATCCAACCAAAACTGAATCTGCTCTCCATCACCAACAACCCAACGATGGCCCGGCCAAATAACCTCCTTCAAGCCCCTTGCTACACCTCTCCAGAGAGCCGACCAGGTACTCTTTGGGATCAGCCAAGTTCTATCATGTAAATCGCCCAATTTATACTTCTTTCGCACGACACGAGCCCATAGCGAGTGCTCATCCTGCAAAAGTCGCCAGCCAACTTTCACCACTAAAGCCAGATTCATATCCTTCGAAGAACGGATGCCTAAACCACCTTCCCGTTTAGGTCTACACACTCTCTTCCACGATAAGAGGTGTTGCTTCTTCTTCTCTACGCTACTCCCCCACAGGAAGGACCTAGAGATCTTATCCAAACTCGAAAGCGTTGATTGAGGAAGCATTACTGAGCTCATTGAGTGAACCGGTATGGAGGACAAAACCGATTTCGTGAGAGTTAGCCGTCCAGCCATACTGAGAACACAACTCTTCCAACCCGCCAGTCTTGCCGAGACTCTCGCAAGAACTTCCCCAAAGGTGTCCTTGTTCATACGTTTCTGAAGCACCGGCATCCCCAAGTATTTTCCCAAATCCCGCGACGACTGAATCCCGCTTGCTTCGCTGAGTCTTCTCCAACTCTCGAGACACGTTCCCAGAGAAGAAATTCTTCGATTTTTCCAGGCTCACCTTCTGGCCAGAGGCACTACAGAACCTCTCCAAAACTCTCCTGATGATCTGAACTTGCGATACAGAAGCCTCCGCGAACAAGATCAGATCATCGGCAAAACAGATGTGTGACAACTTTGGACCCCCACGTGAGAGGGTAATCAGTTTCCATTCCCCAGAACTCAACCGAGTGCTCTATCAGATGGCAGAGTCTCTCCATGCACAAGACAAAGAGATATGGGGAGATCGGATCTCCTTGCCTGAGACCTCGTGAAGGAGTAAATGCTTCGGTCTTCTCACCGTTCCACAGTAAATTCATCGCTGGACCTGTTACGCACCTCAGAATCCAGCATATCCAAGCCTCAGGTAGCCCAACTGCAGTAAGCGTGTCCTCCAAAAAGTCCCAACGAATCCTGTCATAGGCCTTCTCAAGATCTAGCTTCAGTAACATCCATCCTTTCCGCCCTTCCTTGCGTCTCATCGAGTGCACCGCCTCTTGAACCAGAACTATGTTATCAGTACTCAATCTCCCAAAAATAAAGCTTGCTTGCGCCGGTCCGATCAATTTAGATATCACCAACTTTAACCTTTCCACCATTACCTTGGTAATAGTCTTGAACAAGACATTACATAGGCTGATAGGACGGAATTGCGTAATGCTTACAGGTTTGTTCACCTTCGGAATCAGGACCAGAAGCACATCGTTCGTTTCCGGCGGGAGGACGCCTGTGGCAAAGAAATCCAGCACAAAACGGACCACTGAAGTCCCCACCGTGTCCCAACAACTCTGGTAAAACACCGGTTGATAGCCATCCGGTCCTGGGGTTTTATATTTCCCCATACCACGCACAGCCGCTTCAATCTCAAAGGCCGAGAACTCCCTCTGCAGATGACGCTTCTCTTCCACCATTAGTTGGTCAAACCCTTCTGCCGGCAACTTCTCCACCACCAATTCAATATCTTACTGCGAGTAACTCCATCTCTGCACTATCTGTAATCCAGCTACCATCACTCCTCTTCAGCATCTCTATGCGGTTTCTCTGTCGCCTAATCACTGTGGATGTGTGGAAGAACCGAGTGTTTCGATCTCCAAGTGGTATCCATTTTTCCCGCGACTTCTGAAACCATATCATCTCCTCTTGCTCAAGCACAACATCAAGTGCCTTTATCAGATCCTCTTCCCGAACCAGTAGCGTGTCTGACGGGCCTACATCCAACTCTTCCTGTACCTCCTTAATCTCCTTCAGGATTTTCTCCTTCCGCTTCGAAACCTCTCCAAAGACCTATTTATTCCAGCGGACCAGAATTCTCCGTAACTCACGCAAAGCCACATTCGTGTTCAAATCTCCTTTCCATGAGGCTTTCATAAGGTCCTGGAAGCCGTCGTGTTTGAGCCATGCCGCTTCAAACCGGAAGGGTCTCCTTCTCGGGTCACCAGCAATCTCCGGAGAAAGCTGAATATAAAGTGGTGCATGGTCTGACGAGAGAAATGGAAGGTGTGTGACCACGGCCTCCTGCCATTTCAATCGTGCGTGTGCACAGTAGAAAACACGATCTAACCTCTTCGCCACAAAGTGACGCACTACCTTTCCTCGTCTCGAAGTGAACTGGTTCCCTCGAAACCCCATATCGATTAAAGAAAAATCATTGATCCATTCGCCAAAAGCCAGCGAGTCCGGCGACAGACAACCATTGCCACCAGAACGCTCATCCACTCTCACAATTGTATTAAAATCACCGCCCACCAAGACCGGACCGTCCAAACCCCCAATCACCCTTCGTAACTCATCCCATAAGCCGCTCCTCCTGCTCACCGTAGGAGATGCGTATACAGCAATTACATGCACTATCTCATCCCCATTAGCGATACGAGCATGAATAAATTGGTCGGAAGCCTCCACAACAACCACGTCCCCGATGCTCGTTCTCCACAAAAGCCACAAACCTCCACTCTGCCCAGTCGCATCAACTTTGTAAGAATTTTCGAACCCCAAACCCCGACAGATCTTACTCGCTCGATCTCCTCCCGCGTGGGTTTCAAAAATCGCCAAAACATCTGTAGCGTACTTCTTCAACATATATCGTATGGATCTCCTAAAATTGGGTTTATTCGCCCCCAGGCAATTCCAGAATAGACAATTTATAATGACTTTCAAAAGACTCTGACGAACTACCGGGAACGACTGTTAATCCCTCACCAAATCCATACCACCCACCTCCAGAGAGCCTCCAATCGCCGCTAGAACCAAAAGTGAGTTAGCCGCCGCATCAATCTCGGAGTTACTCTGGTTCCGTCCGTCTCCTTCCACCAGACCCACCATCCCCTCCGATGCCTTATCGGCATTAAATCGCGCGATTTGAGTTTCCGGCCATCGTGGATCCTCTCTCTCGACTCGCGATCTCTTCCCCGACGACTGCAATTCCAAATCATGTTCTACTGGGCCAACAATTAGGCCCCGAGTGGGATAATTGCTTATGGGCTTTCGTCGAGGCCCATTAGTGCCTCCTAACTTGCTGGATCCGCCTTTGCTAGAACCCACCTTTCTCTCTCCCGCTCCCTTCCTAGTTTCCCGATTCAAATTACGTGGATCACCGGCCAACTTTCCTTCTTTGCCTGATACACTTGCTCTGTCATTAAAAGTTATGCCCAAATTCGCAGCATTTTCCTTATCCCCTGCATTAACTCCATTCCCTTCTCCCACCTCAATCTCTGCTATATCTTCCCTCAATCTGTCAAAGGTGTTCGATAAGGAAATATTTCCTAAACTCTGCCTCTGTGGAATTTCCTTCAATGCTCGACGCGGCGGCTCCCGAACACTCTTTGCTGCGAAAACTACCGGACGTTGAGCCGTCGCCGCCGATTGCCTTAGATTCCTGGCCATAACAAAACCTGCTTCTGCATCCCCACGACTCGCTTCCTCCACCAGTGCACGCTCCGATTCTGGTTCCACCGACACCGGCGAGACCCTCCTCGGACATTGGTGAAGCGCATGACCATAAATTTCACACCCAGAGCAGATGTTCGTTAGTCCTTCATATGAGACATAGTACCTTTCACCATTAATCATCATGGACCCCTTAAGCGGCTGTCTCAGGTTTACTTCTACACAGATACGCGCGAATCGAGCCCTCTCCACATTCAAGGTTGTCTGATCAACACGCAACAGCTTGCCGAGCCCCTTGGCTATCCCCATCAAGATTGATCTATGGTAAAAGTTAACCGGTAAGTGTGACAGTCGAACCCAGACCGGCGCTGTTACAATCTCATCCTTTAACGGATCAAACTCCGACGACCACGCTTGAACCAGAAGGTAACTACCGAACATCTTCCACGGCCCACCAGTTAGCGCTGCCAAGTACTCCTCCTCCACGCCAAAACGAACCATGAAAAAACCCCGTGGCAGATCCAGAACCGTCATGACTCCCTGTGGCCTCCACATCTCCTGCAGTTTCTTGGACAGCACGGCAATCGGAACAGTCCTCCCCAACACCTTGACGATCATACACTGCTTCCACAATCCATTCATCACCTCCAGCACCTCCTGTCCAATCGTAATTACCGCTTCCCCATCCGCTCCATTTGGGAACTCTACACTCAGCCTCTCCATCACAAACTCATCCGTCAACAAACTCTCCGGATTTGGCCGTCCTCCTGCGCTCGTACCCGTCACCATTGAGATCCAGGAGGTAACCCCATCCGGAGGTTTGCCCGGCAGCTGCCCCTTTCTGGGAATATCCATCATGGTTGCATCCGTATCGCCCAAAACCCTAGCGCCGTCAGAGCTCATCGTTTGATTATATTTTGTTTGGAACAAAAACAGGCCTGCATTTTCCCTATTAGTATATGTTATCTTTTGTGCAAAATTTAGATGTACGATTTATCATTTATCTAATGCGTAATAGAAAATTGGTTAACTAAAGATTGGCTACATAGATTACATAGGAGTTGGTTAACTTTTCCATGTGACACTTGGCATTTTCCCTAGTAGTTCTTTTTTTCTAATGTTAAAATCTGAGAACACAAGCGTGAATACATTTTCTTCTCCAAGATCGTTCCTAATTTCTTCAAACGGTCATAGTGCTAATACTTTATTGGTTTTGTAGTACATTATTACTATTATTTGAATTGAGGTTTTGTAGTACATTTTTTTTTTAATCGAGGTTTTGTTGTACACTAACCCAAATTAAGGGGACCGCTTCTGTTTGTCATGAGTCATGACTAATTTTGTACGTGGAAGTCCACGCACCTATATGTTTGATTGTTTTCTATATATGAACTCTATTACGTACCAAAGAGACCATTACATTATATTAGAAAATGTGTGTACATTTGTAAACTAACATTTTCTACAAAACGATGACTTGGTTCGTTATAGGCCATGCAAGTCAAGCGAAGAAACATAAAACGATATTGATTAATGGCTTAATGCCCATGTGAGTGAATTGAAATATTCATTTTGATCTTATGGTCTATGGATTGTACACTTTATTGAGTCGTTATGGCATTATTTGCTAAGCGTTGCGTGTATTAATTATATAATTTGGCCCTCGAGCCGTATTATGAAATTCGTCCTATCGTGCCTCCGGTAACCAGTAAAGTGAACCGGTATCATGCACAAACCGGTTTCTTGATGAGGAGTCAAGAAAGGGGAAGTACCAATTCGACCTTGAAAAATATGATATGATTCGACCGGTCTACAAATTATTCAGTTTTATGAATGCATTTTCTAGTCCTAGATGTGACATAACTCGGATTCTCTATATGAAATGTTTATTCATATATGTTCGATATAGTATAGTCTTCACATGTCATGTGTCGCTACGTCTGGACAATACCTAGAAAGCATCCAAGTGAGAGACTTGAAGCCGATGGCACATTTTGTATGACGACATTTCACATCCAAGCAATTGCCAAAGGCTTAAAAGTGAATAATCCGATCCAAAATATAAAAATTACAGGTAATTATCAAAATGAAATGTTGTATAGATTATTGGCTAGGTGCTTAAGTGTAGAGTTGGAATCATTGGATTTGTTCCAAATTAAAACCAAACAATTCTTAAATCAAACAAAACTTCTATTCACAAACTCAAATCAAAATCAAACTTCTTGACAATTTCAAAACAATTTGTCAATACTAACTACTTGACAATGTACGAAGAAGTAAGCTATAGTTTTGACAGTTATGCAGAAACCACATTCATTGCAAATCAAAGACTCCTATTTGTCTTACAATGAGAAACTGTGATCTTACAATAAGAAAATTCAAAAGCAAAAACTCCTATTGTCTTCTTCCTTTCATTGCAAATACCTATAATAAGTCTAAATAAAATAATAATCAAAGATCAATGCGGATCATCAGCTTTCTTTCTATTTCCATATCCCCAAACCCCAAAAGTCTTTTTTCTAATCTTTCTTTTGAACAAACCTGTAAGTCAGCTTCTTCCTCCAAATACTGCACAAGAAAACCAAAAGAGAGAAATCCTATCATATATACCGGAACGCGCGCATTGGTCAAAAAACGAAACTAATCCGCCATAAACAGATAGCTCAAGTCTTCCACTGTGAGGTGAGACTGTCTGCTTCCCTTTTCGTCTTCTCCAAACGCAGATGCAACCATCATTCTCTTCTTTTGCTGCATCGACCAAAACATGTTCAGAGACCAAACATGTGAAAACAAGACTTGGAGCTTATAGAGAAATGAAAGCAATACCTGAAGGGCCAATATACGATCTTCGACTGTATCTTTCACTGTGAAGCGAACCACTGTCACTGGCCTCGTCTGACCTATCCGATGAGCTCTATCGATAGCCTGATCCTCCGTCGTCGGGTTCCACCACAAGTCCAGCATCAGAACATGACAAGCCGCCACCATGTTTAGTCCGAGACTAGCTGCCTTGAGTGACATTATCATCACCGAAACCTAAAAAAAAAGTCCATCAATATACCATAAAAACAGCTAGCCAAACCAAGTCTTGGAGATTGCATTAATGGCTATGTACCTCGGGGACTGTGTTGAAATCCTGCACTGCTTTATCCCGAGCAGAGACTGACATTGTTCCATCGAGCCGTCTATACTGTATACCCGAGCTTATAAGAGAAGCTTCGAGTAGGTCAAGCATCTTCGTCCATTGGGAGAAAACAATGGCCTTTTCTCCAACTACCTTGACTGGAGCATCAACGCTACTACCGTCATTCGAATCCTCTCCCTTTACAGAGATCTGCTTCGTTTCTGTCAATTCTCGCGGTTTGGCAAGTGACTGTAAGATCTCTAGAGCAGCCTTGATCTTAGATGACTCGTATGGAGGATCTCCAGAACAATGGTCAACAGTCTCAGCATGATCTGAAGTAGCGTGATCATGAATGCCAGGAATAGTGAGTTTGGCATTGCAGTTTGCAAGAGGGCATTGGTTGTTATAGCCTGTGAGGCGTTCGCAGATGCACTGCTTACAGAAAACGTGACCACAATCTGACACAACAGCATCTTCAGGTGCATCCTGAAGGGTAAAGAAGAGAGAGAGAGAGTCAAGAAAACTATGTGATGAATTCACTTTCGCATTTATCAGGAAATACAAAAGAGAAAAGAATCTTACATAGCAGATACCACACATTGACAATGAAGTCTCTGAGAGATTCTGTTTCTTAGCTGATTCGAGCGAGGATTCCCAGGTAAAGCTGTATTCACCATTCACGAGAAGAGGGTGATCACAAGCTTGGCGAAGGCGCAAGAGCATCAACAAAATGTTCACATAATTTTGCTTCACTGTCCCGGCATCTGTATACTCCTGATGAAGATAACAGAAAAGTTTTAACAACGATATGCATACATACACACATGTATTCATGGTATATTGCGAAATATTATAAACAAACAAAAACTTGCTCCACTTAAGGGTAGTAATACGTATTCCACAGCCATACCTTGAATTGATCACGAGATTCACGTTCCAAGTTGGAGTAGAAATCACGTTCCTCCTCAGTGAAATCCACTTTTCTCAGCTCAATGGACTTCGGAGGTAAAGAAATAATGGGTTTCCCGTCAAGAAGTGAACCTGAAGTATTAACCAGTTAAACCATTGGAAACAAAACTTTCAATGAACATTATAAGAAATTTAGCTTCAATATCCGTAGAACTGACCTTTAGTTCGGCGAAGCATCACTGTTTTGAGGATGGCCTGCAGCTTCTGGTATCCTTTCACCGGGTTACTATTTATAGGGTTCTTAATCGTGCCACAGAACAATACATAGGACGAATAAGGATCATATTTGAGGAATCGAAAGTAGCTATAGAGGTCTTCAATAGAATTCTGGATTGGAGTTCCAGACAAACACCACCTCCGTTTAGCACGGAGACCCCAGCATGCTCTAGCAACTTGGGTTTTGTAATTCTTAATACTCTGTGCCTCATCTAACACAACTCTAAACCATGAAACTTTCGCAAGAGGGCCAGACAGAGACTCGTCACGATCACCATTTTTCTTCTTCTTTGAGCCTTTCTTCTGTGAATCAGGAGGATATTTTCTCTTCTTGTTTGAGAAAACGCCTCCAGCTGCAGCTTCACCATCATGTTCACGACCCTTCTCTTCACTCTCATTGTCAACAAGAGGCTGTTTCGGTACTTCCATACTTACGATAGCATACGTGGTGACAACAACATCATATTTAGCCAACTCAAGAGGATCCTTTGTTCTGCTGGACCCATGGTATACCAGAACAGAGAGTCTCGCTTCACTAGTCACCTTCTTATGTAATTCATCTGCCCATTGTCGCATAACACTAGTGGGACAGACAACAAGAGTTCCAGCAGCTGGTCTTCCCTTCACCTTACCCACACTATCTTCACTGGATTGAGAGTTATCAAATTGTTCACTTCTTCCACTGGGGTTTAAAGGTGCACATTCTTCACTCTCATCTTCTAGGTCAAAAATTTCTTTCTTAATAATCTCTTTAGATGCTTGGGCAGGTGTAGACCGTTCCTTCAATATAAGAGCTATAGTGGAAATCGTCTTCCCAAGTCCCTGCAAAGAATTGTACCAGGAATTTAAGGAAAAAAAAAAAAAAAAAAAAAAAAACATAAAGAAATTTGAGAGAAGTTGTTTCTTAACTATTTACATGAGATAGATTACAGCAGAAGACAAATACCTGATCATCAGCAAGAATTCCACCTGAACAGGGGAAGCCGCTTGTCTCCTTCTGGGCCATCCATGACAATGCAATTCGCTGTTCATGAGTAAGAAACAGTCAAGACGATACGCTAACAAATGTATCTATTAACATTAACCAAGAACCAGGCATTTAATTTCTACAGCTTGGGCTTTGAACATCTACAGGGAATGTTTTAATTTTGATAATCACATGCATACCTGATGTCTCATAAGCGGGACTGCCAGGACACCATCAGGGAGACTTGCTTCAGCATTAGACTGAGACAGATCCTGTAAAGTCAGACAATGTAACTGTCATTAATAACAGTCTCGCATTATAAAAGTCGGAAGGCTCAAGACCATCATGAACCTTTTAGTACCATAATACCCTCATACAACATTTTTGACTTAGTCAAGCAGAGATACGAAAAAATTGTATCCGCATATCATCAAAAACTAATGTGGTAATTGGCCAAAACGACTACTACCTTAAAAGGCTATTAGCTGCTAACCTGCAATGCAGCTTGATAGATCATATTTTCTTTGCTTGACTGAAGCCTCAGGCCTCCAGATTGATTAAAAGTATGACCAGCTGTAGAATATTCTGAAGAAACCACGGGCTGTTTCATAGCTAGAGGTCGTGGTGGGATGGAAGATTGACCATTAGGTTCTATAATGTAGATGTCAGAATCATCATCGCTATCGGACATACATTCTGAAGAAAGACTTTGAATTGAGTCAAAGCTGGCGTTTGAGAAGTTAGAATCATTACTCCTCGGCTGAAGATATTCATGGTTTCCTTGTTGTACTGGAAAGTCTACATACTCAGTTTTTTGTATCACTGAGGTGGGAGCTGGTGCAGCATATTGCAAACATGAACTCGAATCATAGAATTGATTAGAGCTTCTGTTGCCACTGTCTTGGCTAGGGAAAGCAGTTTGGGGTGGCATAAATGAGTATCCATTTCCAATATCTGCTTTATAGGAGATTGCGCAGCTAGATGAACCAGACCACCACTGATTCGATTCTCCAGGTGCATACACACCGTCCCTAACACCAACTTCCTCTGGAACTGAACTATAAACCATATTCTCTGACTCAGCCTCTGGTTTAACCTTCAAATGAATAGCTTTGTTATCCTGAAAACTGCCATTGGCGAAATCAACAACAGGTTTCCTTTCTAAAGATCCATTATCTACTCTCCCGTATCTATCAAAAACCATCCGGCTCGCACCATCTGACTGACACTCGCTTGCTCCACTGTCAACATCGTTTACAGCTTCTTCCTTTTTGGGAAGGAACTCAAACGCGAAATTCTGGACAAAATTGGGGGATTGCTCTGATAAGGACGCACCACTTGCATTGTAGCAGTTTTGTGCAGTTGAATTATAATTAAAACCAGGCATGACAGAGGAATTATGAATGGCTCCATATTCAGGAACTTGGTCGAAATACGTTGTGGGGCTGCACGATGTAACTGCAATATGATGTACAAAATCAATGAGGATTATGAAAGTAACAAGAGCTCAACGAGTTGTGAGGAAATTTACATATAAATAATAACCTGAAAGTTTAGTAGATAAGGTGCATACATTTGGAATCGATTATCTTGTCACCATTCGAAGGATTGAAAGCCACGTTGCCACCATGATCAGAGAAAGAAGTATTGTATCTGTCAACGGAACCGGAAGATATGCTACAACTAGTCATCTCGGATTGAGATACTCCACATGTCTCAACAGGCTGCTCTTCCTGGTCTAACGAAAACCAATCTTTAAGACTTGCAGAGCGAGTGTGAGCTGGTGAAGGACTCATCCCAGGTTCCACTTTCATATGGTCATCGAATGAGCCGGGAAACCAATCAACCATCTGAGATCCTAATGAAGAAAAATACAGAACCATTTAAGAACTATCATAAAACATAGAAGTAGCTCAAGGTCCATATTAAAACAGAGTAACAAAATTAACAACAAAAAGAGAAAAAAGATTAGCATTTACAACTACTTACCATTTTGCAACTGTGGATTCTTGAGCTCGTCAGCAGATGAACCAGCTGGAGATGAATTTTCTTGGCTACCCTAAAAGTAGTCACTCAAAAGTTTAGTTTCGAATCCTTTGAAAACAAAACAATCAGTCACTCCACAAAATTAGCCATTAGTGTATTTAGTGTAACAATAAGAATTTTGAATCACAGATACAATTCAAATATATTTAGCAGAATTGAGCAGAATCGAATCAATGTAACAAACACGTCCTCATTTCCTAAGTTTTTGTTCTTATCTCTGAAGTCATATTTACAACGCAGCTTAGCAAATTGTTTTCTATGATTTGGGATCAATTTAGAGAGCTGCGTAAATCGAAATTCTCAAGCTCCTCAAAAAGTACCTCGGCGGAATCAGGCTTCTCGTCTAAAATCCGGTAAATCGTTTCGATGTCAATAGTGAGATCCTCGTCGTCGTCTTCAAACTCAAAACCGCCATCACAATCATCAGGCGGAAATCCATCGCCTAGGCCAAACACTGAACCCTCTTCACCCATCACGAATCAAAAAACCCTAACCCGAGAAATCCGAAGAAGAAAGGACGAAACGGAGGAAAAACAAAACCTAAATCGGAAAAACACAGAACGAGAAATCAACAGTCACGCGGAATTTTTCTCTCGGAGGAATCAATCAATCAATCAATAGAATCAATCGCGAAAACAGGGAAGCGTAGATCCAGGGATTTGCGAATTCTGGAGGTATGATTAAAGGATGAAGAAGGCTTGTGAAATTGGGTTTTGAAGGGGTCACGGGAATTTTCCAGGAAAGTTAGAGAGCAGTTGGGTCGAGAAACGCGACTTTTCTCGCGACGGTGGTTCTCTTTTCTTTTTGGCTTTCTCCGAATTGGAAAAGGTAAAGAGAGAAGAGACTTCTCGGACTTAAATAAGGAACGGTCGAACAAATCTTTTCATTTTTCCTCATTTTTCTTTTCTTTCTAATTTTTATATTTTAATAATGCATATTGCATATTGTATATTGCATGGTTTATAATAATAATAATATATGCGCCGTTGTCTTTTTCTTTTTCAAATGTTTGTTTTTACTGATGAACACTTTACAGTAGTAGTGAACAGTATTCAAGTTATGGAGATTTTTTTATGTTTTTTGTGAACATAATCCAAGATAATTTATGGAGGTAATTAGTTCATAAGCTGTTTTTTAGTGTGAAAAATGTTATTTGATATAGATAATCAAGTTTGTGATATAGTATATTATTAAGTTTATGATATGAATGGTAAATATTAGAATAATTTGGAAAGATTATGAAAAAAAAAGTAAATGAGAAAGAATGAAAATCGATAATAAGAGTAAAAAAGTGGAAAAGAGAAGGAAAACATGTGTTATTCAAGGGATCCCGTTATTCAATGAATTGGAGTAACGGATAACGTTATGCGGAGCGTTACTGGATGAAAACCTTATCTTATCTTTTTCTATGTTATTATTGGAAGAAATCTTATCTTATTTTATCTTATGTTGTTTTACGTTATCATTGGATGAAAATCTTTTCTTTTCTTTGTCTACGTTCTCATTGGATGAAAATATTATTTTTAATTTTCTAATTGGTTATCAATAAAGGAAGTTAGAGTAAGACAATATACTTTTCACCTAGTTTTTTACTCTTTTTGTTTCATTTTAACTTTTATTGAATTTCCAAATGGTGTTACACATCAGCCAAACTACAAAAGAGGTGAAACACCCAAGACACGCCACAAGATAAACACAATTCCAAGAACAGATCCAAGGCCGAGGGAAAACTAGTAAATCCCCGGAAAGAGAGCCCAAAGAAGGAAACTAAGTCCAACATAGGGAAATAATCATACAAAGACAAGAGCTAAACACCTCTTAAAACCAAATCTATACCTTCTAACGATAAAATCTATTGAACTCAAACGCCTTTAGCACAGCCGGAGCAAAAGACGAGGTGAAATCGACCTTCAGAAGAACCATTTGAACTTACGTCAAACCTATGTCATTGATGATAGAGCCAGAACCACACACTGAGAAGCACCACACCATCGGACCTAAACACAAATTGAGAAGAACAGAGAAACCAATCACTTCTCAAAGGGGATGCCCTCATTCTGCTCACTACATGCCACCACGTCACTGTCACTGTTGTAGCCGTAACTGGGATATAGGCCAGAGAAGCAATCGCTGGAACCAAAAGCAGGTTAGATGGATTCAGCCACTCTGAAATCGTCAGAGAAACCAAGCCTCGCCGTAGCAGGATCGATCCCATTTGGGAGGAAACCAGATCGACGGATCTAGATCTACAGATCTGGAACTCCAATCGAAACGAAACTCTTCAAATTTGTTGAGAAACAGAGAGGAGAAGAGGATAAGGCTACAAAGGGAGAAGATTACAAGCTAAACAAGAAGAAAACTCAGCTACGATGCTATCTAAGTCACCGAAACCGACTGACGGCGGCAAAACCCTAGATCTAGATCTAGAGAGAAGGTGGAGCAAGAACAGAGGAGAGAGAAGGTCACCAAAAAATTTGCTGAACAACTTGTTTTTCTGACCTACTTTTTTACTCTAATGCGACTATCTCAATACCTTAAACGTATAAACAAAAATGTATTTTTGTAACTGTTAGAATCTTATCTTTGTATTTTTATAACTGTCAGTCAAAATGTATTTTTATTGGATGAAAATCTTTTTTTTTTTTACGTTATTATTGGATAAAAATCTTATCTTATCTTGTTCTACTTTATTATTGGATGAAAATCTTACCTTTTCTTTTACTATGTTCTCATTGGATGAAAATCTTGTCTTCTATTTTCTACTTAATTGGTTAATAACAAAAAAAGTTCACCTATTTTTTATACTCTAATACGACTATCTCAGTGCCTTAAACGTATAAACAAAATGTATAATAACTATTAGAGTCTTATCTTTGTATTTTTATAAATGTCAGTCAAAATGTATTTTTATTGAATGGAAATCTTATCTTATCTTATTCTATGTTATCATTGAGAATCTTATATTTTCTTTGTCTATGTTCTCATTGGATAAAAAATTATTTTCTTTTTCTACATTCTTATTGAATGAAAATTTTATCTTTTATTTGTCTACTTAATTGATTAATAACAAAGGAAATCAGATAGTATACTTTTCACATACTTTTTTATTTAATATGACTATCTCACTGCCGTAAACATATATTTTATAACTGTTAGAATCTTATCTTTGTATTTTTATAATTGGCAATCACAAATATATGTATTTTTATGAAACTCTTATCTTTTCTTATTCTACAATCTCATTGGATGAGAATATTCAATTATTGGACTTGTGTTCTAAAGGTTGGTATTTTTAAATTGGACAAAAGTTTGGTGAGTGTGTGGATAATTTAGCTAATAACATTACATTGTTGTTGTTGAGTAGTACATGATTCTATATGGTCATTTTGTATTTTCTTGGGCCAAAACTCTTACATCTTCCTAGTCCTAGAATCACATGCATATAATATTGCTTCTGTTCCAAACGACATTCGATTATGTAACCTTTAAATTTTGACACTGGTCCTATTATGGAGTGGCATAAAGGTGTCTGGTTTACTCACTCTACGCCCAAATTCTCTTTCTTTGCCTGGTTAGCGCTCCACAATCGCCTCACCACGTGTGATCGTATCTTGTCTTGGAGCCCTGGTATTAACCCTCTGTGTGTGCTCTGCCAACGGCAACAAGAAACTCGGAACCATATTTTCTTCACCTGCGGCTACTCCAGTGAAGTATGGGGTGCTTTAACCAAGGGTCTTCTTAAACGGTCCTATAGCTCAAGTTGGGATTCTATCGTCTCTTTTATCTCAGATTCTCGCCACCCGTGGACTCCTCTGTTTCTTGTCCGATACGTGTTTCAATCCGCGATACATACCTTGTGTAGGGAACGCAATTCACGTAGACACGGAGATCGACCACAACCTCCGGCCAAGCTTACTCGTATCATAGACAAGACTGTTCGGAACCGCATCTTCTCAATCAGAATGATGGGAGATGTAAAGTATGATGAAGCTCTCTAATCCTGGTTCGAAGCAAGAAGATAGACCTCTCGGCAGTTTTCTCTTTCAATCTTTCAAACATATGATGCACATGTCTACTTAATTGCCTAGTATCAATTTTTGGGTTCCGAATTAATTTTACATTTAATTCAAAAAAAACAAAAAAAAAAAAAAAAAAAAAATTGCCTAGTATCATTTACCAGTCGAGCTAAAGCCATTTGGTACCTTTTTGTATCAAACACTAAAACAAAGACCAATTCTATTCAAGACCTCAAGTGTGTTGATAATATGTCATAATCTAAGACATTCAACTGATGATAGCTAACCGATCATTCCACACTATCATTTTCGATTTTTATAAAGTCAAACACTAAAACATAGACCACTTCTATTCATCAAGACCTCAAGCTTATATTTTATAAGCCAATCTTTATCCTCTAAGCTAAACCTTGTAAAAATGACCAATAGAGAGAGAGCAAGCAAGCGAAGAAACACATTGAATGTAACTCTATAAGAAATCTGAAAATCTCCATTAATACATTTCTGATTTTCAATACAGAAATTGGTTTTACGCTTTAATCAAAGACTCGCTTAAATGTTTGCTTAATACCGAGTAAACCGAACTCCATCCTTCTTGGCTGGGGTGAACATCATTCCAGAAGAAAGCAGACTTAGGATCTTTACATAATGTATACTTCTTCACACCTTTCTTGTCAACAATCGCGCAATCACCTTCGCAACACGGTTTCAACGGGGTTTCAAACCTCGTACTCCCTATAATTAAAAAAAAAAAAAATCACACAAATTAAAAGCCTAAAAACATAACAAACAATGAATGGGGTTTTAATTTAATGATCAAATATAAAACCTTTTTTGTTACCTAGACTAGCTCCTTTGTTCTTGAAAACGCTCAAGAAAGCGTTGTAGTAATCGAGATATACAAAAGTCAATTGCTTGGCTTCATTGTTGAGCTTGGCCACTACTTGGTTTAATAAGTTGTTGTGTAGGTTCATCATCGCGTTCATTGCCTCATCGCATTGATGGAACGAAGATACCACGGTGACACGTGGAAGGCATCCAAGTGGTTGCAGCGAAGCTATTCCTACCTTTTTCACTCCCAAGGCGTGGATCCGCCTCAAATTCACCTCTGTTTGGTCCACGACTTCCTTTATGAATCCCGAAATTTCCTTCAATATGAAACGGACGTAAGAAATGCTCAGTTAACTCCTCGATTCAACGTTAGTATATACAAATAATGTACATGCATGATGATTCAATTGTAGAGCTTTGTTCTTAACATTCATACCCGACAAACAAAACAATTATAGAGCTTTGTGAAATGAAGAACAGACTTAACGAACATATCTCTCATGTCCAGAACGGACTTTGAAACTATTTTAATTGTTTTTAAAAGTGAAAAAAAAAATAGAATTTAGTGTTGAAATTAATTTTATCTGTTGGACCGAAGCTAGAGAGATAAATAAAGAAGGATGCTTTCTTACAGAGAGAGAGCGATTTTGAAAGATGAAGTTGGAGTAGTCGTTGCCGGCGACGCTGACAAGACCGACAGAGGAAGAAAGGTCGGAAGAAGAGTAGACGTGGCCGGAAGTGAGAACCTTTTGGAAGAAATCTATTTGAGTGGTCATATTGGGTAATGGTATGTAAGTGTTGAACACTCCTGTTCCTCCGTACGCAAAATTCATTCCGTACTGTAACTCTTCTTTTCCCGCGGAATCTTTCAGTTCGTATGGCGTCGGTGACTTTATAGCCATCATTTGTGCTGCATCCATCCAACACAATAGTTTAAACTTGTAGGTTCAAAAATATATGTTTGTTTCAATACAAATGATAAAAACTATGTATCGTAATGAATTTAAGAAATAATATTTCTTAAACACATGCTTTAGTTATAGTTGATTATCCTTGTAAAGTTGACATTGTAAATTTATGATAAAATATAGCATATTGATCGAAATTATATCTATCTAACCTTGATAAAATTAGTATTTGTGATTTGTTCTATTTTTAAACGGATATTATATTGTACTACTTGAATATATTAACAACGTTAGATAGATGTCAACATGTTAATTAGTCTCCCTCGGCTCTCCTGCATGTAAAAGTTTAGCTTTATAGCTTTCTAGATTTGAATATGTGAAGTTATGAAGAGATAGCTAGTAACCTTGACTCAGACCGGACGAAGCAAAGCCATGCATGAAGGGTAGAGAGAGGATCAAGAAAGATACCTAGAAAATCTGTGGCGACACGTCCGTCCGAGAAACGGCCGGAGGGTTTACCGGGGAACGTGATACCGTAAGGGAATTTCCTAGACATAACTTCAGAGAATCTTATATTTCCGGTATCAACGTAAGAGTCTCCGAAGACAAAAAGTTTCATTGGTTTGATATATGAAGCCTCAACTCCATTGATTTCTCCTGCCAACAAATAAAACAATAATTCTAAAAGTTTTAAGATTAGTCATGGACTTGAAACACTAAGTTGTGATGAGAGGTACATGATGTTTAAAAATTACCAATCAGGAAAAGAGAGAAAATGAAGAGAGGAAGGAAGAGGAGGAGTTTCATCAGAGAATGTTGCAAGATTCAGAAAGCAAATGCTCCTCTTTCGTTTGATCGAGGACAAAAAGAAGCTTTGATATCACATCATTTGTGTAAAGTTTAAATTTATAACATAGTAAAGCTTCATAGCAATAACTAATACATCTAAGTATTTGACAATATAATGTAACCAAAAAGGAAGCTTTGACTAGCGGTGTTGATTATTTGTTTTCTTTCCTCTTTCGTTTTAGTGTCAAAGATTTAGATAATTTGGGTTTAATTTGGTCAACATTTAAATTTTCAGTCTTCTCTCTTTTCATTTGTGTACTAAGGGCAGTTTTATGACCAAAAACTACGAAGAGATTTATAATTTTGGATTTTTGTACTTATTTATTATTGATTTCGAAATAGAGTAAGAAAAAATGGAGAAACAAAGTAAGAGATCAGATGATTATCTCTTCTCTTTTGAAGAAGACAAGAACAAAATATGAATTTTATTAATCTGAAACGTCATCATTGCTTGATTGCTTCAACCGTGTTAAATAGTTTTATGACAATAACACAAGAGTTGTGTCTTTCTACTTGTGTCTCTCAAACACAACCTAAACCAAACGTCACAATTATTACAAGCACCTTTGATTTTATTTTTTTTAACTAGTTTCCATTGAAACTTTTAAAGGTTATAAGGTAGAATGCATTTGTGGAATGCGTTTGTGGAATACAAAGCTGCAGAAACAAAGCCCATACAAGGGAAACAACAACACTAATGATAAAACTAAAACCACAACTAATCTAAATCCAAGACAATAATTGAAAAAAGGTACAATTCTTTAGCAATGTATTCAAACCACTTACTACAACGTCTCCCATTGAAACATTTCTTCCACAACAAGAGCATACGTGTTTGAAGTCTGATTTGAGAGGACAGATGAATAAATATCTTGAGCAGAGACGAATTAAGTTTCACCTGAAGGAGAAGAAGAAGAAGATGAAGTTTAAGGAGATTTTTGGATCTTCTTTAGTTCTTTGGCTACTTCCACCATTGTTGGAACTTGTCCGCTATGGCCGACGCATCTCTGAGAGAGCATTAGGAAATCTTCCATTCTACAAAGTTCTTCTTCTGTAATACCACCCATCTCTTCTATCATCTCAGGATCTGCGATCTCTTCCATTGATCCGGACAACCAATTTGGAAAACGTCTCGGAGAATAAATAGGCGACACAATTGATCTGTTGAATGCTTCTTCATAATAAAGTTCTTCTACTTCTTCAAAACAAAGGTCCCTAAATCTTGGTTCCTCGCTTAGAACCTCAACTTCTGGTTTTGCCATCTCTTCCATTCTTCGCTTGGACAGCCAATTTGGAAAACGTAACGCAAGAGAAAACGGCAAAAAGCTTTGAAATGTTTCGTTTTCGCCTTTCACTAGTTTTTCGAAATAAAAGTCTTGGCATCTTTGTTCTCCACTGAGAAGCTTTTGCATGAGAATTCCAATGCCGTAGACGTCCGTTTTCTTGGAGACTACACCTTTTTTCCACAAATTAGGGTCCATGAAACCATACAAACTGATTCTCGGAGTGGTATCACCCCACTCATACTTATGCTTGACAAATGTTTCACCTTGTGGGATCGAGACGCAACTAGAGAAATCCCACAGCTTGGCAACACCATCTTCGTCCAACAAGATATTTTCAAGTTTCATATTTGCATATACGAAAGGCCTTGGGAAGGCAGTGTGAAGGTAAGCTAAAGCAGTTGCGATATCCTCTGCTATCTTTATTCTTCTTCTCCACGACTGTTCTTGAGATCTAGTTTATAATGTTTCTTTAGACCATGAAACACCATGGCTACATGATCTTCAGACTCAAGACAACATCCAACCAGTTTCAAAAAGTTTTTGTGACCACTCACCATCGATGATATTGCTATGTCGCGGCAAAAGAGTTCTTCTTGTTGATAGGCATTTAACTCGTGGGTGAATTCCTTGATGAGAATCATGGGATGGTTCTCCTTTTTACCAGAATACCATTCATAGTAAATCAAACTAGCAAAAACATGGTTAAAGTTCCTGAAATTGTCGGTGGCTTCGAGGACCTGATCTGGAGAGAAGAATTTGATGGGATTGGATTTGCCATCACAACATTCGATGAGTTCCTCTAACAGCATGGCCCCTCTCCTTCTGCCTCGGATCGACCTCTCTTCTTTTTCATAGGCTCGTGCCTTCTTCTTCCTCCACCAATCCATCACAAAAGCTACACAATAAAGAACGAAAAAAAATACTTTTACTTTGAGATCAGTTGACCAAGATTCAGAGACATCACACACATGTAAAGACACACACTTAAAGAGTTGGAGAAACGAAAAGGATATTTAGACGAGTGGTTCTAAACTATTATTCAACACGGACGTCCTTTCTGCGCAAAGAGAGCGAATGGATGTTGGGACAAGTCAAAAAGCAAGACACACACACTATAACGTATAAAGTTAATTGATGAGACATAATAAGAAGCAAGAACACACAAAATTTCAAAGCCAATAATTATAACTTTTACAATCATATCATTCAAAAAGAATCATACAGGAACATTTCACCTCAATCCATTTTTTCATTAGAAAAAGGAACAATTCTCAAAAATATCAGAAATAAGTATTTATTACAGAATTATCACGGCTATATTTATCGTTTTTAAAATCAGAAATAATGGTGGGAATGTGGTGAAGTTGGTTGAGATACAAGGTTATAAAGGAAGGGTTGGAGAATTGATGAGTCAGGCCAAGTGGTTTTTGTTGGGAATGGAGAATCTTGAAGAGCTGAAAGTGAAGATTAGTGATTATGAGATAGAGAACAAGTTGCAAATCACAAATGATCTTCTTGCTCTTCCTAAAATTTCATCCAAATGCAACATCCATGTCTTGTGAAGCTGTGATCGATTGGTCTCTTGACCTATTTTTTTTTCCTTTAATTATCATGCAAACAATCAATCAAATTAAATAATTAATACAAAATGTACTGTTTGATTTATCATGATGAACGAGGTAAATTAGAAATGCTATAAATTTCAGAAATATTATAATTACAGTAACAGTAGCATGGTTTTGAATTTTGAACCATATATTATCGGTTTACAAATAACCGAGTCCTAGTAAAAACCGGATCGATTCATATATCCTTACATATACAGCATATAAGAAACCCTATCTCTTTCTTCTATCGATAATATCGAAAGACTCGAAAACCTCCATTTTTATCAGATCGTAGAATTCGGAAGAAGATCTCGCAGACAATCTAGAAGAAGCAATCGAGATCCCTCAAAATCTCTCCGACGTACATGCCGGAATCTTTCGCAGACTATTTTTCCCCAAATTTTCCTCTTCTCCAGGTACTCTCTCGGATGATTCTATTCGATTTTCGCACACTTTCGTGAATCTTAGAAACTCAAAGTTTCTGTAGCTGTTATTGGAATCGCTAGTCTATTGATCTCATTTCCGTTTGATCGCTAACATAAATTTCGTTCAGATCGGAGAAGTGTTTTTTTATTTTTAAACTTAGAAATGCTTTTTTTTTTTTGGTTAGGGAAGACGTTGTTGATCAGCTTGAAGAAGATGACGAAGAAACGGTAATTAGATTCCTTCTTCTTTCTTCACCTGTTGTTTTGCTCCTATGAGTCTGTTTTTTTTGTTCTTTGATCTAAAACTTGATGATGTGTTCATAGGTTACTTCGAAGAAAGTTACAACACAACCATGTCCAAGTGAAACCCACTCGTTTTGGTGATGCCCGTACTATGAAGATGATTGTATTCACGTAGTACAATTGTCAAAGAAGATTGGTTTTGATTGAGCCCACAAGCATGTTGCTTACACTTTGATGCGCACGTTATTTGGTGCAGTTTTGGGAACATGCAATATGACTCCAAGAGCTCGACTCAGACGGACGTCAGCCATCATCATGTGTAAATCAGAGCTGGGAAAGATGAGGCTCTCCAAGCTCATAATGTTATGCTTGGAGAGCCTCATCTTTCCCGGTTCTGATTTACACATGATGATGTCTAACGTCGGTCATATTGCCCTTTCCCAAAGTTGGACCATATAGCTTAAATTATTGTTAGCTTTAGCATCATGTTTGAAATTTAATTATAGGACTTGTGTTCGTAATGTTTGGCATTTTCTAATTGAGATAGAGTTTGGAGGAGCTTAGCTGTGGTAATGTATAAAATCTCATAAGCCAGTCTTTATTCTTCTAGATTTTATAAACCAGTCTTAATCTTCGAATGAACAAAATCTTATAAAATCAACAGTAGAAAAAGAGATAGCAAGCAAGCATGACGAAGAGATTTTCGTGTTTCTCGATTACTACTACAACGCTTTCTTGAGCCTTTTCAAGAACAACGTAATCTAGATGTTGTTGGAGAAAGTTACACAAATTTGTCATTAAAACCATCACGTATAAATAATAAATTACTGTATAATAAAGTAAGAAAATCAAATTAGTCTTCAAAAAAATAATGAACTATGATGATAGAAAACAACATGTAGATATTACAAGATTTTTTAAATAAAAACTTGTAAATTATTACACATAGCAATGTTATAAATTCAAAAATTTATAGTAACATAGGTCGTACCATATATTCCGGTTAAAAATTAACCAATCCAAGAAACCGAATCCCAGTAACCGGATCGATTCATCGACGGTTCGTCAACATCCCTTTAACAAAACCCGATCTTCTTTTCTATCGATAATCGAAAGAGACTTGTTTTTATCAGATTGTAGAATTAGGAAGAAGAAGAAGAAGATTTCCGCAGACAATCTATAATCATCAGCAATCGAGATCCCCCAAAATCTCCGTCGTACTCGCCAGAATCATCTTCCCCAGATTTTCCTCTTCTTCTCCAGGTACTCTTTCCCGGATAATCCAATTCGATCTTCGCACACTTTCGTACAACTGAGAAATACAGTTCCTGTGCTGTTATCGGAATCGCTACTCGAATTTTCGATTAATCTGGATTTTCAATTTGATCGCAAAGAGAATTTCGTTTTGATCGGAGAGTGTTTGTTTCACTTGGTCAGGTTTATAAGTTTGTATTGAGCCAAAAATGGCTTTCTAATGTCACTGTTTCGGATTTTCATTAATCAGCTTGAAGAAGACGACGACGACGACGAAATGGTAATTAGAGATTCCTTCTTCTTCTTCATCATCCCCTGTTGATTCAACTTGATGATGTGTGTATTGAATCTCTTTGTGTTGATAGGCTACTTCGAAGAAAGTGATAACACGTGAAGAATGGGAGAAGAAACTAAACGCTGTGAAGCTCAGGAAAGAAGACATGAACACACTTGTGATGAATTTTCTAGTGACTGAGGGATTTGTAGAAGCTGCTGAGAAATTCCAAAGAGAGTCTGGAACCAAACGTATCCTTATTTTGTTTGTGTGATTCCAGTTCAGTTTTATTTTTGTTTCTTTGTGAGATTTGTGTGATTCCTTATCGAGAAACAGCAGAGATAGATCTTGCGACCATCACAGATCGAATGGCTGTTAAAAAGGCTGTTCAAAACGGAAATGTTGAGGATGCTATTGAGAAAGTGAATGATTTGAATCCTGAGGTACTACAATGCTTCTTCATATTGCATACTTTCTTCTTCTTGTGTGAACAGTTAGTTACCATTTAGATGTTAAGAATCAAAGTCTGATACTTTTTTGAACATGTGTTTGCAGATACTTGACACGAATCCGGAGCTGTTTTTCCATCTTCAGCAGCAAAGGTTGATAGAACTAATTCGACAAGGGAAGACAGAAGAAGCCTTGGAGTTTGCTCAGGAGGAGCTTGCACCACGTGGCGAAGAAAACGTAAGTTTGCTCATGACTGCACAAAGTATCTGTTTTTAAACTATTATTGTAGATGCTGAAACACCATTTTGTGCAATTTGGTTGATTCTTTTCTGCAGCAAGCGTTTCTAGAAGAATTGGAAAAAACTGTAGCTTTACTTGTCTTTGAAGATGCCTCTAACTGTCCGGTTAAAGATCTTCTCGACATTTCTCACCGCCTTAAGACGGCAAGTGAAGTAAACGCAGCAATTCTCACAAGCCAGAGTCATGAAAAAGGTAAACTTTCGATGCTCATAATGCTTCTTCATTCATGACTTCACCAGCAAGATGTTTGTAGTTTGTACTAACTCTCAATGTTTGTGAACATGAACAGATCCTAAGCTTCCAAGCTTGTTGAAGATGCTGATTTGGGCTCAGAATCAACTAGATGAGAAAGCAGTGTACCCACACATAAGTGATTTGTCGACTGGCAAGCTCGAAGACCCGACAGAATAGTTCCCTACTTCGTTACAGCAATTGGAAAAAGCTGCGGAAAGGAGAAGAAACAATCAAATATGGTGGTGCCTCTTCTCTTCCTCTTCAATCTCAAATAACTTAGGAATGATTCATGTGTTCAGCGAAATGCTTTCCGCTTTCTCTTTGCTTCTGCATTGTTATTTGTTGGAACCGGAATTGTTTAGGATGTGTGAAGAGGAAGAGCTTAAGGCTGTTGTGAGGCAATGAATTATTACTCTGGTCAAAATGTTGTGATTGTCATCATATTCTCATGACTCATTGCATACGTGCGTTTGATTTTAATGAAGTTATCAACTTATGTTTGGTTCTATATGGGTTTGTTTTGAGGAATTTTGTGCTACCAATGATTCGAATTTGGAAACAAGAGAGATTTCTTCGTTACATATAGATAGCTATATAACCACTCACTGTTCTTAATCTTTAGTCCATTGTTCTAACAAGTGAGAATTTGCTCTGAGATTGCTACTTACAAAGTGAGTGCCATCTTACAATGGTCATGATCCAATAATTTAAACAGATAACCAAAACCAAAGTGATGTTACAGTCAAATTAAAGTAGGATCCTACTGAAACACCATCTGATTTTTTTCTTCTTCTTTGAGTCTCTCCTCCAATCTCTTTACTCAGCAAAAGGGTCTTCTGAAAACGAAGGACACACAGAAAGTTTCAAACTTATTGAGCTAATAGCAATTTACATTGGGGATCACGAGAAAGGAGATACATTGGCAGAGGGAAGAGGTAGCTCAAGAAGCTTTGTGCAGACGTGCAGTGAGCCCAAAACATCTGTTTCAGACTCTGAAGGGTACAAAAACGAAACTATAGAACTCAACCGGAGAATATCTGATTCAATTTTTTATGAAATGTTAGAATCATGAATCGCGAAAGACCTTGATCCTTTATTGACAATTCCTGATGTCCAATCTGAGTACGACGTCATTTAAAACCCCAGAAATGCAAGTTTGTTGCTATCTGGCCAATCTCTCGTCGTCTCAACAAAACCCTAAATGCCGTTGCTTACTCCCCAAGAAACATCCCATCGGCTGCTTCGTGCTCTGTTACACTGTGTGGCACAGAAACACTTGTTTCTGATGCATATAGAGGGAGACGCATGGATGGAGATTCCATCGGCGGAGTTAACGCCGGAGAAAAGACAGACAGAAATCAAGGATCGTGAACAGAGAAAATACTCCAAAAGGGACTGATATTAGGGTTTCAAACACAATTGAAGAACGAGATGACGTACAGCACGTGATCTAAATTAAAAAAGGACGATCTAATTAAACAATGTGCAATCTTAACTTATCCCACATCGGTTAATTAGCGTGTAAATCATGGGTTTATATACAGTTGTTGATTGTAATGAATTAACAGCTCATAGGGACATGGTGGCTTGGGCTATAAGGTTGGCTCGACCTAGTCCCCAAGTTATACACAGCTCGGTCTCATAAATTCTCTGGCAAAGGGTTTGGGGAAAGTTTGTTGCTCGACAAACGGTCTCGGTTTTTATAACATCGAGCGGGCATGTTACCCATGAGCGCCACTTTTTTTGTTTGTTGAAACGATCGAAAATAATAATTCTTCATCCGTTTTTCAGAAGCTCTGTTCTTCACATTTTTTTGAACGATTGTGTTTGTTTGTCTTTAATCAACTTTTTTTTTTGAACAGTCTAATTCCTAGTCAGTTGGTTAATAACAAATAAAAATTATCAAAAAAATATTTTTTAAATCTCGTTTTGAAAGCCTTTTTAGACTCTACAAACATTGTTTTTTTCAGTTTGCCTTCTTCAAACTTTGATAATATTTTTAGAAACTTTTTTTAACCACTAGAGAGCACCATCGTCCATGGATCGTGCTAATATTTTTAGATTTTAGATTTCAATTTTTTTTTTCAGATTAAACAAAATTCAGGAATCCGAATAAACTACAAAATGTTATTTTCAATTTTCTTTTAAAAAACAGTACTTCCTTTTTATCCAAATATTTGCATATACATTTTGCGAAAATTACAACTAATTTGAAATGGAAGGAGTATTATACTATTTTATAATTTATAATTGTTTTTCAGGAAAAGTCATATTTTTAGATTTGCTTAAGATGATCAAAAATGTTGTACATGCACTGCTCTGATTTGATGACTTTTGAGTTTTGGCCAACAAAATGTTGTATATTTTTTATGCTAGTTTTTTTTTATTTATAAACATCCAATGCATCAAATAAATTTGTGTTTTCTTCAGTTATTGGTTATAGTTATATCTATTTACAAAAAGATTACATGAATATATATTATACAAATATGAAAATATCAAATACAAGATACAGTCAGTGTGACCGATCCAATCAAGCCAGACAATGCTGAGGAACCATCTTACCACGAGCAGAACCATCAACATTCTCGCACACGGCAGTGGAAGGACCACCCTCAACTCCGTTATGCTCAAGGTTAATGTCAATTAGCTCAACATTCTTGCAACGAAAGCTCTTGCTACATTGTAGATTCACTGCCACTTTGTTCTTCGACGTCCCATATATGTTTTTATACTTAATGTCCTTTATCTGAACGTGAGACGCTCCCTGAAAGAATACAAACACACAATTTTTTTCTTTAGTTATTGTTTCGTGTGATGAAAAAAAAAAAATAGACTTTGTTTCTTGTGTAGAAAGCTAACCGTCTTTTCACAAGGTGGGTAAGGACAATACTTCTGATCGATGTTGATTGGTTTTCCAACATTAATCATCTGAATATTCTCGAACACAAAGTTAGAAGCGACGATCTTTGCAGCAGAAGATTCCCAAGTCTTGATCCGAATACCATCACTTGTGCCGTTAAAGACTGTGTCACGTACTGTTAATGCCGTTAACGTCTTTCTCGCCTTTGTTCTTCCCTAAGCTTCCGACACTAATCCCATGTCCAGGACCACACTTGACGTTAGAGATATCCATGTTTGAGGTTCCAGAAAGAATGGCGATACAGTCGTCTCCAGTACCAATGTTTGTGTTAGAGATGCGAATGTTGCTACAGAAACCGAACTTGATACCGTCGGTGTTTGGGCTATCGCCGGGAGCTGTTACGGTGACGCCAGTAATGTTGAAGTGATGGACGGAGAAGAAGTTAAGTGTCCCATTTTGCTGTTGAGTGATGTTATCCCATCGATTCTTGAATTGTTCACGAATGCAAATCCCATGTTCTATTAAAAAAATTCAAGTTTAATACAAGATTAGCTAGACTTGAATATAACAAATCCCATGGTCAATTTTGTAATACGATTTAAATGCAAATAATAATCATTAAAGCAATATATAAAGGATTAAGAAATGATGTACCATAGCTAGTTTAGGACAATTGGTGTTTTTGTGGCAGTCATTGAGTGGCCAAGACTGCTTCCCTTGACCATCGAGTGTACCGGTACCGGAGATATATAGATTGTTGATGTACCTGAAGTTGATCCAAGTGTCCTGCTTAATATCTCTAGGGTTTGAAGGAGCCAATAAAGTTCCATCGATGACGAATTCAATCTGATTTTTGCATGGCCCCACGAACTCTACACCACCGAGATAGAATGTTCCTTTTGGTACGTAGATTTTACTACTTCCACCTCTTGCGCATGCGCTTTTCCATACATTTGTGAACACCTATAACATCGTATATGCATTATGAGCGAGACTCAAAAGTTGGTTCTTGAAATTAGGTTAGTATTAAACAAATTTATAACAAAACTATATATATATAAAAAAAATATATTATTAAAAAAAATCTAAATAGGAAAATTGTATGTACATACATTGGCGTTATCAGTTTTTCCGTCAGATTTAGCACCATAGCGTCGAACGTTGAAAACCTTTGCCTGATGTCGGACGACTTGCAACGGCGACGAACAAAAGAGACAAACACAAAGCCTTAAACAGAAGCAATGACCATCTTTTATTTTGTTTAGGGTATGTGGCAAAGAGCAAATGTGTTATTTGTAAATATTTTTTTAAGACACATGAGAAGTGTTGGCAATTTTATTGCTTATATAGAGCTAATTCGGATGAACTGTTAGAAGGAATCTAAATAACAAGAAATTGATTTTTGTTACCAATTATCGGCTAAATTGGGTTGTTTCTTTTGTATAAATTTGATGGTTAATTAAGATCTTGTTATATATGGATATTTTTCGAATGTATATTGTTTCTTTTTTTTTGCTCTCTTTAAACAGAATCTTAATTGGTGAAATGCCAATTAGTTTTATTACGAGCAGAAAAAAATAAACTTGTTTCGGTTAATATAATGCTTTGTTTTTGAAACTACTCCATTTGATAAAATATGTAATTTGAAACCCTAGAAGTCCAGTTTGTTGCTATATGGCGAATATCTCTCGTCTTCTCACCAAAACCTAAAAACTGAACTCTAAACGCCATTACTTGAATTTTGTTAAAATGTTGTATATTTTTCTGCTAAATTTTGTTTTTTAGTAAAGATCCAATGCATCAAATGAATTTATGTTTTCTTTAGTTATTGGTTATACCTATGTCTATTTATAGAAAGACTACATGAATATATATACAAATATGATAATATCAAATACAAGATACAGTTACTGTCTATGCCTATTGTTCAATTAAGCCAGACAATGTTGAAATTTTATTTTAAAAATGTCATATATTGTTGAGAAACCATGCATCTTTCCACGAGCTCAACTGTCAACATTATTGCACACGGTAGTGAAAGGACCACCTTCAACTTCCTTATGCTCGAGGTTAATCTCAATTAGCTCAACATTCTTGCAAGATTAAGTGTCCCACTTTGCTGTTTAGTGATGTTATCCCATTGATTATTGAATGTTAACGAATGGAAATCCCATGTTTTATAAAAAAGATTAGCTTAGAGTTAAGTTTAAAGATTGGGAGAATTGGCAATTTACCCCAAATTGAAATTTTTTCTGTCCCACTAAACCTTTTTTGACTTTGGTCTTTTTTTGTCAAGTTTGCCCTTCAATTTATTTATAAACTCATACTAAATGTATTTTGAAGTGAAAAAAAATGCCATAATTCCTAAAAATGATTTTAGCACTGTGTAAAATTTTTTGAACATTTTTGAAAATGCTTATGATATTTAAAAAAATATTTCAAGTTTCATTCTACAAAACTAAAATAACAAAGTAGAATACGTTTTCTGCAAGATATTCAGAGGTCTAACCTCCGTAAAACATAATATCTACAACTTATTTATACCTCTTCCGGATATAAAGTTGATATCTACCTACTCTTATAGGCTCTACCATTTTGTAGAATTCGCACCAAATGTATTATACTTAATCAAGTATCTTCTACTACTCGTAGATTTTACGTTCTACGCGAAACACTGCTATCTACAAGAAATAGTTTTCGTATTCTACGTGTTTTTGTCTAATCTACATCCCGCAGAAGTAGTGTTCTACTAAAACCATGTTTTCTACGATCCGTAGTACTCGTGTTTCTAGTACACAATCTAGCAAAATTAGTGTCGTCTACGGTTTTGTAGAATTCATCTTCTGCGAAGATCGAGAAAATATTGCAACTGAATATTTTTCAAATATTTCTTTCCTTTTTTTCCTCCAACGGATTATTTTTTAATTAGTTTAGTTTTGTTAATTTTATTTTTTATTTAATACATTTTAATTTAAAAAACGAAAATGAAAACAAAACGAAAATGAAGGGCAAAACTGAGAAAATGTTAAAAAAAAAAGGTATTGAGACAAAGAGGAAATGGGAAGGTGTAGTAGGACAAAAGAAGTTTCAATTTGGGGTAAATTGCCAATTCTCCCTTCAAGATTAGCTTATCATTATTTAAATCGATTTTAGTAAAAGTCCGTATATTCTAATAGACACCACCTAAATGGGCCTAATTCAATTTTCGGAAACCCTAGAACGTAGATATATAATCTCGTAAAATCCCACTTCTCAAAAAGCAACCGATCATAACCTCTCCTTCGACCAAATCTCTGTTGGTATATGTATTTTTGTTTCGTGAATCGATTGATGCGTTTATACTTCTTCTTCTTCGTAGTTTTTTTTTTTTTTTTTTTTTTTTTTTTATCCCTTCCCGAATCTGGGAAACCTAACGTTTTTTTCTCTGGAATCTGGGTAGGGTTCTCGATCTAGAGCTGATCTGGGAAATCCATCGGTTGTTTCTTGAATTCTTGTGTGTTTGACTTGTTTTACAGATCATGGACTCTATACTCAAAGAAATCCAAGCACTTCCTCCCCAGATTGCGGTCCATAAAATAAACGCTGTTATCAACTGCTATTGCTAGCTGGGATGACAACCTTTTTATTAAGGGAATTGTCCTAGGTGCTATCGTGCAGCTTGAAAAACTTTTGCAGGACCTATCTGAATCCCTTCCAGATTCTTCCCTGTCTAAGTCCCTTCCCGACACTTCCCTTACACTGTCTCCAGTTGCCGACAATCTAGAGCAAGAACTTTTAAAATTCGTTCATCTGTCTATTGGTTGACAATCGTTTATGTTATGTTAGCGTGAAAAACCTTTTTGAGATACGGATATCGTTATGTTTACAGTGCGATTTATGTTATGTTCAATGCGTATAAGCTATCTGAGTTAGAACCAAAATGAAACTACTTTAGAACTCAAGCCCGATTCCATCTGTTGTGAATGTGAAGATTATCATGAGTCGAGAGAGACAATTCCTTGTTTCCAATCTTAGTGTGACGTCATTCATAACCCTGGATATCCAGTTCGTTTCTATCTGACGAATCTTCCTCGTCTTCTTACCAAAACCCTAAAACTGAACACTAGGCGCCATTACTTATTTCCCAAGGAACACCTCATCGTCTCCTTCCTCTATTCAATTTGTGGTGCCGAAAGACTAGTATGAAGAATTAGAGGGAGACGCATCGATGGCGATGGTGAAAAAACAAACAGAATTTACGGTAAAGACATTAACGGATAATTGTGAAAATTGCCACCTCAAAAAGATTGAAATTAGGGTTTCACAAACAATTAAAGAATGAGATGACGTAAAGCACACGTGATATAATTAAGAAAAGGAATAAAGGATGATCTAAAATAATTATGGGCAATCTAAACTTATCCCACATCGGTTAAATACAGTTGTGGACTTATAATGAAATAACAGCTCATTGGAACGAAGTGGTTTGCGTATATTATAATGGACACTACTTAAATGGGCCTAATTCAATTTTCGGAAACCCTAGAACAGATATATATATTCTCGTAAAATCCCACTTCTCTGGAATATATCGGTTGTTTCTCTGGAATCTTGGTAAGGGTTCTCGATCCAGGGCTGATCTGGGAAATCGATCAGTTGTTTCTTGATATTGATTTGATCTGATAATGGTCTTGAATTTTCTGTAAACTGAATTCTTGTGTGTTTGACTTGTTTTACAGATCATGAACTCTTTACTTAAGGCAACCGAAGGACTTCCTCCCCAGATCGCGGTCCATAAAATAAACGAAATTATCAAGGATCTTAGGGCAGATGATTACTCTAAGTACCCTTTGTTGAATGAAATTGTGCAAGAGTGTATCTCGAAGCTTGAAGACGTTTCGCGTGATTTATCTAAGTCCCTTCCCGACTCTTCCCTGTCTAACTCCCTTCCCTTCTCTTCCCTTACACTGTCCCATGTTCCCGACAATCTAGAGCAAGAACTTATAAAATTCTGTCGTTTGTCTATTAATTGACAATCGTTTATGTTATGTTAGTGTGAAGAACCTTTTTGATATATGAATATCGTTACGTTACAGTATGATTTATGTTATGTTCAATGCGATTTTTCAAAATTTTCTTACATATATAATTCATGATTTATAATTATATAATGTGTTTATATTTTCTTTAACCAAAAAAAACAAACAGAATTCATGGTAGAGACATTGCTATATCATGAATTGAGAAGATTGAAGTTAGGGTTTGAAAGACAATCGAAGAACGGGATGATGTACAGCACGTGATATAATTGAAAAGAAAGTTGAAAAAGGATGATCTAACTTATCCCACATCGGTTAAAAATTGTGTGGATCATGAGTATATATATATAGAGTTGTTTACTCGCTAGAAAATTAAAGTACGTTGGCTCGACCTAGTCCCCAAGTTACTCACAGCCAGGTCCGTAAACTCTCTGGCAAAGGGTTTACTGGCAAGTTTGTTGCTCGACAAATGGTCTCGGTCCATTCTCGTGGACACCATCGAGCGGGGTATGTTCCCCATGAGCGCCACCTTTCTTGTTTATTGTACCGATCGAAAATCATTTCTTTATCGGTTTTTCATAAACTCTGTTTTTCTTTAGCGATTGTATTTGTGCACCATGAATCCTGCTTATATATATTTTAGATTTTTTTTTCAGATTAAAAAGATTTAGGAATCTGAATAACTACAATGTCTTATTTTCAATTTTCTCAGTACAAATTTATACTACTTTCTTTGAAAACATTTCAAGAAAGCTGTGGAATAAAGGAGAAACATGTGTATCCCCAAAAAGCTACTAGAGTTTATTTTTAAATTATTTACAAACCCCAAAGCTTTCACATTGCTCCTAGCCTCCTACTTCTACTTCTACTCTCTTTTCTCTCACTCTCTCTCTCGTTATTCGCCATGGCTAAGCACTTAAGCCAATAACGAAATACATTGAATACAACTAACAAAATCCTCAACGAAACATCACAGCCACAAAAACCAAAACGACATGAGAGAGCTAGAAGGCTTCAAAACGACGACATTGAATCAGAACAATCAATATTGGCCGCCGGTGGGAGCTCCGACGAATCTCCGGCTAGCCGAGCCATGGAGATCTCAGTTAGAAGACTCAGTCAACGCTGTTTCCTTCGGTTTCGTTGCCACTGCCATTCTCATCTCAATGTTCCTCGTTATGGCCATTCTCAGATTCTTCTCCGGGTCGGATCCTTCCGGGTCTGGACTCTCGGGTCGGATTCAATAGCTCTGCTTCTTCTAAGCTTGGTTACCAATCTCCCAAGGCTAGTAAATATTCTTTTCCTACTCCAAAACACATTAAAAGTTCCTTAGAAAAAGTATTACATTGTTTTTCTTTTGTTAGTGAGTTTTTTTATGTGATAGTGATGTGATCCAGATAGTTCTTTAATTGATTTGAATACCTTTTTTTGTCCCAAAAGCAATACAAGAAAACACCATAGGGTTTGGTTTTGTGTAGTATTAAAAATGACCCATACACATGATTTTGCATCATCACCATTAAAACTGTCTCATGAGCTTTGCCACACAAACGGATTATTATGGTGATGCATTCACTGATTTCGTTCGTCATCATCTCTCTCTTTTTTTTTTTCCATAATGACGAAAGAGGGGAAAAAGTAATAATGGAAATGAGTCCACACAAAAAAAAGTACTGTAATAATGGAAATGTAATTTAGTACTGTTGGTCTATTGGAGATTGATTGGTTTGTAAGTATTTATGAGTGTGAAAGAAAAAATGCGGTTTCTATGCGTGTAGAGATAAAAGATGTGGTCTCTACCATTTTGAGCTTTGACTTTACATTTCCTAGGAACATAAAACGACCCACTAGCTTTTTCCCTTTGTTTAATTGAGATCAGAGAGTGTCCTTTTTTTTAACAAAAAAAAAAGAGTGTCCTTTTATTTTGTTTTTTTCATGTTCTTTGTGTATAAGTTGCATAGAGATAACAGATTCCTTTTTGTCTCTCATCTATTAAGGTTTTAATACTAAGCTTTACACTAACTGCATGAACAAGGTGTTCCGGTTTTTTTCGAATTTTGGTAATATATGTTAACTGTCACAACAATTTAAATGAATATAGGTTGGCTTGTTTAAGAGAGGATTTGGTCTTTGAAGTTTTGTTGTGCTGCAAACTCATGTTATTCGGTTGAAATCTTGATCGTTTGCCTTGATTATCGTTTAGGAATGTTTTTAAAAAAAAAATTCAGTTGTTTTTGGTTATTAATAGTCATCTGGGATTAGTAATTAATTGGCATATTACATGTTTCACAGGGAACCTACCATGTGAACATAACTAGACTTGTTGACCCACTGGGAGGAGGACCCACATCGAATTAAACATTAAAAAAGTGTGTGAATTTGTGCTAGCATCAACTTCTGTTTTGGGGAATATATAGCTCAATTTCATTTGTCCCACATAATTAAAGATTTACATATGTTCTTGTCTTTGCAATGAAACGCATTTGATATCAAATTTTTTAGATTGAATACTGACTTTTGATGCGATTATTATCGATTTGCAGATAGGTGTGTACTCAAAAGGGGTCTCGGTGTTGATGCCAGGAGATAATATACCTACATTCATCGCTCACCATGCACCAAAAAATTCCAACACTCGAAGCTCCACCTCAAACTCCATTCAAGAATGTTAACAATTTCGAGTTTTGCATCATTAGATGTTTTCTTCTGCGATTATGTCAGCTTTAATTTTATTTCTTACATTTTGAGGAAGTTGTTATGACTTATGAGTATTTTTCTTATATGTAAATATGTAACTAGATGAACCAAACAGCAGTAGCTAGCCCCTGGCTTACGTATATATGTACTCAAGATTTGTCAGATTTATAGTGAGAAGAACAATTACTTTAACTTAAGTATAACTGTATAAGCAGGGGTTGCCAAAACAAAAGATAGAGATCTGAATAGTCATTAGATTCGCCTTATGTTATGATTACGATCTTTAGATCTCTGACACAAAAACCTTCACTATTATATCACAGCTTTTTAAAACATTCTCTTTTTATAATCAGGTCCTCTAGAGCTTACGTATCGTAATGTCAAAAAAAAATTATTAGCTCTCACGGACGATGACAAAAAAATGTTGATTTTTATAGAGCAAATACACTATCTTTCGGATGGTTTAGATCTGTAACCATTTTATGCATGTGACTACAAAAAAGAAGTAGATATCGCTTAGATCTTGAGACATTTTTGTAACGACATATGCATAATGATGTAAGTGAATCTACATTCACCTTCTTCCTTATTTGGTGTAAGAATATTGTACGCATTTTTTTCTCTCTCTCTTTTCTAAAGGTAGTCATAACTTCATTAACGTAATTATATCAAGGAATTAAAACTTGCATGGGCCTTAATATTCACCATCATTACTATTGAATCATTATAAATTAAAGCCACTTTAGGTGGTAGTTGGTATATATTTTCATTTTTAACCCAAATCAACTGTCCCAAAGTTTAAACAATAAATACTCTCACTTCACAATCATCCTCTTGTGTCATTACACAACCAAAGAGTTATTACTACTCTCTGTCTCCGATCAAACGACGTCATCTTCTTTCTCTCTCTTTCTCACACACACACAACACATGGGTTGCTGCGTCAGCTCCGGCAAAGCCGATCGGAACAAGGAGAACGTTACCGACAAGAACACGACGAATGTCGAAGAAGAAACGGTCGTCAAAGAAGTCTTGTCGGAGACAACATTTCTCACTACTTCCTCAAATGTTCACGATTTGACGACGTTCGAGGATCCGGTGAAGACGAAGATCCGGGAAACAGAGGGTAAAAAACTCAAGATTGCTCCGGACTCGGGTATGACCCGACCCGATTTGATTGACCCGGAAGAAGGATCGGAGGTTTCGGAGATTTGTAGCTTGAGCTTGAGCGAGAGTGTGTCTTCGACGGCTGTGATGATGAATGAGGAGGAGCCGAAACAGAGGAAATCTCAGAGATCTCCGGCTAAAACTCGGACTCGGGTCACGGGTAATAATTACCCGACCCGGAAAACAACCGATCAATCTCCTCGTAGGAGAAACAACGGTAGTACGTGTAATGGAGGAGCGAGATTCGTGTCGGGTACGAGAGACCCGGGTGAGAGATCCGGAAGACGGTCGAGATCGCCGGCGATGAACAGATCGGTGATGGATCCGAATCAGAGTATTCGGGTGGATGGAGTAAGGACGAGGAAGAACAATCCGTCTCCGGGTCGGGTTAGGATAGATCCGAACAAAAACAGGTCGGATCAGCAACAATGTCAGAATTACGGTTATACCACTGAGGAGTTGCTAGAGAACCCTCTTGTTTCGCTAGAGTGTTTCATATTTCTCTGAGAAAAAGGGAATATTCCGGGAAATAAATAATATTTCTCATTTTAAAGCTGAAATGTAATTCGTATAGTTACTTACTTACCTTACGTCTGTAATTTTTATTTTTATTTGTTAAAGTCCTTACCTCTGTAATTCATTTGTGTGTTCTATTTTTGTGCTGATCAAAAATTGTAATATGGTTGAATGATGTAATATTCGAGTAAGGAAAATTTCTCAATTATATATGAATATGGTTTTTGTTGTTGGTGTTTAAAAATTTCTCAACCATAATAAAGTAGCCAAAAACAAAAGTCTCTTATAAGAGTTATTAACATAATTTTATTGATAAAATACTAGCTAAGAGACTAAATGGGTCTCACCAATAAACATGCTCTAAGAGAGTTTTTAAACACCAACTATGTATGATGTATACTCATGAATCATGATTATGGTTGTTTTTTAATCAAATGATGAAATTGGGGCCTGGCGAGAAATTATATACATGCCTGGCTCTGAGGCAAGCCTAGTGAGCCTTTTGGCTTGACCTCTAAATCTTTTTTTAAAGAAATATATATTAATTTTGGCCTCAAATTTTAAAAAATCAATTTTTGATCCCAAATTTTTTTCAAATCTTACTAAATTTTTCTTGCCCTGATTTTTCAGGGTTGGCCCTGATTATATATACACCGATTTAACAATTCGATTTAAATAATTATTTTTAAACGGTAACATGAAAATTATTGCTGTACTTTTAGAAATTGAAATTTCTCATACTATTTGGGATCGTTATTTAGGCCACCAGCAGTGAAAGTGGAGTACTTTTTTCTGTCACAAGAAAGTGGAATTCCTTTTATACTCGTTTTGAAGTTTTTAGATTATTTTTTCGAGAGAAAAGTAATCCAAGTCGTTATTCATTCAAAAGTTTGCTTTTCTCTACATATGATCGTTGCTTCTTTTGTGTAACTTTCTCTATATTATGACTCCTTTTTGTCCTGAAAGAGAATTTTACAGTTTTTCTTTTTCAACCAGAGTCTATAATACATTAAAAAGTTTGTATTTATTTCTACTAGGTATTGAACCCGCGCGAAGTCGCGCGGTAACTCATATTATATCATATAATGAAAAAATATTATATGGTAGTTATAATCATAAATAATAATGTAAATAGAACTTGTTGCTCTAAAAATTGTCATACAAGATAATGCAATCGACAATATTTTGTTGTTTTTAAATTAGATGAGGAAAAATGAGATTGACAAAATAGGAGTTGATTTGTACAGTTGTTATTGTAATGTTATCTCCCTCTTTTTATTGTTTCACTCTGTTTTCTCTCCGAAACTCAATAGTGTACCAAAAGATCGTTTTGCTTTTTGTTTTTTTTTACAGACAAAGCTTACTGATTCACATGACATTAGAAAAATGTAGGAAAAATTGGCAAAGTGGACACATTTCAAGTTTTTAATTGGGAAAAGAGGCAACACCAAGTTTATATTGGTCAAAGAGGCAATTCTTGTGGACCCCGCCTGAGAAATAACAAAAGGACCCTTTAGAGAATAAGATTATTTCAACTATGCCATTGAGTGTGGACCCCGCCTAAGAAATAACAAGAGGACCATATTTTAATTCTCTTTTACTTTTGTTTTCATTTATTTTCTAACACTTTTAATATCAATTACTTTTTACTTTATTATTCAACTTTTTCTCTCAAAAATTTATCAATTTTCATTTTTAAGTTTTGAAAACTCTAAATTTTTTAATAACTAAAGATTTTGATTTTGGTTTTGGCTTTTGGATTTTGATTTTTGATTTTGTTGTAGATTTTAGTTTAAAAAAAAATTTAATAGTAACTATTTTAATTTTTGGTTTTCATCTACAATTATTTTTCAAAACGTTTTCATTTTAATCTTATGTGTTTTACATTACTAAATTAATAAATAATATTGTATTAATAAAAAAACATGTTATATAATAAATTTAAGTTGAACAAACTCATTATAGCACATTATTGTAGAGATATTCAGATAAATGGAGATGATTTTTTTTTCTTTTAAATTACTAAAGTAAATTTGTAAAATGTACTAATAAACAAAGATTAGTTTTTATAGAAATAATTATTTCCACAAAATTAGAGAAAAAATCATAAATCATGATAATGTTTTTTATTTTCTCTCATGCTATCACTATTTTTCCCCTTTCATACCATATTTACATTCATATCATAAACTTTAAAAAAAATTATAATTTATATATTTGGGTCTGGGTTTAGTATTTTGGGTGTAGGGTTTAGTATTTATGATTTAGAGTTTAGTATTAAAGGTTTAGAGTTTAGTTTTGATTGTTCAATTAAGTTATAACTCTTAAAAGGATTTATTATTTCAATATTTGAGTTTGAATTTTGGGTTTAGGGTTTAGTATTTAAGGGTTAGGGTTTAGTATTGAAGGTTTAGGGTTTAGTTTTAATGTTTTAGGGTTTAGTTTTGATGGTTTGAATTTAGGGTTTAGGGTTTAGTATTTAGTTTGAATGGTTTGGGTTTAGTTTTGATGGTTTGAATTTATGGTTTAGTATTTCGTTTTTATGGTTTAGGGTTTAGTTTTTATGGTTTGAATTTTGGGTTTCGTATTTAGATGGTTTGCATAAAGTTATAACTCTAAGAAGGGTTTAAAATTTTAATATTTGGGTTTGAATTTAGAATTTAGATTTAGTATATAAGGTTTAGGGTTGATGGTTTCAGGGGAATTTTATGTTTATGGTATGAGATGGAAAAAAACTAGTGACTGACTAAGAGTAATTAAATAACATTTTGGTTGTATATGTGAGAATTGCCCACAACAATAAGACATTTTTATATGTGGAGAAGAGAATTATAAACTTTTGAGAAGTGTCTTGTTTTTTAGTATTTAGGATGTAGGGTTTAGTATTTATGATTTAGGGTTTTTAGTAAAGGTTTAGGGTTAAGTATTTAGGGTTTGGTGTTTAGTTTAGATGATTTAATTAAGTTATAACTTTAAAAAGAGTTTAAAATTTAAATATTTGGGTTTGAGTTTATAATTTAGGGTTGAGGATTTAGTATGTACGGTTTAGGATTTAGTATGTAGGTTTAGGGTTAGTTCTGATGGTCTCAAGTGAGTTTTATGTGTTATGGTATGAGATGGGAAAAAACTAATGATGTTATGAGAGTAATGAAAAAACATTTTGGTGGTATATGAGAGAATTGCCAACAAAAATATGACCGGCGGACTGGTGTACGGTGCTAAAACGCGTACACCACGGACTGGTGTACGGGAACAAAACGCGTACACTACGGATTGGTGTACGGGCCAAAACGTGTACACCACTGCCTTGTGAACATACGAGAACAAAATGCGTACACTGCAGACTGGCGTACGGTGCCAAAACGCGTACACCAACATAACGCGCAGAAAAAAGACTAGTGTACAGGATCAAAGCGCGTACACCACTCCATGGTGTACGGTATCAAAACGCGTACACCAAGTTTACCCCACGGTAGGGTTTTAGGGTTAAGAATTCAAGTTTAGAGTACAGATTACAATTTTAGGGTTTTATGTTCATGGCTGAAAACTAAATTAAATATGATTTTTTTTGTATTACACTAATATGTTAGGGTTTATATATATTATGGTTATTTTTTAAAATTTCAAGTTTAGGGTTTTAGGTTTTAGGGTTAAGAGTTCAATTTTAGAGTTCGAGATTACAATTTTAAGGTTTATGTCATGGTTAGGATTTAGATGGGGTTTAGGGTTTAGCTTTTGGGGTCATTGTTAGATTTTAAGATTTAGAGTTCATATTTTTGGTTTAAAGCTCTTTTACTCAATGAAAAAAATGTAGTTTTGAAAATAAACACCACAGAGGTGTTATTTAAAAAAGTGTAATTTTGAAATTTTCCCATTTAGAATTCTTAAAATCCTATTTAGGGTTTAGGGTTTAGGATATAATTGTGAGGTATTAGGGTTTAAGTTCTTTGAATTAACTTGGTAACAAAGTCTAAGATTTAAGAAAATATGTGAACTGAAATGTAAGAACATCATAACAGTTTTTAATAGTTTTTTTTCTCTAAATATACCTAAAACTAAAATAAATGTTATTCATTTTTTTTTAATACACTAGCATGTTAGGGTTTAGATATTATCGTTAAATTTTTAAAAATCAAGTTTATGGTTTTAGGATTAAAATTCAAGTTTAAAATTCGAGAGGTGTAATTTTGAAAATTTTCCATTTAGAATTCTTAAAATCCTATTTAGGGTTTAGGGTTTAGGATATAATTGTGAGGTATTAGGGTTTAAGTTCTTTGAATTAACTTGGTAACAAAGTCTAAGATTTAAGAAAATATGTGAACTGAAATGTAAGAACATCATAACAGTTTTTAATAGTTTCTTTTCTCTAAATATACCTAAAACTAAAATAAATGTTATTCATTTTTTTTAATACACTAGCATGTTAGGGTTTAGATATTATCGTTAAATTTTTAAAAATCAAGTTTATGGTTTTAGGATTAAGAATTCGAGTTTAAAATTCGAGATGATAATTTAGGGTTTATGTTGATAGTTTAAGATCTATGTATATTATTTATGTTTATAACAAAATAAATGAAAATGTTCAATTTTTTTTTTAATATGTATATCGTAATATGATACGCATGTTTTAATTAGATATATGAATCAAAATTTTTTTTTAAAAAGAAGTAAATTTACTAAAAGTAAGAAAGAGAATATTATTATTTACATTGTTTGTTTGATTTTGTTTCTTATTATATCACAAATGACATATTTTCCATATTATTATGTTTCTATTATGTGAACCACAAATTTTGATTACATAGCAAAAATAATTTTCTTTATATCTACTTTTTCAACACTTTCTCTCTTCAACGAAAATAAAGTTTAGAAAAGTGGACTCATTCTCTCTCCTTTCAACTCTCTATCTCTCTCATAGACACAAGGTTAGTTTTGTATTTAAAAATTTTTCTCTCTCCAATTTGCCTCTTTTCCCAATATCAAACATGGTGTTGCCTCTTTTCACAATAAAAACTTAAAAACTGCCTACTTTCAAAATTAACCCAAAAATGTACACACTATGAAATCACATTTTTTCGAAAAAAAAATCGTCACTGGTCCTTTTCTTGAAGATAATAATTACCCCAATCTTTTTTCCAAAGTGGGATCTAATAAGGGTATGTTTCAATCACAATTGTCCGACATACTCAGTTTTCTTTTCCACTTAGTGTAAATTCAAATGCTAACGTAAGAACTATATAAATGGAGGGTTTGCAAACGTGATAAATTGATGATCTTTGAATCGATCCCACTTGCTTGGACATGCATTGCTATATCCTTTTTTTGTTCTTTCAATATGATGAAGTAGTTTTCCAATTTTTTAAGTAGAATACATATGAATTGATTCTCTGTTTTTCTTTCGTATACTATTCTTGTGTTTAGACATGTTCTTTGTTTCAATCTGTTTGATCTTGTTGCTAAAGCAAAAATAGAGTTGAACCAGGGTAATTAATTTCCATAGATAATAATACCAACATAAGTTTCTTGATCACCTTTGGATGTCAAAGATGAACGGGAATAAATGTATGATCAAGATCTCTAACCATACTTCCAAGATCTTCCTTATCATGTTAATATTGCATAACACAAATTACCCATTTCTTAAAAAGCGCAATGGAAACAGTGATCAACAACTTATCGCCAATTCAAACCATTCTCAAACAACATCTTCTCGGTTATGAATCTACTAACAACATCGTTATAGTAACTTTAATTACTGTTTTCTCCTTAATTACCAATTTATAACCGCACCATAATACTTCCAGAATACTCCATGCTAAATTTAGAGAAAAAAAAACACACTCGTTAATTACATATCATCCAAAGGTTGTGATGCTGCATGTCATCACACCACTTCATTATATATGAACGTAATGTATATATGTATATACATATTTATATAATATTATTAAGGTAAGGGAATAGGGTTATAAATACTTCCAATTCGTTATAATGCTTTTCATCGTACCGATACATCATGGTGTCACATTTTATAATTCTTAATTTAATACTGTATGAACTTGATCCTTCAATTAAATCGATATACAAATTTATGGTAAACATTAAATATTAGTATTTAAATTAGTTTGTTTAGTTTAAGTATTGCAAGGGTTTTGGATGCAGGAAGAAATGTCATGGCAAAGTCGTGTTGGGATTGGAGCGTCCATGACAACTTACTTTTTCAAGTTAATTTTTATATGCATGTTGATTTATATAAAGCATTAGAATTAGCACTTACCGAATAGAAGCACAAAGAAAAGGAAATATGAACTTGTTACTATCAACCAACGTAACTGCAAACAAACAATTTAGCATAAACTTGTTTAATTATTAGCAAAAACAATTTAGTAGATTCGTCGGATTCAGACAAGGAGTCAGACGAGACGGATTTTATGACACCTTCCGGGAAGAGAATCCTTCGAGATAGACCGGTTAAACCTTCAGTAAAATGAATTGGCAAATTACGGCTCGTGGACATGGGAACCGTGGTCGCGGAGGACGAGGCTGAGTCTCATTTTCTTTAGCTTCAAGTATATCGAAGCGGAAGATTCGATATTATCTAGTTCATCTTTTGGACTTTAAACTTTATATCTACTTGTAACCGTTTTCGGAACTGCATGACTCAAATCATGGCTAAATAAAATGTTATCTTTAAAATAATAAAAAAAAAAATAATAATAAATAAAACAAATTTAAAAAATAAAGAGTGCACTATCATTATTGTGTATCACGGAAAATCTTCTCTGCGCTTTTAAGTTTTTAACACAGCCACCGCGAACAGAATCATAGAAAAAATGGCTTCCAGATTGTTGTGGGCTTCTTCTAGAGTTGCTTCTCATCTCAGGATCTTCGTTTCTCAACGAAGCTTTTCTTCTGGTGAATCTCCATTTCCTTCCTCTACCATCCCTTTTCTCTTTGTTCGATTTCTATTGAGAAATGTTCTGCCTTTCTGATCTGTAACATGTTAAATTTTTTTTTTTTTAATATCTGATCTTAACATAAACGAAATAAAGAGGCTTTAATAACAGTGAATTTATATGATCGATTGGCTTGAAGCCTTTAAAACACAAAACAATTTTGTCATATAAAAAAATAAAGAAAGAAGGATTGTGAGAAACTTTTACTGGTGGTATTGAAGGATCTGAGATACGCAGATTCACATGAATGGGGTGAAGATCGAAGGGAATAAAGCGACGGTTGGTATAACGTATCATTCTCAAGAGCATTTGGGAGATGTAGTCTATGTAGAGTTGCCTGATGTTGGACGTTCTGTGTCACAAGGTAAGAGTTTATGAGTTTTCGAAAGCGTTAATTAAAGCTACGAGTGATATCAATTCACCTTCAAAGTCAATAACGACTTAACCAGTCTCCTGCATTGGTGAGTTTCGTTCCTCGTTCTCATGGCGGTTGTTCAACGTGTTGACCTAAAGATATTGAACATGAATCTCATATTTGAATTTCCTCCACATTGATTCACAAGCCATGATATATGATAGCTTGCTTTAATCTGTATCAAAATTACTTAATTGTGCAAAAGCCATAGCTAAAATGAGTAAACATATGAATGAAGCAACAGCTATATAAAAATGGCATTTAACAAAAGTTAATACAAAACAATGAGAGAAGTAGGGAGAAAAAAATAAGAAAATAATTAGGAAAGGATGGAAAAAAAATGTAACTATTTGATAAAATAATCTCACACATATATAGAAGTGAAAAGGTATTACTAAAAGGTGCAACTTTTCAACAATGTAGCGGTTATAAACGAAAATATGCGACTGAAAGAACACAACTCTTTTTATGAGCGGTTATAGATAAGACGGTTAAAAACGAAAAGTACGACAACAAAAGACATTTATTCAGTTTGCTATTATATATAGATATTTAGTTTCAGTGGTTTCTCCTTACAAGCCTTGACATCAGAGTGACAAAAAGACTTACTGGTTCTATATCTGCTGTGGGATGCTAAGGTAAATTAATCTGCAAACATTTACAAAGAGAAAGATTCAAATTCTACTGTATGCTAAAATACAAGCCAGTTGTCATTTTGAAAAGTCATTCAAACAGACTTTAGTTGACTTGAAATAAGAAAAATCAAAGTCGTTTAGATGGGAAATGAGTGGTGGCCTTTCGTATTGGAGCAAATTGTTATCTCCAATATGCCAACCTAAAATTCTTGTTCAGCTTCTGAACAAGTTTCTCTTCTTCTTATCACCATGGGAAGTTTTCCGTCTTGCCAACTTTCTTGTGATGAATCGGTGAATCGTATCTTTAGATGCTTACGTGGTAAAGGTTATATTCGAAACCTCAATGATAATCTCAAGCGTCTGCAGAGGGAAATGGAAGATCTCAAAGCAACTCAACAAGAGGTGAAGAATAGGCTTGCAAGAGAGGAGGCAGAGCATCGACAAAGGCTTGAATCTGTCAGGGTATGGCTTACACGTGTGGACAGCCTCGTTACTCACGTCAATGATCTGGTTAGTACTAGTCCCAATCAGCTTGAGAAGTTGTGTCTTTGCGGTTTATGTTCGAAAAATGTCTGTTCAAGCTACAAATATGGGAAAAATGTATTCTTGTTGTTGGAAGAGGTTAAGGTTCTCAAATCGGAGGGTAATTTTGAAGTGGTATCTGAGCCGACAACAAGATTTGAAGTGGAGGAGAGGCATACTGAGCCTACGATTGGTCAAGAACAAATGCTAGATACAGCATGGAAACGCCTTATGGAAGATGGAGTGGAATTCATGGGTCTGCACGGTATGGGTGGTGTAGGCAAAACTACACTTTTCAATAAAATCCATAATAGGTTCGCTGAAATGCCTGGTGGGTTTGATGTTGTGATTTGGGTCGTGGTGTCTCAAGGCGTGGAGATTTCAAAGCTTCAAGAGGATATTGCAAAAAAACTGAATCTTTGTGATGAGGGGTGGAACAAACAAAATGAAAGTGATAAGGCTGCAAAGATACACCGAGTTTTAAATGGGAAGAGATTTGTATTGATGCTAGATGATATATGGGAAAAAGTGGATTTAATTACCATCGGAGTTCCATTTCCAACAAGGGAAAATGGATGCAAGGTAGCTTTCACCACTCGTTCTCAGGAAGTATGTGGGCGTATGGGGGATCATGAACCCATGGAAGTCAAGTGTTTGGAGTGGAACGAAGCATGGGAGTTGTTTACAAAAATAATCGGAGACAATACATTAAGAAGAAATCCCAACATTGTCGAGCCAGCACAAAAGGTTGCTAAAAAATGCCATGGTCTGCCACTAGCGCTCAATGTCATTGGTGAGACAATGGCATCTAAAACTATGGTACAAGAATGGGAGCATGCAATTGATGTTTTGACAAGATCCGCTGCAGAGTTTCCTGACATGGAAAATAAAATTCTTCCAATTCTGAAGTACAGCTACGATAGCTTAGCAGATGAACATATCAAGTCATGTTTCTTGTATTGTGCTCTATTTGCGGAAGACGATGAGATAGATAAAGAAAGGTTGATAAACTACTGGATATGCGAAGGTTTCATTGGGGAACACCAAGTTGTAAAAAGAGCAATGAATAAGGGTTATGTGATACTCGGTACTCTTATCCGTGCAAATTTACTGTCAGAGGGTGGTATAGACAGTGCTGTGAAAATGCATGATGTTGTTCGCGAACTGGCTCTATGGATTGCATCCTCTTTTGGGAAAGAGAAAGAGACTTATGTTGTGAAAGCAAGAGTTGGATTATGTGAAACACCACAAGTCAAGGATTGGGGAGCTGTGAGAAGGATGTCATTAATGGACAATAATATTGAAAAGATTACACGCGGTTCCAAGTGTACTGAACTTACAACTCTACTCCTCCAGTCTAATAATTTGAAGAACCTCTCAGGTGAATTCATCCAGTCTATGCAAAAGCTAGTGGTTTTGGATCTATCATTTAATCGCAACTTCAATAAGCTACCAGAGGAAATATCAAAACTGGTATCCTTGCAGTATCTTGACTTGTCGCATTCAAGTATAGGTCGAATGCCTGTTGGTTTCCTGGAGTTGAAAAAGCTAATTCATCTGGATTTGACTTTTGCAAGGGAACTTTGTAGTGTGGGTAGGATATCAAAGTTGTCGAGTTTAAGAATTTTGAAACTACTAATGTCTAAAGCTTGTGGAGATGTTATTTTGTTGGAGGAGCTGCAGCTCTTGGAGCACCTACAAGTTCTAACCATAACAATATCTACAAAGTCTGGTTTGGAGCATATATTGGGTGATCCAAGATTGGCAAACTGCATTTATTCTCTTAATATATCCGGTTTTGAATATGGATTCAATATATTATCGCTGATGAGTATGGGGAATCTCAGTGAGCTCTGGGTGGAAAAAAGTCATGTCACGGAGATTGATACAAATCTGAAGTACAGAGAAAGCCCATGCTTTGCCAACCTCTCCATGGTGTGTGTAATGCACTGCAACAACAATAAAGATCTGACGTGGCTACTGTTTGCTCCAAACCTTGTCACGCTGTACATTTTATATTCAGAAGAAGTGGAAGAAATTATAAACAAAGAGAAAACAACCAATCTTACAGGTATTATTACACCATTTCAAAAACTAGAAAGTTTAAGGTTGTGTGATCTGCCTAAGCTGGAGAGTATCTACTGGAGTCCTCTTTCCTTTCCATTATTGGGGTATATAGCCGCAGATTACTGTCCTAAGCTAAGAAAGCTTCCCTTGATAGCTACAAGTGGCAAACAAGTTGGCGAGTTTAAGATAACAATGCATCCTCAAGAACAGATTACTAACCTTGAATGGGAGGACGAAGATACCAAAAATCGTTTCTTGCCTTTGTTCAGTAAGGTAATCATTCCTCTTACTGTCTATTGGTTGAATTTTTCTTTAGTTCTCATTAAGTTTTGTTTAGGCTTGAGGTATACCCAACAAACAAAAATTGGATCACATAACAGAAACTTATTGGGATAATCAGCCATGTCTTTGGTGGATTCTTATGAGGTGTCAGTATTGAAATATAGATAAGGGAGGAGAAAAGTGAAGATTCATATTAGTTCAGCTTCTTAAGATATTTACAGAAGATAGGTTACGCTTTCTGTATGATGTGCTTCTCAATTTCATTGCGTTCCACAATTGTCACTAACTTTGTTTCGTTTTTTCTTTTTCTTTTTTCAGGGTTAAAATACGGTTTAAACATCCTCTACTCTAAATTGGGATTCATCACTGTCCAAAATCAGAAACTATGCTTTTTCTTTCTGTTGCTTTCTTTCTCTCTTCTTGTAGTGTGCTCTGTGTTTTTAATTTGGATTGTTTTGTTGCTTTTTCCTTTGAATTCTTCTCATCTTTCTGCAGTGTGTTGTATTCATCACTTGGATTATATTTTTAAGTTTCTTATTTTATTACTTAAAATTGATTGCAGCACTGTTCTAGTTAAAAGGAGATCATCAAAACATGTGATCAGTAATTAATTGCTCTGAGCTTTCCATTATATCACCTAGTTTCCAAAATAGAAAACAGTGTACAAGATGCCTACGAAGTAGGAACCATGTCAATGGTGTTCTGATTAAGAAACTTTTTTTTTTTTTTTTTTGCCAAACCTGTTAATTGAAGTACCAGAATGTGACTGTTACAAACAACTTTTGATCCTTTTAAAATATCAAAATATGAGAAAGTGTCTTATAAAATGATAGGCGTGTAGCAACTAGCAAGCGGGAAGGTTTATCCATGTCCGATCTTCTTGTCGACCTGGATGATCTCATTGTTACATGATCAAGGGTATATCCTGTTTTTGATCTTAGTACTTCTATCAAGAAGATCCTATTCCCATGTAACTTTGACACCATTGCCCATTAGATGCAAAATGGTATAGGTGTCATTGTCATACAATTTTTTTTTTGTGATTATATGTTCAACACATACTCTTGGGAATATCGTTGGTTTTGCCATATGGTTTTGGTGATTTCAAATACTGATTTGCTCTCTTCTGAAACTTGGAACTTGCTCTCTATTCTTTATATGACCTGTTTATCCACAATAGAAGGAATTCCGAGACTGAGATTTTGAGATTTTGTTGTTAACTAAACTAGTTTGGTTTACTTTTTTTAATGGTTGAGTTTAGGGGTGTCAAACTGGTTAATCCAACCCATCACCCATTAGGATAAACTATTAATGGATCATGGATCAAATGGGTTGGGTTGATCCATTATCCATTTAATTACATGGATAAATTGGGTCAATAGATAACCCATAACCAAATATTGATTATGTTTTTTCGTGAAATAACTTTTTCTTTGCGCGGGTTTTCGCCAAAACCGTGTAGTCACATTTTTCCGTAAAGAACCGTGTAATTACGTTTTCTTATCAAAACCGTGTAATCACATTTTTTTCGTCAAAATCTTAAAATCGTGTTTTTCGTCAAAACCTTAAAAATAACATTTTTCCATCAATATCTGAAAATCACGTTTTCCCGCCAAAATCTGAAAATCACGTTTTCCCGCCAAAATTTGGAAATCACGTTTTTCCGCCAAAATCTCGAAATCACGTTTCCCGCCAAAATCTTAAAATCATGTTTTTCCTTCAAAATCTAAAAATTATGTTTTTGTCAAAATTTCAAAATCACGTTTTTCTGTCAAAATCTCAAAATCATATTTTTCCGTCAAAATCTGAAAATCACGTTTTCCGGCCAAAATATGAAAATCATGTTTTCCCGTCAAAATCTCGAAATCACGTTTTCCCGCCAAAATCTCAAAATCATGTTTTCCGTCAAAATCTCGAAATCACGTTTCTCCGTCAAAATCTCAAAATCACTTTTTCGTCAAAATTTTAAAATCATGTTTTTTACGTCAAAATCTCGAAATCACATTATCCCGCCAAAATCTGAAAATCACGTTTTTACGCCAAAATCTCAAAATTATGTTTTCTTGCCAAAACCTCAAAATGACGTCTTCTCAATCAATTGATTTCTGATTTTGGTAAAATGACAAATTTTAATTGGCTAACCATCTCAATCCATTAAACCATTATAATTTTAACGATTTCAACCCAATTGACCCATGAATCCATTTAGGGGGCTTATTGAATTGATGATTTGAGAGGATTTGTTTTTTTTTTCAAATCCCCTCTTATTGGATCTAGTATTTATAAAAATCATTCCAAATTCTAGGTTATTGGATTGATCATTTATACAAATCCCTTAAAATCCCATCTTATTGGAAAATTGGGATTTCATCATGAAAATCTACTAGAAAACTGTTTTGAGTGATTTGTAAAATATTTTTAGTTAAAAATAAACAGATTCAAATACCACCTAATGAGATGAGATTTGATTAATTGAAAAATTGAACTACCATTTCCTTTTTCTTATCACACGACTAACACCAGATTTTTATGATCTTGATAATGATAAAAATATTTTCTTGATTTCACAAGAACTGTTTGAGATTATCTTCTTCTTAGTTAATTGAATATAAATAGATTATGTACCAGTCTCCAAACGCCACATTTTACCAGAAAATTAGCATTAGGGTTTTTGAGAAAAAAAGGTAAAAGTTCTTGTATTTATCATTTGTGTATATTTTTTTACATAGTAATGAATGTTTTGTGATCAAACTTGTTTTTGATATTGACGTTGTGTTTCACGATTAAAAAGCACTATGTACTTGAAATAAAGAATGGTTTCACTTTCATGGCTTAGAGAAAAAAAATAAGATGTTGTAATTAAAACAAATAATGTGTAATTATTTAAATAAAAAACACTTTTCTTTTGTAAATCTCTTGAAATCCTATCTAATCACCTTAGGATTTATACTAGTGGATTTACAAAATCTAGTCAAATCTCATAAATTCTTTGAAATTCCTATAAATCATTTAAAATCAATATCCCTTCAAATCATCAATTCAATAAGCCCCACTTAGTCTAATGGATTGGATGGGTTGGATAATCCATCAATTTTGACCCATTTTGACACCCTAGTTGAGTTGTAGTAGGATCTATCTTTTCTTGGTGATCAGTTTGTTGTTCAGCGGAGATTAGCGGTCATTTGTATTTGTGTTTAGATTTAATGAAAAGGTTTTATTTATATAAAAAAAAAACTTTGATTTGAGTTTTTGCTTTATGAACAGTACATAGAGGCTGTTCTGAATTTTCATTTTCATAATCTGAAGTGAATGATTTTCGGTGGAAATTTTAAATTACTAAAAACAATATTGATCAAAATAATTCATAGTGGGTGATATAAAAACATTGAGCTTGATTTTTTTTAAACAGTTGCATCTACAGTGATTATAATTATCCAAAGTGGGCGATTAGTCATTGACCTTTGTATTATAAGACGTATAGTTGCATCGAAAGTGATTACTATAATACAAAGCTGGCGATCAGTCTTTGTTCTTTGTAATTTTAAAACATAGTTGCATCAAGTACACGACTTTTGGAACCGTGGGAAGAACTGGAATCTAAAAAATCTTCTCTTTCTTCCTCAATAGCAAAATGCATTTCACGTAAAAAGATTTCTTCAGCTTCAGTTTAGCTTCATCATTGCTTGGTGAAACTATTCTCTCTTTCTATAACCATGGGGAATTGTGTGGCTTTAAATTTTTCTTGTGATCAAACAGTAAATCATATCTTTAGATGCTTATGTGGTAAAGGTCATATTGGAAACCTCAAGGAGAATCTCAGGGCTTTGCAGAGGGAAATGGAAGATCTCAGATCAATTCAGCATCGAGTGCAGAACAAGGTTGCAAGAGAGGAGGCGCAACATCGACAAAGGCTTGAATCTGTCAAGGTATGGCTTACACGTGTTGAGATCATTGATGCACGGTTCACTAATCTGCTTAGTACTAGTCCCATCCAGCTTCGCAACTTGTGTCTCTGCGGTTTATGTTCAAAGAATCCATGTTCTAGCAACAAATATGGGAAAAATGTATTATTGTTGTTGAAAGAGGTTAAGATTCTCAAACTGGAGGGTATTTTTGATGAGGTTTCTGAGTTTACTCCCAGATCTAAAGTGGAGGAGAGGCCTACTCGGCCTACGTTTGGTCAGGATGAAATACTCGAAAGGGCATGGAAACGCCTTATGGAAGATGGAGTTGGAATCATGGGTCTGCACGGTATGGGTGGTGTAGGCAAAACCACCCTTTTCAAGAAAATCCACAATAAATTCTCTGAAACAGCTGATAGTTTTGACGTTGTGATGTGGGTTGTGGTGTCTAATGGCGTAACGATTTCAAAGCTTCAAGAAGATATTGCAAAAAACCTAAATCAGAGCGACGATTGGGTGAAAAAAAATGAAAGTGACAAGGCCACAATTATACACAGATTTTTGAAGGGGAAGAAATTTGTTTTGTTGCTAGATGATATATGGGAGAAACTGGATCTCGAAGCCATTGGAGTTCCTGAACCAACCAAAGAAAATGGATGCAAAGTAGCTTTCACCACTCGTTCTCAGGAAGTATGCAGCCGCATGGGGGATCATGAACCGATACAAGTCAAGTGTTTGGAGTGGAGTGAAGCATGGGAGTTGTTTAGAAACAAAGTCGGAGACATTACATTTAGAAGAAATCCCGACATTGTCGAGTTAGCAAAGAAGGTAGCTGCAAAATGTCGTGGTCTGCCACTGGCGCTCAATGTCATTGGTGAGACAATGGCATCTAAAACTATGGTCGAAGAATGGGAGGATGCAATTGATGTTTTGTCTAGATCCGCTGCAGAGTTTCCAGACATGGAAAATAAAATTCTTCCAATTCTGAAATACAGCTACGATAGCTTGGTACATGAACATGTCAAGTCGTGTTTCTTGTATTGTGCTCTATTTCCGGAAGACGATGATATAGATAAAGAAAGGTTGATAAACTACTGGATATGCGAAGGTTTCATTGGGGAGCACCAGGTTTTAAAAAGAGCAATGAATAAGGGTTATGTGATACTCGGTACTCTTATCCGTGCAAATTTATTGACAGAGGAAGATCCAAATAAGGGTTATGTTAAAATGCATGACGTTGTTCGCGAAATGGCTCTATGGATTGCATCTTCTGGGGAACAAAAAGGCAATTGGGTGGTGCAAACAAGAGCCGGATTATGTGAAATACCAAAAGTCGAAGATTGGGGAGCTGTGAGAAGGATGTCATTAATGTCTAATCATATTGAAGAGATAACATGCGGTTATGGTTGTTCTGAGCTCAAAACTCTGTTCCTCCAGAATAATACATTGAAGGTTCTCTCAGGTGAATTCATTCGCTCAATGCAAAAGCTAGTTGTTTTGGATCTATCTATGAATCGCAACTTCAATGAACTTCCAGAGCAGATATCAGAGCTGACCTCATTGCAGTATCTTGACATGTCGTATACAAGCATAGAGAAACTGCCTATTGGTTTTCAAGAGCTGAAAAAGCTAACTCATCTGGATTTGACTTTTGCAAGGGAACTTTGTAGTGTGGGTAGGATATCAAAGTTGTCGAGTTTAAGAATTTTGAAACTACTAATGTCTAAAGCTTGTGGAGATGTTATTTTGTTGGAGGAGATGCAGCTCTTGGAGTATCTACAAGTTATAACCATGACAATATCTACGGATTTGGGTTTGGAGAAAATATTAGCCGATCAAAGGTTGGCAACCTGCATCAACGGTCTGGAGATTCTTAGGTTTGAAGGAAAGCCATTTGAAATATCATTGCTGTTGAGTATGGAGAATCTTCGTGAGCTTAGAGTGGACAGTATTCATGTCTCAGAGATTAATACAAATCTGAAGTTCAGAGAAAGTCCATGCTTTACCAATCTCAAAAGTGTGGCCGTAAGTAACTGCAACAGCATTAAGGATCTGACGTGGCTATTGCTTTTTCCAAATCTTGGCATGCTAATCATTGAAAATTCTGAAGAAGTGGAAGAAATTATAAACAAAGAGAAAGCAACCAATCTTGCAGGTATTACACCATTTCAGAAACTAAAGATCTTAAGGATGAGGAATCTGCCTAAGCTGGAGAGTATCTACTGGTGTCCTCTTCCCTTTCCATTATTAAAGTTCATACACGCAATCCAGTGTCCAAAGCTGAGAAAGCTTCCCTTCGATGCTACAAGTGCCCCACGACTTGGCGAAATTTCTATAACAATGCGTCCAGGTGAACAGATAACTGACCTTGAATGGGAGGACGAAGATACCAAAAATCGTTTCTTGCCTTCATTCCGTCGGGTAATCATTTCTGTTCTTCTCTTCCGCTTTAATTATTAGTCTTTATCATTGAGTTTCTTTCATGTTAGCTCTAGGTTTTGCATGCCGTATGCACCCTTAGACTGATATGATCCATTTGCATCATGATATCAACAAACACAAATTGGTTCACATAATTGAAAATTATGCATGTGTTTGGTGGATTTTTATGAGGTTATATCGAGTTTCAAAAAGTAAAGACATGCGTGTATTCTTTTCAAATCACAAACAAATTTTGTTTTTCTCTTCTTTCCCTTTGATATTTGTTCAGCTTCTTAAAATATTATTTGCAGATAGGTTATGCTTTCAGGTGAAACGGATTTTTCAGAATATGTTGTGCCCATCTTAGCTTCAAAGCGTTTCAAAAGTTTAACTAACTTTGTTTCTTTTTGTTTCTTTCTTGGTGGCTTTAGGTCTGAACATCTGTCACTCAAGATTGGGATTCTTCACTGTCAAAAATTGGAATCCACACTTCTTCTTCTGTTACTTTTCCTTTCTACATGTATTGTGTTTTGTTGTTCGTTTGGATTGTATTATTGCTTTTCCTTTTGTATTCTTATCTATCTGCAGTGTGCTGTGTTGTCACTTGGATTATGTTTCTCATTTTTCTATTGTACTACTTAAACAGAGAGCATTATTTTCATTCTACGTTTATGGTTTTAGGTCAAAGGGCATTTACTGCCCTCTCTCTTTACTATGGATTTTGATATTGGATTTTTATTCCTCTCTGTCCAAAATCAAATCGGTGCTTCTATTTCTTGAATTTTCTCTTTCATATTGCCGTGTTGTTAGGTGATGATCAAGATGAAAAGTTTTGATTTTGCTAATTCACCTTTTTTAAACCCACACTCTTTTGCTGATTTGATTTTCTATTTGCATTCTTCTCTTTCTTCAGTGTGTTACGTTGTGTTCACTTTGTTTTGTTTTTTGTTCATATTGTATTACGTACCGAAGATGTATTATATTACATCATTTTCAGTCTACAAATATTTACATAGTCATCAGTTTTATCCTTTTAGGTAAAAGGGGATCTTTCAAAATCATCTTCCACGCTTCGATCAACATCTTGTACTTAGATTCTCTAATGTGAATTTACCTAAACCAAATCTACGGATACTAAGAGTGTGATCCAATTTCTAAACTTCACAGAGAAAGACATGAAAAGAGTTTTTAATAAAAAGAGTTTCCACATTTCTTTCCTCTACAATGAATGGGTCGACCACATTGAGCATCATTAAAACGTGTACCCGAAAACTTATTCAGAAGCTCGATTTGCTCAATATATGATCTTACAAAAATATTGAAGCACCATAGAAACTGTCCGACCTAGAAAAACATGATATTGTAGAGGTTTGAGACTTCCTTAATCAGTAAACGTCATCGCTTCGTATCTTTTTTTTTTCTTTTTTTTTTTTTTTTTTTTTTTTTTTTTCAAAACATCGCTTCGTATCTAATCAATTAAAATATTAAACCAAAGTTCACATTTGAAACTTCAAATTATGTACAAAGATTTGTGTCGTGTGTGTATATAAGACGTGTGTTGGCTGCTCTCGGTCGTGGATTATTGCTTTCTACATATTTTAGACTAATAAATTCAAAATAACGTGTTAAACGTTGTTAAAAAAAAGGTTTAATTTTCTTCCATTCTCAAAACGATAACTCTCTATAATCTTATTTTTGTGGTAAATCTTGTTGAAAATCTTGATTCTCTTATCTGAATCGTTGAAGGCGTTTTTATGTTCTTACCGACTATATAATATACGTATCTTACCAAACAAATAAAGCATAATTACCTATTTATTTTAAAAAAAAAATAATAATTACCTTATTTATTCTAAGGTTGGCAACATCTTCAGGTAACAAACAAAACCCAGAGAAGATGACGTGTTTCCTTACCTATCCAATAATATTATGAACAACATAAAACTCAAAATAGTTTAATGATGATGGAGTTGGAGAAAAAACTGTAACCAATAGAGTCAATTGAAGGCAAAGGGTGCTTTTCGTAACTTCGGTTTCATTTGTAATGCCCGGACAAAAGGGTGTTTTCGTCAGAATTGGGAAGAACGAACGACGAAGAAACTAGGTCCACTGTCCAAGAAAAATGCTTACAAAATTTTAAAATTAAATAAACAAATTAAAACGACCGACCGACCGATAAATAAATAAAATAAAAATACGTAAAAATATGAAATTCTTGAGAAAAGAAAACTTCTTCTTCGCTTTACCATTTTCTTCTTTCTCCTCTGTTTCTTTCTTCTTCTGCTTCCGTGTCACTATTTGAATCTGATTTTCTCGTTTCAGATTTTCCTTCCCCGGAATCTGATTCCTTCTCACGTTTCAGATTTGAAATCCCAACGGGAAGCAACCTCATCTCCTCTCCATGTGTATGTCATTTTGATTTTTGAATCTCTTCAAAAATCCCGAGCTCTGTCGTTTAGTGACAATTCGGATTTTCGCAGCTCCGATTCACCGTTTTTTTTTCTCTCGATCGATTACGGAAGCTACGGATTCGATTTCGGGATTCAGATTTTTCATTTATTTCACACGGATTTGCTGGTGAAATCGAGTAGATAATGGCGAAGCGTGGATATAAGCTACGTATCCTTCTAATTTTTCTGGCGATTTTGTTTGATTCTTAAGCTGAATGATTGAAGAAACTCTGGATTTTCAGCTCATTCCTGAGAAATTTTGGGCGTTTTTTTATCACTGAGTCGTTAGGGTTTTATCTAATAAATTCCCCAGAACATCATTTAGTTGGTCAAATGGTATTAATGAGCTTCAATTTATATTATCATTTCAAGATTTTAGGAGAGATTAATTGTAGCTCAAATGTTTTGCTATGTGAAAATACTATGAAATGCTGTTCATTTATTTGTTCATCTGTTTGTTTAAAACTTGACTTGATTTGGAAACTCAGAGGAGTTCTTGGCACATTCTTCAAATGTAAATTGTCTAAGTATTGGAAAGAAGACATCACGGCTTCTTATAACTGGCAGTGATGATTACAAGGTCAATCTTTGGGCCATCGGCAAGCCTACTTCTTTAATGGTGTGTGTTTTCACTTTTTCTCTGTACTCTAAAATATGTGCTTAGTTTTCTTGGATAGACGAATGATGGTATGTTGTTTGCAGAGTTTATGTGGACATACTAGTGCAGTGGATTCAGTAGCTTTTGACTCGGCTGAAGTTTTGGTACTTGCTGGAGCTTCTTCGGGTGTGATAAAGCTGTGGGATTTAGAAGAAGCAAAGAGTTAGTTGCTTGATTTTCTGCTCTCCTTTTAGTATATTTTGTTGCTGAGTAATGTAGATTATGCCTATAACTGTCTTTAGTTAGAATGATGAGGTCTAACATTTTCACTCTTGCTCTTGAAGTGTAGTGGTTCGAGCTTTTACTGGACATAGATCCAATTGTTCTGCTGTTGAGTTTCATCCGTTTGGTGAGTTTTTGGCATCGGGATCAAGTGACACGAATCTAAAGATTTGGGACATCAGGAAGAAGGGATGCATACAGACGTACAAGGGTCATACTCGTGGAATCGAGACTATCAGATTTACTCCTGATGGTCGTTGGGTAGTGACTGGAGGACTTGACAATGTTGTAAAGGTAAAAAACTGCATTATCAATATAAATGGTTCATGTGCGTTGTCTTTTTGTCTTTTTCCAAACCTATGTTATTTTAACAATATTGATCATATACATTAGGTATGGGATTTGACTGCTGGAAAGCTTATACATGATTTTAAGTTTCATGAAGGGCCTATTCGTTCACTAGACTTCCACCCACTCGAGTTTCTCCTAGCCACAGGTAAGTCTGTGATTCTTTACTTTTCAATTGGTAGTTTTACCATTGATCCCTCTCTGTTCATAAGTTTTATATTGAGGTCTTGTGATTTCATACACTTCCTATTCATTATTCAGGTTCTGCTGACAGGACCGTAAAGTTCTGGGATTTGGAAACGTTTGAATTGATTGGATCTACCCGACCAGAGGTACTAACCTGTTATGAGACTTTTAACTGTTACTAGATACTGTTTTCCAAGAGAATCTATAAAAATGTGGTAATACCTTTATTACCTCTAGGCAAGGGAAATCTCACATTAGATATATCGGAGATTTCCTTATTTTGGGTCTCACTCTTGAGAGCGTGTTAGAGAAATGCCCTGTGATAGTTTAGTCCGTCTGAAAAAGATTCAAAGAAGGAAAGAAATGTAACTGGAGTCTACACAGTAGCTTGTTATGAAATAATGACTTTGTATTCTTTTCTTGGAACTTTTATTTACAATCTTTTTCTTGGCATGTGATTTTCCTTGTCTCACAGGCTAGTGGAGTTCGTTCAATCAAATTTCATCCGGATGGACGAGCCCTTTTTTGTGGTTTAGATGAGGGCTTAAAGGTTTTGATTCGTCTCTTTTGATGAGCTATACCATATTTAGAGATATCCAGAGTCAATACATTAATATCATAAGCTGATGCTCATAATTCAGGTTTATTCATGGGAACCAGTGGTCTGCCATGATAGTGTTGATATGGGATGGTCAACGCTTGGTGACTTATGCATCAGCGAAGGGAAGCTCATGGGTTGTTCATACTACCAAAATTCCGTAGGGATTTGGGTCTCAGATATATCAGTATGTCTGTCAACTATTGTGATTCTCCATTACTTTTCGAAAGTTGTGTGAAGCTGATATTTAAAGTTTCGAAAACTCATGCTCTTTTATCCTTAATTTTAAGCAGCAAGTTGAACCATATGGCGTTGCATCTGTGGATAAAAAGGAATGCGTGGAGAAAATACTCAGTGTTCTCGACGATCAGTCTTCCGAGAGAACAAGGAGTGGCCCGAGGGGCAGCTCATCTCCAGAATATGAGACAAAAGAGATCAAAAACATATACATCGACTGTGAGTAAATGTTAACTTTGTTTTGATGTTCACGGCTTCATCTTTCTACCTTGAATTTATTAAAGGTCGTCCTTTCAAGTGGGGTATGGCTAGGTTTATGGCTAGGTTTCATTTCGCAGAATTAATCGTATTCTGATTTAGGATTTTCTGTACGCCAGCTTACTACTTGATGTCATGCTACCTTTCAGATCAACACTAATATGTTTGATTTAGATAGAATATTAAGTTATTAACGAAGGTCTTTGGCTTGTTCTAGTGATTAGAAAACTAGCTTACGCTTAGCCCAGCTCTAGTCATATATTTTCCGTACATGCTGTGTTTATTCTTAATTATGTCGCTATTGAAACTGAATGAGTTTGAAATGGTGGTCTACCTTTTTTCCGAATAAAGTTAATTGCCATATTTGTAACCATCGTGAGCTGGATTGTGACTTTCAATGCTTAAAGTCGTTGGTGTGCTGCATCTGGATGATTATATTTGGTCTAATATACTCTCTTTTCTTCAAAGCAACAGGTGGAAATTCAGCTGTTGCACATAAGACAGGATCACTAAGTACTCCTAAAGTCAATGCAACATCTACCGGACAAGCAGGGGATAAGTCTTTAATAGTGCATAGTGATATTGGGAAAGACTCTTCTGATTCCGCAAGGGAATCTATCACTTTCTCAAAAACGAAGCCGGGCATGCTGCTGAGACCAGCTCATGTGAGAAAAACGCCAACAAAGGTTGGTGAAACAAAGCAGTCAGTGGCTGTTCAATCTGGGACACTGAAACAAAGCGGACCGGATAGTGAGAAAGAGCTGGATGCTAAGACTGCATTTGACTCAGGACAAAGCGGTAGAAAACTATTTGATGCCAATGATTCTATCATCAAGAGTATAACCAACAAGTTTGAAAAAGCTTCATTTCTAGAATCACCAACTGATGAAGCGAAATGTAAGCTCTCCCACTTCACACTAAAAGTTTCATCAGATTTGAGCCTTCATTATGTAAATATAATCATATTTTATTATCGTAAAATTTTGTCTCAGGTATGCCGCTGAAACCACCTCGTGTACAGAGATCACCAATTACTAAGCACAATGAGGCAGGATGGGCGGTTTCTGTTGATTCTGGAACTTTAGACAGTAAAAAGAGTGGTTTAGAGGACTCAAGAGACATCGACTTGCCGAAAGGGCATGTGGATGAGGATGACAGAGGTAGTAACCCGAGTGAGGAGGATTTCGATAACAAGATCATTTCAAGCAAGCCAGAAAGAGTTTTGTCATCAAAGAAAGCTGGTGACGAACCAAAAAGTAAGTACTTAATTCGAAATCGGATTTGACTAATTTATGGTCTTCTCCGCTTATGAAGTAAATGCCAAAACTTATGCAACTCTTGTGTGTTGGGCGTCCACTTGTCTTTGCAAACTGTTAAATATGAGTGAGTTGCTGAATAAATGACAGCATACAACACGATGAATCAATCTAGAAGAGCTACTTTATGGTTTAAAGTTACTAGATTATGTAATCTTGGAAAAGAATTAACTAAGTCCGCAGAGAAGTCATAGCATTAGCTTCTAGGTTGCTACATCTAAATTTTTGTTACTTTTAGGACCAAATTGCTTCACTGTTTTCTTTGTCGTCTGGATCAGTTTGCAAGTGATTAATATAAATATTCTGCTGTGTAGGGGACCTAGGGGTTGAATCCCCAGGAGGTAGCAAAGATTCAGACTCCGTGAAGGTTGTTAGAGGAGGTTAGCCATTCAAACTTTGCTCTCTTTGTTTTTCTTTTTCTAGCATATAAGTCATCTAGTTATTGATTCTTTAAGAAATGCATAAGTTTCTTCACTGTTTGCAGTAAAAGTTGTTTCGGGGAGGACACGGTCATTGGTTGAAAAGTTTGAGAGAGGAGAAAAAATTACTCCATCTGAAGATAAAGCAGCCAGTGAAACAATAGTTCAGAGCACTAATGCAGTTGAGGAAGAGCCCCAGACACCATCGTTACCAGCAGTTAGCACAACGCCTACCCAGGCAATGCCAGTTAAACCTGATCAGGCAACTAACTCGACGACAGTTGAAGCTCCTGTGGTGTCAACACGACGACCTAAACCTGATCAGGCAACTAACTTGACGGCAGTTGAAGCTCCTGTGGTATCAACACGACGACCTAGAAGTATTCCAGCCAGAGTAATGCCAGTGGTACTCGGTCGGGACGCTAACATGACAACTGATGCGCCACCTGTGACAGCAACACGACCTGGTAGCATTTCAGCTACTGATTTGACATCTGATGAGTCTGGTGTAACATCAACACGGAAAACTAGGTCTTCTCCAGCCCCCGATTTGCCTCTGATACTTAATCAGACGACAAAAATGAAATCTGATGAGCCTCCTGCAACATCAACACAACCTGATAAGACTTCGGCTACTAATTCGACATCTGATGAGTCTCCTGTAACTCCAACACGACAAGCGACTGCTCCAGCCCCAGTAACGCCTTTGATACTCAATCGGAGTCGGTCAACTAACATGAAATCTGATGAGCCTCCTGTTATAGCAAGAAGGCCACTTAGGAGTTCTTCAGCGCGAGGAATGCCTGTGATACTCAATCAAGCCACTAACGCGCATGATGATCGTCCTGTACCATCAACACGATCTACTAGGACTTCTCCTGCCCGTGTAATCTCTATGAAACTCAGTCAAGCAGATAATATGCCATCTTATGAGGCTCCAGTTGCGTTAACACGGGCAGCTAGGAACTCCCCCGCTCGTGTGATTCCTGTAAGACCCAATCAAGCAAATAATGCGACTTCTGATGCATCTCATATAAGATCCAGGCAGCGGTTTAGCCCAACTCAAACGATGGCAACAGCTGCTGTAATTGATCAGGTGACTGATTTGACACTGGAGGAGGCACATATAACACAAACTCAACCAGCTGATGATATCTCAACCAAGGTAAGCTTCAAATGAAATGATAATGATGACAAAACTGAGTGAGAAAACTGAGAGAGCTCTGTATACATAACAAGATTTCATTTGTTTGCATGTGCAGAAGGAAGAGCCTCAGATATCTGGGAGGGAGAATGAAAGTGACATCAGTGAGACTTTAATGCAAACTCACAATGAGGTCTTAAACACTCTTCAATCCAGGTTGACAAAATTACAGGTAAATTTCTTTTTTGTTATAATTTTCCTTTTCTTGTTGATTTTTCTTTAGAATTAAGTGGTTGATATATCGCAAACGTGCAGATTGTAAGACATTTCTGGGAGCGTAGCGATGTTAAAGGCGCGATCATGGCCTTGAGGAAGCTGTCAGATCACTCTGTAAGTATCCCAGTAGATTACTTTTCCATCTCTTGTTTGATGCTTAGATGTTTAGAAAAAAACTGACTCAGTTAAACTGGAACAGGTTCAAGCAGATGTGATCAGTATTCTAACGGACAAAACAGAGATTCTAACATTGGATCTGTTTTCCCAATTAGCACCTGTCCTCACAGGCTTATTGGGTAGCAGGACTGAAAGGTAAAGCAACCTTGAGTTTGAGATATAATTTCATTCAACAAAGGAAAGCAACAATGTCTTATCAGTGAAAACTAAAAATAACGTGTGGTTGCAATTTTGTGAACAGGCCTATACAAGTCTCGTTGGAAATGCTCTTGAAGCTTGTATCAGTGTTCGGTACAGTTGTAAATTCAACTGTTACGGCACGACGAATTGTTGGTGTTGATCTTCATGCAGAAGAAAGGTACTGAAATATCTCTGCTTCTCTTTTTATCTTCATGCATACCTTATGTCACACTTAATTCTCTTTTATGGAAAGTAAAACAAATGGAGTAAATGCAGGTTACAGATCTGCCAAAGTTGTTCTGCGGAGTTGCAAAAGGTTCAGAAGATTCTTCCTCTACTCACACGGTAAAGAAAAAAGTTCTTTAAAGACATCTAAAACTTACTTCTGAACCATCAATCTCACGTTATTCATGATTGGAGAGTATCGCAGCTGCTTCAGTTGTCTAATTTTGTTCCCTCTTCTTGTTTTCGCTCTCTTTCGTCTGATTACAGAAGAGAAGGTCTCATAGCAAGAAAGGCGCAAGAACTAAACCTAGTTCTTCAGACACCATAATCACTTGCAAAACAGTAACCTCTGCCTGAGTTTTCGACTTTGTACATTTATCAAGAACTGTCTTCACGTTCCTTCCGGCGATTTTGCATCTGTTGCTTTTGAAGATTCGCTGAGAAGTCTGCAGTTTCTTGTGGCGGATTTTGGAGAACACGGGAAACACTCTCTCAAAAATCATCGGTAAATGCTGTAAATCGATCTGTCTCTGGCACTAAAGTTGTAGTGCTTGAGAGTCTTCTAGGTACATGATTCTCAAGAATTTAGCTGAAATGGAAATTTACAATGTCCCTCTCTTCTCTCTGTTCATGTGAATGTAATGTGCAATCTTAGGTGATGATTGGTTCTCCCGCTACCACCCGCAAACGCAGCGTTTGCGGTTCGTAGCGGTTCTTAGCGTTTTATAACAATCACGACAACCGCTTTCAACCGCTCTATACCACTCTGTACCGCTCTATATCGCTGAAAATCAAAAGCTCCTTTCCGCAAGCGTTTGCGGTTGCGGGCGGTTGCGGTTTGAAAAAAAAAAAAAAAAACATAATATCTCCAAATTTGGAATAAGGGTATATTTTTTTGAAAAATACCATAATTATGTTTAAAAATTTCGAAAATACCCTAAATTTTTTCTGTTTTGAAAAATACACTTTTAAAATGTAAAAAGTATGTTTTGACGTGATTTAAACAAAAAAATAATACAAATTATAAACGAAAATTTAAAAAAATAATAAACTAATAAGTTTTTTTTCAAATAAATATAGTATATGTTAAACTGAAACAAATTTTAATATTTTGGATCTTTATATAAACAACTTAACCTCATACACATTCAAACCAAATGAAACTTTAAATAAATTAAAACTTTACATATATTTAAAGTTTATAAATTATTAAAAATTTAAAAGTGGAGAAATATATCTTTCATTTTTAATGTTTATCTTTTGAAAAATTTAAATATTTTTGAAACTTTGCATAAACAACTTTAATCTCACCCCATTTAAACTTTATATAAACAATCTTATATTTTTATTAAATTGTTTAAAAAAAACTAAACAGGTAATTAGGATGTTAAAATGATACAAAATTATTATCAAATATTAATATTTTATATTTCTTATTTGAATTTCGTTTTTATTAAATTAGGAATAATCATTTTACATATAAAAAGTGTATTTTTCAAAACCAAAAAAAAAGGGTAGTTTTCAAATTAAAAATTCATCAAAAAATATATTTCAAAAAAAAAATTATTAATATGGTTATAAATGTTTTGAATAATTATATATTATTTTTATTTTAGTAACTTTTGGTTAAACCGCTCTTGCACCCGCTGGCTAACCAGTCAAAAATATCCCGCAAACGCAACCGCTATGAATTGCTATACCAGTCGTACAAACAGCTTTTAATCGCAAACTCCCGCTTCCGCAAACTCCCGCAGCCGCAAACTCCCGCAACCGCAACCGCAGCGGTTAAACCAGTCAGACCCTTAATGAGAAGATACAAACGTCAGTATATGAATTTTTCATTTTGGCAAGTCTACTTGTGGTCACTTGACTTGTATCTAATATTTGGAATGGTCCCATTTGGAGGTTAAGAAAATGGAATTATCAAAGACTTGTTTATCTACCAAATGTGATAGTGACATTGTCTTTGATAGGAATTAGTTCTCATGATAGTAGTTCTTGTTATTTTGAATACTTTAGTCGTCTTCTCTTAGATTAGGAAACCGATTATAGATTGTAAGAAGAAAATTCTTGATATTTGTTTGGTTATTGAATAGAGTCATCATAATCCCCAATTAGGCCATAGATTAAGGAATGGACGAAAATATTTCATTTATTTTTAAGATTAGAATAAAATGTTGTGATGCATCCACCTTATATTATTCACCAATGAACAATCAGTTTTAAAATTAATTAGCATACCAGGCATAAACAAAATAGTATTCTACAAGTTGTGGTAATGACGAAAAAAACGAATAAATAAAGAAAAGAGAGAAAAATTCTGTTAAATAAATTTACTTTATTTAGGGAAAAACAAACAAAAAACAAAGGCACACAAATCTAGTCTTGTTCAAAAACAGACCATCCTCTTTGGCTTTTGAAAAAAAAAAACAGCTGAACCATCAATTTCCATTTACAAGCGTCGAGCATAGAGAGAGAGACTCTTCGTCAACACCTTTCTCTCCCGCCTCAGATTTTCTTCTCTGTTTCGTCCTATTTTTGAATTTTATTCATTTTCTTCCTCCCAGAATTTCTGGTCGGAAAACCGCTTTTCGTGTAATTACCTCCGACACCAACCCCATTCGAGACGGCTTTTTTTTTCTTCAAGTTTCTTTGTCTTATCTTGTTTTAATTTTTTTTTTTTTTGTTTCCTTCTGTTGTCTCTGTTTTTTTTTTCTTGAGAATTGAGTGGTCGGAGGAAAACGAAAGGTTAGGCGTTAACAGCGCTAACGTGCGCCGTGGCGTAGTTTAATTTTCCTCTCTTTTTTTTTTCAAAATCGAGGAGCGCGTAACGAACACGCGGCTCTGATTTGATGGTTATGATGATGATGACGAAGGCGATGGCGACTGATTGGGGAACGTGGGAGGAGCTTCTCCTCGGCGGCGCCGTCCTCCGTCATGGTACCGGTGACTGGTCCGTCGTCGCCGACGAACTCCGTTCTCATTCTCTCCCTCTGATTTTCACACCTGAGGTTTGCTCTCTCTCTCTCACTTCCTTCAATTTCAAAATTCCATTTTCGAGAATTTCGATCAGATTAGTTTCAGAATCACAAAACAGATTTGTTAGGTCAAATTTTGTTTGGTCTTTTAAGCAAATCTTCTGAGATTCATAAAATTAAAGAAGAGTGAAGAAGCGTAAGAGGCAAAAACAGAAGATAGAAAATGGATTTAGAAGCATAGATTCCTTCAATTTTGCTTGTTGTCGGTAAGATTGAGAAGCGTTAGATTCATCACTTGTGTGTCAAGAAAGGTTTTAGGGTTAAATTAAAAGAAGAAAAATTCATTTCTTGCTCCTGTTAGACTTCAAATGTAGATACTCTCCTGCTTCTCTAATCTCGAATTGAAAACAAAACTAAGCTCAATTCTGACATTGTCTCTGTTCTTATTCCAGATATGTCAAGCCAAGTACAAGGACTTGCGAGAACGTTATTTGGGATGCAAGTAAAGAAATTTGTTTTGTCTTTCTTCTTCTTCTTCAATACCTTTTTCTTGGCCACTTTTATTCACATGTTTATCTTCTTGATTCTTGAAGAACTTGGTTCGATGAGCTCAAGAAGAAGCGAATGGCTGAGCTTAAGGCAGCTTTGCTTAAATCCGACGACTCCATTGGGTTAGTTCTTGAATCCATCACTAAGTTCTTGAATGTTTTGGAGCTACTATAATCTGTTTTTTTTTTCAGGTCGTTGGAATCAAAGCTTCAGAGTCTGAAATCAGAAAGCAACGATCATGAATGTAATAATAAAAACAGTTATGATTCAAGCCGAACGGTATCGCTCGAACCATCACCTAAATCCGAAGGCGGAGGAGAATGTACAAGCAAAGATACATCCAAAGACTTGTCATCAGCTGGTAGCTTCACACAACAGGAGCTCACAACAAAAACAACAACAACAAACTGGTCACCAGAAGCTATTAAGTCAGAAGAAGCTCCAGCGATGGTAATAATAAAAGAGGAAGAGAAGATCAAGAACCTGTTGCTCGGCGACATTTTTGTAGTAGGAGGACAAGTGCTTCCGAGTATGAGGAAGAAACGAGGCAAGAGAAAGCGAAAAGATTGTAGTGGAAGTAGTACTAAAGAAGTGACTGAAGTCAGCGCAATGGAAGAAAGCGATCTGCTGGATTCTTCCACTGCGGATGTTGCTACCATCTCTAGGAGTAAAGAGAGTAAAGAAGCTTCTTCCTCTAGCATTAGTCGAATTCGAGGTCACGGTTTGGCTTCACCCGAAGAGCTTATGAAGATATACAACACTATCTCACAGAACGAATGTGCCCTAGTCTTCAGGAGACGCCTTGACAGTCAAGTAATAACAGTCTCAGCTCTCAACACATTCTTCTGATATTTTTGCCTTGTTGTGTCGCTTAATGTCTTGCGTTTGGTTGTGCTAAGCAGAAAAGGGGAAGATACAAGAAACTGGTGAGGAGGCATATGGATTTAGACACTGTGAAAGCAAGAATCAACGGTTGTTTGATATCATCAGCGAAAGAGCTCTTCATGGACTTTCTTCTTGTGGCGAACAATGCAGCCATTTTCTACTCCAAGAACACTCGTGAGCACAAATCTGCTGTCTTTCTTAGAGACATTGTCACCAAGTCTCTGAAACACTACTTGAGAGAAGATCAGCATCCTCCTCATCGAAGCAGTAGCGTTACTACAAGCACAAAGGTTCCGGTTCTTCCTTCGACGTCTACTTCTCCTGCTGTCCGAACGAGCCAGGCAGCTAAAAAACCAAGAACTGGTGCACACCCTCTTAAAAAAGTTGAGCAAGATATGGTGAAGACTTCAAGCGGAGGTAGGAAGAGGTTTATTGCGGATTTACCTGCTGTGAAAACTGCGGCGACGGGGAAGAAAGGAGCGGCGGTGGAGAGGAGAAGGGACTGTAGACAAGCGGCAGCGCCTGCGGTGGCTGGGAGAAAGAGGAACCGGGTGAGATGATTTAGGTTATTTGAAAAGTGTTTGTTTCATTAAGTTGTGTGTTGGTTAAGTTAGGTATCAGTGAAGTTCATATTTTGGTCAATTTGATCTGTAGGCATATACAGTCTTGATCATTGGCGAAACTGATTGTTAAGTAAAGAACATGTACATTAATTACTGTTAAATTTTTAGAACGTAATCTTTTGCTTTGATTTTACCTAAGAGAAACTCTTGCATATCTCGCCAACGTTAACAAAAACAAAAAAAATTACAAACCTTATTTGGAAAAAAAAAAAAAAATTTAATTAAAGTTAACGTCAACGCACGTTCTTGAGCCTTTCGGCCTGCAATCTTCCACTATTCTCTTCTAAAACCATTTTATTATTTTCACCACTATGATATTGAAAAAACATTTGTAAAAAACTTAATCAATAAATTGTATACAAGTTATAGACACGATCAAGATCTTGTTTAAGATCAAGATTTTGTTTGAAGATCGCCAAATTTCACGGCATTACTCTCTACTCATCAAATATTCTTCTCCTATATGCAGGAAGATCTACATTAGTTCGCAATGGTTGAAAGGTTGAAAGCGATAGGCTATAACCAAGGCTTTGCATGGGATGATGGATCTGATCATGAAGGCATTTCCAAGATTTATGTACGAGGTGGTCTTATTGGCATCCAGACCATCCAGTGCGAGTACGTCAAGACTGGACAACTTAAACATGGAGATCTTTTTGGTGTTTGGAATGATGGCTTCACACAGACGGTACGTCTTGAAAATATATTATGCTATGAATTGTTACCGTGTAAACTCATTTATCTGATTTCATGTGAATAATATTTGACTGATTATTTGTTCTATAATTTTATTTAATGTAGTTTGAGATTGACCATTTTAACAATGAACATCTTGAATCCGTTGAGGGTTACTACAACAACGATCCCTATACTATTCAGGCAGTTCAATTCAAAACCAATTTCAAGGTTTCTGAATTGATTGGATATAAAAAGGGTATCAAGTTTTCACTTTCAGTTAAGGGAAAAATGATCATTGGGTTTTACGGATGTAAATACTATCCTCAAAATGTGCCAAGCTCACTTGGAGCATATGTCACATTCATTCCTCCTAGTAGATTGGAAGCAAAAGGTGGAGAGTCAGGCGATAAGTGGGATGATGGTGCAGACCATGAAGGCATAACAAAGATTCATCTAAGAGGTGGTTATGAAGGCATTCAATACATTAAGTTCGATTATATCAAGAGTGGACAACCTAAAGTTGGATCAATCCATGGTCTCTCGGGTAGAGGTTTTCCACATACAGTATGTATTGGAAGTTTCTCATTTTTTTTCTTCTATATTTTTATTAACTGAATGTAAATTTATTCAAAGAAAAAATAACATTTTACCATTTTTGTTTGATATTGTTTGCAGTTTGAGATTGACCATCTCAATGGTGAGCATCTTGTATCTGTAGAAGGATACTACGACGACGAGTCTGGTGTCATTCAAGCACTTCAATTCAGAACTAACATCAAGGCTTCTGAGTTGCTTGGATATGAAAAAGGTAAGAAGTTTTCACTTGCACACAAGGGAAAGAAAATCATAGGGTTTCATGGATATGCTGATAAGTACCTCAACTCTCTCGGAGCATATTTCACAACTTGGATGATGGTGTTTTCAACGGCATAAAAAAAGTGTATGTCTGTTATTTTCCCGACCATGTAAACAGTGTCACGTTTGACTACGACAATGGTCACATAATTGTAAAGCGTCAGCATGGTTGGCCGTTGGACAGACGTTCGTTAGAAGAAGAGGTCAAACTTCTTGAATACTCTTTGAATATTTCTTGATTAAGTATAACTTGAATTAGAAAGTTTTTTTTCTAGTGCAGTTTGAGCTCGACTATCCAAATGAATTTATCACATCTGTGGATGGGACATTCAAAGCGGTGGATAGTACTTTCAAAGGATCTACTACTCCCAGAATGAGCATTACGTCTTTGGTTTTTAGGACATCAAAAGGGAGAACCTCTAAGACATTTGGAAGCGTGTCTGGTACCAAATTTGTGTTGGAGAGCAAAGGTTGTGCTCTGGTTGGGTTCCATGGATGGATCCATCGTAATTTTCTTGGTGCCATTGGGGCATATTTTTCTCCGTTGCCTCCTCCTAGTACTGTGGAGAAACTAGAAGCACAAGGCTGTAATAATCAAGGAGCTTCTTGGATGATGGTGTTTACGATGGTGTTAGAAAGATATATGTTGGACAAAGGGGACATGGAATCGCGTTCCTCAAGTTTGTGTATGACAAGAACAACGAGATGGTTATTGGAGATGATCATGGAAACAAAGCACCACTTGAAGTCAAAGAGGTGATGCATGCATGCATGGTTACATTTACGTACGATCAAGCTTGATTGTTTGTGTTTGTGTTTGAGTTTATCTTTCACCTGTAAAAATGATATTTATGTTTATTTGTTGGCACAGTTGGAGCTCGAGTATCCGAACGAATACATCACAGCGGTGGAGGGTTGTTATGAATTAGGGACTGAAAGCGAAGTCGAAGGTATAGCCATGCTTAGGTTTAAGACCAACAAACGAACCTCTATATCTTTTGGATCTGAAACTAGGTCAAGTTTTGTAATCCATAAAGAGGGCTACCGAATCGTTGGTTTCCACGGAAAAGCAAGTAACGAGATTCATCAGCTTGGGGTCTACGTTGAGCCCATCATCACCCACTGATCATCTTTTAATCTCCGATTTTTTTTTTTTAGTTGTGCAATCTCTCTCATGTAATAAGAATCATCATAAAAATTATTTCAAGATTTTTACAAATCAGTACTCATCCAGAGCACAAACTGTGAAGAAGAAAAAACAAAAGTAAATGCATTAGAGAAAAACGGAATAGAGGCCTTTTAGGTTTTTTTTTGTTTAATTAGCCCAGCTATATCAGTTTTGGACTTTTGGTACTTGGGAGACGATCATGGAAACAAAATACTACTTGGAGTCAAATATTGTTCACTGTGATTCATTTTTTGTTGCTGTATTGTTATTAGCTATACATATTGTCTCCAATGTTGTTACGTTAATGAAGTCTCATGTACTAAAAAATCATTCGAAAAAATTACTTTAAAAGATGGGGTCCCTTCGTTTCATCAACGCACGTTCTTGAGCCTCTAGGCCTGCAATTTCCAATATTTTCTTCTCAATTACTTTTATTATTTTCATCACATCAAATATATAATTCGTCGAAAATCCAATACGACTTAAAAAGACATGATCAAGATTTTGTTTAAAGATCGCCAAGATTCAAACTAGTTCGCAATGGCCGAAAAGTTGGAAGCCATAGGCAGACCGGGAGGATGTAAGTGGGATGATGGATCCGACCATGATGGAGTCTCCAAGATTTGTGTACAAGGTGGTCCTGACGGCATTCAGAGTATCCATTTCGAATACGTCAAGAGTGGACAAGTAAAAACTGGAAAACTCTTTGGTGTTTGGGAAGATGGTTTCACACAAACGGTATGTATTAGAAAATGTATTATTAGGCAACAAAAGGTTATGATTGACTGAATAATGTTCTTTTTACCTTAAATGCAGATTGAGATTGACCATCTTAACGATGAACATCTCGAATCAGTTGAGGGTTACTATGAAGAAAAATCTGGTAACATTAAAGGACTTCAATTCAGAACAAATTCCAAGGTCTCTGAACTGGTTGGATATGGCATAGGTACCATGTTTTCACTTTCAGTCAAAGAAAAAATTATCACTGGGTTTCACGGATATACAAGAAGGCAGACTTTGCCACTATTAAACTCCCTTGGAGCATATTTCACATGGAATCCTCCTAGAAGATTAGAAGCCAAAGGCGGAAAAGAAGGCACGCAATGGGATGATGGACCACACCATGAAGGTATAGCAAAAATTCATGTAAGAGGTCGTTTTGAAGGCATTCAGTACATCAAGTTCGATTATGTCAAGAACGGACAACCTATAGATGGATTAATCCACGGTCTCTCGGGTAGAGGTTTCTTGCAAGTAGTATGTAGTGAAACTTCCCTTTTTCTCATTATTAACTTGTTTTCTAACCGATTTTGTTAACATCAAGACTTCCAACTCAAAACCAATTGGTAATCAGTAGACTAGCTCACGTACGTCTCTATATATTATTTTTAAAAAAATTTATGATATATTGTCTAAATATGTCCTCTTGGAAATAATTGAAAGTGAATGAATTCCCTTCTGTATTTACTTGTCTGAATATATAGGGTACATGAGCGTAATCACAGGGATTTACCCTTGCTGTACAAGACTGTAATCGAGTCATATCAATCAAATTAAATACAGAATATTCTAGATATCTATCACCCTCCCGCAGTTAAAACGTTAGGATTCCGGACGGTTAAACTGTCTCTGAAGTCGTTGAACAGCATGGTCGGTAATCCTTTGGTGAAAATATCAGCAAACTGCAAAGAGGAAGGAACATGAAAGACTTTGACTTGTCCTATTTTCACCTTTTCTCGGACAAAGTGAATGTCTATTTCGATGTGCTTTGTTCGTTGATGCTTGACAGGATTGCTGGAGAGATATACAGCACTGATGTTATCACAATAGATCACAGAAGCTTTGGTGATCGGACAGTGGAGTTCAAGAAGAAGATTTCGTAGCCAGCAAGCTTCAGCGACAGCATTGGCTACTCCTTTGTATTCTGCTTCAGCGCTTGAGCGAGAGACAGTCGGTTGGCGTTTTGAGCTCCACGAGACGAGATTCGGACCGAGATAGAGACAGTAGCCAGAGCTAGATCGGCGAGTATCAGGACAGCCAGCCCAATCAGCATCGCTATATGCAGTGATGTCGTTGATTGAACCTTTCTGAAGATGTAAACCATGAGTGTGAGTGCCTTGCACGTACCTTAGGATGCGTTTCAAAGCTTGTAGATGTTGCTCTCGTGGATCATGCATGAACAAACATATCTGATTGACGGCATACGATATGTCGGGTCTCGTAAATGTGAGATATTGAAGTGCCCCAGCCAAGGATCGATATGCAGTTGGATTGTCGATCCGATCACCAGAATTAGCAGAGAGTTTAGACTTCAGGTCGACAGGCGTTGCACATGGTTTGCAATTCTTCATTCCTGCACGTTCGATGATGTCTAAGGCATAAGCTGATTGACTTAAAAATATCCCTCCATTTTTGAATTCTGCCTTGATGCCTAAAAAATAGTGTAAGCGGCCCATATCTGTCATCGGAAACTCTGTTTTGAGGAGTTTGATGATGTGTTGCAGAAGCTCTTTCGTTGAGGCAGTGAGGACGATGTCATCTACATAGAGGAGAAGGTAAGCTTGTTGATCACCTTTCCTGTAGATAAACAAAGAAGCATCGCTCTTGCTTGCAACAAAGCCAATGTTAGTCATAAAACGAGCAAATCGTGAATTCCATGCCCTTGGAGCTTGTTTGAGCCCATATAAAGAGCGTTTGAGTTTGCAGACGTGATCCGGAGCTTTAGGATCTGCAAACCCTGGTGGCTGGAACATATAGATCGTCTCTTCTAAGTCGCCATGAAGGAACGCGTTTTGTACATCAAGTTGATGAATCGGCCAATCGCGAGCAAGACTGACATGAAGAACAGATCGTATTGTTGCTGGTTTGAAAACCGGGCTAAACGTTTCATCAAAGTCCACACCAGCTTCCTGTGATTTTCCATTTGCCACCAATCGAGCCTTATATCGAGCAAAAGCGCCATCTGCATTAAACTTATGTTTGAAAAGCCACATTGATTTAATAATGTTTACCCCATGAGGTCGGGGAACAAGGTCCCAAGTCTTACTCTTAAGCAAAGCATTAAACTCTTCTGTTGCTGCTGGGTTCCAGTTTGGATCAGAAAGAGCTTGTTTATAACTCAAAGGAAGAGGAGAAACAGAGTGTTTGGAAGTAACAAGGAGAGACATAAGGGAGCGTGGCTTACGTATGCCGTGTTTACTGCGAGTGGCCATTTGGTGTGTTGGTTGAGAAGGAGCGGGAATAACAGGTGGTTGTGGAGGAGCGGCAACGTTTGGTGGTGGTGGAGGAGCGGGAACGTTTGGTGGTTGTGGTGGTGTTTGGGGAAGTGGAGTTTGAAGGAGAGAGTGTAACATTGGCGACGGTTCCTCATAACCATTGAGAAATTGGTAGAGAGAAGGAGGATCATGTACAGTGACAGCAGCCGGAAAGATCGACTCATCAAACGCTACATGGCGAGAGATGATGATTCTGTTGGTCTTAAGATCCAAACATCTATAGCCTCGGTGTTGAGAGGGATATCCTAGAAAGAGACAAGGAGTTGTTCGTGGAGATAACTTATGAAGGTTAGAGTGATTGAGATTAGGAAAACAAAGACACCCAAACACTTTGAGATGATCGTAAGTGGGTGGTTTCTGAAACAAAAGAGTATAAGGAACCTGATTTTGGATAGCAGAGGAAGGAAGAATATTTATGAGATGGACAGCGACATGAAGAGCTTCGACCCAATATGCTGGCGAGAGTTTAGCTTGAAATAGCAAGGAACGAATTGAATTGTTGATTGTGCGGATCATCCTCTCAGATTTCCCGTTTTGTTGGGAGGTGTGAGGGCAAGAGAAACGCACTTGAATGCCATTGGTGTCGAAGAATTTGTGAAAGTCGGTGTTATTATATTCACCTCCATTATCACACTGAAAAGCTTTTATGGGAGAGTTGAACTGTGTTTGGATATGAGAGTAAAAATGGAGAAATTTTGAGAAGACTTCGCTTTTGCGACGAAGGGGATAAACCCAGAGAAAGTGTGTATAATGATCAAGAAACAGAACATAATAACGAAGACCACTGATGCTGGAAACAGGGGAGGTCCAAACATCAGAGTGGATTAACTCAAAAGGTTTAGAAACAATCGTTTGAGAAGGAAAAAAGGGAAGCTTTATTTGTTTTCCAAGTTGACAAGCCGTACAAAGAGGTAGGCTGTCTTTATTACAAGCTAAATTATTGAAAGAAATAACAGAACGAAGAGATTCATTGTTGAGATGTCCAAGACGCTTATGCCAAAGACTCAGAGAGGAGGCAGTGAGCGCAGTGGACTGAGAAGTGGAAGATGAGGCTGGAAGAGGATATAGATCGCCGGTGCTGTCACTGCGGAGAAGAGTTCTCCTGGTTTGAAGGTCCTTCACACAGAAACCAAATGGGTCAAACTCAACAGAACACCAATTATCAATGGTAAAGCGACGGACAGAAATAAGGTTTTTGACAATTTGAGGAGTGACAAGGACATTATTAAGAGAAAGGGGACGAGTTTGAGAGGTGATAAGAGAGTTGCCTGAAGCAATAGCAGGGATTGAGGAACCGTTACCCACAACAACAGAGTGAGCAATGTTTCGATTAAGAGCAGAATTGAGATACCTGGAGTGGAAGCGAGATGAGTAGTGGCGCCTGTATCCATGAACCAATTGGTTGCAGATGGATCAGGAAGAGTCATGGTGTTGTAAGCTTCGGAAAAATCAGTGGTAGGCTGGAAAACTTGATCGACGACATTTGCGGAGGAGGAGCGTGGAGGAGATGGACGAGGGCCCATAATCCCGCGTGTATCATTAGGAAATGGGTATGGGTTCCATGGGCCAAACTGATATTGCCATTGAGGAACTGGGCCGGGCCAGTACTGATTTGTGGCCCAGTTTGGATATGTAGGTCGTGGAGAAAAATTGTGGCGGCCACGGAATCGAGTTCCATTGTTGCGTCTATTTCCGCGATGGTTGGAGATTTTCGGAGCAGGAGGTCGCTGAAACTTGGGTTGGTCACTTGACACGGTCAAAGCTGCAGACGACGATGGATGATCAGTTTGGGAGGCCACGGTTTTGTGTGATTTCTTTAGACGAGTTTCCTCCGATTCAAGCATCGAGCGTGCGACTTCAAAGGTTGGAAATGGTTCACGATGTTTGATGACATTGATGATGTTATCAAACTTGTCATTGAGCCCATTCAGCATGTATGTCACCAACATGCGATCGGGAACAGGGGCATCAACGTTCTTGAGGAGATCGGAGATGGACTTGAGTCGTTGACAATAGTCTTCGACAGATCGATCTCCGATTTCTGTAGTACGCAGCTCAGTGTCGAGTTGAATGGCCCGAGCCTCCTTATTGTTGCGAAACAGATTCTCGATACGCAACCAGATGTCTCGAGCCGTGTCTCCAGCCTGAAACGCCTTTTTGAACAGAGGTGGGGTAAGAGTTCCATAGATCCAGAGCTTGACGAGACCATCACGCTTTTGCCAAGGTCCGTCGTTGTCGCCGTTGGGAACAGTGGTTCCGTCAACGTGACCCACCACATCAAGTGAGGCAGTGCGTGAGAAAGAGTTCACGCCACGCATCGTAGTTGTGGTCATCCTGGTCTAGAATGAGAGGGATGTGCGATTTGATGTTAGTAACACCAAATGCTCTTTCAAGGGCCATTTCGTCGAGAAAAAGAAGATGAGAACGAGAGAGAAAGAAAAGAAAATTGACTATAGGAAGAAAGAGAGAGAGGGTCAGGAGCGTGAGAGCTCTGATACCATGAAAGTGAATGAATTCCCTTCAGGGTCTCTGTATTTACTTGTCTGAATATATAGGGTACATGAGCGTAATCACAGGGATTTACCCTTGCTGTACAAGACTGTAATCGAGTCATATCAATCAAATTAAATACAGAATATTCTAGATATCTATCAATAATGGCTCTTATCTATCCATCTTATATCTGAATCTCATTTTATAACCATTGTTCTTTTCTTATTATTTTCAGTTTGAGATCGACCATCTCAACAATGAACATTTGGTATCTGTAGAAGGGTACCATGACGAAGAGTCTCGTGTCATTCAAGCACTTCAATTTAAAACTAACATCAAAACTTCTGAGCTGATTGGATATGAAAAGGGTAAGAAGTTTTCGCTTGGAGAAAAGGGAAAGAAAATCATTGGGTTTCATGGCTACGCTGAGATGAACCTCAACTCTCTCGGAGCATATTTCACAACAGTTTCTATTACTAAATCGGCAAAGCATGGTGGTAATATTGGACATCAATGGGATGATGGTGTTTTTGGCGGCATACAGAAAGTGTATGTTGGTTGTTGTATGAATCGTGTAAAATGTATCACTTTTGACTACAACAATGGTCACACAATTGTTAAGCGTCAGCATGGGTGGAGCACATCATTCCTAGTAGAGGTCATATTTTCTGAAAATATACTTTTTGTTCTTGATTAACTATAGTATATAAAATAAACTAAAAGTTTAATTAATTGTTGTGCAGTTTGAGCTGGACTATCCAAATGAATTTATCACATCTATGGATGGGACTTTCACAGGCTCTCGTGCAATCAAAATGAACATTACTTCTTTGGTTTTTAAAACATCAAAAGGCAGAAGTTCTCCGACATTTGGAATCGTGACTAGGACCAAATTCGTGTTGGAGACCAAAGGCTGTGCTATAGTTGGTTTTCATGGAAGAACCTTTTTTGATTCTCTTTCTGCTATTGGAGCATATTTTGCTTCATTGCCTCTTCCTCCTACTGCGGAGAAACTAGAAGCACGAGGTTATGATCGAGGAGCTTGTTGGGATGATGGTGTTTATGATGGTGTTAGAAAAATATATATAGGACAATGTGAAAATGGTATCGCATTCCTCAAGTTTGTGTACGACAAAGATGTTCGAATGGTTATTGGAAACGATCATGGAAACAAAACACCACTTGAAGTCAAAGAGGTGACTATATATACTTATCGAAGTACTTGATTGTATTTTTTTTTATTTTTTTTATTTATCTTTACGTGTTAGCTTGACATTGTTTATATATGTGGCATAGTTGGAGCTCGAGTTTCCAGATGAACACATCACAGCCGTAGAGGGTTTTCGTGGTAAGGGAAATAGAAGTGAAGTCGAGGTTATAACAATGCTAAGGTTCAAGACCAACAAACGAACATCTATATCCTTTGGATTTGAATCTAGATCAAGCTTTGTGCGCAAGAAAGAAGGATACAAAATCGTTGGGTTTCATGGAAAAGCAAGTAACATGATTCATCAGCTTGGGGTCCATGTGGTGCTCTCTACTTAGTGATCGTCTTTTACAAGCTAACTCATACCAATTTGTTCACGTTGATTCAATCATCGTGACTTATTTTACTCTGCTATATACTGTCTACGACGTTGTTTCTTTTTATGCAATCTCATGTATTTTAGATTGAAACTCACGCTTCACCAACGATTCAAGCATACAAACCATTCACAATCGCACACAATATATAACACTACTGATTACATTAGATAGTATCTTGTGATATAGAAAAATCAAATTTGAAATATAACAATCTTTATATTTACTGTTTTGAATACAAGTCTTCGAATTTTATCCAAAGACAAACATAATTTAATGTGAATGATTTGGTCTGATATAATAGAAGTCAAATAGTTTATAATGAATTAATCTGAACAGACAGGCTTGACTAGTTATATCCTTCAAATGAAAATGCATGACACCGAACCTGAGAAATGAATTGTTTAAACACAAGTAGAGGTTCATTAAAACAAAATAAACAAAGACTAAGACTAAGAGTCTAAGACTATGAGGTCAATGAGCTGGGATAATATGATTATGAGCTTTCTTATATTTTGTTTTCCAGCAAAAACATACTATTCTTGTTATGGGAAATATGCAAAGAGGAAAAAAAGAAAAACAGTAAGAGAGAAGGTGTTTAAGGCGTTAAGGAGCTTGGATTGGATTTAGTTTCTTTAATTAGTTAAGTATTTTTTTTTTGGTGCAAATTACTAATTGGTATAGATTTTGCATTTTTTGCTAGTCAGAGGTTTTTCTTACAAACTTTACAAAGCTTGAAGTTTTCTTAGCATTTTTGCTTTTTATTAAAATTAATTAGGTGTAACAACCCTATATAATAATTTTATTGGCAGCCGGGGAGTCATATACTATATAATATAATTGGTCAGAGTCTTATATAAATATTTTGATCGGAGTCTTATATAAAATTACCTCTTTAGAGGACCCAATACTTGTATATAAAGACGCTTTCATGCCTCGTTTCTTGCTTACCACATCGCTCTTTGTTCATCGGCCATCGTAGGTTATCTATCTCTTTCTCTCCCACCTAATGCAGACTTTTTTTATTATTGTTTCTATTGCTTCAGCACTATAGTTTTATTATTCTGATGATCTGATCTTAAATTTATGTGTAGATGTTTAGGTCTCACCCGTGATTGATGAATGCTATATGTAAACTTAAGTAGCATAGTTCTTGAACTTATTTAACAAGAGATTTCTCAAAATATCACTGAACTAGACCTACTGAGAAACTAGATCGTCTCCTCTGTTTCATTCATCTAACTTTCTTCCTTGATTTTTAAACCTATTAGATCCTTGGCTTGAAAGTATGTTTCCTTTATGAAATAATTAGCACTATATCTCTTTAATTTTGGACTATTTATGTGTATTAAGATTATAGCCATATCAAGATGACCAAAACGTTGGAAGCGGTGGGCGGAAAGGGAGGCACTAAATGGGACCATGGATCCGACCATGATGGTGTTGCAAAGGTTTATGTACGAGGTGGTCCTCACGGCATTCTGAACATCCAGCTCGAATATGTCAAGAATGGACAACTGAAAGGTGGAGATCTCTATAATGAATGGGAGAGAGGTTTCACACAGACGGTATGTATGTCTTGGAACTTGGAAGTATGTACTAAATTACACTCCCTTTATTCAGTTTATATGGTTAAAATTATTGACTTTTCCTCTTTTATTTTATTTTTGCAGTTTGAGATAAATTATCTTAGTAACGAACATCTTGAATCTGTTGAGGTTTACTACGATGCCAAATCCACATTCATTCAAGGACTTCAGTTCAAAACCAGTTTCAGGGTTTCTGAACTAATTGGATATGACAATGGTACCAAGTTTTCACTTGAACTCAAGGGAAATAAAATCGTTGGGTTTTATGGTTCTAGTACAGGCTCAGGCTGCGTCTCTCTTGGAGCATATGTCACATGGATTCAACCTACTAGATTGGAAGCCAAAGGTAGCAATGCAGGCAAGCAATGGGATGATGGAGCCGACCATGATGGTGTAACAAAGATTCATGTACGAGGTGATCGTGAAGGCATTCAGAGCATCAAGGTGGGTTATTTAAAGAGTGGACAACAAAAAGATGGATCACTCCACGGTCTCCCAGGCGGAGGTTTTACGCAGCCGGTATGTATCTCTTGGCAATATACATTTGATTTTTCATTTTTTTTGTCAACAACCTATACATGTTTAAATCATGTTGCCATAACTAATTTTGAAACTCAATAATTTATAAATTCATACTCCATCCATCTCAAATTAGTTGTTGTTTGCATAAATGTATCTGAAATGTATGTGGATGTATTTAATTCAAAAACATATCCAAATACATTTCAGGTACATTTATGCAAACGACAACTAATAAAAACCAGAAGGAGTAAGATTTAGAAATATTTAATGGCTTTTGAAATGCCAACGGTTTCCCTTATACTTCCTCCGTTTCAAATTAGTTGTCGTTTTGGGAAAATGTATCTGCAATTATTTGGATATATATACAATGCAAAACACGTCCAGGTGCGTCCAAATTTTTGCAGATACATTTTGCCAAAACGACAACTAATTTGAAACGGACGGAGTATTTGATTATTTGTATGTTTAACTTAAAAAGACTTCCAAATCCATTGAATCAAAATAATAATTAATTAAATCTATAACATTGCATTTCAACTAACATTTAGAAATCATTATTAATTTAATAATAAGGGGGTTTTGAGAAATATTGTAAATCACTAATTCGGTAAGGAATGATTTTAGTTTAGATTTCTAAATCCATAACCAATAAATCCTCTTAGACTGTAAGGGGGTATTCGCTTGTAGAATTAGGAAGAAATGAGAAGAATTGAAAATTAAAGGATTTTAAAATACTTTAGAGTAATTGTTGGGAATTCAATCAATTCTATTAAAATCTCTGCAAAAACTGGAAGAATTGAGCCTTTACAAATTTTTCTTCAAATTCTATTAAATTCCTTCCAAATGACAATACCACCAAATACATCCAATATCGAATAACACCGGAATTTAATGGAATCGGAAAACTTAGAATTTGAATAACACCGGAATTTAAAGGAATTAGAAAGAATGACTACAAATCCTCCACCGAATAACACCGGAATTTAAAGGAATTGAAAAAACATATACTCGAATAACACAGGAATTGAATGGAATCGTCAACTCCTTTAAATTCCAACGAATTAATGTTTTTATCATTTGGAAGGATTTTGTTTTTTGATGGGACCGACATAATTCCCCTTTGTTCTTTAACTTATGATGAATAATACTAGTATAAATATTTTCCACCTCAAATTTGTAATGGAACTAAAAGGAAAAATGTTCCTTATAATCTATTCCGTTTATTCCTTAACTGCTCACGGTTAAAGCCTAAAGTTTATTCAACATTTTCCTTCTTCTTTTACAGTTTGAGATTAACCGTCTCGTCAATGAACATCTGATATCTGTAGAGGGTTACTATGACGCCACCTCTGGTGTCATTCAAGCACTCCAATTCAAAACTAACATGAAGAATTCCAAGCTGATAGGATATGAGATGGGTAAGAAGTTTTCACTTGCAGCTAATGGACGAGAGATCATTGGGTTCCATGGATGTGCTGATAAGAGCCTCAACTCTCTCGGAGCATATTTCACAACGGTTTCAGTTACTAAATCGGAAATCTACGGTGGTATTGGAAGCACATCTTGGGATGATGGGGTTTTCGACAGCATAAGAAAGGTTTCTGTTAGTTTCGATAATATTTATGTAACGAGTATCAGGTTCGTCTACAACAACCGAAACACAGTGGTAACACGTATGCACGGGGTGGTTTCAAGACAAGAAGAAGAGGTTAAAGTTCCTACAAATATATGTGTTTTTCTTAAAATATACTCCCTCCGTTTCAAATTAGTTGTCATACATCCAAATAATTGCAGATACATTTTGCCAAAATGACAACTAATTTGAAACGAGTGAGTACCTTTTACTAACGAAACTCATCTATAACTCTGCTGCAGTTTGAGCTTGACTATCCAAATGAACTTATCACATCTGTGGAAGGGACTCTCAGAAACTTTAATGAGACCTCTACGAGGGTTACGTCATTGACTTTCAAAACATCAAAAGGAAGAACTTCTCCAACCATTGGACACGTATCGGATAGCAATCTTGCTAAATTTACATTGGAGAGAAAAGGTTGTGCTTTGGTAGGTTTCCATGGTCGACAAGCTGGTGTTAGAAATATGATTGCTATTGGAGCATATTATTATCCCTTGCCTCCTCCTAATAGTGCGGAAAACCTAAAAGGACAAGGCGGTAATGGAGGAGCTTCATGGGAAGATGGTGTTTACGATGGTGTTAGAAAGGTTTATGTAGGAATCATTGACAATTATGTTGCATATCTCAAGTTTGTGTACGAGAAGAACACTCATCTGGTTATCGGAGACGATCATGGAAACAAAACACTCAGTGAAGTCGAAGAGGTGATTTCTTATTACTTTTATACTTTCCTTGTACTTGTGTGGCTTTGAATCTCTAATCTCTTTGCTTTAACTTTTGTTTTGTTTTTTTTTTTTTTTTAAATCTAGTTCGGGCTTGAGCATCCAAGGGAATACATCACAGCGGTAGAGGGTTATTACGATAAAGTAGCTGGAAGTGAGGTCGAAGTTATAACCATGCTTAGGTTTAAGACAAACATACGAGCCGCTATATCATTTGGATGCGAATCGACCTACAGCTTTGTACTCCAAAAAGAAGGATACAAAATCGTTGGATTTCATGGAAAAGCAAGCAACATGATTCATCAGCTTGGGGTCCATGTCATCCCAATTAGCCACTGATCATCTTCTACAAATAATCCCACAAGAATGTTGTTCGCGTTTAATTCAATACCTTCTTGTAAAATTTATGTACTATGTATTTTACTGTCCCCATGTTGTTATAGTTGAGCAATCTCATGCAATAAAAAGTCATCCTAGAGTTTTACTTTAAGAGAAAATTACATCCAAAGGCACTTCTACAAAGTCTTATTACAAGCAAAGGCACTTTCCACTCCAAGGTGACTTTGCTTTATTTCAGAGGGAATAATATGACGGTTTTGTCCTTAATGAGAGATTTTTACCAAAAACTGTTTTGTTGCCGATAAACAATACGCCGCCACATCTCTGATAATTGTAACAAGTTTCTGATGTTTGTGGTTTTGTCTATTAACAATCTAAGTTAAAATCCAGTGATAGATTTTCCAAAGCTCTGAATATTGTTAATTTTTATCAATGGTTGGGGGATTGTACGATGGTGTGATTTGCTGGATTCAAGTAAAAGGAGATTGTTAGTCGGCGTTTCTCTGTCAGAGATCTATCGTGTCAAAGGCATAATATTCAGTCAATATGGTCGTTGTTATCCAAATGGGCGGTATAATGTGGATAGTAAGTAATATAGCTTGTGGATGATCTTGGATCTAAGTGTACAATGTTTGGTGGATGCCATTGGTGGGATGAAGTTGGTTCTTTAACCTTTGCTTAATTTTGTGAAATCTTAGCGGGAGACAAACATAAGCAATGAGATTTCAATAATGCAGTGTTTTAAGATTTGGTTGCTTCTCAACTAGAGAGCTAAATATGTACATGTTATCTTGTCCACAATTACATGTCCACGACTTCATGTGGCTATTGGTCTCTCCTATAAAGTTTGTATGTTGAGTTTTGGAAAGTCTGAGAATCAAATTCAGAACCATGTTTACACTTTGACATGGACATAAAGGTTATATATTCATATGAATACAGAAGTATATACATAATCATATGGATCCGGTATCATGGAACAGTTTAGGCGATAAACAATAACTCAACAAGCACTCACTCAATTGTTAATCATCTTCATATGAAAAGTTCATAAAATTCTAAAACAGAGGCACCAATTGCTCATCCTAACCTTAAAGAAGCTATACTCATAGATACTAAACTTGCTCATTCTAACCTTAAAGAAGCTATACTCATGGATACTAAATTTCAGGAACCAAGCACCAAATGCACCGGACATATACAGATAGACCTTAATTAGGTGCCCCTAAAAAACTGAGCTCGTTGTCCCATTCTGGATTGAGTGTTGTACCTGCAAAGTAAGTTAAGTATCCGGAAATCAGAGTAACAACATGATAGCCAGATGGACATTAGAATGTGAAATGATCATAGCACAATAAATGATAGCGCTAACTTATATTTGTCAGTGAAATAGACAAATGGATGTAATCATATGTAAATTGACAACCCCTCTCCACATGAATGCTAAAACTATATGTAATAGATGAGGCGATTGAATACTTTGAATGTATAATTGAATGTAACCATATGTTAAATAGACTACCTACTTATGTCAACATGGATACGAACACTATACGCAATTGAGTTAGCACCTGAATTTTATGGATGTAGAAAAATGGATCATGAAGAGATCCACGTCTTCGTGTCCACAACGTCATATATACGTAAACATGTCCACACACATTTCATTCAAGCTCCAAAAAGTAAAACATTGGCATAAGACATTATTTACTCGAAGTAACTGATTTTCATTATCAAATTGTTCATATGAGGCGAATGAATGCTTTTGAATGTATAAATGAATGTAAACATATGTTATGGATACAAACACTATATGCAATATAGCTAGCAACTGAACTATATGGGATATAAAAAAATGGATCATGAAGAGATTCACGACCTTGTGTCCACAATGTCATGTACACGCCAACATGTCCATACACATATCTCATTCAAGCTCCAAAATTTTAAACATTGGCATAAGAGATCATATACTCGAAGTAACTGTTTATCAAAAACAAATTGTTCATATTCCAAACAAATAAAACTTCAACAAATCGTAAATATTTCCAAAAATCAGTACATTGACATAAAGTTATAGTAATATATAATAAACCATATGGACACAATACAATGGATGGGTTGATTGTACATTGCTGCCACTGTTACCAACATTGCAGCTGCAACACAAAACCCGCAACTCCCACAGAAAACCTGCAGTTGCTTTGTTCACTTGATCTTTAAAATGTTGTGAACGAGATGCTTCATATATCACCAGAACGAGTCTGAAAACTCCTTCCTCTCATGTGCTATTCACCAAGATATAGCTTGGCTTCGGTTTGAAACACTCAAGTCTGCACAAACTTTCCTAAAACCTGAGAAAACACAATGATGGTCCACCAACAAAGAGTTTTTTTGACGTTTTCTCTCACCTGGGACATTGGCCAAGAGCTACTTATCTGTTGTGGCGCCTAAGATATTGTGGATATTTCTGTGATGGAAAAATGGTAGATATGTAGCAAATTCAAGACAATGTAAACAATGAATTAAAGGGACAATGTAAACAATGAATTAGAGTGACAGAGCACATTAAACCAATATAGATGCAATCACATGGATATAAACTTAATATCGGATTAAGAACCCCCAAAAAATCCGAGATGACCTAAACATGGATGCATGTACATACACAATAATTAGACAGAGCCATATGGACGAATCTGTTTGGATAAATAAAACAATTAACTAGTCTAAATGCACTAGTATATAATATTGAGTTTACTAAAATCACAGATAAGTCTATGAGATCTATCAAAACTACTAAGATCATGAAGAGATCTACGACTTCGTGTTCACAGAGTCATGTACACGTGGCCGAAGAACCGTCCAGATGGTCAGCCTAATATGGACTGAGCCTGTGGTGGACGGGCGCATACGGCAGAAGGCCAGAGTAGTCGTTTGGTGGACAACATGATATGGACAACGGTAACAGAAATCCCCTTTGTGGATGGGCAGCGGTGTACACGCAAATGCTGCCCCTAGAGATTAAAATCACCTTCCATGGCTTTCCATGTACCTTTGTTTCAAACGCACACGGAGATACGAGATTCTTATGGGATAGTTATCATTTAAACAGAGAAACCGTGCCAGAAGAAATTGCTGGTTAGAGTGGCTGAAAACTCGTCAATTGATACGACAGTGATACCGAAAGAGGGAGCGGCACAAAAATCACGACAATGAATTTTAGGATTTTACAGTCTTCGCTGTTTAAGTTTCTTTGTAAGGAAAAGTAAAATGTCGAAGGAGGTCAAATGGTGGAAATCTTGTAATAAGTTAATAAAGAGAAGGAGATTTTGGTCTTTCCATTAGTGCAAAGTCACCTAGGAGTACAAAGTGCCTTTTTTGTTAGTTTGAAAGACAAAAGTGCCTATAGATGTAAATGACTCTTACTTTAAAAAGTACATGATTATATGCTGAGTTATAGAAAACGAATTTGAATGAGCTTGTCTGTATTAAACCGTATGATGTTTTAAAATGTTACGTTGAATATAATGTACCTAGATACTTACCGTATGATACTTAGATTAATGAAAACTGTTGGATTTATTAAAACTGATTTGAGTGACCATGACATGTAATCTAGTGATTTGTAATAGTGTTATCCATGCATCACCAAACATGTCTTGAACTCTTGATGAATTTCCTTAAGATAACTAGTTCTATATAAAGTAACAATTAAAGACATGAGTAACAACACACTTCAATATGAATTATCAAAATTTTATTAATTTATGATATATTTACATGTAACATGATCTATTAATATATGTTAATATATCATGAGATAATTATTCAGCATGATCTATTAATATATGTTTGATTTATAAGATATATAAATGAATATAGGGTACACTTGGTCTTTGAAGAAATATATTGACTTGTGACCCAATCAATACTTCTATATGAGGTATAAAGACACGATCATGCCTCCCATTATATGGATCACCATGTTTATTGTTCACCACAGTAATCTCCGATCATCTAGTCTTCTTCTCGCCTCAGCCACCAGGTCATCTTTATCTCTATCTCTCTCCCTCTCTCTCTCCATCCCAATGGAGACTTCTTTAATTTGTAGCCCTACACTCTTATTCCTTCTGAATTTCTGGTCCAAATTGTTTTATGTAAACGTAATATTCACTAATGATGCAATTTAAAGAAACATATGTGGGAAATGATGCAATTTATATAATGAGTTTATCAGGAACTAAAACCTCTTTCTCCATGTATGAAGATTTGAATCAGTTGATGATGGCACACAAGTTGGAAGCGGTAGGTAGCACAAATGGATTTACATTCGATGATGGACCTGACCATGACGGTGTTGCCAAGATCTTTGTTGGAGGAGGTTTTCAAGGAATCCATTACATTGAATTTGAATATGTAAAGAACGGACATTTATCATTTGGAGTACTCGTTGGTCGTCGGCATAAAGGTTTCATAGAAACGGTATGTGAATACATAAGTGAAATGTGAATCCAAACACACAATTATTTTTAAGTTGGAAGCCTATATATGAAAAAAACATTTTTATATAGCTTTTTTTGTGACTCGTATCAAGGTAATTTATAATCTATGTTTTCAACTCTTTTTCAGTTTGAGATTAACCATCTCAAAAGTGAACATCTCGAATCTGTAGAAGGTTACTACGACCATGAATCAGGTTACATCCAAGGACTTCAGTTCAAAACCAATTTCAGGATTTCAGAATTGATTGGATATGATAAGGGTAATAAGTTTACACTTGAAGTCAACGGAAAGAGTATTAGTGGGTTTCATGGATATATGAAGAACAGAAACATCATTTCCCTTGGAGCATATTTCACTCCGATTCAACCTAATATATTGGAAGCAAAAGGCAGCAAAGGAGGCTATCAATGGGATGATGAAACCATGACGGTGTAACAAAGATTCATGTACGAGGTGGTTCTGAAGGCATTCAATACATCAAATTTGATTATGTCAAGAGTGGAAAACCCCAAGATGGATCAATCCATGGTCGCTCCGGTAGCGGTTTCACGCAGACGGTATACAATAGAATTTGCATGTTCTTGATTATTGACTTAATATCTAATCATTTTGTGTTCACATACAATTTTTTTTTTCTTTTTTTTTTTTTTTTGCAGTTTGAGATCAACCATCTTAACAATGAACATCTGGTTTGTGTAGAAGGTTACTACGACGATGCAACTGGTGTAATTCAAGCACTTCAGTTTAAAACTAACCTCAAGACTTCAGAGATGTTAGGATATGAAAAGGGTAAGAAGTTTTCACTTGAAGAAAAGGGTAAGAAGATCATTGGCTTTCATGGATATGCTGACAAGAATCTCAACTCTCTTGGAGCATATTTCACAACGGTTTCTCTTATCAAATCGGAATGCCATGGTGGTTCTGAAGGCACATATTGGGATGATGGTGTTTTTGAGAGCATAAGAATGATGTATGTTAGTTATAATAACACTAACGTAAAGTGTATCACGTTTCACTACCACAACCGTACAATTGTCGAGCGTCAACATGGGTGGCAGAGTATAAGAGATGATGGAGAAGAAGAAAAGGTTATAGATGGATACTTTGAAATATCACTAAAATTAGTTTTTGTTCTTTTTATACCATCAATAGTTTTAGTTTTCCAAAAACACTAATAAATGGTTTATTTCTATTGCAGTTTGAGATCGACTATCCAAATGAAGTGATCACATGTGTAGAGGGGACTTTTAAAAGAGTTGGGCCTGGCAAGACGAGGGTTACATCATTGATATTGAAATCATCAGAAGGGAGAACCTCTCCGACATTTGGAATAGTGTCTGGTTCCAAATTTGTGTTGGAGAACAAAGGTTGTGCTGTGGTTGGGTTCCATGGACGGCACGCCGATGACCGTGATCTTGTTGCCATAGGAGCATATTTTTCTCCGATGCCTTCTCCTACAGCAAAGAAGCTACAACCACAAGGTGGTTTCCGAGGAGATGTATGGGATGATGGTGTTTTCGAAGGTGTAAGAAAGTTATACGTAGGAGAAGGTGATAATGGTATCGCATTCCTTAAGGTTGTGTACGGCAGGGACACTCTGATTGTTATTGGAGAAGATCATGGAAACAAAACACCACTTGCAATCAAAGAGGTCAGAATAATTTACTTTTAAAATACCAGTGAAACAAGTTTATGATCCAAAAATACATTCTCTAGTTTATTTTTCCAACATTAACAATATATAGTGTATGTTCTAAAAATACCAAAAACATTTAAAATGATTTTCAGGGGTTCATAATTTAGAGATTTGAGTTTTTTCTTAGTGTTGTGGGTTTAGAGTTTAGTTTTAGGATATCTTTGGAAGTTTTAGGGTTTTTGTTGTGATTTAGAGCGATAAATGAAAGAGAAAGAAGCGATTGAGGCAATATATCCTGTCTAGCATTTCTTATTAAATCGTGTGTTAAGTGTTACAAACTCTAGTGAATATTATATATATAAAAATAACCCGATAAATTTAGGCTCAGTGCCCTGTGCCCATAAGAGTTTGCCCTTTTGCTACTATGTAACTGATTATGAGTCACCTTGAATAACAGTTTAGATTCGAGGATTTATAGTTAAATTAGTTGTCTTACTTTTGGACCATAGTCTTATTTTGTTGTATTTTAAAAAACTGCCCAAATGTTTTTCAAACAAAAAATGTCCAGTTTGCATGGGTTTACAACTTTACATTACATTGACATAAATATTTGTTTTGGCAGTTTGAACTCGAATATCCAAGTGAATACATTACCGCTGTGGATGGTTGTTACGACAGAGAAATTGGAAGTGATGTCGAAGTTATAACTATGCTTAGGTTCAAGACGAACAAACGAACATCTATACCCGTCGGATTTGAATCTACCTCAAGATTTTTAATCTACGAAGAAGGATACAAAGTTGTTGGATTCCATGGAAAATCAAGTAACATGATTAATCAACTAGGGGTCCATGTTGTGCCCTTAAGGGAGTGATATTTGGTGTCCGGATTGGTTTATTTTTTCTCTGCTACATTACAACAAAGCATTAAGATTATAAAGACAAATTGATGTGATAAAATCAGAAATTCATTGGCTCTTCAACGCAGCCACGTTTTAAATTGGCTGTAAATGCCAAATATAAAGACAAAATTTTATTGTCTGATTATAGATATTTTTAGGAAAGAATTTGTACTTTTAGTCTAGTTGCTGGTTTAATGGTGGACCAGGAAGATAATAATAATTATGGAACCCAAAATTTAGAATAGACAATTGATGATTTGAATTAATCTTATAAAATATGAATTTAATTGTTTATATATATATATATATATATATATATATATGAGATAAGGTTGTCTCTGTTAAAATATATATATATATATATATATATATATTTAGAATGTTATGTTGAATATAATGTAGCTAGCTACAGGAAATTGATTTGAGTAACCAGAACAAATAGATAGTCTAATGGATTGCGATAGTATTGCCGATGCAACACCAAACATGTCATGTTGACTTCCTTTAAGATTTAGCTTTATATAAAGCCACAAGGACATAAGTAAGAACACACTTCAAAAATTCTCAAACCTCTAGCCAGTAAAAATCATAAAATTGTCTTGAAGTTTACATTCTTGTTGCATTAATTAATCAAAAGTACATTTAATAGTCTAAAACATAAAGTAATAGGAAACAAGTAAAAAAAAACTAAAACATCAAATAATAAGGAACGGAAGGAGTAGCTTGCCAGAATCGGAATCCCTAATATATTAAAAGAGAAAACACTAACTAAATAACCTTTGTCTAATGTGTTATTAACAAGAATGTCATTGCTTAGGTGTCATCACTAGGTTCACTCTTAGAGCAATTTCTAATTAAGACAAGCTTTACTAGACAAATTACAATATATGCCATTGCATATTATGCTTACAACCAAATAATGAAATTAAATTTATCATTCTCTTTCCTTAATTGGCAACTACGAAAATTAGTAAATAAGGAAGATATGAGATTCAATTTAATTCATCATAATAATTTCTTTTAAAATCAGTATACATCTTCTATCATCTTTGTTTAAATTTATTTAATAAAATAATTTGAATCACAATATAAAAAATCTATCAAAAAAAATCTAAAACTTTTTCTGTACATGTTATGATTTGAATTTTTAAAAACAAAATAATATAAATTGTTTCGTATATAACCTCATTTAGTAGGTATCCAAAGGTAATTTTTTTTTTCATTTAATATGGTTTTTTAATTAAAATCTATAATTAAATCGAATAAAAAATTCTTTTTATAAATATTTTATTTTGATTAAACTTTTGAATATTACTCTATCTGTTTCAACTTTCTATACAAAATTAATTATATTTTTGCTGTTTTGACAATTTGGATTCTGCATATTATTTTCTGATTGGTTGGATTGTTTTGAAATTATAATAAAGCATGTTTTAGTTTTGAAAGAAAGAAAAAAATTAGTTCTAATCCGTGTCCACACAGCTAAAACTTTTTATCTTATGAAATACATGATGTATAATTTTTCTAAAGAATAATGTTTTATTTTCAATTTTTTTTCTTTAAACTATCTTATTATATTATAGTTATTTGAGTTTTATGTATCTCGGTATCTATCATATTTAATGTGGTTACGATCAATGCTTTAATTTTTTCTTTTTAAATGGATTAAAATGCCTAATTTCCATACTATAAACGAATAACAAAGGTTAAAAATCTCTCGCATAAAATGTCGAAATATTTAAATAAACATTTTTAATAAAAATACAAATTCAGAAACTATCACCCCGTGCAAGGCACGGATCAAATCCTAGTATCTATTAATTGTGTTTAGTCCATTTATATCCCTTTTTTGGTACGAAGGAGTAGGAAAATCGAGTGTTTTCTTCACACCATCATCCACCGAACCATGGATTTTGCGAGACAATTTCTCACGGGACTGGAAAAACTGGGACCATGCACATATTGCATATTAGCATATATTGCCAATTGATGTGATAAAATCAGACATTCATTGGCTCTTCCACGCAGCCACGTTTTAAACTGGCTGTAAATGCCAAATATAGAGATAATGTTTTATTGTCCGATTATAGATATTTTTAGGAAATGGATGAAGACAATCTATCGTTGCTAGTATTTGGGAAAAACCCAAAAATAGGAATATCTATGTACAAAATGGAAGAAACTGTGAAAAACTAGTTTCCCTAAAAAATAGGGAATCTATTTCACCAAAATCTTGCATGGATGAAAAAAAATGGATTTTTTTCAAAAACAAAAACCAAAATCTAAAGTAGAATCTGCAAACAACCGAGGCTGGTTTAACCGTGGACAAAATCTAACATTTGGACCATATATATTATTTTATTACTTTATCGAGATTATTAATTTATCGAGAGATAACTAGATCAAAAACTTAATTTGGGACTCAAAAGTTCTATTAATTTCTGGAGGTATTACGAGTACTAGAAGTTCTACAGTAATAATAATTATGAAATCCAAAATTTCGAATAGACAGTTGATGATTTGATCGATGCTTATAAAAAATGAATTTGAGGTAAGGTTATCTCTATTAGAAAACAAAAATTAGAATGTTATGTTCAATACAGTGTAGCCAGATACTTATGGTATGATATGAAACTGATTAATGAAAAAAATTGAATTACATATATTGATTTGAGTAACCAGGACATGTAGTGTAATGGTTTGTGATAGTGTTGTCGATGCAACACCAAACATGTCATGATGACTTTTAGCTCTATATAAAGCCGCCACAATGACAGTAGTAAGAACACACTTCAAAATCAATCTCAAACTTCTATCCGTTTCACCTATCTCCTCCAAAGACTACCTTCCTCTCCATTTATTTTTGTTCTTAAAAAGAGAAAAATAGAGAGAGAGAGAGAGAGAGAGAAGCATTTTCTCTAAATATTGAAATGAATTCTCTGATGAAGCTCTTTGTTTCCCTCTCTCTCTTGTTTTTCACCTCCCTCATTGTTGGTATTCTCCAACCCTCTAATAGCTCTCGTTATATAAAGGATTCTTTAGAGTATTCCTCAACCTTCTAATTAATCACTGTTTTCTAATTCTGTATTGGCGCAGGAGAAATCAATGGAGTTGAAGGTTCACATAAGCATCATCATCATCATCACTTGAAGGGTTTAATTCCAAAAAGGTTGTTTGTGTTTGGAGACTCTTACGTGGATGTCGGAAACACTAAGAAGAGTCCTAATGTTACTGCTTGGAAAGTTCCTTACGGTATCACCTTCCCCGGTAAACCCGCCGGTCGTTCCTCAGACGGTCTTGTATCCACCGACGTTTTAGGTTCTTACTCTCCTCTTCCCATCAATGTTATATAACATTATTTGCAAATGTTACATTTGTACTGATATATTCAAATTGAAAAGTGCAATATGTTGGTGTATGGATGCAGCAAAATTAATGGGGATAAAAACGCCAGTCCCCTACATCCGTAAGGATGACGTGGGAAAAGAACGGCTGAAATATGGAATGAACTTTGCGGTCGGAGGAACCGGAGTGTTAGTCACCGGAGTGGTAATCAACACTCTAAATCCAAACATGACCAATCAGATCGATTTCTTCCAGAAGCTCATCGGCAATATCTACTCTCCTTCCGACCTTAGTTCCTCCGTTGCTCTTGTTAGTGTCTCTGGCAACGACTACTTCGATTACATTTACAAAAACAAGCTAACTGTAAGAAAACATCATCTTTGTTCTGTTGTTTTTGGTTATTCATGTGTCGGTTTGCATACTAATTCCTATTACCAACGCTTTGATGATTCTTTCACATTCTAGACAATCGACTGATCTTCTTAACATTACATTCTTTTCACATTTAACTTTTACAGGTTTTGAAAATCATTTAGAATGTATAGTCGGACCTCTATTAGATCTATTGATTGAACTTGCAGTTTTAATTAAAGTTTACATTACACTTTTACATGAAAAATAAAAAATTAGAATGTGATCCATCATGCTTAGTACGTAGATTTGCATGGGTCATTTTAGTTTTACAGTACCTAATTAATGTGTGCATTATATGAAAACTGATCTCCCTATTTAACCAAAAACAAACAAAAAAAACAGTGGAGCACAGCCATTTTGTTTTGAATTATTTCTTTTTTTTTGGCACATTTGTTTTGAATGATTCATTTCTTATTTTTTCATTGTATCCGGCAGGGCATCTTTGAATTCATCCCGAAAGTTGTGAAACAAACAGAGGTAAATTTGCGGCGTATCCATGCGTTGGGAGTGAAAAAGATAGCAATTCCGAATTTGCAACCGCTCGGATGCCTCCCCTCCTTCAGCTCCCTCAAAGACCCCTCGTCCCCGAAATGCATCGATGAAGTAAACAAGGTGGCGATATACCACAACACCTTGTTGCAGAAATTAGTGGCCAAGCTTAACAAAGAAACCAAGAGGTCGACTTTCGTAACAATTGATCTATTCAACGCTTTCTTGACCATCATCAAGAACAAAGGAGTTCCAGGTAACAAAGTTTTTTTTTTTTTTTTAACACAATTTATGCTTAAAACCCTCGAGGTTTGTATGTGAATGGTTTGTGAAAATGAAGGGAGTACGACGTTTGAAACCCCTTTAACGTACTGTTGCAAAGGAGGATGTGGGAGTGTGGACAAGAACGGTGAGAAGAAGTATACCGTATGTGATGATCCCAAGTCTGCTCTCTTCTGGGATGAAATTCACCCTTCACAAGAAGGATGGAAATCGGTTTATTCGGTTTTAGGAAAAGATATAACCGCGGCTTTGATTAAACCGTAAACCAATCTTCAGTATCGAATAACCGAAAATCTGTTCGGAATATTTAAATATTTCTTTCTTAAGTTCAACGTTTTCTTCATGCATTTGTGTTTTCAAGGCCTTGTACGTCTATGTGTATGTGTATGCGTATGTGTATGCGAAATAATAAACATTGGCCAATAAAGTCGATATAGATTGTTCACTGATCTTATAACAATATTGGTTCATATCACTTATCTTACATATTACATATATTAATGGAGTAGTACTACATAGAGTACCCTAATGGAGATTTCTTCTCAAAATGCCACCGAGACAGTTTAAAATATCAAATACGAATTGAGCTAACTTAGAAAGAGTCAAATTACACAAGCCTACATGATAAATAATAAACCAAAGAGAGCAAATATAATATAATAACTTGATAAGCCAAAGATGGTTTACTCCGGTTTAGGATTTAGCATCTTGGGTCAACTAATATTTGGACAAAACTGAAAACAAAGCCAATCGAAATCGAGTTAGGCCAAGAAGTCATGTTCTGGTTGAACAACTCGAGAAGTAAGAAAGTCTTTTTGGTGCTTTGGAGTTGCTTTAGTTGCAAACCACCACATACACTTATGTGCTGTCTGTCTGTTATCGAAGTTGTTAAATAATTGAGGAACGCAAAACATGGAAAACACTTTTATTTTGTTAAAGATAAATAAAAATAAATTACATTACTATAAATATTATTCCACCAAATCTCTCATTCATATTCGGCCCCCGAATCCAACTCTCAAAATAATGATTAATTTGATTAATTTATTATTCTTATAAATAATTAGTAAGTAGATATTTTATTAGGTGACACGAGTCATCTCCACCAAAGCTTCTTCCTTTTTGTCTTCTTTTTCGATTAAGCTTGAAATTTGTTTGTTGGGTTTGGTTTTAGATCGATTCTAGAAATCTGTTCTGCCAAAAAAATCCCAGTTATAAAGTGAAGCTACTCTCCTCTTTCTCTTTATATCCTCTTAACGTGTCATTACCATTTACCAGCTGGGTTTGCTTCATCACTGTGATTCTTCAATCTTGAAGCTTCAGATTCTTCTTTAAGGTTTCTTTTTCTTCTGTTCTGTTTCTTACTTTTGTCTAAATGTTGTTGGTCTCCTGTAATTAAAGATCCCATCTTTGAAATTAAATGCACCGCTATTAATTTTTCAATTTTTTTATTTTGTGATTTGTTGAACAGTTTCGTGATTTCTTCCTTAATAAGAAGCTTTGATGACTATCTTTTGCAGTTTAATTAATTGATAATTAATGTTTATAAAAATTCTCTTTGCCCATTTCATCAGTTTTATGTTTATTTTACTTCTTCTTAGATCTGGAAAAAAATTATAATAATTCATTTGTTTACAGAGAAGAGACCTTTGTTTTTCTATTCGTCTCTTTTCGAATTCTTCTTAGCTGTTTCGCTTTCACAGTGGCCCAGAGATTTGTTCGTCGGTTTCTGGGAGAGTGAGTGAACTCTGAAAGGAGCAATTTTTTTTTGTTATCTTCTCGTAATCTCATCATTTTGGAGAAAAAAAAAGTCTATCCTTTTCATACTTTTCTAGGAACATTTTTCTAGATTATTGGCTTACATGCTAAAAAAGTTTCGATTTTTATTTGCTTATTAGGTACCTTGTTGCATGTGCCTAGAGATCAGTCTATAAAGAATTGAGATTTGGTGACAACTTAGCTCCGGAATTGGGTTTCTTTGTTCTCTGTTCTTGCGAAGAGAACACAAAGACGCTGGCTTTGGTTAGTTTCTAATTGCTGAAAGCTTTGAAATGTCTTTGTTTTTGTATGGAAAATGATGAATTTTGATGCTTTTTGTAGCTCTCAGTAAATAGAGTATGGAACATGATTTACCGTCGATTAATAAATCATGGAAGTCACTTGTGAAGAGAAGAAACAATTCTCAAGAAGGGGTAATAAAGGCTTCTTCTTTTTTCCTTTGTAGCATTTACAAAAATTCCTCTGTTATGCTGTTTCAGAGTTTTGATTTTGATGTGGGAATGCTGGAGATTTGCAGGGTAAATCATCTTGGAAAATGAAACCAATTGTGGCGCTCATGTGTACAGTACTTTTGATCTTTTGGTATAAGACTACAAACATCCAGTATGAACAGACAGAGGTATGGTGGAAGATAATCATTTTGGTTTATATCTCTGTTAATATGATGCTGAGATTATTGATAAGAATTTTCTGTTTTGTTTTGGTGTTTCTCAGATAGAAGAAACAGATTATCCATTTGAGATGGCAAAGGTAACATTTTTTTTTACAGTCTCATGTTGATTGCATCAACCGGTCTAACGCAAAATCTTGTTCAGGAATCTGAACCGGTCAGTGATAGGTTGAAAGGCTTGCCATATGGTATCATACAGCCTAAATCAGATTTGGAGTTAAAGCCACTTTGGTCAAGTAGTAGTGTGAGATCAAAGGTTAGATATATCTATAAGCCTCATTTAGCTTAGAGGAATCAAACATGTTGGTGACTAGAAGCATTTCTGATGTAACAGGGTGGCGAATTGACGAACCGTAACTTGTTGGCAATGCCTGTAGGAATTAAGCAAAAGGATAACGTTGATGATGTTGTAAAGAAGGTAGTGTAGTTTCTCAGTGTCAGTGAAATAGTGAAATCAAAGAAAAGTTTCTCTTTTATAATGTTAGTTTTGTTTGTTGTATTCAGTTTCTTCCGGCGAATTTCACTGTTATTCTGTTTCATTATGATGGAAACATGGATCAATGGTGGGATCTTGAGTGGAGCTCAAAAGCCATACACATTGTTGCACATAACCAAACAAAATGGTATAGTGATAGGAATCTTGTTTAGGTCTTTCATGGTGTAACAATGGTTTTGTTGAACAAAATTTTGATTGTACTCAGGTGGTTTGCGAAGCGGTTTCTGCATCCAGATATAGTCTCTATATACGATTATGTTTTTCTTTGGGATGAAGATCTTGGAGTGGAGAATTTCAACCCGGAAAAGTAAAAATTTTGTCTACCACTTCACTTGTAAATTTACAACCTTTAGAAGGTAAAATCTTGGTTCCTGAAGAGTCTTCTCTGCAGATACCTGAAGATAGTTAAATCAGCAGGACTGGAGATATCTCAACCGGCTTTGCACCCAAACTCGACCGAAGTTCACCATAGAATTACAGTCCGGTCTAGAACGAAAAAGTTCCATAGGTGAGTTCTTGTGAATTTGTTATTCTCTTGATAATTTGTGTCTTTGTTACTTACACAAAAGGGTTTACAACAAACGCAGACGAGTTTATGACAGTAGAGGCAATATGAAGTGCTCAAATGCTAGTGAAGGACCTCCATGCACAGGGTAAAAAGATTACAAGATTGAGTTTTTCTTGAATCTGCTTGATGTGCTTGCGAAGTTGATTTGCTTGACTATTTTTCTTTGTGTTTCAAGATTTGTTGAAGGAATGGCTCCAGTGTTTTCAAGATCTGCTTGGTTTTGCACTTGGAATCTGATACAAGTAATCAATCTCTCTTCAACTTCTCTTTAAGCTAAACCTTTTGTCACACCTTAAACCATTGCATCCAACTTCTTCTTGATTTTGCTATGGTTTGCAGAATGATCTTGTTCATGGATGGGGAATGGATATAAAACTTGGATACTGTGCTCAGGTAAAATCCAATTTCTTGCAACTTCATTCGCCAACTGCACTCTTCTCTATATGAATCGGTTTTGAATATGTGGTTATAGGGTGATCGGAGCAAGAAAGTTGGTATTGTGGACAGTGAATACATCTTCCATCAAGGCATTCAAACTCTAGGTGGAAGCAATTATCCAGAGAAGAAGGTAAGATCAAGATCCTCTACTTCCCACACATTCTCCTTGTATATCACCAAAACATGACAAATAAATTATCTTTGCCTAATTTCCACAGAACTCAGCTCGCAGTGGAGTCACAAGGGTAAGTCTCATTTCTTGAATGTACGAAAAGAAACAGGAAATTTCAGAACTTTGTTATGATTGTTTTGGCTATTTTCTTGATATACAGAGACGAGGTTCTTCGACTTTTGATCCAAGAACTGAGGTGAGTTATAATCACTCAATGGATCTGTTTTAGTCTCTTGCGCATTAGTGTAACTTTGTTGTGTGTGTGTGTGTTGTGAGTAGATACGGAGGCAATCAACATGGGAGCTTCAAACTTTTAAAGAAAGATGGAACAGAGCGGTTGCGGAAGACAAGAACTGGGTGGACCGGTCTTCATCGACCCGGAACCACCGGGTCAGTAATAACCGGAGACTGAAGCGGAGTAGTTTGATTTCAAGATTAGTGCAGAGGCAAGCTGAAGAGATTACAAAATAAACAACACATACAGTTTTTAATCAGATTAAATATAGAGTTTTTTTCTTGTTCTCATTGTTATATATAAGTTAATATAGTTAAATTCTTCACTCTCTTTGATTAGTGTAGTTTTTCATTAGTCTTCTTTAGATTAATTCCATTTCCACCACTTTGTTTGAGCGTGTTTTTCGAAAAAAAAAAATGGGTTTCACATTATATTGAGGATTTTATTAAAAAGTTTGATAAAGTTGAAACCTTTTTTGGTGTATATAAACACTTTTTCTATAGATATAAAGTTGAGGTAAATATTAAAAGGTTTTCTCCATCATTTTCATATGATTAAAAACAGCAATATATTTTTTTTGTTTTATCACTAGAAACTAACCTATTTTTCAAATGAATCTGATAAAAGGGGGAAAATTAATTGCTTTGTTACACTTCTGAAAATACTAATCAAAAAATCATGTTTCTTTTGTATTTTTTCATACAAATTGTAAGGAAATATTGATTTTTTTTATACAAACATAAAATTGTGCCGTGTGTGAGATGGATACTTTTCAAACGTTTGAAGAAGCAGACAAGATCATTGACCAAAGGACCATTTCAATTTGTTCCTCTCACTGTCTCTTTAGAATTTTCAAATCATTTTGAAAACTAGAGTCGTTGTTGAATTATCATTAAAAAAATAAAAATAGGCTAGTATTAATTACTTTTGGCTTAGTTTGTGATGACATTATATTTTAATACAACTAATGATAAGTGTAAAGTACTTAAGAGGATTAAGGATGATAATTTGATCAGATTAGATGAGGTATTTAACAATATATATATATATATATATATATATATATTTTTTTTTTTATAAAAGTAGACAAAAACACGAAATAATAAAGAAAACACCAAAAATGTCAAAATGACACAAAAAAAACTCGCTTTTGTGTATATATGTTTGTATATAAAGCTTCTCTTCAACGTTCGTCTAATTCTCGGTCCGTGTGCTTAAGATCTTAGATCGCTTTTCAAGTCTTCTGATAATAAGCTCGTTGAGTCCTCTGAAGCTGTAATCTTTCTTTAGCCATGGCTAATCGCTATGATCCGAATCCTTTCGCTGAGGAAGAAGAAGTCAATCCTTTCGCTGTAAGCTTTCTTCACTTTCTTCAAAAGTAGAGATTCATCGATCGATCTCCAATCTTGCTTCTCGGAAATGGGTTTTCGAATTTTGTTGGATTCGTTGACTCTTAGAAATCAATGGGTTTTTTACTTTAGGGTTTATTTGGGGGAAATCACTGAAAATGGGTTAATGGAATTGAAACCTTATGAGAGAGATTGTGATTCAAGTGTTGTGAAAGTTTCAAACTTTAAGTTTTAACATAGTCGAGAAAAGTGTTGTTCTTGATCTTTGGGTTTGTGATGTTCTCTCTAAAGTCTGAAGCATGAAAGTTTGTGTTTTTCGTAACTGATTCGTAATTTACATTATTCAGAATCCAACTGTTGTAAAAGTTTCTAGCTTTCAGTTGAACCTAATTGAGAAAATGTTGTTCTTGATCTTTGGGTTTGTGATGCTTTTCTCTGTTTTGTTATTTTCACCATTTTAACGCGCAGTAGATGTTTCTCTCTAAATTCTGAAGCAAGAAAGTTTGTGGTTTGTTCTTAACTGATTCGTAATGTTTTTGTTAAATCCTTTGTAGAATCCCAAGAATATTCCGCCTGCGTCGAATTCGAGACTTTCTCCTTTGCCTCCGGAGCCTGTTGGTTTCGATTACGGTCGCACCGTAGACATTCCTCTTGACAGGGATAGTAGATCCGGTACACAGGTTAGTTAGAGATAATGGAGTAGATGTTTATACAAAATGGGATTAGGTTGATTTTTGAGTTAAAAATGATAGCTTTTTTGTCTTGTTTGATTGTTTGGGAATCTCAGGATTTGAAGAAGAAAGAAAAGGAACTTCAAGCCAAAGAAGCTGAGCTAAGACGACGAGAGCAGGTATTGACTCCTACCTAAAAGTAGTTCTATTGATGGTCTTGAATTTGCTTAGTTTGTGTTTATTTTAAGCTCTCTTAAGTAAAAAGACTAGAGATTTTGACTCTTGTTTTAAAAAGTTGAAGTCTTTTAGATAGCTACTTGCAGTGGTTTTATATGTGCACACATGATTAATTACCGTTTTCTTGGTTACATGATCAAACCTTTGAAATTTCGCGTTACCTATCAGCGGCTTTGTTCTTCATTTGAATGTTTTGTTATGGTTCTTCTATGCAGGAACTCAAGAAGAAAGAAGATGCTGCTGCACGAGGTACTTTGCTTATCAAGTTTAGGCGACAATTGTTAACTATTTTCTCTTTTATGTGTCTTCTTGATTGAATGATTCATGTTCCTTCTTATTTCAAAATCATTAACTTTACGGTTCTCTCTATGCAGCTGGAATTGTAATCGAAGTGAAAAACTGGCCATCATTTTTCCCAATTATCCACCATGACATTGCAAACGAGATTCCGGTTCATCTCCAACGGCTACAGTATGTTGCCTTTGCAACGTATTTGGGTACGTATTTTGTTTCCCTACTTTATCAGTTTTCAAATTTCATTGCTTATTTACTCAATTGACACATTTAGATATTGTTCTTGTTCGGCAGGGTTGGTTCTTTGTCTTTTCTGGAATATCATTGCCATTACTACAGCTTGGATCAAAGGAGAAGGTTCGTTTCTTTAAGTCTTATCTCAAGTTCCTTCATTCGCCTTTACTTAACACTTAAAACGAATGTGGTGTAATTTTGCTTCAGGAGTGACAATATGGCTTCTTGCACTTATTTACTTCATAGCTGGTGTCCCTGGAGGCTACGTGTTATGGTATCGGCCACTCTACCGTGCCTTCAGGTTCGGAGTTTTCCACTTTCAACGTCTGGAGTTTTTGTTAAATACTGAGTTTTTTTCAACATTGTTGTTGAATGTGTTTGCAGAACTGATAGTGCATTGAGCTTTGGGCGGTTCTTCTTGTTCTATATGGTGAGCGAAGAAGAAGTTTAACTTTCATAGTTTAAACTTTCTTTGACTCACTATGAAAAAACTAGTTCTGAAAGCTTTGTTCTTGCTGCAGCTCCACATTCTTTTCTGCGTCTTTGCTGCAGTTGCTCCACCTGTCGTCTTCAAAGGAAAATCTCTTGCGTAAGTATTTTCTCTTGTCTAAACAATTGAAGTTGATCTTGTCACTGTTTTTTTATCCAAATCTTTATAGCATATTCGTAACTATTTTGGTACTTATCACTTGGTAATGGTCTTATATTCTACTAAATCATAGTTGCATAAGCATCTTAAGCCATTGTTCTTGAAAAATTCTATTTCTTTTGTAATCACAAGCCATTAAGGATTGCTCAAAACCCATTTGAATATATGAAAACAAATTCAAATTCTTTATCTCAAAGTCAGTCCTTGGTGATTGTCACTCAACTAAATGATTAGTTGCACAAAGTAGTTGCTGCTATCCATTGTTCTTGAAATTTGTCTTCTTTTTCTTGTTATTGATAACAGAGGGATCTTACCTGCAATAGATGTCTTAAGCGGTAATGCATTGGTCGGGGTAAGCAAGCTCTCTCACCTTTTGATGGATCTTAAAAACAAACTCTAAGATAACATTTTTATTGTTAAAGCTTAAAGCTTGATCTTTATTGTTATGAATCATATGGAGCTTATGTTGTTATGTTTACAGATATTCTACTTCATTGGGTTTGCATTTTTCTGCCTGGAATCAGTGGTCAGCATCTGGGTCATTCAGGTCTATATCTTTAGCTCTCATCACTATATTATCATCAGCTTTGACATAACTTTGTCTCAAATGTGTTTCTTCTTTAACATGATTTTGGTTTTTGGTTTGAGCAGCAAGTGTATATGTACTTCCGAGGCAGCGGGAAGCAAGATGAGCTGAGACGGGAAGCGGCGAGAGGAGCCCTGAGAGCCGCCGTATGAGAGACCTCCGTGTAACATTTTGTGGTTTGTATGTAATCTTTCACTATTTCTTCCTCTTTTCAGATTCTTTCTTCACTCTCTCTCTCTCTGCTCTGTAAGCGAAAACTAAAGATCTAATTTTTCTTTATACCTTTTTATCTCATGTAAATCTGCTTGTTCAAAAGTCAAGAGTTTAAAGAGATTCATACAATTTTTGAAATTATTTATGGATTTCCACTGATTGCAAAATTCATCATATTCTTTCATTGTCATGGTTGGTTTAAATGTTACAAGTGGCAAAAATATTTGATATTTTTCACAGATTTTGAAAATTAGTAGCACTTGTATAAGAATAAAATGGATATATCAGTTATTACAAGATATTTTCCATAAGTTAACATATATTTTAGTATCATTTGTTACAAGATAAAAATCAAGAAACATTCCAAATCAAGAAAACAATATAATAGAACTTATTCCCATTCACATTTTTCAAGTAATCAACAAAAAGCCACACATTTCTTTTTACAGTCGATGGTGCAACAACCGCCTCCACCACCACCACCGTATCCTTTGCCGGAGCTGCTAAAAGACTTGAAGCACTTTGCCGGACACGTCAGCTTCTTCATGAAACAATGACCTTTCTCTTTACACACCTTAGTTGGTCTCACCACACCATTCTTGTCGTGTCCGCCGCTTGGTCCGCCGTAGCCACCACCGTATCCGCCTCCAATGTTTCCCCAATCCTTGCCACTGAAACCCGGTATTCCGAAATTTGTTCCTGGCGGGAAGTAACCTCCTGGTGATCCATAGCCCTTGTCATTCTTGTTATTATTACCTTTGGAGTTTTTCTTGAGCTCGTTTGAGACGGATCCGGATGATTCGGGTCGGGTCAGGCGTGAGTGGGAAAGTGTTAGTGTGAGAAGCAAGAATGTGAAGAGGAGATTGAGTTTTGTAGTCATTTTTTGGGAGAGTTAGATTTGATATTTTTTGGATTCAATGGTTCATGAAGAATTATATGGTTGTTATATATAAGAAGTTCTTTTATGTGTAATGAGAGCATTTAATTGGTTTGAATGAGAAGTTGGTGAATGGTGATAGTTGAGAACAATGTAACATGCTATGTAGTACTTGTGAAATAGTTTTATAACGACATTTGACATATGAATCAGTAAATTTTGTTTGAGTTTGTTATCGAAACAGTGATTCTTTTTACATTTACCACTTTTTTGGTTTTCAGAGTGGTTACTAATTTTTTTGAATAGTTTCATATATTTTGTTTATCAGTCTTTGAAAGAAAAAAGTGATTTTAGCAGATCTTAAATATTTCTAAATCAGATATCCGAGTCATGTTTTAAATTTGGAGATACATGATGAGCTGATGATACCACTATCAGAATTTTAAAGAAAATAATAATATGGCCAAAACCAAAAAATATGAAATGGTTTAAAATTAAAAGTATATAAAATGAACAGAAAATTAAAAGGACTCATGTAGTCATGTCTCTATCTCAAAGTCTGTTAGTAATCCATCCTAATATGGTCGGTCCATTCTCATGATAGTCTTATTGCAATTTGGCAAATACAAACCCAAAAATGACTTTATTGCAGACAGATAAATGTGTTGACAGATAATTTTCCCACTTCACGTAGCTGAAGAGAAAGTGCCATTAAGTTCCTCAACTATCAGTGTAGCATCTGCTTTTATTATTCTTAAAAAAACATAATTTATTTATAAATATCTGAATTTTGAATCACTAATTTTTACAAGGTATAACAAAAATCATTCAATTTATGTTAAAATATTTCCAACTAATTATCCATAATTGAGTAGTTCAGTGGTTGGCGTTTTTTCATTTTTCTGATAACCTAGTGGTTGGGTTTTTTGGTACATGATAATATTTAACATCTTATTTATTTACTAAATTGTTTTCTTAAAATTATTTTCAACGAGTTACAAACTTGTTGGGGAGCTTTCTCTGTATTTTTCTAATAAAAGTCTAAATGAGAGCGAAAATTCATTCACAAGAAACCCTACCTGTCTACTGAGTGTATTTGGTTCAACCACCGTATTCCGTGAAAATGATATTTCAAATGGACTTCTCGTATTTCTATTAAATACTAGAATGCTTATATAATTCTGTATTTTGTTAAGAAGACATTGTCCAATAATAAACAAGTACAAACATTGAATATTTATTGTATATCTGTTTAAAATATATCATAGTTGCTAGAAAGATATTTCTGTCATAATGGTAGAGGCCTAGAGGGGATTCACATAGCAAATACACCAATATTAATGATAACCATGCTATTAAAATATGCAGAAAGAAAATATATCACTTCGATCATTAGATGTATGGGCACAAGAGATCTACCCAATTGGATATATGTAAGACTTATCTTTATGCCTTTCAAAGTATTGTTAGGATGGAATAGTACTGCTTTTTGCAAAAGAAGATTTACAGAGAACGAATATGAATTGTTCATAATATTTCATTTTTCTAAGAGTGTCAAATACTGAGTGTAAGAGAATTTTGGGTTTGATGGTCAGCAGGAAAGTTCATGGGAAAGCGATTTAACTCCTAGAAAACAAGTGTAACTTGGACGAGTGGCCAGGATAATTTCGATTCAACATGGTGTATTTTTCAAAATTATTATGACGTTTAAGTCAGATAAGATCATGTAATTAACTTGTAAAGAATATGGGAATCCTAAAACGGTCTTTACCAAAATATATATATATATATATCCCTAAAATGGTTCTTTCACTATAATATTTGTTTTCAAATCTCATTAACGTATCGTGATTCTGCATATAAATATATTTTGTGTTGCTCCTCAAATCAGTCGAGTAGTGATAATTTGAACACATTACATATGTGCTTATTGTGCTATGTCTCTAATTTGAGTTTGTGTTTGTGTCTTACTGCTAGTTTTCAGGCAAACTTATCACAAAATATAACTGGGAAATACTGTACATGTGAATATGTGATGTAATTAAATTCAAGTAAAATTCTAAACATACAAAATGGAGTGTTGATTGATAACCTTTGTACGTCAAAGTTATATATAAAAATCGACCATTTAACGTTAAATATGAATGTAACAACAGATCATATATATGAACAATTATAGCAATACTTGGTGATATTGCAAAAAAAAACAAAAAAGTATATATACACTGATACACACAACAAATTTATTCACAAAACCCAAAGTATAGCTGAACTATTTATACAAACACCAAAAAATACAAAAAAAAAACCCTTCAAGCTTCACAAATTAATTAAATTTAAAAGTTTTTTCCACTGTAAACTGTTTTTCTTTTTGGGTTAATAAAAAAAATCAAAAACTTTATATTACCCGTCTAAACATTTTTATATAAAAAAAAACCAATAAAGAGAATAGTCAAACGAAAAAAAAACAAACTAAACCCCACGACCAGTGATCTCTTTGTACTGTCTCAACGACTCCATTCTCTGCAACTTCATCTCCTCATTAAACTTCTTTATAAACGCCTCGACTCGCCGATTCAACTCGTCCTGACTCAGCGACGGCTCCTTCTTCACCACCTTCGCCGTCTCCGGCGACTGGTAATAGTTAGTCCTGTCCCTAAACGTCTCCGATTTCTTATAAACCGGTTTCGCCACCTCCGCCTCACTCCCGCCGGAATCTCCACGGCTAAACGTGTCGGATCTCCGGTATAACTGTCTGGTGGTCAACGGCGTTGACTTCCCTTCCGTTATCATCTTCCACGTACTCTCAAGTGTCTCGTTCTTCTTCGGCTTCGCCACTCTCAACGCTCTTCCAACTGCAAAACCCGAAAATCATACAGAAATTACAAATTTGCCACTCTGGAATTTGACTTTCAAACCACCGACGCGTAATATCGACGCCACATTTGAATTTTCAAATTAATTTAAAATCTACCTAACCGTTTTTTTAACAAACTTCTTTTTAAAAACAAACTTTATTAATACTCCGATTAAATTAAATTAAAATTTTACCTTCTGGAGTAGCTTTCACCGATTTCCGGTGGCCGAACCTTGAAGAAACCAGAGGCTTCTCAGTCGGAGGAAGATTCTCCGATTCATTCATCCTCGACGGCAGATGTTTCCAATTTGAAACCGGCGGCAACATCACCTCCTCAATTCCACCACCGGATCTAACCAGATCGGAATTCTCCGCCGTAATCACGCTCTTAACCTCCTCTTCATCCTCCACCATCGCCACCGGATCCATCATCTTCTCTTCCTCCGCCTCGTCATACACAACCGCCGTAACCACCTCCGGTTCCGATTCCAGCTGCGGAGACGGCGGATTCGCGATTATAAAACCGAAATGCGAATCCCGATTCAAATCCTTAACCTCCAGAATCCGCGGAGAAGCTTGATCATGGACAATCGGCTCCGTCTGGATCTTATAATCTCCACCGCCGCCGCCGTACACGATCCCATCGTCTTCCTGCTCGTCATGGTGGCCAATGCTTCGGTAATATTTCGAAGAAGCGACGATGGTGATGATGATTCCGTTGGTGAGGACGTAGAGATACGGCGGTTTCAGCCACAGTAACAAGCAACTCCACAGGATCGGAGCTCGCGAAACGGAGAAATCGACAGCTACCGGAACAGAGACCTTGAGCAACAGAGCCACGGAGGCGACGCCGCTTGAGATTAGCACCGCCTTGATCGTCATCAACCACGAAACCATTTTCTCCGATCTCACCTCTCTCTCTCTCTCTCTTCTCTCTTTCACGATTGTGACTTATGAGTGTTCGTATGGGGATGTGTGTACGGTACACGCTCAAGGACCATTTTCTAATTTATATAGGGAGGGAAGTAGACTCTGATTTGATATCTGCCGTTAGATCTATGTTAGGATTTAGATGGACGGTTGCGATTTACGGGAGAGCGATGACAAATGGGTCCGGGTAAATCCATCGGGTTTTAAATTACATTATCATAATTTTTAACGATGGTCAAAAAACTAACTATCTCTTACGTGTAAATATTATATGTGAAATAAATGCTGATGTTACATGATCATTCTCGATTGAAAGTTACTGGTGGATTTTTAAAGGATATTATAATGTGTTGTGTTTCCGTTAATGATGAGTTTTATAGATATAGATGATGATTTGTTACTACTTTTAACATAAATATCCATTACAAAGGAATTATTGTTTATACAAGAAGAAGTGAGCAGCAAAAGTCAAGCAAGAACTCTAGATTGCATTTTGTTAATGAAATATCTACTTTACATTACTCCACGAAATTGTGATGGGCGCATATAACCAGATTAGTCTAGAGACCAATAAAGTGGTGTGTATTGATGACATGAGTGTGGGGACAAAGTATATTCTCACTAAATACAGTATAAAATTAAACCAACGCATTTTGATTGTAGTGTTTTTTTTTGATCGAATGAGGGGGCTACACCCCCATTTTATTAATAGAAATTAAAAATTACGTCTTGGGTGGGATACAAGTCCCAACCGAATCCTCCATAAGAATCGGACGAACATCATCCGGAACAAAAGAAAGCAAATGAAAACGATGTTGAATCTGAGATAGCACACTTAAGAGCGAGTATCAAAGATTGAGTTTTTGGGAACTGAGAACTTTCACTCGAAGAAATATCAAAGGATTACAAGGATGGTGCTCTCGCCAAATAGGCTTGGCGAGGTGAAGTATGCAATTATAAAGAGGGGGTCTCGTCGAACAGGCCTCGACGAGACGGAATACGAAAATAAAGAGAACAAAGGAGAAAAGAGTAGCAATTGCTCTAGGTGTTTGCAGAGGATTTCTGGATCGTCTTCAAGGAATAGGGGGTCTTCTATTTATATGGAGAGGAGGTTGGCTTCTTCAAGATATTCTTCCTTTTCTCCAATTGGAAAACTTCCTCTTGTCCTTGATTTATTTCCATTCTTCAAGTCGGCATATATCTCTCTTTACAATTTTCCCAAATATTTGCCTTTCTCCTCAAGACTTGCCATTTATTTGAGGAGGTTAATGATGAAGGCGGGCTGGGCCTTGCTATTGTTACTAATTGTGACGGGCTCAGGGAAATGTGCTAATTTCTCCTCTAACAATAAGTCCCCCCCTCAGTTCGTCGAGTCAAATGCAGTTTGATCTCGGCGGACTTCATGTATAAGAGTAGAGCTTAAGAGCTATTAGTAACAATTGCGTGGCGCCAATGCTAGCTCGCCTTCGGTGCGATGTTGCGTTTTGACTTTAGATTCGTGCCGCCTCGTTAAAACCTTGATATGGAAAAACCACTATGGGATAAAAACCATAAAAAGGGAAAAGAGTACGTTGACGTCATCTTGTCCGCAATGTGCTTTTGGCAATTCCTCTCGGACTTGACGTCAGCTCGTCAAGGAGAATAAGTTGCCGTGATGAATTTTCTCGGATTTGACTTCAGCTGGTCAAAGAGATTTCTTTGTCATCGTTCGTCGCGGCATTAGAGCCTGTTGCCGTGATACTTCTTATCGTCGTCTGGAAAAGGGTTCGTCCAGTAGGGATAACTCGTCCGCCTTTGGTGATGTGGAGCTTGCGTCGCGGCGATTCGAACAGCGAAATCTTGCATGGGCGCGGTAGTCGCGGCGTTGGTGACTGGAGCTTCTTCGCCTGGGACCAATAGAGGGTTGACGCGACCGTTGTTCGTGTTGACGCGACCGTTTTCGACTTCAACGGGATGAATGATAGGGTTTTCATCTTCACCGAGTTTAGTTTGACTTTGCAGTCCGCCTGTTCTGGTGCCGCAAAGGTACGTCGAGATGGATAATTGTTGTACTCTATGATAAGCTTGCCGAGATGGAGGGGACAAAACAAGTTTGGCCAACTTTCGCCGGGATGCTGATGGAAACCTCGTTAGCTGGAGGAAGTTCTTCGAGAGAGGAGAATGCGAATGCCGAGATGGGGTCTGGTCCGGATGCTTCCAAGATCAAAGCTGCTTTAGCCCCCTTCTTCCTCACTCGTTTTGCTGAACTTTTGTCATCGGGGCGAATGTTATCGATGAGATAACATTGCCTGAGAGGGTTTTAATCCATATGCTGTTTGGATTGAAAATCGCAATTTAGATATAGTTGATAATTTCACAGCGCAATGAAAGAATCCAGCTTTTTACTATATCTTTTAATGAGGGGCGATATGCCGTCAACCAAGCGCAATGAATCAAGTATCTAATCGTCATTAGACTAATGAGTCAACATGCTGGGACGACTCGTCAACCTCAAGTGTGTCATGCCGAGATGCTACTCTTTGACAGTGCTAGTGCGTCGTGACGAGACGACGATGCTACGAAGCTCGTCAAGACTCTCATTCGAGACACCGACCTGTGCGTATTAGGTCTGAATGCAGCGGCTTGGTAGGCCTCATAATTCGGCGACGAGGTCTAGAAACTCGATTTATGCCTACGACTTTTAAGTCCGATACGCGTGACGAGACAGCGGTTTTTTCTCGCCCGTATGGCTTAGAACCGTGCGAGGTGCGTGCTCTCGTCTTTTGTGGGTGATCAGTCCACGGGTTGCTGTGCTTAAGTGCGTCCGAACGTTGGGCCAGAACGTCGGAGGAGTTGCGTTTTTTCGGAATTTTTGCTTTGCATGCTGTGCTTGCGTTGCTAACGTCGTCGGTGAGAGTTTCAGTTACCAGCTGAAAGTGAAGTTGTTCTTCAGGGTCTTTGCCGAGACGGGAACCCTTCCGAAAAGGTTCTGTAAGAAGTGCTTGCATTGGGGTTAACAAAGATAAAAAGGGCTTTTTATTTTTATTAATCCATAGCTGTGCCTTTAGTGAAAAAGGCTGCCTACGTACCCGTGCCGAGATCAAGCCAATCGTAGTTCGTTTCAGATGCTTCTGATTTCATTTCGGCGATGCAAAACGAATGACTCGAGATGCGTTTGTTGATCATAGCAGATCACTCGACCAAGTCATTCTTAGCCGTATTAATGCGAAAGCTAGCTGTTTCGACTTATTCCTACAGAACATGTGAGGCCATGCGAGGTTTTATCTCGGCAATGCAGAGATTGCTTATCTCGTCAAAGTAGGATTCATTGATTATTCGTCAACGAAGAGGTTCGTCGATGATTTGTTTATCGATGAAGAGGCGTGTTGCTTACTCATTTGTTGACGAAATAAATCTGCATTGCGATTGCGGTTGAATCAAGTGTCGCCGTCGTTTTCGACGAGATTATTAAATATTTAAAAAATAAAGTTATTATGCTGACCTTAAGTTGCTGATGAGTTTGAAGGTGACGACATGCTGGAGATGATGTTTCTGCCATTGACGAGACGGATGCGACGGTTTCGTGTCGTTGTACTTTTGCTGCTGAGCTTGCATCTGGGCGAATTGAGAAGCAATTTGAGCAGTAAAGCCTTGCATGGCGGCGGTTAACGCGGCGGTCGTGACGGGAGCTTCTACGTCAGGAACCGGTGGCGGCGGAGGCAGATCATCTTGGTGAGGGAGTGATGCAGGCGCGTTCTTCTCGGCGTCGTCGCCTTCATCTTGGCGTGACGGATTTTTACGTCGGCGCTGGTTTGCAGCTCGTCGATTTTCATCGCGGCGTTCAGCATTACTTTGGCTTTGCAGAGTATTGCTATACTCTTGTATCAAGCTCATGACGTGCCTACATTCTTCTGTAGTATGATCGGCTCGTCCATGGAGTTTGCACCATTTGGACTCGTCGCTGTCCTGTTGTGAAAGACTCCTTAGAGGCCTCCTTTTATTCTCTTGACGAGATGAATCTTGACGAGATGATGCGTGCCAGATGACTCCTTCGTCATTCCATGAATCTTTGAGTGGTGCGCCTTGCTTTCTTCGACGCAGACGTATTTTTGGGACTGTGCAAAGCGTCCTGGAGGGTTGCGGGTTCGTCGAGCATCAGACTCTCTTTCAACTTTGATTCGAACCAAAGCCCGTTTTCGAAAGCTTTGATTCCTATCGCGTCAGGGATGTCTGAGTGCTCTGCTGCTGCTGTTTTGAATCTCTCGACGAACTCGCGAAGAGGCTCATCTTTTCCCTGTGCCATAGTGAAAAGATTGGTGCTGCCTTTCGACATAAACATGCCAAAATGTTTCATGAATGCCGTGCTGAGGTCGTCGAAGCTGTCGATGGTCTCGGCGGGAAGATTTGAAAACCAGCTCGTCGCATCTTTGTTCATATGCTCGATGAACACTTGGCAGTAATTTGCGTCTTGTTCTTCATGGGAGGCATATTTTTGCCTTTTCATAACGATCTCGAAGTTTCTTAGCCAGCCTCGAGGATCGTCACCCTTGTTGTAGAACTGAAGACGGAGAGCCGTTTGATCCCTTAGAGGTATCGCGGCGATACGACGAGTGAAGGGACTTCTTTTCGTCTCGGCGAGGACTTTGGCGATCTCGGGTGCCGAGCTGATAGCGTCGTGCACTTTGGAGCTGATTGCATCGAGGTTGCGGCGCAGCTTGGCCACTTCTGGGTCTTGTCGCCGTTCGTCGCGATGCCTTTTACGAGACGAGTCTGTCGACGAAACGATTTGCTGATCTTTTATTGACGACATAATTTCTTCGGGGGGTTTTGAGAATGAGATTGATGCTTCTCCATCATGGCAATTTCGAACAAAAAATTATTGTTCGGGTTCTCTGCTGAGACGAAACGTCTTTAAGGAGTCACAGAAAGGTGCGTTCGCTTGAGCGAACTAATAAAAACAAATAGCTTTTTATTTTTATTAGTTTTACAGCTGCGTCTTGGTGAAAAGACTGCCTACGTACCCATGCCGGGATCAAGCCATTCGTAGTTCGTTTTGACGAGACGCGAAGCTACGCGTCTTGACAACAACCTTTTTTTTTTTTTGCACGACGCGAGGCTACGCGTCTAGACCAGAAATTTCGCAAGTTCATGGAGATCCATGAACGTGGGAGAAGTCTTCCACCGGAAAGTTTTCCTTCTCGTACTGCTCCAAGAGGTTACTGATGAGTTCCGTGCAGGTGTCGATAGAATGACCAGTTCTTCTGTGGAAGCGACAGTACAAAGTATGATCGCACTCGTCATTCGTGGTGTCGTCGAGCGGAGACGAGATGGGGTTGACGGAGCGGATTGTGACGGCATCTCGGTCACGTCCCAGTGATTCTCGGGGCTGTCATCTTCTGCAAAAGGGAATGATCTCTTCACGCCGTGCTTCTCGGCATAGAAGTCTTTATCCTCCTCAAGGAAAATGTAGTTTTGGGATCGGTGGAGCGCGTCTTCCAAGTTCGTCGATGGTCTCAGCGATAGGTCTTCCTTGAACTTTGAGTTGTACCAGAGACCGTTACGAAGTGCTTCGAGCGGGACACTATCTGGCATGTCGTCGAGATCAAGTGTTGCTTTCTTGAATCTTTCGATGAATTCTCTTAAGGGCTCGCCTTTTGATTGCGTCACAGTGAACATGTTTCGGGTGATCCTAGTCATGTTCATGGAGTAGTGCTTCAGAAAAGCATTGGTCAGATCGTCAAAGTTATCAATCGTCTCGGCAGGGAGGTTTGAAAACCAGACAAGGGCTTCGTTCGTCATATGCTCGACGAAGACTTGACAATAGTTTGCATCCCTCTCGTCGAGAGAGTCATATTTCTCTCTCGTCATGGCGAGGTTGAATGCCGTCAACCACTTCTTCGGGTCTTGGTCGCCAGCAAAGGGTTCGATCTTAAGTCGTACTCTGTCGTGGAGTTGGACTCGGCGAATCCTTGCTGTGAGTGGGCTCCTCCGGGTGTCGGCAAGTGCTTTTGTCAACTCCGGGGCTGAGCTAGTGATGCGATGGATTTTAGAGTCGAACTCGTCGAAGGCGACGGTGCATTCGTTCGAGCTCTAAGACTGCTCGTCTGCTAACTCGTGCGGGACGATTAGTGGTTCCGTTGGTCGTCGCGGCAGCGGGGTCCAACGGTTCCTCGTCGTCTTCTTGGGTCAGGGTATCGACCTGCTCCTGGGTCTTCTTTTGCTGGGCTCGCATCGCTTTGAAGCCCTCGGTTAGTGGCTTCAGGAGCGTCTGAATCGTCTTGAGGATATCGTCATGGCGAGATGGTCTGTCGCGGCATGCCGCGACGAGGGGAGGGCGACAGCGTTTCCCCTCGAGTCGGCAAGGTCGACCGACGAGATGGGCTCTTCTCGTCTCGGCGTAGGGCCTTCTTGACCGTTGCTGGGTCTCTCTCATCGTCAGGATCCTTCCGGTTTCGGCGAGGGCTCCTGTCGGGAGTGTTTTCTTCTAAGTTTGACATCAGCTGTCTTCTTATAATCCTAGAACTTCTTCGAGTTTGAAAGTGAAAAGCGTTCCCAGCCCCACGGTGGGCGCCAATTGTTAGATCTGAGATAGCACACTTAAGAGCGAGTATCAAAGATTGAGTTTTTGGGAACTGAGAACTTTCACTCAAGAAATATCAAAGGATTACAAGGATGGTGCTCTCGCCAAATAGGCTTGGCGAGGTGAAGTATGCAATTATAAAGAGGGGGTCTCGTCGAACAGGCCTCGACAAGACGGAATACGAAAATAAAGAGAACAAAGGAGAAAAGAGTAGCAATGCTCTAGGTGTTTGCAGAGGATTTCTGGATCTCTTCAAGGAATAGGGGGTCTTCTATTTATATGGAGAGGAGGTTGGCTTCTTCAAGATATTCTTCCTTTTCTCCAATTGGAAAACTTCCTCTTGTCCTTGATTTATTTCCATTCTTCAAGTCGGCATATATCTCTCTTTACAATTTCCCAAATATTTGTCTTTCTCCTCAAGACTTGCCATTTATTTGAGGAGGTTAATGATGAAGGCGGGCTGGCCTTGCTATTGTTACTAATTGTGACGGGCTCAGGGAAATGTGCTAATTTCTCCTCTAACACCCGACAACAACGAGAATGCATAGTTGGCTAACCCGTCAGCAAGACGGTTAGCTTCCCTATACACATGGAAAATACGGACTATCCAGTGCATTGATAGGAAGCCATGGCACAAGCGTACCAGGAATGACAGCGGATGTACCTCCTCAATCCTTGTCTTTAGAAAACCAGCAACAATCTCCGAATCAACCTCCAACTCTACTCTCTCTGCCTTACTCTCCCAAACCATGCACAATCCATAATACACTCCCCATAACTCAGCTAAAGGTGCCATACAGATACCAATGTTAAGAGCAAAACCTCGGAGCCAACTACCAGATTCATCACGTAGCACTCCTCCTGCAGTAGCAAGTCCCGGGTTACCTCGAGACGCTCCATTTGTGTTTACTTTGACCCACCCTGGACTCGGTCGTACCCAATGGACCAATCTCTCAATCCGTGGTATACTGCCTCTGGTAGCTACATTAGCCTTAGCATGAGCCGCTGTCACCTCTCTTGCTTGATCCTTCACAAACTGGACTCTGTCTCTGCATTTTCCAGACCCATTAAACACATTTATGCATCGCCATTTCCATCCCCACCATGCCGTCATAGCAAACAGAGTGGCCCATGGAGTATCCCAAACCTTTCCATGTTCACCAAGGTTCGAATATACCCATTCAAGTAAGGTCTGAGTGAAAAACTCTTGTCTTCTTCGTATCGGTACAATGCGGCTCCAGATTTCATGTATCGCTGGGCAATCTCTGAGAACATGTAGAATTGTCTCTTCTCCTCCTTTGCAAACCTGACACACACCTGACATTGACAAATGCCGACGCTGCCTTTCCGAGTTTGTCATAAGCACTTGGTGAACTCCAAGCCAGAAGAAGGTTCTAACTCGCTCTGGCACTACTACTTGCCAAATCCGTTTGAATAGGGCACACATGTCCTGGCGAGGACTGTCATCCAACGTGAGAAGTTGGTAAGCAGAACTAACTGTGAATTTTCCATATGTTCTCTCTCCCCAGGAGATCCTGTCCTTCGCTCAAGTGACATTATCAATCACTAGCGCCTGCAAGTGTAATACCACATTTAGCGGAAGCAAAGGCTCCAGCTGCTCAAACATCCACCCGGTTCCAGGTCTCCATAAGTCACAGACCCGCAACTCCTCATTCTCATGCGACAGCGGCATAAGGGTTACCTCTCGAAGCGGTTTCCCTAGTAGCCACTTATCTGTCCAAAATCTCACAAGTTTACCATCACCGATCACCCAGCTCGAACCCAGCATGACTATCTCTCTCAGTCCCAGACAAACGCTCCTCCATGTGGATGACCATGTCCCTTTAGGCACCAACCAACTCTGATCTTGAGCTTCTTTCACTTTGTATTTGTGTCGTAGCACTCTGGCCCATAGTCTATCAACGTTGTGTAGCAATCTCCATCCTATCTTAGCCAATAGTGCCTTGTTCATGTCAGTGGCGGATCTAATCCCGAGCCCCCCATTTCGCTTTGGTTGACACACCTTCTTCCAATTCAAAAGATGTGGTTTCCTCTTTTCTGTAGTGCTTCCCCATAGAAACGAACGTGTCACTCTGTCTAAGCTTCCAAGAGTAGATTTCGGCAGTGAGATCACACTCATTGTATGGACCGGTACCGAAGAGATAACGGACTTTGTGAGCGTGAGTCTTCCCGCGAAGCTTAAGCAACGTCCTTTCCATCCGGCGAGTCGTGCTGAGACTCTCCCAAGCGTTTCCCCAAAGGTGTCTTTGTTGATCTTCTTTTGCAGAATTGGCATCCCAAGATACTTTCCCAATTCTCGCGTCGCCTTGATCCCACTCTCCTCCGTGATCAACCTCTCCATATTACGGCTCACATTCTCCGAGAAATTTTTTTTTGACTTCTCCAAGCTAACTTTCTGGCCAGATGCAAGACAAAACTGCTCCAATACTCGTCTGATCACTCTAATTTGGCCGACTGAAACCTCAGCGAAGAGGATGTAGTGTTGAAGGGACAAGAGTCTTGTAGTGTTGAAGGGACAAGAGTCTTGTCGAGGAAAAAAGTGCAAAAAATATAGCTTATGGACTAAGTATGTATGTCATGTATCTTTCAGTATTATTTTGACCAAGAGCAACTCCTTTAAAGTTATTAAATTAAAATACCATAAATTTTAGATGACCATATGGTCATATGGACCATGCAAGTTTACAACGGTCATATATTGGACCGTTATATGAGGAAAGTTTCTTTCCATTTGGGTCAGCAGTGCTCGTGTCCAGCTGTGTTGCTCAGTGCTCCAACTCCAAAACTTTTACTTCGCAAGTGGCGCCACAACTTTACACCATTTTTATTGTTCTTTATTTACTGATATACATGCACCAATTTTATTGTAAAATCAATATACATCAATCACGCAGCTTTAGTTGTTGAAGCTCACGGTGAGTAACATTAGCCAAGTGCCCTTGAAAGTGGCTAACTAGACGACTACAAATTACATTTTTCTATGTGTTTTTCTGTTGTTGTAAAAGTTGAAAAACGAGAGAAATCCTGATTAATAATATATAGATTTATGTTACTATTTTTGTAAGTTTCTTTTTCGTTCAGTGAGTATATTGGATTCAAAGCCTTCACCTCACAAATTAGTTACCGTAGATCATGGCATTATTAGCTCGATATGAAACGTGGCCCTGATCCTAAAAACATCAGTATCGGATTATCCAGTAGATTTGTTGAAGAAAAATTGGGGAATTTGAAATCCCTTTTCTCAAAAAATAAAAATAAAAATACAACACCACATAAGTTTTGTAGACTCGATCTGTTTTCTTGTTCATAATGTTATGGTGTTCTGGTTATACTTTTTAAATGAAATGAAAATTGGAAAGTGCAAACGCGTGAAGATCCCCATTATAACGCTCCTTTGCTTTTTATAGATTTTTATTTCTTTTAGTCTTTTACTACTAAACTGAAGAAGATAAAGTATTTTTCTGATGTTGTTAAAAGAGATAAACTTAATGGTCGGTCTACTAAACCACCTTAACGTATGGCTTTTGTTCATTGTCGTATCTCTATCCATTCTCCAATTCTATTCTTAGACTCTTAGTCGTCAATGAATACACGTTCTCTAACATTTTCGTATTTCCATCCATTCTATGAAATAAATTGTGGTACAATAGTAACAAAATGAAAGAAAGTTTTGTTACCATGTACATACGTGATACGTCTCAAACTCTCACTAGAGCACATCTCGTAAACCACAATCATTTAGTAATATATGGATCTGTTTACAGATGTATCTGTATTGTCAAGCGAGCTTATAAACATAAATGACATTAGGTGAGTGAGTAGGTGACAAATGACAACACAAATCACCGTTGGTTTTAGTGTAAGGAGTCGCAAACGGTTGCGCCATAAGATCAATTATCATTAAGCTTCGTTTTTCATTCATCTAAACATGCTGGATTTTTACAAAAATTATAGATATATAAAGCCATAAGCTCAATTATCATTAGGAAAAATTTGTAACTATGATAATTTTTTAAAGATTTTGTTATTTTTGTGCTTTGAATCACAGTCTTTGGCTAGAAAGTTCGTCGAAACAGCGAAAGATGCAAACGACAACGTTTACAACCGTCAAGCTGACAACTGCTTCGACTGATAGGTAACTGTCAGTTTCATCCAACGGAAATGGACTGTGGTCTATCAACATTTAACACCCTCGCGATCTCCATCCACGCGCTAGCATTCGCGAGTTAGGTAATCGGATGACGTCATTCTTGTCGCGGGCGGTTTACTGTTTTGAAGAGTAAAACTCCACGTGTTGTCTAGCTACGTTGTTATTGTAAGTCACGCGCTGTTCTTCGCGAGTATTGATAATGGCATCTTGAACCGGTAATTTCTCGTGGATCAAAAATGGATGGTTTTAAGGAGAATCTATCTGAAGATCCGTGACTTGTGTGCACCGTCCAGAGCTAAATGAGATACGACACGTGTCGTTTGAAAAGCCATGAAAATGGGTCTTAACTCTTAAGATTTTCTCGGTGCTTCATTTAAAATTTTCGACAGAGATAATGTGAATAAATCACGGAATGGATAAAGAGGAGACAAAAATAATAAATGGTGATACATACTAATCGTTGACTGGCTCTACTAAAAGAAGAAGTTATATTTAAATTAACCAGAACATACGAATACGACGATACTCGGTTGATAGATTCAGTTACCGACCAATATCTAAACGTGTGTTTGGTAAGTCAATACGCGTACGAGGTATTTAATCATTTCTTTAATCGGTCGACTTTCATCAAAACTTAAAGATTAACGATCGTTTAGGTCGTCTTATGAAAATGTTTCACCACAAGAACGCATTTGGACTATAATCATAGCAATGATTGGTGATATAAGAAATAGTGGTGTAATAAGTTTGAAATGATAAGAAAAAAAAAAGTGTTTGAAATGATAACAACTAAGGTGGTACAGCCTAAGACAGTACGTACCATTTTCATTTTTTGGGCTTCTACATGGACCAGCCTAAGGTGGTATCACCATTTTTGTACTCTCTTCATATACTATTTAACTGACTCATTTAATAGTTTATCAATGCCACTTAACCCTTTATTGTTTAGTGTAGGTGATCTCTTACGCCATTGCAATAGCTAAAGCTAGAATATTTGATTTTTTTTTGGAGTTTGAATGCGATGATGATGATATTCTTTTTGATATATTTGCTTTTGTATATGACAGATGAATACATCAGATAATCTGAAAAATTTGGTCCAACTGATGAAGGAAAGGGAACACAGGCCAATAGATTCAATCTCTGACATTGATGTTACAAGAAAAAACTATCTTATGTTCAGTTATACAAGTCATGCAATGCACTCATGCCAATTGATACTATATATACAGACTATTCATAGTACGTAGTACATTGCCAATTTAGCTAAGAAAAGTTGTCATTGGCTAATATTGGATGATTTCCAAAACTGGTCGCTCTCTCTTCTCCAAACAAAACAATAAACAAAACCAAAACGTCTCTCCTCCAAAAATGGAAAAAAAATATCCTCCAATCTTCTTTCTTGTAGTCTTGTACGCATGCAGAGAATGATGATGATCTTCATCAAGATCATCGTCTCTTGAACCCTAAAAGGAATCTGTTTCTTACATAATTGCATAAACTTAAATTTTTGTTTAAAAGAAAATAGGAAAAAATGAATGATTTATTCTCAAGTTCGTTCAAGAAGTACTCGGACCTGAAGCAACAGGCCCAAGCGGATGATATTGAGGCAGGTAAAGAGACGATGAACCTCGATAAATTCTTCGAGGATGTCGAAAATGTCAAAGACGACATGAAAGGCGTAGAGACTCTTTACAAGAAGCTTCAGGACTCGAACGAGGAGTGCAAGACGGTCCACAATGCCAATAAGGTGAAAGAACTACGAGCTAGGATGGATGGAGATGTCTCTCAGGTTCTCAAGAAAGTCAAGATGATCAAACAGAAGCTCGAGGCCCTTGAAAAGGCGAATGCTAATAGCCGCAATGTCCCTGGTTGTGGCCCTGGCTCTTCCACCGATAGAACCAGAATGTCTGTTGTTAGCGGACTCGGGAAAAAACTCAAGGATTTGATGGATAGGTTTCAGGGCTTACGTGCTCGGATGAATGATGAGTATAAAGAAACAGTAGAACGCAGGTGAAGAAGAAGATCTTTCTCCCTTTTCTTTGTTTCTTGTATGATAAGTTATTGCTTTAACCATTTCCTTGGGTTACAAGTTATATGCTATGTTTTGTTTAACCTATCCTTGTTCCAATCGTTGCAGATACTTCACGATAACAGGTGAAAAAGCAGACGAACAGACGATTGATAACTTGATTTCGAGCGGCGAAAGCGAGAACTTTCTCCAGAAAGCGATTCAAGAACAAGGGAGGGGTCAAATAATGGACACGATATCAGAGATTCAAGAGAGACACGATGCGGTGAAAGAGATAGAGAAGAATCTTATAGAGCTTCACCAAGTGTTCTTAGACATGGCTGCTCTTGTGGAGGCACAAGGACAGCAACTAAATGACATTGAAAGCCATGTGTCGAAGGCGAGCTCGTTCGTGAGAAGAGGGACAGATCAACTCCAAGACGCGAGAGAGTACCAAAAGAGCTCGAGGAAGTGGACTTTTTACGCTATCATTCTCTTCCTCGTCGTATTCGCTTTGCTTCTTATACCTCTCTTCCCTCATATCATGCTCATGTTGAAATGATCTTCTTTTTTTGGGATAGAATCTTGCTTCTAAATATTTGTTCCATCTTAATTTTAATGGTATCTATAGATTTTTGTACATTTAAAAAGCGTTTTATTTATTCTATAAAAATTGCAAGAAATATTTCTTTGAAGGAACTCTTCTGCATAGTAAAATTATTTGCAATGTGCAATTGTCTTATCCATGTGACTGATGTGGGTTCGAGATGAGGTAGAAGCATCTGTATGATCGCATGAAGACGTAGAGTTTTTATAGTCTCAAACTATATGAAAAATCTACTCGAATTATTTTTCTGATTTTGAGTGTTATTATTCGAGTTCAATTTAAATACTGGTAAAGTTAACTACAACCTCTTTTTTTTCACTGAATGGGTTGGATTTGATAAGCTCAAAAAAGAGCAAAAGGTACACAAAGGTACCAGAGTATGGTGACAAAGGAAAAAACAAAACCATGAACAAGCCAAGCTTGTTAAAACAGGATCGGAAAGCCACAAGCCAAGCTCAACCGACAAAATAATAAACGAAGCCATCAAAGTTAACTACAACCTCATGGTTGAATAATTCGACCGGTTTTTTTAAATGAAAAAAAAATAATATTCAACAAAAGAAAAATTGTATTTTGTATATAAATTGTTAAATCAGATAAAAGAAAAATATAATTTTTATTTGATTAATTGTATTTTGCATATAAATTGTATTTTCTATATAAATTTTAATTGTACTTTGTATAGAAATTGTTTTCAGTTTATGTTAAATAAAATATCTAACAAAACAAAAATATCTTTTTTATTTGATTAAATTTGGAAGAATTGGGAATAGATAAAGAAATGGAAATAAAAATGGAAGTAAATAAAATTTAGAAACAAAATTTTCAAAACTTCTCAATAAATTGACAGCTATGTTTGACAAAACAAAATCGACAGCTATTTTTTTATATAAATTCTAAATTGAATTAGATATAAACACACCAAATCTTATCTTTTCTTTTCGGGACTTTCCTTGAAACCAAGTAAGTAAAAAAGACACGAGTTACAATGGATCCATTCGTATCATAAAATAAACGACGGACAAAGGCTTCATGGCATGCATGCACACAGTTCCTTTAGAAAGTACTAAATCCTACTGTATGTATACTGCCGAAAGAAGTATAATATCTTTGGACATGAAACTTTGTATATATGTCAATTTTGTTTCCCAACTAGGACAAATTCATAAAATTTTGTTATTAATATATTTTTTTACCTGACTTTCTAAATATAATTTTGTAAAAGCATTACTCAAAACTAATTGAAAGTTCTTCACCGCAAAACAAACACCTACCCAAAACCGTATCCAAAATCAATGGCTTCACACTAACTTTTGTGAAGAATCCATAGTGAAAATGTCAGAATCGTCAAACAAGGAGATGAAACGCACTGAATATCTTCCTGAAGAGGTGGTGGAGTACATGATGTCGCATTTCCTCCCAATCCAATCTCTTTTACGCAATCGTACGGTGGCCAAGAAATTCAAGGACATGGAGGTTCTGTCCCGAGATCTTGACTTCAGCCGAATCCACTCGGTGAAACGCTCTCAATCTGAGGCTATAGACATCATTGAAAGCGTTTTCAACCAGCACAAAGGCTCGGAGATTGATCGTTTTGTTCTACCTCTCGATCCTACTGGCGTGGAGGATAAGGTAATTCAATGGATCAATACGTGTCTTGCTAAGAACATAGAAGAGCTCGTGTTAGACTTCTCTAGGTCGAAGAAAGTTTTAGAGATCCCGATCGAGTTCTCGGCAATTGAGACACTAAGAGTCTTGAGTCTCAAATGGTGTACGTTCCAAATTCCGGACAATTCTCCAAAAGGTCTTAAGCTTTTGAGAACACTTGAGCTAAAGAAGACAAATGTGACACAAGAGATGGTGGATGCAGTTTTTAATAACTGCATCTACATTGCATCACTTGAGCTAGCCAACTGCCAAATGGAGGGGATCTTGAGCATCAATGCTCAAAACCGCAAGAAGTTCAAGTCTCTGGCTGTGTATTCCATGCCAAAGATCAATAACATCATTCTCAACGCACCAACACTCGAGTGTTACATGTATCATGGATTTGTGAGGGTGATTGACTTTTCAAGAGTGGATTCACTTAAAGAGGCAAAACTCCACTTTACTAAGAGTAAGAGTCGCAAATCCCCACTATCGGGCGGTTGGAGTAATCACCATTCATTTGACATGCTGCTTACGAATATGAAAGTGTATTCAAAGCTTCATGTCCTCGCAACAACACACATCTTTCTTCAGGTAATTTATTTATTCTTTTTTATTTTAAAGTTTTAATAGATTGATTTCTGCGCGTTTATTATTATAGCTGAGTAGAGTTTATGATTATATGCATGAGTCGAGATCATAGGAAATGTTTATCTTAGAGCACACAACTAGGACATGTGAAGTTCATCTTCAATTGCAGTATAGCTTTGCTTTGATATCATTCAACTTGTCAATGGATCTTCATATGAGATTATGGACTAAAATGGTGGCAGAGTCTGACAGAAATATTTTAAAGATATGTAATAGTATAAAAACGCACAAAATTCTGTTTTAAGATAGGTAAAACATAATAGAGGCCGTCATCTTAAATACGAAAACAACTTTTTTCTTTTGAAAAATTCATATACTTAATTTTCGTGTGCTACCTATAAAACTTGTCATCATCTTCAATCAATATACGTAAACTCTAAATGAGATTATTGAACCTAAATGAGTTTATAAATTATGATACGATGTTGTTAAAACCGTAGTTTTGGAAAAGCAGAACTATTATGAACCCTAGTTGGATGGGTTATTCAAAAACCCTATGAACTTTTAAAATAGTATCTTCCTTTAAATTTATTTACATATTTTGTTTCAGCACGCTAGCTATGTAGTTATTAATTATCATTTCAATTCGACATATTAGAAACATTACATTAAAATATTATGAAACCAAACACTAATTTATAACCAGTTATAAGATGTTAGAAAACTTAGTTTTGAAAAAGTCCTCTAAAGTGTACAAAAGCATGATTTTTTTTCAAAAGTTTACATATTGTATTTTCGGGCTAGCTATATTATCCATTGTCATTTAAATAGATGTACTATGAACCTTACATTGGAAGATCGATGTACTAGGAACTTTACATTGAAAGATCATAGAACCAAAAGTTAGTTTATAAATTATTGTATGATAATGATATTGATATTGATATTAAAGTGGTTGGATTTTAGAGTATCACTTTCGTTCTTTCATAATTTTGACTCTTGGTTTAGAGTAAGTTTTGATGTTTCCTCTCACATGGATTTTACACAGGCTTTCACCTCTATAGGGCCCTACGAAGAAATGAGAGAACCAACTTACTGCTTTCGGAACTTGCAAGAACTTCAGATTTATTTTAGATCTCTTTATGACATCGCTGGATTTCTCGATCACTGCCCTAACCTCAAACGGGTTTTGATCAATGTAAGTCTCTCTCCATCTCTCTATCTCTCTCAATACTAGTTCTCTTTTAAGTCCATTAATTAGAATTTGGTTCGTTATGTGTGCAGATAAATGGTTTCACATTTGAACCGGAAACTGATGGGGCGTGGGAGAGTTATAATGAGCAGAGGAAATACATTGAGAATCACAACTTCGAGATGGACTCTATCAGAGAAGTCGAGATCAATGGCTATAGAGGCCTCTGGGGTGAGCTTGAGATAGTGCGGTTCTTTGCCTGGAACGCAAGATTTCTAAAGGAGTTAAAGTTGGTGACTCCTAGAAAGAGAAAAGTCAAACTTGGTAAATTTGATCGTATGAGGATCGATAACATAGAAATTCTATCTCTAAGGAAAGGTCTCATCACAGTAGTCGAAAGTCATCAGGTTGCTCCCAAACCAGAATAGCTCTTTGCATGTGTTTGAAACATGATAAAGAGTGAAGCATGCTATATGTTGTTGTATTTTTAGTATCTTTTCTCAGATTCAAACTCTTTTGTTGTTTTTTTTTTTTTTTATCCCGGATATGAACTCAATTTCTTTTTGGTTTTATTTCAGAACTTTTGTGAAAGCAAAGTGTTTCTAGTTATGAATTATTTCAACATATACTCTCATGCAGGCCGCTCCAAGATGTATGGCTTGGCTCAGTTGCGTAGTTAGGTCTGTTTTCTGAGGATGGCTAAGCACAAACCCAAAACCCAAAACGTTTTTTATGATGGTTGATGATGGACAAAGCCCTATAGGAATCAATAGTTTTATAGCCCAAATCATTATAATTCAACAAACGAAGTTGATGGCAAAAAGGTCACGACTAGTTTTCTCATGAAGAGCATGAATCATGACAGATACAGCCACTGTGAGAGCGACTGTCAGCTCCACCTCAGCATGACTGAGTGACAGTTGTTGTTTGAGATTTAGTAGAGGAAAGCGGTTGGTTGGATTATGTTTCCAACTCTATGTTATAACATAAGGAAATAAATCTTTTATTGCAAACAATGCAAATAGGAAACAATAAATTTCACCATTTGAAAAAAAAATCTGGACACAAAACTTAATATATATTTCCATGAACATCTAGCTTTTTTGGAAAATAAAATTTCCACTTCTTAATCTTTTTATTTTGACAGCCTTTTTCTTAGTCACATACTTTTTTCATCTCCATTTGAAAATTAACACGTTGCATATACTGTAAATAATTTATAAAAGATAATAATTATTCCTTTGCTTAAAAGAAAACAGCTTGCATATGTCTATTTAAGCACATATTATTACTATTTTTAATAATTTTGTATGACACTTGCAGTAATATCAATTAACATAAGTAAGGTAAGTGTGCCGTGGAGTTTTTTCAAAAGGTAATAAGTCAACAACTTTCTCCAACATTTCCTTATATGTTTTGCAAAAAGACAAAAACAAAATATTTGGTAAATGAGTCACAACTATTGACTAAAAATTGCCTAAGTAAACTGTAACTCCCATTCGTTAAAAAGTATATATATAAGCATGCATGAATCCTTGAATGTAGAGATAAACAATCTATTGTTTCTTCGAAGAGAGTAGCAAAAATGTCTGAACCACCTAAAAAAATAATGAAATTCACAGAAAATCTTTCTGAACCACCTCCTAAAATAATGAAATTCACAGCAAATCTTCCTGAAAATCTCTTGGAGCACATCGTCTCCTTGTATCTCCCCATCCAATCTGCTTTAGCAAACCGAAGTGTGTCTAAGAGATTCAACGAAGGAGAGATCCGATCTCGAGACCTCGACTTCAGCGGAATATATTCCGTGAGGCGCAAACAAGCAGAGGTCGTACGTGCCGTGGAGGACGTCTTCAACCAGCACAACGGGCCAGACATCGATCGGTTCGTCCTGATTCTCAACCATCTCGGCGTGAAAGATAAGATCATCTCTTGGGTCAAGACGTGTGTTGAGAAAAACATACAGGAGCTTGTCCTAGATTTCTCCAAATCTAGGAAAACGATAGAGCTCCCTATCGATTTCTCAGCCGTCGAGACTTTGACGGTCTTGACGCTACGATGGTGCACGTTCAAGATTCCGGACAATTCTCCAAAGGGTCTTAAACTTTTGAAGAGACTCACTCTGATGAAGACGGAGGTAAAACAGGAGATGATAGATGCGATTCTGAACAATTGCATCTATCTTACTACTCTTGCACTAGAACAATGTTACATGCGTGGGAAATTTAGCATCAATGCTCATGATCACAAGAAGTTCAAGACTCTGGCTGTGCGTTCTATGCCGAAGCTGTTGGAAATCATTATGGATGCACCGACTCTCGAGATCTTCTTTTATGAAGGATATGCGAAGCTTTTTGATTTTTCAAGAGTGGTTGCACTTAAGGAGGTAGATCTCCATTACCATGGGAGACACTGTTGGCGTTACTATGACGCATCTGACATGGTTCGTGCTAACATGGGAGCCCTTCTAGGAGTTCGTGTCCTCGCAACCACAAACATCTTTCTTGAGGTAATATGTTTTGTTTGTTAAGTTTTTTTTGTTTATGTTGTGATTATAATAGTTGAGTAGAGTTTAGGATATTATTCTGAAAAATATGAACTCTTATCTTAAATTGATGTAATAGACATATGACATTGAGAAAATATAAAATCTAACAAAAGACTATAGTTAAAGGTTATGTTATGACACTGTGCCGATTAATTTTGAACTTTTTTTTTACATAATTAAATACTAGAAAGTTTCACAAAAAGTTAGGTGTGATTTTATTCTTTAGATATTTTTTAATTACATGGATAATTATCAAGCTGGTTGTTGGTTGGCAGAGAATTTTGTGCAGTTCTGCACAAACTTTTGATATGACAATGATAGAGAATGTCCATCATAATTACACTATGAAATTTTCACATGTTCCTTTTTCGTCCTATGTGTTTTGTTTACTCCTGTTTTTCTTTTGTTCATATTTTTTTTTCTTTTCATTCTTGGTTTGGATTGTGTTTTGATGTTTCCTCTCACATGTATGTATAGGCTCTCACGCTTAAATGCAATCCTATGAGCGGAGAAATGACAGCACCGACTTTTTGTTTCCCGAACTTGAAAGAATTCGAAATTGCTTTTGAAGCTCCAACAGTTTGCAATTTTTTCGACATCGCTGAATTCATCAAACACTGCCCTAAGCTCGAGAAGGTTTTGATCGATGTAAGTCTCTCTATCTTTCAGATTCAATACCTCTCTTCCATAAATGGCCTAATTATAACTCAAGTTAATCAACACTAGCTCTCGTTTGTTATCGCAGGTTAGGAATTTCACATTTGATCCTGGCTTTATGTGGGAGTTTCATTATGAGCAAGATATTCAGAAATATGACAAGAGGTTTTTGAGATCTATCAAAGAAGTCAAGATCATTGGCTACAAAGGTGACAAGCATGAGCTTACTTTGGTGGCCTTCTTTATATGGAAGGCACAATCTCTTAAGAAGTTGGAGTTGGTGATTTCTACAATAGCGAGACTCCTGGCTCGAGGATTCGACTATGGAAACATAAATGCTGTGAAAAGCATATATCCAAGCGTTGTAGTAACTGAATACTGAAAATTCAGGTTATGGCTGTAATTGCTCTTTCGATGTGTTGGCAACATCATAAAGAGTGAAATTTTATGTTGTTGTTTTTTTTTTTCTCTCAGATTTGAACTCTCCTGTTGTTGTTTTTGGTTTTTCTCAGATTTGAACCCTCCTGTTGTTGTTTTTGGTTTGTCATTAGATTTGAACTATTTCTGTTTTTTTTTCTTTGTTTCTCTCTTGAATTTTATATTATATTGTTCTCTTTTCATATGAAAATCAACCAGCTTTCTCGTTAACTTATTAATAATTTTTATGCATATCGAGTAATTGAGTGGTTTCACGTGAATTATATATATGTAAACATATTTTCTACAATATTCCAAAAATACAAAAGGTAAAAAATCGGACAAAACAACCTGGCTTTCTCAAAATAATCATAAAAAAACTAACACGTTTATATTTCTTTAAAAGACCAATAAACTAAATTCATTGTGTAAAAAGAAGACAAAGGTGACACAAGAGAAAATCCTTGAAATCATACCTGCTTATGCGTCACAAATCTTTTGTATGCAACCAATTCTTATGGGGGCACAAGACAAGTATCTTAAGAGTCTCTCAAAATCTTTCATTTTAAAAATTCATAGAAGTCCTAATCTTAAATCTGACTAATATACTCTTCCAGTCCCTCCGTTACAAAATAGTTGTCTGTTTAGCTTTATCTTTTTGTTTCAAAATTTTTATCGTTGTAATATTTCAATGTAAATTTTATAATTAAATACCTAAATAAACCTTAATTTAATGAAGAATATATATAATTAACTTGACTTTTAAAGGTATAATGAAAATTTTAATATGTTTTATTAATATACGTGAAAGACCTAGAATTGGGTTCCAACTTCAATTAGGTTTTTCAATGTTGACTACTAAAACTGATTAGGTTTTCCAAACTTCAATTTGGCGCACATATATTAGGTAGGTATATTACTTGTTATCATTTTCAATCGATATACTAAAAAACCTTATCTAATTCTAAAAAGATAAAAAAAAAAAAACGTCCAAAGTTAGTTTTTGTTTAATGATAAAATGTTGTCACAACAGTTAGCTTTGTAAAATCCCAAAAATATATTTAAAAAATGTAAAATATATAGTTTATCGATCAACAATCCAAAGTTCGAACATACGCACCGGATTATCCAGTTTCATAGGATTTGACAAATCAACAGTAATAAAAATCCATCCAAACAATAACATACATAAACGAGGAGACAATTACAACTAAAAATTATAAACCTCCCCCACTTGAATCCAAACAATATTTATAACTATGAACATGTAGCTTCTCTCATTGTATTACATCGGTAAGAGAAGCTTGTATTTCTTCAAGTGTTTTTCCTTTGGTTTCGGGTACCATGGCATAAATGAAGGCTATACCCGCAGCACATATACTAAAGAATATCAAAAATGTTCCTGCAAAATATCAAACTTCAAAAATGAGATAATGGATGTAATAAAGTTTTATCATCTTTAGAGTTTGATGACCATAATATGTGTACATACCTGATGGATTCCATTCGATCATGATGTTGTAGGCGAAAGCTACCATCCAACTAAAGAACCAATTGGCCAAAGTAACCAGACTCCCAGCAGAAACTTTAACATTCATTGGAAAAATCTGAAAATCAAATGTTGTTTTAGCTACAAAAAGTTATCATGACTTTGAGGAGCTTATTACTTTCTATAGAAGGTTGTGTTGGTTTATTACCTCAGACATGATAACCCATGGTAAGCCTCCCATACCTACGGCAAATGTAGCGATAAAACCCTATTTCGTGAAATATAAAACATGTTAAAATCAGTTCAGTTTTATACCGCATCATTTAGTTTAGTCGCTTATTTATGTTGGAAAAAAAAAAACTGATTAATACGTACCACCACGCCGATACATGTCAAAGCTGGAGTGAAGTCATCGAGCATGCCATATGACTATCCGAGAACGTAAAAAAAATTGATAAATATAACAGAGTAATTTTAAAATCTGTATATCATGTGGTATAGTACGAATTGTTAACGTTACCCGAAAGCAAAACGAGAACGAAAGGAGCAAGCTGAAAAAAGACATTCCACTAATAGAAGTCTGCAATGTGTTAAAAGAGATGCTAAGTTCATTTTCTTAATTTGATATTGAACTAAAGAAGATGCAAAAACTTTACCAACAGAAGCGGCCTTCGTCCTATTTTTTCAACCAAAATCAGACCCAATATAGATTTCGGTACCTACGAACAAGAACAAATGAGCATAAGTGTAACACTCCTTGGCAAAATATTTCAAGAATAAAACGATACTGAACATGAAACATCATACCAGGATCACCGCAAGAATCATTGAGCCAATGCTACTTTGCAAACCTTTCAAGAGGAAAAAAAAATCAAATGTTTATTGCTCCAAATGAAGAGAAATAAATTATCGTAACATGTAAAACCTTTTTTACGTTTCTACCTCCTTTCTCAAAGACGCTACCGACATAGAATATAAGCCCTGAGCTTCCAGAGAGCTGTTGCAAAAGCATTAACCCCAAACCAATCTGGAAAAGAAAATGTCACAAACTTTAGGAAACGGTAAAAGAGATTCGATATTTTCACTACAAAACTTTAGTGAATAACTTACAACAAGACATCGAGCATATCTTTTCTGAAACAACTCAATAACCCGCGATTTTGGTCCTTGATCAAACAGCACCATGGTTTCCTACAATTGGATTGTTCATCAGTTACGCGATCCATTTTTTTCTATTTTTGATAATTCAGGGTAAATCCAAAGCCTACGCTATCCGAGTTGAAACAACAAAATTTGAGAGCTTATATGTTAGAAAAATAATAATACTTTGATAGCGTTAGCTTCTTCAGAGACATCAGCATCATTTCCACGGAGACGCTGCAATGAAGCTCTACATTCTTTATCACGTCCCCATTTTTCCTACATACCATTATAAACCATATTTGTTTCATCACTTCACGGCGTCTCCTAAAAGATCAAAAGATTGAAAAGTGGCTTATCAACGGAAGAACATACCAGCAATCTAGGGGACTCTGGAATGAAGAACAAAGTTATCACTTGCACCGCACATGGAATGAGACCTGAAACAGAAGTACAAAAACATAAATCACTCTCCCATAAAGCTTCTAAAAAAGGATGGAAAGCATAAAAACTTACCGATTAACGCCAATTTACGCCAATGAATAAAATTTCCAATGACATAATATAATGACACCCCACAACTTTGCATCAGCTGTACATTTTTGAACAATTTTTAGAATATTAGAGCCATGTATATCTTCTTATATGGCTAAAACATATCATTCCCGGGTTATTCTTAATTACCAAATTAGAAAAAACAAATCCTCCTCGAACATGTTTTGGTGTTATTTCTGCAACATAAACTGGTACCTGGACGCAATAGAATAAGCATGGAGTCAGTAAAAAAAACAGCATCTATTATTCTAACAATATTCAAAGAAATGAAAGAAATAGATAGTAAGAGAATCATCACCACATAGCTGAATAAACCAACTGCAAATCCAATAGATAGTCTTCCGGCATCTAACCATGTCGCGTCCTTCCCAAATGCTATTCCTAGCCAACCGGCGATGCAGAAACTTTGAGCTAACCACATTGCCTAGAAAAAGATAATCAAAGTGAATGATACAGTACAAGTTGTGCAACTTCAAAACGTTAATGCATGATACAATACAAGTTGGGTAACTACCAAAAGCTTACGGCTGCCAATTTTATCATTTATTTCCGAAAATTTATTTATCTAGTTGGGTGGTAAAACGGATTTTGTTTTGTTTATATATGCTGCCAACTTTATATCTATCATTTATTTTTATTAAAAAAAAAAAGACATTATCCTCTATGTATTTATGTGGTTGGGTGGTATAGTTACAATAGGCAGCCTACACTTGTACGGCTTATACAGCTAACTATAACATATATCTATGATGTACATTTACTCACTGATTATATACAGCAGAAAGTAATCAGTTTAATCAGCTATCTCTTTGTTCCCATCAAAATTTTGAATTTACAGAAAAATGTTCATTTTGTTTTCCCAGCAAAACTATTATACATAAAATTTAGGGAAAAACATAGCCAGCCAATTAGATAAGGAAACGAATCCAAATGAAACAACCTATAGAGTATAGATAAACTGAAATAAAGAAATTATTTTATACAAACAATTAAAGAAGTGAAACAGAACAAAAACAAATATAATTAGTAATGGACCTAACTCACACCAAAAACTAGCTCAAAAGTGAACGATTGGCACATGTTATATATACTGTCCACAAATTTCCCAAACTTCTCATAGACATTAATTCTAACAATTATCTAACTGAAACCTAAGTCTTTGAATTCGTTTAATTAAGGTCTCCGTTAAGATAATGATTTTATTTACGTATGGTCATGTGAAAAAACTGGCCACGCTTTTTTATATAGCCTTGTAGTAGTAACTTTCTAAAACTGTTAGTTTTTTGATATAGAAAGATGTTAAATTTACCCCTTTTCTACCAATGAGATCCGCGACTTTCCCACTGAAGATGGCGCCGAACATCCCACCGAAAGTCATGAGTGACCCAAACATCGAGTACTGAAAAAGGAGAGAAATTCAGCACAATTAAACCCAAAAAAACCAAAAAAACTAGAGTGAAAATTTGAGAAAACAATCATAAAATGGTTTCTTCATACTTGTGCAACAGAGAGGCCTAAATCTTTTGTGATCCCTGGTTGAGCAACTGATGAATAACCTGCCTGTAAAATCCAACCACCACAAATATTCTTATGTAAGTATATATATGAACACACTTAAAAACCAAGAACAACCAAGAATTAAGATTTGATGAAGACCAGTGAATTAACTCACCGCACAACCATAGCAGAAAGAGCCACAAACAGAGACGAAAGTACTGAAAACCACAACGGCAGTGATACGACACTCGTTGATGTCGTTTTTATTCTTGTTCAGTAACAAGCCAGCTTCAAGATTCCGTTTGTTCTCCGATATCGTCATCTTGATTTCTCTTCAGACAAAAACAAAACAGAGAAAGTTTGGCTAAAAGGTTTCAGAGTATGGAAATATCATTGATTGGTTTATTTGGCTTCCATTTGGTGAGTGAGGTCGAAAGGTTTTTATATTAGTTACCCTTTATATTATTGGTTGGTTTTCGGTTCGTACGAAATAATTCATTGTTTCTTTATTTGAATTCAATAATTATAGACATATTTTTTTCAGTAGTTCTATACCACTTACTTGATTTTTTTTGTTTGCATGTGGGGTATGGGTTGGGTATGATATTCAGTTTTCTTTGTCGTATACTTTAGATTTTGTAGACTTTTCGTAATAACTTTCTTATCATAGCAACTAACAAGACTCCAATAAATCATTAAACACGTTTTCATTGAATGATTTCTTTTTTCTCCACCGATATTATTAACTTAATAACCCAGCCATTAAAGAGAAAGCTTCACTTCGTCAGCATACTACAGGATAGTGTACGTAAGAGGCTGCACATCCACTACTCTTCTAAGATGTGAACGAGACTCGATCTCATTTCAATATCCAACAAGAAGTGATAATGAAAGATTTAATATCCCCAGCTTTAAGATTTCCATCAGTCATAATAGTGAAAGAAACACAACACTGTCGCGCAAGCTGTCATTGTTAAAGTTCTCGTTTTGGCTTAGCAAAAAAAGTTCTCGTTTTGGGATAAAGTAACGACGTTAGCAAAAGGGAAAAACGCTTTAATGGAAAGAGAGAGCTCACATTCTTTAGTTACGCGTATGCGATTGTGGAACCTAAAGTTAGTGATAAGATGCTGTTTCATCAATTAGTTTTGGGAAAATTATAGTATTAATTTTATTTTAAATTAAAATTAATAATAATCTTAGCAACAAAATGCTGAATTTCAGTATAAAATATAATTTTCTTTTAAAATATTTCACTTATTTTACCTCAAGTGCTAGCTAAAACTTTTTTTTTTTGGTTAAAAGGCCTTAATAAAACTATTTCCGGTTATAAAGTTTAAATATTTATAAGAAGTATTATATAGGTGGGTAGAGTTTTATGAATCCCTATTTAGGTCATGTGCACAAGATTTAGATTACTGTCTTTTACGTTACTACACTCGTTAACAAGTGATTTGAGTTAACTTTATGAATCAATATTGTAGCATGTAACCGAACAAAAAGTATAAAAAGAACTTGATATCTGTAGAAAAAATGAGATTAAGTTCAATATAAATATCTTGTTCTTTAAATGTTTACGTACTATTTTCTTTACATGCATTATTATTTAAGGGTGGTTGGAATTTAAAGTATCATTTTCTTTCGTTCATATTATTTTTCACTTATGGTTTAGGGTAAGTTTTGCTGTTTCCTCTCACATGAATTTTAGGAACAGTGCCCTAATCTCAAACGGGTTTTGATCATTGTAAGTCTCTCTCCTTCTTTCTCTCTCTCAATTAATGTAAACATCATGATTATATATCACTGTTGTTTTGATGTGTTTGAAACATCATAATAGTGAACATGCTAATTATATATTAATGTTTTTTTTTTTTTTGGATATTTTGTCAGATTCGAACTCTCTTGCCTTTTTTCATTCTTTCTTGTTTTATCCCGGTTATGAACTCAATTTTTTTTTTTTTTTTTTTCAGAACTTTTTGTTGGAGCAAAGTGTTTGTAGTTATGAATTATATGCCAACATACTCCCATGCAAGCTCCAAGATGTGTGGCTTGGCTCAGTTATCGCTTTGATTTGAGTGAAATAGTTGAGTAGTTGCATATTTTTTGTGAGGATGGCAGAGATTAGAAACTTTAGGCCTAACCCATTAGTCTATGTTGATGTTATTAATCATAAACCTAAGCCGTTAACAGGAGGATGACGAGCGAAAACAAACTAAAGAAAATGTAGACAAGTCATATGTAATGAAGCTTTGTAAGTCATTCAACTTTACAGTGTGAACGACCCGAGAACTCGTAAAAGGATTGGTGTTCATGACATTCTAGTAGATGATTCGAAATCTGAACACATAACTCAAAATCCAAAAAAAAATTCAGTATTGATGATAGACAAATCTTTGTCAGGACCATACGATTCCATATCTTTTGTAGCCCAATCATTATAGCCCAACAAAGATTTCGATGTCAAAAAGGTCACAACTAGTAAATTTTCATGAGAGGCTGAATAGATACTGTAAGACTCTGATTGTCAGAGTGCCACATCATCCATTAATATGTTTTGAGTCTTTTGACATTTTTTAGATTTAGTGTATAATAAAAAGGACAACTGTTTGGTTTACAATGGCTCCATATCTGTATAACTTATAATGGAAAAAAAAAACAAATTTTATTTGCAAACATTGCAAAATGAAAGTAATTAATTTTATTTGTGTGAAATAGTAATAATATAATCTAATATATCTGGACACAAAACAAAAAAATTGACACGTTGCAAGTCTTTCCACACAAAATCTAAAAATAACTAATTAATATAAGAAATAATTATTATTCATTTGCAAATTAATAAATGACCATCTTTCGAGTTGTTAATGATACATTTTTATGGACACATGCATCTGTCTGATTCTTTTTTTTTTTTTTTTTTTTTGTGACACTTGGAGTCACAGTTAATTAGTAAGCATAGTAAGTGTGCTCTAGATTTTCTGCAGAAAGTTAGAAAAAGGGAAAAAAAGACCAGCCAGAATCTTTTCTAACACGTAAAAGTGTAACAGGTTTAATGAGTCACAACTATTGACTAAATATTGCCTAAAGTAAATTATGACTCCATTCACTCATATATATAAGCATAGCTCGAATGTAGGGATAGGAAACAAACTCATTGTGAAATTAATCATACAGTAGAAACTCTATAAATTAATAATCGATAAATTAATAACTCGATAAATCAATAAAATTGTATGGTCCCAAATTAAGTTTTTGATCCAATAATCTCTCAATAAATTAATATTTCGTTAAATTAATAACATATCTTATGCCCGACATTATTAATTTATAGAGTTTCTACTGTATATTGTTTCTTTCAAAAGAGTAGCAAAAATGTCAGAATCCCCAAATAAACATATGAAACTCACAGCAAATCTTTCTGAAAATCTCTTGGAGCACATCGTCTCATTGTATCTCCCCATCCAATCTGTTTTAACAAACCGAAGTGTGTCTAGGAGATTCAGGGAAGCAGAGATTCGATCTCGAAACCTCGACTTTAGCGGAATATATTCCGTGAGGCGCAAACAATCAGACGTCGTACGTGCCGTGGAAGACGTTTTCAACGAGCACAAAGGGTCAGAGATTAATCGTTTCGTTCTGATTCTCAACCATATAGGCGTGGAAGACAAGATAGTCTCTTGGATCAAGACGTGTCTTGATAAAAACATACAAGAATTTGTCTTAGATTTCTCCAAATCTAAGAAAACTATAGAGATCCCTATCGATTTCTCAGCCGTCGAGACTTTAACAGCCTTGACGCTACGATGGTGCAAGTTTCACATTCCGGAAAATTCTCCAAAGGGTCTTAAACTTTTGAGGACACTTTCTCTAATGAAGACTGAGATAAAACAGGAGATGATAGATGCAATTGTTGAAAATTGCATCTATCTTGCAACGCTTGAACTAAAACAATGCTTAATGCGTGGGATATTGAGCATCAATGCTCATAATCACAAGAAGTTCAAGTCGATATCTGTGTGTTCTATGCCGAAGCTGTTGGGAATCATTTTGGATGCACCCACTCTCGAATGTTACACGTATGAAGGATATGTGAAGGTTTTTGACTTTTCAAGAGTGGTTGCACTTAAAGAGGCGAATCTCCATTACAATCGGAGATTCAATTGGCGTTATGACGCATCTGACATGGTTCGTGCTAACATGGGAGCCCATGTAGGAGTTCGTGTCTTCGCAACCACAAACATCTTTCTTGAGGTAATATGTTTTGTTTGTTAAGTTTTTTTTGTTTATGTTGTGATTAAAATAGTTGAGTAGATAGAGTTTATGATACAATTATGAAAAATACAAATTCTTTTGTTCATATTTTTGTTCTTTTAATTCTTGGTTTAGCCTAACTTCTGATGTTTCCTTTCACATGTATGTATAGGCTCTCACGCATAAATACAATCACATCAGCAGAGAAATGAAAAGCACCGACTTTTTGTTTCTCAAACTTAAAAGAATTCCAAATTCATTTTGAAGCTCCAACGGTTTGTAGTCGTTATGACATCACTGAATTCATCAAACACTGCCCTAAGCTCGAAAAGGTTTTGAGTCGATGTAAGTTTCTCTATCTTTCAAATTTAGTAATTCTCTTCTATAAATGGACTAGTTAAGTTCATCAAAACTCTTGTTTGTTATCGCAGATTAAGAATTTCACATTTGATCCTGGTTTTCTGTGGGAGTTTCATTATCAGCAAGATCTTCAAAATTATGATAACAAATGTTTCAAGTCCATCAAAGAAGTTAAGATCAATGGCTATAAAGGCGACAAGCATGAGCTTATTATAGTGGCGTTCTTTGTATGGAAGGCACAATCACTAAAGAAGTTGGAGTTGGTGATTTCTAAAAAAGCGAAAGAGCAAGCTCAAGGATCCGATTATGGAAACATAAATGATATAAAAAGGCTTTATCCAAACGTGATAGTAACCGAATATTAAAGAGTGACCAGCAAGCATGCCAGACTATAATAGCCAACCTTCAGCTATTCAATCTTATAATATTGACATTATAATATGAATAATATTGATAAACTAATTAGTTTTTTTTTTTTTTTGGTTAACATCAATATTGTGATGTTTTTCATCAACAAATTTTTTATACAGGTTCACATGTTTGCATATAGGTTTTCACAAAGTGGAAATGATCAACTGTGTATGTCTTTTCTATTTGCATGTACTATTTATTTATGGGCCTTTTAGTTGTATTTTGGGCTTTATGGGCCGGATCTCTTAACAAGAAGATCCAACATCAACACCTTAAAAAGTTTTTCCTCTAATAGTTCTAACTTGAAGGTGAATAAGACCGTGGAAACATTATAGTTCGTCGGACACATTTTCGGTATACATTTTTGTGAAAAAAATTGTTGCATGAAAGCACTGTGTAGCTGGAGGAACGATGAGATCGTGCTTCAAGAGTCCAAGGTAAGTTGGTGAACCATCGCCAAATTTAACTGTAGAGACTTGAACAAAAACTCTAGCACATTGCAACTTCCTTTAAATGATGCGACACATAAGTGGTGACAATCTGTTTTGCATAACACGTCATATGGTCATCAATGTTTATCACACATAGTTGAGTTGAGCCTCAGCTGAGTTTCTCATGCGAATAAGATAATATTAACATAGATGAATATTTCAAATATGAGGAGAGTCGAGGTCGGGTTAAGATAATTAGGGATCTTTGAGACAAAAATACAACTAAAAATGTAATTGTTTACCAACAAAAAAGATTGTATATAGTTTTATTTTTGTGTGTTTGAATACTATTTTTGGATCAAAATCTTATTTAACAAAGATATGTAGTCTTGTAATTTATAATATGTTATTAATGTAATCATCCAAATTCAACCCTGACATAATATATATAAGTGGAAAATATAATATTTTTTGGTGTATTTGTTGGTATCTATAATAAGGTCCTGAAATTTTACGAGACTAGTAATAAAACCAAAATTGGAGAAAAAAAAATTGACCAAACAAAAGTCTTTTTAACAAGTCTTTAAATTGTACAATTAGTGATATGCCAAATTTTGTGGGTCAAAGTTATATGCCAATTAAGAACTTCTAATAATAAAAAAAAAAAAATCTCCATAATTAAAGGGGCATGAATAATTTTCATATTGTGAAAAATGGGAATAAAGATAGAGAAATATAATATTGATTTTACTATGCATATCTTTGGATATTGATGATTCACTAAGTGACATAACAAAAATTCAGATGCATATACCATAATTAGGCACAAAATCTATTAAAAAAAACAAAATTTAGATTGACCAAACTGTTTGTATTTAACAATCCTGAAATTGTTTCTATGCCAATGAAGAACTCCCAATAGTAACAAACTTATTTGCTTTGACTAAAGAGATGTCCCCTAAGTTTGTTAACATGTTTCCCAACAAATGGCATGCATATTGTTTTCCAATAAGATTATGGTATTAAAATAGAGAAATATAATAATTAATATGTATGCATATCTTTTTCTTCTTATTTTTTCCATTGATGTATATGCATATCTTTGTATCTTTTTTTTTTTTTTTTTTTTTTTTGAAAAAAGGCATAAAAAAGCATATCTTTGTATCTTGATAATGCAATATAATACAAATCTCATATTGCATATGCCATACTTAAAATGCACAATAATAAATATTTTCTGGATTAAAAATAATAGGACTCATTAATACTTAAATAAAAAAAACTTAATCATCTAAATCTCTTTGGTCGGTGATAGATTTAGATTAGAAGAAAACTGTGTGTCAGAGACTCAAAGATTTGTTGTTTTACTTTTTGTGGAATCCTAAGAACAAAACCGTGTGAGAGTCTTAAACCGACAAACGACCAAGATTTCGCCACGTCATCACATGAACCTCCCACGTTGGTTTCTTCTCCGGCTCAGAGATCGCCACGTGTCTTATCCCAACGGCTAGTTTTTTAAGCCGTCTTTTGCTTACGACCAGAAAAGGAGGGAGAGAGAGAGATAACCAAATTTTAAAATTAAAGATATTTTTGGGCTAAGGAAATTTCCAGCGTTTTCTCGTTCTATTAAATTAATAAATTGACTAGAAAGAAAAATAAATCAAATTAAATAAAAAAGGTAATTTCTTTTGTATATAAGGACAGAGAAGTAAGCTCAATCTTCTTGTCAAGTAAGAAAAAGAAAAATCACTCATTTTTCTCAGCTTCGTTTCATTTCCCGCAAAACATACTTGAAAACATTTTGAATCTATATCAACAAATCTCAAATCTTCAGGAAAATCTCTCTGTTTATAGGTTTGTTCTCTTTCAAATGTTCTTTCTTGAGATCCTCTGTTTTTGAAAGACTGAAATCTGAAAAAGATCTGATTTTTCTTAAATTATGTTTTGTGATGCAGATACAGAAAATGGCATTGGGGAAGAAGAGAATCATTGCGCAGAGATCGAACTCGAATTCGAATTCGAAGCATCGTCGTGATGTGGATGATGAAGGATTAGGGTTGGGATTGGAGCTCGTTCAGTACAAGAGAGGATTTGGGAGGAAGAGGGTTCAAATGTCATCTGGGGATTCGATTTTGACATCAAAAATCTCATCGAAGAATCGAACTTCGGCTTCAGATGGTCAAAGTCAAGAGCTTGAAGATCTTCCCCAAGATGTTCTGGTTCGTTTCTTCACAAACTCTGTTTTGATTACATTTTTTGAATCTGGGCCCTGTTAATTAGTTGAGATTTCATTTTAATTTACGATTGAGCTAAAATTTGAATCTTTTTTGTTTTCTGAGATTCAAAAATTTTGGTTAATTTCATCGCAAATTCATTTTTATCCTTTTATTGATTTCTGGGTTCTGTTAATTAGTTGAGATTTCTTGTCGATTGATGGAGTATTCATCAGATGGAGCTGAAAGTTGAATCCTTTTTGTTATCTAAGATCTAGAAAAAGTTGGGATTTTTCATTAAATTTTTTTTTTTTAATACAAATAACTGTTTTTACCGTTTTCTGATCTCTGGACTCTGTTAATTAGTTGAGATCTGATGTTAATTTATGAATTATTAATCCGATTGGCTGAAAGTTGATGCCTTTTTGTTCTTCTAGAGTCCAAAATCATAAAATGTTGAAATTTTCCATTTTCGGAAAACTTTTGGTACTGTGCATAGATCTTATGATTTTATTTATTACAGGTGAGGATTCTCTGTGGGGTCGAGCATGAAGACTTGAAACCATTGTTTCATGTTTCGAAGACAATCAGAGAAGCTGTAAGTAAAAATTGGAATCATTAGTTGGATTTAATGATACACCATTAATTGATTTTTTTGATCTAATTGTTCCTTGTTTTTGTAACAGACATTGGTAGCAAAACAGTCACATTTCGCCTACAATACACCTCGGAAAGCCGGTCGTGACATGTTCGGTTTTGGCAAACCGTTCGGTTTAAGCGATGGTGACGATGATGAGATTAAAGCACCAGGAGCTCCATTGCAGAAAAGGTACCGGCTTTCGAGGATAAACCGGGATGAGGACAATTCTGGACTCTCGGTGGCTCTGTTCAACTGAATCAAACAACTTGGTTTGAGGCTAATTAATACCATTATCAACTTGGTTTCTTCAAGATTCTTAATTGAAGAGAAGGGTTTTAAGTTTATGTTATTGAGTTTTGGTTTAGATAAGTCTCTGTAAATTGTTTGTTAGATACAAAGAGAGAGAGAGATAGGGTTTTTGTTTAAGCTAGCTTGTTTAGAAGGTTTAGAGAAAACTCTTTGGGAGGAGAGTTTTATATACTTTTTTTGTATGTTGTGTAATGTAAAAGTGGTTTATTTGGTTTTATACAGTGAACTAATAAGAGATGAAATGTTTTGTTTCAATCATTTTTTGTGTCTCCTGATTTGAAACAAAGAGTGATTGGTATCGTTTTAGTTTGTCTTCACAACACTCCCAAAAACCAGCAATCTTTCACTCATTTAGCTTCTCCTTTGCATATGACTAGATTTTTACAGACTCACACACTGACTGAGAAGAACCATTTTTGGGCATTAATGGGCTTAAGGTCGCACAAGACCTAATAAAGAGCCCAGCTTCATGCAATTCGTCCTTGCGCTTTTGATATTTCTCAGTTCTCATATTACGCCTAATGGTTCTTCAATTATATAAATCCTATCAGTTTTGTTGTCAATCCGTTTTTACTATGAGATAGTTTCAACTCAAACAGTAAGTTTTATTTTGTTTGAGTTTTTGGACACTCAAAATGATGTCATTTTTGAATTATTATAATGGCATATTTTGTTCCTTGTTAATAGTTTAACGAAAATAAAATCGAGGGTTTTATTTTTCTTAAATAAAGATTTGGGTTTTAGTTTACATATTTGGATTTTGTTGGTGAAACAAAGATTCCTCAGGGTTTTCTTGCAATTTTGTTTGGGTGTCTATTTAAGTAATAAAGTTTTTACCACAACAATGGTCAAATTCAACAATTAAAAAGTTACGATATCCGTTTTTTAGCTCTGACCAAAATTAATTCTCGTCAGACTAAGTTAAAAACGGATATCGTAACTCTTTAATTGTTGAGTTTGACTATCATTATGAAGAAAATTAATTATATATTTTTGACTTTTTTTCTTTGATAAAGAGTTTTGACTAATTTAATATCCATTGACCATGAATATTAATCTTCTACCAAAATGAAATTTATGTAGTGATTAATTACACACATTAACATTTCATATGTAATGCAAAAAAATACTGTATTAGTTAGTGGACAAATGCATACACAAATCCGCACTTAAACCGAAACCTGAATCTGAACTTGACTCTATTCGCGTATATATAGTTTAACATGGGTTCACTTTTCTCTCTGGTTTTCCTAAGGATTTTAACTTTGTTAGGACTTCTCCATTATATATAATGGCGAGCTCTTTCGTAAACTTCTAATATTTCTATTTTTGTCTTTCAAGTAACAAACTTTGGTCCAACATTTTTCATTTACAAAATGTATATGAGTACAGTTTGTTGTAGTGCTAACATGGATGCATCATCCTTTACTCTCATAATACGATATTAAGTTTCAACAGTAGTACAATATATTGTGTTTAAATGAGATTGAAAATATTTGATAGCAGAGTGTGTGTCTAATTTCGACAACATGAAACACGTCATTCAGCAAAGTTTCTTTTTTTTTTTTTTTTTTTTTTTTTTTTTTTGAGAACTTCATTCAGCAAAGTTAACATGGAACTAGACAGACATTTGAACAAAGTACATTTTTGGTTGTTTTTACCAAATTGATTGGGTGATGATTCATGTACGTTTTGTTCATTTTGTTCACAAAGCACAGAAATTTGTGTAAGAAAATTTGCAAACACATAATGTTGGTTTTGGTTTTAGCCCTTATTCCTATTCATTTAATCGAATCCATTAATCCAATCCGACATTATTATAAAAGTATTTCAATTAGAATATTTATTGTTTTAGTACTAATTAATTTGTTTCAAAAGATTTAGGAATCCGACATCAAAGTAAGATGTCACCATTCATTCATTGCTAATGGAAATTCATCGACATTGACATTGAGTAGCGTAATGAAAATTCATATGAACAAATCTAGATCATCGTCAAGTCAGTTCTGATTAAGTATAAGTGTTTTCATAATAAATGTGGATAAGAAATGCTTAGATAGACTATTAAAACATATGGTTAGTTTGAAGTTTATGTTGAAGCTTAAGACAAGAGACATCCCATTTAGTTATTATCAACCCTATAAGCCTAGCTTGGAGCAAAGATGACTCCCACCATGTGGACCTTATGTCGTGCCACTAAATTACAACATGTCTTCGACAAGCAATCTCAAGTTGTCACTTTTCTTTCACGAGTTTGTTAATAATTTGCTTGCATTTTTTTTTGTTTTATCTAACTCAATCTTAAATTGGTGTAGTTGTTAGGAGATATTCGGATCAATGATTTGGTTAAGGAATAATATCAAAAAAGTTTGGGTAACATAGTTACAATTTTAACATACATATTTCAAGAACGATAGTGAGATATGACAAAGATAAAAGTTTTTTGAAAGCTACAACCTATGATAAAACGAAAGCTACAAACTATAATAAAACACTAATTAGAAATTGATTATCGGTTTCGATCTACTAAAGTTATGACCAGTAAAACAATGTTATATATATATATATATATGTGTATATAAATATAATATCCTTTGTTAATGAATAGTACTTTTATATTTTTCGTGAAAACTAAGGAATATGTTGTAATGCGTTTGCACATATGAATATCTCCCTTCTCGTCTACTCAAACGTCGATATCATGGGATCACTTTCTTTGCTTGTTTTTTTTGTCTTCCCACACCAAACTTTTGGTTTTTTTACATTAAACTATATTTTATTTACGATCTATAATTGCATAATAATATACCGTGTAAAAGTACAACTTATTTTGTCTTTTTTTTTTCTACATCTATTAAAGTACAATATCTTACATTGCATGTGGTTTTTGAGCATGAGACAAAAAAATACATTTAAAACCCCTTTAACCCATCCCTGCATAGGCAATTTAGTGTGTCGATAATATTTTTCTTGTTCCTTAGTATAATAATACAACTTACATAATACATGTCAAATTTCTCTTGATATACGAAGATACAAATTCGTATCTTCTTGATCCAAATAACGTTGCATATTTTGATCAAAACATGCAGTGGCTAGCTTAGCTAAACTGATTATCTTTAAACGTATCATTCAATTTTGTTATGAAGTGTTCAAAATATCAAGGCTTTATACATAGGTGGGTTCAATCTACAAGTCGCATTAAATTTTCGTCAAATGGCTACATAGCTAACAATCGTCAACACAATTTCATGTGATGGGTACAATAACAATAGTCCAAAATAGTTCTTCGATGGATGGATATTTAGAGTCGGAGTCGATTTATACGTACCTAATAAAAACGCATATCTAGGAAGTACAAAGCTTGACGTGGGCGCTTCACAAAATTCGGTTGGACAATAAAATCAAATTTGAAAATTTTATTAACATGGAAAAGTTATATCACTTACGATCAAAATTTGGATTCATGTGAGAAGCATCCAATCCATTTGCTTTACATTCAATTTTGCCAGTTTTTGGCTCTTCATGTTTCTTCACGGACCATCTCTTGTTACCTTTAATATACGTAAGTTGAGTCAACTGTTATATACTATAAGATCAACTGTTTGAAACTTACAGTACACATACACATAAAATACACGTATATCCTATAATTTTATAACAAAGTAGATGAATGAAAAAAGCATGTACATCTTATTCAGTTGAGTAGATTTGGTATTGGTAATGTATTAATACCTTGAGAATACCCTAGTTAATATATATTATCAGATAATCTATCCCGTATGTTTAAAGAGATTAAAAGGATAATATTAGTTACACTTACGCATATGACATATAAGTACATGTATGTATACCTTAAACAATTTAAAATCCATAGAAACGATAGCAAAACTCCAGAAGTATTATTGTACCTGTACGATAAATTTTTTTGGCATTTCTCATGAGAAAACGAGCTTTTCAATAATCAAATGTAGCCACACAAACACACACAAAAATCTTGACTCAAACATGCATAATGCATTATTGATATATCTTGTGCATTAACAAAAATAATAAGAAAGACAAAGAGGGTGAGTAAAACTACTTGTACTATACATGTCTACCAGCTTCACCGTCCATAGACAATCTCATTTTCCGGCATTCTCGTGCTCGTGCAAATATTGAATGGTGTCCTTTAGAGTTAAGTTTCATACTAATACTATGAAAATAAATAAATAAATACTAGATAGAGTGCATTTTATATCAGTGATGAGTAATTCTCAAGATCTCTTCTTGAACTACCAATTTTTGTGTTTTTATTAATTTATTTTTACGTAAAATGTAAATAATGAACCAAACTCATGAATAATAATAAAAAAACTCATAAATTATGCTTCGTTTTATATATATTAACAATATAATGAATACGGATAACAAAAATTAACACATTATTTATTTTAATTGATACCCTTTTGCTAGTTAACAAATGTTTAAGCTCTCTTCATTTAGGTTAACATCAGTAGATTACCTCAACCTTTGTCATCAAAGTTACGTTCTTGCAATTTCTTTTGTTTTTTTTTTATCGCATCACACAAACTAACAAAATCAATTATTATACATCAACTATCAATATCCTCATATAAATTGTGACGTTTTTGAGCTCATTTTTTTTTGGAGAACCAAAAGAAAGCTTTTGTTTTGAAGAAATAAGTCAAATAACAGAAAAATGTTGAATTGAGAAAGCAAAAAATAAAAAGAATCGAATTCTCGAGCTTTAACAAATGTTAACAAAAAGTAACACATTATTTTAATTGATACTCTTTTGCTAGTTGACAAATGTTAAAGCTCTCTTCTTTTAGGTTAACATCAGCAAATTACCTCAACCTTTGTCACCAAAATTACGTTCTTCCAATTTCTTTTGTTTTTTTTCATCGCATAACACAAACTAACAAAATCAATTAATATACCACACCAACTATCAATATCTCCATATAAATCGTGACGTTTTCAGCTAAGAATTTTCTTTGGAAAACAAAAAGAAAGCTTTTGTGTTGAAAGAAATAACAAAAAAAAATGTTAAAATTCGAAAAGCGAAAAAAATGAAAAGAATCGAATTCTCGAGGTCCTCGTGCTCGTCACCAAACCACCATTTTTAAGAACCACTTACCTTTCCCAAATGCGCTTTTTTTCGTCTTAGAGAAAATGACCATTATACCCTCAACTTCATCTTCCTCGACATGTCACTGCCTCCAACCCCACCGAGAAGGCCACCCCGTCAAAACTTGCCAAACTCTCTCTCTCTCTCTGTAAAGCTCTTTCCTTTCTCTCTCTCCTCAGAAACCCAATAACCATCACAGATAACCCAACGAGATTACCTGTGAAAGTCTTCGTCTTTCCATCGTTTTCCTTTGTGGTAGGAACCAAATTCGTCAGCTTCTGAAAGAACAAAACTTCATTTCGAGATGGGTTTTTGCTTCAAAACCACTTGAGAGGAAGAAGAAGAAGTTTAATTGAGGAAAATGGGAGAAGAAACAGGTGAGGAATCGAAAGCTAGCATCGGCAGAGCAATCGAAGCGATATCCTCATTGATTTCACTCTCTCACTCAATCAAATCCTTCAACGTCAAATGGCAGCTCATACGAACCAAGCTCGAGGAGCTCTACTCCGGCCTCGCCGCTCTCCAGAACCTCGACTCCGATTTCGACCCGTCTCTCTCCAGCTTACTCTCCGCCATCCTCGCCACTCTCAGAGACTGCTACGACCTCGCTACTCGCTGCGTGAACGTCTCCTACAGCGGGAAGCTCCTGATGCAGAGCGATTTGGACTTAATCGCCGGGAAATTCGACCGACACACGAGAAACCTCTCCCGGATTTACTCCGCCGGGATCCTCAGCCACGGATTCGCGATCGTCGTCTCGAAACCCACCGCCAACTCCTGCAAAGACGACATGAGGTTTTACGTTAGAGATTTGCTCACGAGGATGAAGATTGGGGATCTGGAGATGAAGAAGCAGGCTTTGCGGAAGCTCAACGAAGCCATGGAAGAGGACGATCGATACGCGAAGACCGTGATCGAGATCAGCGACGTCGTCAACATCCTCGTCGGGTTTCTCGATTCCGAGACTGGGATTCAAGAGGAATCAGCGAAAGCTCTGCTTTTTATCTCCGGATTCGGCTCTCACACTCACAGGTCGGTTCTGATCCGATCGGGAGTGATTGGTCCTCTCGTTAGGGCTCTTGAGAACGGGAACGATTCCGGTAGAGAAGCGTCCGCAAGGTGTTTGATGAAATTAACGGAGAATTCGGAGAACGCTTGGTCCGTCTCTGCTCACGGAGGCGTCTCCGCGTTGCTAAAGATCTGTTCTTGCGGCGATGGCGAATCCAACGGCGGAGAATTGATCGGTGTCTCGTGCGGAGTGTTGAGAAACCTCGTCGGCGTTGAAGAGATCAAGAGGTATATGATCGAGGAAGACGATGGTTTAACGACTTTCGTCAAGCTGATTGGTTCTAAAGAAGAGATTGTTCAGGTGAATTCGATTGATCTCTTGTTGAGTATGTGTTGCAAAGACGAAGAGACACGTGAGAGCTTGGTTAGAGAAGGAGGAATCGAGAAGCTGGTTTGTGTGTTGTCATCATCAGATTCTAATTCGTCTTCGAAAGCTAAGGAAGTAGCGTTGAGAGCGATTGATAGCTTATGTTTTGGATCTGTGAATTGTTTGAATGCGTTGTTGAGTTGCAAGTTCTTGGATTGTTTGTTGTATCTGTTAAGAAACGGTGAGATCTCTGTTCAAGAATCGGCCTTGAAGGTTACTTCAAGGCTGTGTGGTTTGCAAGAAGAGGTTAAGAGGTTGATGGGAGAGGCAGGGTTTATGCCGGAGCTGGTTAAGTTTCTTGATGCTAAATCGATGGAGGTTAGAGAAATGGCGAGTGTTGCGTTGTACTGCTTGATCTCTGTGCCTAGGAACAGGAAGAAGTTTGCGCAGGACGACTTTAACATTAGCTACATTCTCAAGTTGCTTGACCATGATGAAGATGATGGGAGGAGCAGTGTGATGGGTAACACCAAGTTTCTGATATCGATTTTGATGTCGTTGACGAGCTGTAACAGTGCGAGGAGGAAGATTGCGGCTTCAGGGTATTTGAAAAGCATTGAGAAGTTAGCTGAGACTGAAGGCTCTGATGCTAAGAAACTTGTCAAGAAGTTGTCTAAGAACAGATTCAGAAGCATGCTAAGTGGTATTTGGCATTCCTAATTTTTTTGTGAATTTTTTTTGTTTTTGTTTGAGTGTATATTTTTTACAAAGGTGTTTTTGTTAGTTTTCTTCCCACTAATCACCAAATTCCTCCAAATTCAACTACAAGAATATTAATATTAGCTTTAGAACATTTTTTTTTCCTTCTTTTATATTATTCTCTCTTTCAAAGTTGGTGAAATGCAAAGTTTCTTTTTTTTTTGTTGTTGTTGTTTTGGTGTAGTGGGTATTTTTCAAAAAGTTGTCTTTTTAAGTCTTTAATATAAAATAAAGATTCTTCTTAGAAGCTGCACTTTTAGGATAACATTTTTCAGTCAAATTTCTGTAAACTAAATTTATTTAGTAGTTTAATGATCTAAGCAAAAGGGTCAAATTGTTAAAATTAGGATGGCAAAAGAGGACATACATTAAGATCCAAGCTAAGAGATTTGGGGAATAGTTTTTGTATAAATGCATGTATGTCTTGGAAGTATTATAGGGAAAAGGGCAAGCACATGGAACCAAGTGATAAAGAAGCATGTGAGGTTGTGTAGAGATAGAGTGAACTCTCCCATCTACCACAATTTAATTTATATGGAGAGAGAGATACAAGTGAGAGTGATGGATCAAAAATGAGAATTAAAAATGGTGTCTTCTTGTTACTCTTAACTTATAGTTTTGTGACTTGTGAGTAAGATTTTGGGGGCCATGTGAGCTTGGTGACATTCCAATATGCTTAATAGTAACACTTGTTCGGGTAATGACGTCAAAATCCATTAGAAGAAGAAGACAAATCCATCAACCAGTTTCTTCTGTGTCAAGTTTGGTCAAAACTTATTTTCCACTTGAGTTAATCCATGTAAAAGTTTCTAAGAGATTAGCAACAACAAAAAAATGTTTATAAAGCCAATTTACATCATTAGTTTAATATTTCAACACTTGTCAATCCACGTGGGATTAATTAGACTGGTTAATAAACTCATGATAAAACATTTAGCTCTTGAGAAGATTTGTTTTCATCAACAGAGAAGAGATCATTGGAGCGTTGAGACAAAGAAGAATCCTCATCGCTTGTGTCCAATAGAAACATCGGTTGTGTTGGCTTAGGAAGATCCATCGCCGAAGTCAGCATTGACACAACTTGTTTCATGTTTGGTCTATCAATAGCTTGATGCTGAACACAGAGCAAACCTATATGAACACATCTTCCTGCTTCCACTGAACTCACTGAATCAGAATCAGCAAGATCTTGATCAAGTAGATTCACTCCTCCTGTTTCTCTCCAAGATTCCCATGCCTGTTTAAGATACAAATCGAAAACATGTAAGAGTCAAGAATCAAAACTAGACTCTGCAAAGTGTTTAAGATACAAATGGTTCTTACATATGCGAGTAGGTTCTTGCTATCTTTGCCATAGCTGAAATTTGAAATCTCCTTGCCGGTGATGATCTCAAGCATTAAAACTCCGAAGCTGTAAACGTCGGACTTCTCAGAGAACGTCCCTGTCCAAGCGTACTCAGGAGACATGTATCCTCTGTTCAAGATTATCCAAAAGTTAGTCAAGTTGAGTATAACAAACATGAAAGAGTTCTTGATTTGAGCATGGTACTGGTTTCTTACAGAGTTCCTACGACACTTCCAGTGCTGTCTTGATGTTGATTCCTTTGAAACATCCGAGCCAATCCAAAATCTGATATCTTTGGATTCATTTTCTCATCCAAGAGAATGTTGCTGACCTTTAGATCACGGTGTACAACTCTGAGGAATGAGTCACGATGGAGATAAACAAGTCCACGAGCAATGCCTTGAATGATGTTGAATCTCTTTAGCCAATCAATCTCAAGCTTTTTCTTCAAATCTGTTGGCACAAACAGAGAGAGTATAGAAGCTGATCAGTCTAAAGAACTTTCTAATGTCATGGACTCATAATAAAGCAAGAAGGGACTTTACCAAAGAGAAAAGTGTCAAGGCTTTTGTTCACCATATATTCATAAACCAATAGCTTCTCTTCTCCATCGATGCAGCATCCCAAAAGCCGAACCAAGTTTCTGTGTTGTAACTTCGAGATGAGTTTTATCTCGTTCATGAACTCTTCTTTACCCTGTACAGAGCTGCTACAAAGACGTTTTACAGCTATTTCCTTCCCATCGTGAAGCGTCCCCTGAAGGCAATCATGGTTGCAGACAGTCAGATAAAGAGCAAGAAGTATCAGAATGGCAGCTGAGTAAATAGAAGGAAAGCAAATCTCTGTTTCTTACCTTATAAACAGTACCAAACCCACCATGACCGAGGTTGTTTGACATGCTGAAACTATTTGTGGCGGTTTGTAGGGTATCAATCTCAAAGAAATTTAAACCTGAGACATCTTGTGATTGCAGATCACTCTTCCAAGAGTATTCTAAATTGTCTTTAGATACAACAATACTTGAACCTACAAGTTACAAGTATGTATTTGTTAGCACAGAATTTCTAGCATTGACCTAAAGCTCATATAAGCCAAGCTAAGCCAAGTAAACAAGGAACCATAGCAGGAAAATATGTTGGACTCACCATTTCGTTTCACTCTGTATCTCCAACACCCATATGCAGCAATCACCAAGATCAAGAAAACAGAGAGGCTGAGAGTGCCAACAGTGATAATCTTGACTCGCTTGTTTCCAGCTGAAACTGTCACAAGAAAACTAAACTGTAAACGACACTGCTACCCAAAAAAGAACATTGTAAAAAAAATGTGTTCAGAAGTTGGCTTACTCAATTCAGAAGTTGCAAGACGAAGGGAGAGAGTCTCTCCTCCAGCAGCAAATTTCACAGTGTCCAATAGCTCCTGGTTCCACACCAAACATCCTATTCCTTTAATAAAGGAGAAGCCTGTGCAAGAACAGTTCCTGAGACAGCCCTTGTGGCATTCTTCTTCATTACCAAAGCTTGCTAACTCGTAAGAATCTGGAGGCTTTACGTTGGAAACATGATAGAACCCGTCTGATGAGTTTCCTTGACAAGATAAGTCTGTGCGTCTCACACAACCACGGCTCCAGTTCCCGCTTCTCCACTCCTCATCTGACTTCGGCTCAAACCCTTTCAAGCATTGGCACATTGGAGAACCGGACCTCACACACAAACCAAAAGGTCCACACTTACCATACATATCACAAGAGCTTGCAGGACCTTCAAAGTGCTTAATCCAATCACTTCCATTATTCCGTTGAATACTCATTCTCCCCTCTGATGTAAGCTTAATGTATGACAAATTGAAATTCCTCAGTACACAAAAGGCAAAAACCCCTGTGCCGTTGACTACATCTTGCACCAATCCCAATGGATTCACATACGTTTCATCCATTTCTGGTATCCCAGTGAACCTTGTTCCCGCCCATGGTCCACTTCTCCAGTAAGGTGCCGAGCCTTTCCATATAACGCCTTGTGAAGGCACTTGTGGTGTAAGCTCAGCTACAAAATCTCCAGGTGATGGATCAGTCTCGCTTCTCCAAGAAGTAAGCACACGTTTCTTGTTGTTAGGAGTGTCATACATCAGAGATGTTAGAGGTAACATAGTGTCACCAAGATGCTCAAAACTTTGCCACAAATACTTTCCAGTAGTATTATCCACGAGGACAAGATTTCCGGTGTCAAGAAGCTCAGTATGACACTTGTTAGATGTGTGATCTCCTCCAGATGACCACACAGGATCTTGCTTGCCATCAAGCAAGATGAGACTTCCGTTGCTGCTGATTGTGAGATTCGCTGTGGAGCTTGAGACTGGCGTTTCTCTGTTAGCAACCCAAACGATGACCCGAGGAGTGACTTTCTTGAACCAGATTCCAACGTACTGATTGCTCCTAGAGTTGTTGGGACTGAAGAAGCCTAGCTCATAAGATCCACCAGGAGAGCTCAGAGTTTTTCCTATAGACAAAGGGCTTGTTGTGGTTATAGTAGCTGCATAGACACAGTTTGAGAACAGAGTTGTTATCAAGAAGAGCAAGCATGCAACAATACACATCTTGAGATGAGAACAAAAAAAAGATATTTTGGTGAACTTGAAGAATGTCTCTCATCTATAAACATAGAAACTAATAAGACACCTAATGTTGACCAAGTTTAAGCTCACAATACTTGACTTTTTCAATGTTCTTTTGTCTCTGGTGCATTAATGTATCACTATCAATCATTTTACGATCAATTCTATAATTAAACAGAATAAACAATACGACGTTGACACAGTCCATGAGCATTAAGGCTAACCAAAGTCAACTTTTTTCAGCTATCACACTTTTCACTTTCCATGAAAGCAAACAAAAAAAACTAAAAAAACAGGGCCCATAACAGAAGTTACCTGGATGCTACAGAAGAAGCTTAGCATTTATTGAACAAGATTTCACTTTCTTGCAACTTCTCGCACTAAAGAGATCTACTTTCAACCCATAAGTCAAAATCTTAGTCAGTCATTTCGTCGAACACAATCAGTGCATCCGTAATTGTAGTTTGTAGAAGCGGTCAAAACATTCCAAGTTGTGATTTTGGTGATATGATTACGCTGAGAAAAAATTTCCGATGACGCAAACAAAAAAATCACAAATTTCCGATGACGCAAGCAAAAAAATCACAAATTTGCAGAAATATTTCCAAGGCCGTACATACACTCTCAATTTGTCTCTTCTAGTATCTTTGAAGATTTGAGCCATAACATTCTCTCTTTCTCTCTCATAGACACAAAGAGCCAAAGACTCGTGCTTTTGGAAATTTACGGCGTAAAGATAAATGCTTTTTGTCTTCTTCTTCTTCTTCTTCTTCTGTGTATCTCACTATCTCTGTTTTGTCTATTGAAAGGAAGATCAAAACAAGCACAAATATTCGTATTTTAGCAGAGATTCAACACATTCTCAGCCTATATTTACATCCAATATCTTTACAAACGTTCCAATTTTGTAAAAATGGAGAATTATTTGTCAAAAAACAATGCTTTTTATCGACCAATTATAGTACTTTGTGTTAGACCATTCACAGAATACATTGACTTAGACTCTGAATCACTCTCTTGAACCTGCAACGAGAAAACGGGTTGTTTCGGTTTCGGAAGATCCATTGTGGTTGTAAGCATTGACATGACTTGCTCAATGTTAGGTCTATCCACAGCTTGCTGTTGAATACAGAGCAAACCAATCTGCACACATCTCGCTACTTCATCATCAGAACCCGAACTTGAAACGTCTTGATCCAACAGATCCGGTCCACCATCTTCCCGCCAAGAATCCCATGTCTTTGAAAAATTTGATAGAAATAAGAAAACATTTGATCCATAGTCAAAATTCAAGAAGGTTTAGAGAGAGTGTGATTTGGCTTACATGTTCGAGAAGGCTTTTGCCTTCTTCTCCAATGGTGAAGCTTGAAATCCTCTTCCCGGTAATGATTTCTAAGAGAAGAACTCCAAATGCATAGATGTCTGATTTCTCAGAGAACATCCCTGTCCATGCATACTCCGGTGACATGTATCCTCTGTTCATATAACCAAACAGTTTCCTCAGGTTGATTATATTAGCAAGTTAAAGGCTTTGACAAAGCTTGTTGTACAAGCAAGTATAGAAGAGGAGGAGGTAGAGATACATACAGAGTTCCAACAACCCTGCGAGTGTTGGCTTGACGTTGAGTTCCTTGAAACATCCGAGCCAATCCGAAATCAGATATTTTAGGGTTCATGTCCTCGTCTAAAAGGATGTTGCTGACCTTCAAATCTCTGTGCACAACCCTTAGACATGAGTCACGGTGAAGATAGAGAAGTCCACAAGCAATGCCTTGAATGATTTCAAACCGCTTGGGCCAATCAAGCTCAAGCTTTTTCGTCGAATCTAGCCAAAATGATTAACATATAAAAAAAGTGTTTCACATGAAAGATGCAGAGGTAGGTGCAGCAATAAAGGACGTACCAAAGATAAAGGTATTGAGGCTTTTGTTCCCCATATACTCATAAATCAATAGCTTCTCGTCTCCTTCAATGCAGCAACCCAAAAGCCGGACCAAGTTTCTGTGCTGGAGTTTCGAGATGAGTATTATTTCATTCATGAACTCCTCTAGACCCTGTCCTGAGGTGCTCGAAAGGCGTTTTATAGCTATTTCCTTCCCATCTTGCAGCTTTCCCTGGAACCAAAGTTGGAGATAATCATCTAGTGAACAAGGGGAAGCATGAGAAGACAATGCATGTTATAAATCTTACCTTATAAACTGGACCAAATCCACCTTGACCAAGCTTATTTTCCAAGCTGAAGTTATCGGTGATGGTTAATATAGTTCGTATCTCGTAGAAATATACATCTTGCTTTTTTAGTTCTTTCTTCCATGCATCTTGTGAAGCCTCTATGGGTGTAGGAGTTGAATCTGTGAGTTTGAAACAGAGCATTCAAAGTGATTGGTAGACAAGAAACCGGAGAAAGAAGGTTACTAAGCATTTCAGTGTCTCACCATTTCGTTTCGCTTTGTGTCTCCAGAACCAATAAGAGGCAAAGACCAAGACTAGGAAGACAATAATGCTGACAGTGGTAGCTACGATAATCTTGGTTCGGTTGCTTCCAGCTGAGACATGCACAAGAAAAGTAAACTGTTAAACCATTCTGCAGCAAACAAGAACTTGAAAACAATACTTAAGCTCTGTTTCATTTCCTACCCAACTCAGAACTTGCAAGACGGACTGAAAGACTTTCTCCACCAGCTTCAAACTTCATTACATCGACAAGCTCTCGATTCCACACCAAGCATCCAATTTGATCAATGTAGGAAAACGCCATGCAAGAACAGTTCTCAAAAGTAAACTGTTAAACCATTCTGCAGCAAACAAGAACTTGAAAACAATACTTAAGCTCTGTTTCATTTCCTACCCAACTCAGAACTTGCAAGACGGACTGAAAGACTTTCTCCACCAGCTTCAAACTTCATTACATCGACAAGCTCTCGATTCCACACCAAGCATCCAATTTGATCAATGTAGGAAAACGCCATGCAAGAACAGTTTCCAAGGCAACGCTGATGGCACTCATCTGCATCGATCAAGCTTAGATACTCATAAAAGTCTGGAGGCTTCACATTTGCAACAATGTCGAAGGCGTCTGCATTGTTGTCTTGCGTTGTGACAGGAGAGTTCACTTGACAAGATAAGTCTCTTCTTCTCACACAACCACCAGTCCAGTTTCTTCTATTCCACTCTTCATCTGATTTTGGCACAAAGCCTTTCATGCATTCACACGTTGGGGGATTAGATGTCACACACAGCCCATAAGCTCCACATGCCCCATACACATCACATGAGCTTCTCGGGGCCTCAAAGTCATTAACCCAACCAGAGCCATCATACCAAAGAATCTTCAACGATCCCTCTGATGTTAGAGACGTGTACGACAAGTTAGAGTTTCTTTGCAATGAATAAGTCAAAGATCCTGTACCGGCTGCTACATCTTGGGAAATGCTGAATTGGCTTACATGTGACTCATCCATTTCCGGTGTACCGGTGAACCTGTCCCTTGCCGATGGACCACCTCTCCAGTATGGTCTGGATCCTCTCATTACAAAGCCTTGGGGAGGCAACTGTGTCGTAAGTTCAGCTACGAACTCTCCAGGTGAAGGATCTGTGGGACTTCTCCAAGAAGACAAGACACGTTTCTTGTTGTTCGGGACATCGTACATGATTGATGACTGAGGAAGCATAGTATCACCAAGATGCTCAAAACTTTGCCATAAGTCTCTTCTTGAGACTTCATCTCTGAGGACGAAATTTCCGTTGTCTAAAAGCTCACCGCGAAGCTCGTTAGATGAGAAAGTTTCTCCATTAGACCAAACAACATCTTGTTCTCCTTCAAGCAAGACAAGACTACCATTGGTGGTGATAGTGAGATTCGCCGTGGTCTTTGTGACTGGCTTGTCTCTGTTAGCGACCCAGACAACAACCTGAGGAGTGATGTTCTTGAACCAGATCCCAACATACTGATTCCGTGAATTGTTTGGACTGAAGAAGCCTAACTCATAAGATCCACCAGGAGAGCTCAAGGTTTGTCCTATTGACAAAGGATTTGCTCTGGTTATAGCTGCATAGCAATAACTTGGGAATATGATCAGCAAGAAGAGCAAAGAAGCAAAGAAAACAATACAAATCTTTCCCATATATGCAAGAGCTCTTCTAACGATTTCAGTTTATGAAAAGAAAAAGCATTTCTTCATGAAGTCAATGCATTAACAGAACAAAACGACCAGCTTACAAGATATGAAAACTCTCGGATGTATCCATGGAGACTCCTGATTTGTTATAATAAGCCAACATTGACCAAGGGAATAACATCTCTCCATTCACACAATCGCACCAAATAAAAACAAAAATTTATGTATATTCTAAAGTTTATTATATTCCATGTTGCTCCAGCAGATAACTTTGAATATTGACATCTCTGGGGCCCTAACCATAAATAAAGTCAACAACTTTCCATCAAAACCAACCCAATCACAAACAAAGTATACAATAGACAAAAACAAAACAGAGCACGAGACTGCTTTTGAAACAAAAACCAGTACAAACTTTTCAAGTGATTGAAAAATCTGAAGAACCAAAAAACTTTGTTAAACAGTAAGGAATGGAAATTTTAGACGATGAAGAACCAAAAAACTTTACCTGAAGACTCACAAAAGTTGGCTTATAGTGGAGGTATGACTTTTTCAGGGGCTGCTTCAACTATTGATCCCCACTGCATAGACTTTGAAACTTGACATCTCGTTCACTGCATAAACAATTGTAACCAAAGTCGCAGACTTTCACTGCTTATTATGCAAGAGAAGACTAAATCATCAAGTCAAAATGCCTATTTTATAATTGTGATCCTGATCTTGACCAAGTCAACGAAACATTGTATTCAACAACAATGAAAAAGTGAGATCACAAAATCTTAAGACTGAAGTATATACTAAGAGCTTATCGGCCATGGAATACAGATTGTGTTAACTCATTGACAGAGATAAGATCTTTAGACATTGACACATCGTCTAGAGTTTGAGCATTTAGAGCTTGCGCTGCAAATATTGGCTGCTTTGGAATTGGAAGATCTGTTGTTGAAGTAATCATAGAGAGTACTTGAAGAGTGTTGGGTCTGTCTGCAGCTTCATGTTGAACACAGAGAAGACCAATCTGAACACATCTCGCAACTTCGAGTGGGTTACATGAATCAGTAAGATCTTTATCCAGAAGATTTGATCCCCCGTCCATGCACCAAGATTCCCATGCCTGAATATACAGAATAAGAGATCATTCGAAAAGGCGAAACGAAATGTCTGCATTTGCTGTTTCAACAGTAGATGCTTCACTTACATATGCAAGAAGGCCTTTGCTCTCATCGCCAAAGCTGAACCATGAAATCTTCTTACCGCTGATGATTTCCAACATCAGTACTCCGAAGCTATAGTTGTCGGACTTCTCAGAGAACAACCCTGCCCAAGCATACTCAGGAGACATATATCCTCTGTTCACAATAACAAATAGTTTACATCAAGTTAATATAGAATGATAAGATATGAATCCTCGTAAAGCATGTCGTTGAAGACAGGTTCTTACAGAGTTCCTGCAACCCTTAGAGTGTTGTCCTGATATTGAGTTCCCTGAAACATCCGAGCCAATCCAAAATCTGATATTTTTGGGGTCATCTTCTCGTCCAGAAGAATATTGCTAACCTTCAGGTCTCGGTGAATGACCCTTAGGCGTGAGTCACGGTGGAGATAGAGAAGTCCACGCGCAATGCCTTGAATGATATCAAATCTCTTTGGCCAATCAAGCTCAAACTTTAGAGATGGATCTAGACATCAACAGAGAACATATGAGTGACAGTAACACATTTACTATTACCAAATTACGGAAGAAAACGAAAAAATGAAGAGGTAAATGGAAAAAAGGACAGACCAAAGAGAAATATATCAAGGCTTTTGTTCACCATAAACTCATAAATCAACAGCTTCTCTTCTCCTTCAATGCAGTATCCCAACAGCCGAACCAAGTTTCTATGTTGTAGTTTCGAGATTAGTGTTATCTCATTCATGAACTCTTCGGTACCCTGGCCAGAGCTACTAGAAAGGCGTTTAACAGCTATTTCCAAACCGTCTAGCAACTTTCCCTGAAAGAATAGTTTGAGATAGATCTGAGAACAAGAAATATACAGAAGAGGAAAAAAAAGTAGCAAATCTATTGAATGTCACATACCTTGTAAACTGGACCAAATCCACCTTGGCCAAGTTTATTTGAGGAACAGAAGTTATTGGTGGCAGTTCGCAAGGAATGCATCTTAAAGAAATGTACGCCTGAGATATCTTGTGGTTCGAAATCATTCTTCCATGCATGGTTCTACGAGTTATAAATGTGCATGTATTAGTGCAAGATTTATAGCAGTTTAAAATCCATGGGCTTTTCAGTGTTACAGAGAGATTAAACATATGGATAAGGAAAGAGAGTGGCAGAGATAGATAAAGCTGCTAGTTCAGTGTCTCACCATTTTTTTTGCTCTGTATCTCCAGAGCACAAATGCAGCAACGAGCATGATCACGAAGATCGAAAGGCTAGCAGTAGTACCTACTATAATCTTCGTTCGACTGCTTTCAGCTGCCACAGAACATTATAAAGAAAGCTGAGTCTACAAATGTAAAAAGAAAAATAATAAACTCTAGGAGAAATGTGTTTGATCCTTACCCAATTACGAACTTGCAAGACGGATGGAGAGAGTCTCTCCATTAGACATAAATTGAACCGTGTCTACTAGCTCCCCATTCCATACTAAGCATCCAATTCCACTTATATAGGCAAAGGCTGTGCAAGAACAGTTTCCTAAACAACCTTCGTAGCACTGTTCTGCATTGACAAAGCTTACAAATTGGTGCAGATCCGGAGTCCTTACATGTGTCATACGATGGAAGATGTCAGTGTCTCTGCCTTGTGTTTTCGTATAAGATTTCGCCTGGCAAGATAATTCTGTACGTCTCACACACCCATTTGTCCAGTTCCCTTTTCTCCACTCCTCGTCTGACTTTGGCACAAACCCTTTCAAGCATACGCACTTCGGGGTACTGGTTCTCACACACAAACCATAAGGCCCACATGCACCGTATAAGTCACATAAGCTGTCTGGAAGAGTAAGGTGATGCATCCATCTTTTGCCGTCATCCCAATAAATCTTCATTTGCCCCTCAGATGTTAGGGTAAGATACGAAAGATTATAGTTTCTCAACATGGAGTAAGAGAAAGATCCTGTGCCGGTTGCTACATCCTGCACAACGCCGAATGGACTTACATATGATTCATCAAACTGTGGAAACCCACAGAATCTTGTCTTCGCCCACGGACCAGTTCTCCAGTAAGGCAGTGAGCCTCTCCTTATAAGGCCTTGCAAGGGGACTTGTGGCGTGATCTCCAGTGAGAACTCCCCAGGAGATGGATCGCTGTCACTTTTCCATGTAGTCAACACACGCTTCTTCCCATGAGCAGTAGTATCATACGTCAACGATGACTGAGGCAGCAAAGTGTTGCCAAGATTCTCAAAGCTTTGCCATAAAGTTTTCCCTGAAACGTCATCAAGAACTACAAGATTTCCAGTGTCTAAAAGCTCTGCATGACACTTCTTGGATGTGAAAGTCTCTCCTGTTGACCAAACAACATCTTCTTTCTCATCAAGCAAGATCAGAGTCCCCTTCCTGCTGATTGTGAGATTTGCCGCAGAGTTTGTAACTGGTGTATCTCTGTTAGCCACCCACACAACTACACGAGGAACAATACTCTTGAACCAGATCCCAACATACTGATTCCGAGTATTGTTATTAGGACTGAAGAAGCCTAACTCAAAATATCCAGTAGGTGAACTCAGAGTCTGTCCTATTGACAAAGGACTTGACGTGTTTATAGCTGCATAGCCAAAAGTTGGGAACATCATGATTAGTAAGAGCAAACAAATAAATGAAACCATACCCATTCTTCTGCAAGATCTCTTCTGGAAACTAGAATAGAGATCACTGAAACCTAAGGGATAAAGACTTTCGTGTTATATGCTCAATATAGTAAGCATTTGACAATAAAATGAGTATATTTTTTTCTTTTGTCAAAGAGAATAGTTATAACCATAACCTAAGCAATCCACATTAAAATAACTATATAATTGACAGCCATGACCCATGACGAAGAAAGTTGCCATGTTACTCTTCATAGAAGTTTGAATCAAGTAATTGACTTTATTTTTCAATTCACTTTGGTCTTCTCATAAGTCAACCCTATACACAGCAAATAACTTTGCAGCTTTTGCATTTCCCAAAAGACAAAATGTTGAAACTTTATGCTCTTAATTGATAGATAAAGTGAAAACTGCAAAACAACGATCCAAAAACCCAAGGAGAAGCTCACCTGAAACACTGTACGGGTTTGAGCATCACTCTTTGAAACCTCACATTTCTTTCAGGCATTTCGTCGAACAGTTTAGAGTCAAAGTCTTTCTAAAGTCGCCGGACATAAAATCTCGATGGAGACGATAGCGCACGCAAAAATATGGCCTACGAATCGAGTTCCCACCATCTGGGTTTAACGATATCAAGTCAAAGTCGCAGACTTTAATTGGTGTGTCAGATACTCAGCAGCGAGAACGTAAATGCTCAGACGTATGAAGATTGTCTTCGGGTCAAAAGGATTAAGGTTCCGGGTTGTACCAGTTTAGTCGGGTCTTTTTGTTAAATGGGCCAAAATAGATGGGCCAGAAAAGTATAATCATTATGTTTGCATTTATATTCGTAAAAATATAACAGTTACACCTAAAAAAGCAGAAGCGAAAAATTAAGAAAATTAACTTTCTTTAATACTCTCTGTCCCAAATTATAAGCTGGGACAAAAGTGAAAAATTAAGAAAAAGTAACTTTTTAAATAAAATACTATTTAAAAAATAAATAAAATATTATCTAACCAATGCTGGAAAAAAACTGTGTAATCTAATTGAATACATAGTATTCTATAAAGTAAAGAGCTTATATTGTGGAACAATTTTTTTTCCCAAAACTGCTTACACTGTGGGACAGAGGGAGTAAAATATAACTAAAAAAATTAAAGATAATCTGACCAATAAAGTAAAAAGTGTATTGATAATACAAAAAAGTAAAAAGTGTATTGATAATACAAGAAGTTTATATGTTGAGACAAAAAAAAATTTCAAAACTATTTATATTTTGGGACAAAAGAGTATTTGTTTTCGATTTTTTTCAGTCAGAGATCCATTCTTGTAAAGGTGGGATCGTTCATGCCAACAAGTCTTCAAAATCATCTCCAAATTCATTTCTTCATTTCCATGTCCTCCACTTGATTGTTCCAAATATTCATCCCCTTCTTGAGCTAGTGAAACCTCTTTCTTAGAGTAAAAGAGGCTGAACAATCCAATCGTTGTAGAACCCATAATGGAATATTGATACATCTTGAAGTCATATGTATTAGGTGATTGAGTTTTGGGCTTGATTACAGCTCGAAACATTCCTCATGGTACCACATTTCCCACTTTCCAAATAGGAGAGATTTTGAAATTGCCAATAAACAGCGAGAGATTGTTGGACTCGTTGTTCTCTATTTGACTATCAAAGACAACTGCATTGCAATGGAAATTAGATTGACTATATGAGTACATTGCAATTGAAAATTTCATTATATAATTTCACAAAAAAAAAAATCACCTGACTTGTTCCACGGAAAATCTGAGAGAACATCAGCATCTTCAGGCAAGTCAGGTATTCCAGGTTGTACAACAGGATTGCTTTTCAAACCTGCTAAGAACACTCATTGTTCGCCAAAATAGTGAGGTTCTGATAATGAAGAACATTAAATCGTCTGAACAAATGTTGCACAAAACAAGAGTGAATAAACCGTTGGACAAATGTTTTACAATTGATGCATTCGGTTTAACCTTATGGACATTGACAAAACTTAACTATATCATGTTAATTGTATAAGCATATATCTTCCGCCATATGATCAAATATGCAATATTAGTAAATGTTGATATTGCATTGGAAACTATCTTTCTGGCCAAAGCACTAGTTCTATCTTGAAAATAAACTCTTTGGATTCAAGATGGATGAACATAAGAATCTGGATGAGAACATTAGATGTTTTCTTAAAGTTATAGAGATAATAAATAAATTCAATGTAAGTGACGAGTATCATTGATATCTACTTATTAAATAGTTTGCCAAGTAGATATGATACAATGGTGAATATCTTGAAATTATGGGAAGGTTTTGCAAGAATCATTTTGATTTACTCTGCAAGATCTCAAAATCTTAGGTTCGTGAATGATGAGAATTTACATATTAAAGTGTGTGTATATATATATATATAACAGTTTTTTTATCGTCCTTGTACCACAGATTGTGTTAGCTCATTCACAGAGATGTAGTCTTTAGACTTTGACCGTGACATTGACGCATCGTTTAGAGTTTGCGCCGCAAAAACTGGCTGCTTTGGTGTGGGAAGATCCGTTGTTGAAGTAATCATGGACAGTACTTGAAGACTGTTGGTCTGTCAAGAATTTTTTTATTTAAAGAAGTGCAGAGTTTAAGATTAAGAAATTCGATATTATTATTTATTATCCGGCCGGAGAACTAAACCCTAAATGGTTACCATCTTTCTTGGAAGCTAAGGTTTCCTCCTTTGGGTTTTGATCTCTCGACTCTCTCATCTTCGCCGCTTGCCGTTGCTATGGCAACGAACACAGTTTCAACAACATCATCATCAATCAGCTCTCTTCCAGATGAGGTACTTGCTCGAGTCTTGTCCTTTCTTCCTACTAAACAAGCTGCTTCCACCTCAACCCTCTCCAAGAGATGGAGGAATCTCTTTCCCCTCATGAATCTTCTCTGGGCGTCTCTCGACTTCGACGACTCTGACCTACTCCATCCCGAAGATGGTAGAAGAAATCTCAAGGACAGCTTCAGAGACTTCGTTGAGAAAACACTCTTCTTCACTTGCAATCCCTTGAAGAGATTCTCACTGAAATTCCAAGACGATTTTCGACACACTCCTCGTACCAAAAAATGGATATCAAAGGCATTGGAACGAGGCGTTTCCGATCTCGACCTCCGCGTGAAGATGATGCCTCAGATATACAAGCCACCGGATCTTCTTCCAAGATCAGTCTACGTGAACAACACACTCGTGAAGCTCACTCTAGGAACAGAGCGTGGTCTTGGAGTCCCTCCTTATGTAGATGTTGATCTTCCTCTGCTCAAGTCTCTCTCCCTCTACACAGTTTGGTACACAACTTTCGATCTATGCGAGGAGATGCTTCTTGGTTGCCCACAGCTGGAAGAGCTTTACATACAACACTTGTTCGTTCCAGACGGGAAGAGCCGTTTCTGGTGCCTTGAACCACCACCGGTCCATATAGTTCACAATAACATCAAGAAACTCACGGTTCACTACCGCGAACATGTTTCGACCTCTCGACGTTTAGTGTTGTGCACACCAAATCTCATCTTCTTGGACTACTCTGATTACTTAACTTGTAGCTATCCAGATTGGGGTACTTTGTCATCGCCTAATGCCTTCAAAGCTCTTTTGGAAGCTCGGCTCAATCTTGTGTTCTGTCCAAGAGGGAGATGGGGCAATGAACATGTAAACTATACTCAGCTCATGAGTTATATATGTGATGTTCACATCCTTCACATCTCTTCTCATACAGCTGAGGTATTATGTTATGTCTCTCTTAGTCTCTTTCTTTTCCTTTACTGTTTTTCTTCATGTGTGTCTTGTTTAATGATCGTTTGTTCTTTTATGTATTGTAGTTAATGTATGATTGTCTTGATTATTGGCGTAATCATGATGGATTTCCCTTCTTTAAGAATCTAACTACTCTACACTTGAAGTGTCGTGGTAAAGAACATTGGAAATTGCTGTCCAATTTTATTGAAAGTTCTCCAAAGCTAGAAATTTTGGTCCTTGAGGTATGTTGATTTATCAATTTCATAACTTTTTTTTGTTTAAGAATTCTCATGTACGAATGGGTCTCTAAATGTTGTTGAATGGTTTATATTACAGGGCTTGTGCGGTATAAGCGACGATTGTGAGGTTGTTGTTGTTGGTGGTAATGTGGTGAAGGTGCTTGAGATACAAGGATATAAAGGAAGACTTGGAGAACTAAACCAAGTCAAGTGCTTCTTGTGTGAATTGGAGAATCTTGAAGAGATGAAAGTGAAGATTAGTGTTGATGAGATAGAGCACAAGTTGCAACTCGCACATGATCTTCTTGCTCTTCCTAAACGTTCATCCAAATGCAACATGCATGTCTTGCTACCGGTTTAGTGCTTGAAACCACTTTAATGGAATTATTATTTGTGTGATTTGGTGATTTGTTTGTAGAATTATTATTTTTGTTGTGACAAATCTTTGTTTTGTGTGTTACCTTCCGAGGCTCTGGAACCATCATGTTGAGAAAGCAAAAAAAATTAGATTCGAGTTTGAATTAATGAGAAATCCCATAATCAACATATTTTAAACTTTATGTGTCGAGGATATTTTACTTGCACCATAATTGTTAAACAAAATTATTAACGCAAATAACATTCAAACTAGGTTTTGAATATGATTAGTCAAATCATGTATTGGAATTGCGGTTAAAAACATAAAATTTAATGATGACTTAAAAATTTGAAAAATAAAATAAATTTAGCATCTTATTTTATTATTTTATTTGAGTTAATATACTAATTTTTTTTTAAAACAAAACTGATAAAGTTAAAAAAAAATTCCATAAACAAGAATATATTATTGTTATATACATCCAAATCATGTCTATCAATTGCATTTGTTTGTTCCTTAAACTTCCTCTTCTCTATCTCTTTAAGCATATTATTTGTCTGTACTCGTATCCTCAAGCTCTTGGGCAAGTGTGTTTTGCTACGCCTCATCAATTAGCTGAAAAGCTTAGAACTCTTCTGATTCTCTTCACGTTCCTTGAAAGATGAGTGAAACACATTTCTTTCCAAGTGATCCAATCTATAAGATTAACATGCAAGCTGCTCTCGACCCAATCGATATACAAACAATATTAAGATAACATGGTATGATACATGTCGTACACATAAAATTTTATGAGTTTTGGGAGCCAAATTGATATCCAAATCGTACAAAAAGAAACATGTCTTCACGTTGCAACGATTTAAAAATCTCTTTGTTGCTGATGGTTGAGAGACCCCAAAAAGCTTTTGAATTGAATCCCGTATAAAGAAATAAATATATATAATCAGCGAAGTTACTTATACATTATTACAAATTTACAACGAATAATTTGGTAGAAGAAAAACAATCTCTTATCATGGATACATATATGCCCACGTAGCCCATGCCCACGTAGCCCATGATATCCTCTAGTTATTATAGATTATAGAGACTTTGTTTTGGTAAAAGTGTTAAAAATGTTGCAAGCAATTTATCAATTTCTAGCGTTGGTGACAGTCTCCTTGCTATGACGATCCTGATTGAGGGGAAGCTCGAGGACGAGATGTATAGAGCGTTCAACCCAGGAAGGGTGATGTTAAGCGTCTCAAGGGTCTTAATATCTTCTTATGGGTTTTCAGATCGGTCATGACGTACCTCTGCGCTAAAGTTGTTGTGTGTTTCAGGTATTCCGGACTCCCGTACACCACGGTCAAGAATCAGGCGGATAACGTGGCTAGCATCGCCAACGATCAGCCACCGCCTGCTAATCAGCCTGGCACCAGCGAACAGCATAGCACCAGCGCCTGCTATTCAGCCTAGCATCAACATTAAATCATTTGAACAAATGTTGCACAGAACAAGACACCATTGGTCAAATGTTTTACAACTGATGCATTCGGTTTAACCTTATGGACAGTGAAAAAACTTAACTATTTCATGTTAATTGTCTAAGCATATATCTTCCGCCATATGATCAAATATGCAATATTAGTAAATGTGGATATTGCATTGGAAGATATCTTTCTGGCCAAATCACTAGTTTTATCTTGAGAATAAACTCTTTGAATTTAATATGGATGAACATAAGAATCTGGATGAGAGCATATGATGTTTTCTTTTTTCCCTTTTATGTGTGGATAAATTATATGGCATCTGATTTGATCAGCTCTAAATATTTGGGTTTTGGAGTTTCTGGAACCAAATCTCAATAATAAAATTAAAATTATGAATCAAAAACAAAAAATCGGATGTGTATCCACATAATAAAAATGTTTCAAAATTTAGAAAAGCATATATGAATATGGAAATGTTAATTAAATAATACTTAATTAACTCAACTATAATAAGATGTAATACAGAGTTAAAAAAAATTATAGCACATAAACTTTGTGCAAGAACAAGAGGAAATAATATACGGTGCCTATATGCACATAATACACGAGAAAATTCATCAGCAAATATAAGATGTTTTCATTAATAATGATAATATCGCGTGTTGATTAATTTAATTAGCAACCAAAAAAAAAAATAGCATTCGTAAGTGATATTCATTTGTGGAAGTCGAGGGCTTCTTAGCTTATTTCCTTTCCACTTTGTTCCTATCTTTTGTAATTTATGAATTTAAGTGCTTCGCAGAATGTTACACTATCATTGAAAATGGTGGAAAAAGATATGAATGTTGAATTATTGATATTGAAAACTGATTCTGGAAAACATTATTCATACCAAAACCCGCGTGTATGCCTTCCGTAGATCTCCTTACAATGTCCTTCAAAAATGACCTTCCGATGTCCTCTTATCCATACTTGTTGCATCGCTATAGTTAGTGCTTGAAATTCTCCTTCCAAAGCTGAGTTAACCTCTATATGCACCATAATCATCTCAGTCGATTTCTCATCACTACTATGGAAAGACCCATCAAAATTACATTTTAACCATCCTTGTGGTGATAGTGTCCAACCTTCTTGCCTAGAAATAATCTCATATATCTCATATGAAATTAGTAACCTTATTAACATAAATAGTACGTTAGTTGGCTCCTGGTTTTATACTAGTTATTTAAGTACCTTAAACATAACAATCTTAACATGTGAGTCAAGATAAAAATACCCCTAGTACATAAAACACATCAAATCAAAAGACAGAAAAACAGAAGATAAAGGCAGCAATAAACATATCCCGAGTAGCTTGGAAGAAGAAGATGATGAACAAGAAGGAAACGACAATGTTTTCGGTAAAGTAAAAGAAAGGAACAAATATAAGATTAGGATTTTTCGTTGTTTGTTTTATAATCAATGTTTTTTTTTGTATAAGATACTAATTACAATGACAATTTTGTAAATAAATCAACATAGCAAGGGTTTCACATCTTTTCTCTGAAATTGTGAGCTCTTTGTCTCAAAAAAGTTATTTGCCCACCTTTCCAAGATGTGCGAGAAAAACTGAGGAGAATAATCCAACTAGTTAAGCCTTCCCCTTAAAGAATTAGAATGAAGTCATTAAGTCGACCTTTAAGGCTTTCAAATTCCTCTTCCACTAATGTGACCTTCTCTCATCATGTCCCTTTGTCTTTTCTTGTAATCCTAGTTCACAACATCAACATCTCGAAAGTCGACAAATAACTCATCTTTTAACAAGTGAGAAGGATGATAAGATTATCTCACAAAGACGAACTTTACCTAACCGAGTTTCAAAAACTCCATGAAGGCGCAAAGAAGAGTAATTTCGGTCGAATCTTCTGTTCTCCGTCTCTCTTCGAAGATATGGTAAAATCTATTTGTTGTGTAACATCAAATAGGATAAGTCACTACATATGACTTCTCGACTCTGCGAATTGCAATCAAAGTTAGCCGACGGTACAATTAGTGTCACTTATCAATCCTATGTTAAGGCTAGCTATTTCTTTGACACTAATTGTACCATTGGCTAACTTTGATTGCAATTCGCAGAACAGAAGATTTTACACAACAAAATGGATTTTACCATATTTTCAAAGAGAGACGGAGATCAGAAGATTCGGCCAAAATTACTCTTCTTTGCGCCTTCATGGAGTTTTTGAAACTCGCTCAGGTAAAATTTGTTTTTGCCAGATAATCTTAGCATTCTTCTCACTTGTTGAAAGATGAGTTCTTCATCGACTCTCGATATGTTGTTGATGTCGAGAACTTGGATTACAAGAAAAGGCTGAAGGACTGGATGAGAGATTATCACGTTGGTGGAAGAGGAATTTGAAAACCTTAAAGACCACTTAGAAACTTCATTATAAGGTTCCAGACGATTGGAGCCGAGCCATCATGAAAAAGCCATGTTAAAAGAAAGGTTTGATATGGAGAAAGCCATGTGTAATCTTGGGAAGGTGGGCATATAATGTTTTGAGAGCAAGAAGCTCACAATTTTGGAGAAAAAAAAGTGAAACTTTTGCTATGTTTATTTATTTACAAAATTGCCATTGTAATTAATATTTTTTGCAAAAAAGACATCGATTAAAAAACCCGAAAAAAACCTAATATTATATTTGTCCCCTTTTTTTACTGTACTGTAAAAATTGTCATTTACTTAACACTTAATGATCAATAAGTTATTCTACAAATAGTTAAATAATCATATATAAATATTAATACACAAATATTTAACATTTTTAATATCAAGAAATAAATTATTTATATTTCATAAATTATATCACACATATATAATTCATCATGAAATCAATCTAAACTCATCCAATAAATATAATTAATTAAATAAACAATTATATAACACAAATATAGTACTAAAATAAATATAGGGTTGAGTATAAACAAACAATACTTATATTTGGTTCAATACTTATATTTGGTTTAAACCAAGTTTTATCGTTAAATTATATAGAATAATTTATAGAGGTACGGTAAAGGATCATACTCACCTTTGCAAAATATGATTGTAATGGAAACGGATTAAATGGATGAGCAATAGGTTGCAACAGAGTGCAGAAGATGAAGGGTCATCATTGTGACTTGAAGTGAAAACGAGAAGACGAAGACTTTGACACCAAGTTGACGTACGTACGTTGACGAAGAGGATATGGGACAATGATGACGTCACGGTTATGATGGGTCCGACAAGAACATTGACGGAGCAGGAGCAGTAGTGTCAAGAGTGGTGGTGTACCGATGTGAGCAGATCGATATCATGGCACATCCCTGGTTTGCTTGCGCTGCAAGCTATGATGATTTCTCTCGGCTTTCTCCTTCGGTGGACATGACGGCGATCGTAGTAGCTTCCGACGGCAGTGACGATGTCTATGGTGGCGTGGCTTCACTCCGAGGTCGAGCGACTGGTGAGTGCTGTCGGCTCCGTCGAGTCTCTACGAAAGACACACGATCTCTTTTCCTCCTCTCCTTCCTTCCTTCTATCTCACACAACAACTCTCTCTCTTCCTCCTTCACCTTCTTTCCTTCTCTCTCTCCTCTCTGGTTTTCCTTCTCTCGACAACTCTCTCTTTCTCATATCTTGTGCGGCTAGGTTTTAGAAAACCAGAGTGGAGATGCTCGACAAGGTAAGGGTAAGAAGTGTGAATGTGTGATCTTAATGGGCTTTGACAACAAATTTTAAATTTGGGCCCTACAACAACTATGTTGACGTCTTTTTGCCTTTTCTCATGTTACAAATATTGCACAAAACAAGAAACCATTTGGTCAAGAAGACCATGAGAGTTGTATATACTAAACGCTTGAAGCATATTCACAATGAACATGGAAGTTGACCAATGATGAGTTTGCATGGTGGTTAAACTCACTGGTTACTGAAAACGTAGGGACCTTGGAGGTCACAAGTTTGATTGAAAACGCTGCTCTCCAAATGAGAGTTAAATTACAACATACATCACTTGAAACACATTCACCACAAACACAACTGAGATGAGATTTAAAAGCACATTAAAAGTGAAGTCAGTGGTTGATGATCCATATATACCTCCAACATATATACTTACAAGTTAGGTAATAATCAAAGAGTAGTCGGAGTAGATAAGATTGGTGTGCATAATATCAAACGCGAATGTAGTCAACATCGTCATTGTAGTGAATTGTGAGTTTCTTGATGTTTTCGTGATCTAAATAGAATTGTGAGCTTCTAGATCTTCTTATAAAGTTGTACATTATTTTCTTTCTTGATATTTTCTGCAATTAATCATATGCATGATTATATATTTTATCTGGCTTATTTTTGTATATATGTATTTTTCAGTTACTATGTTTGATTTATCCAAATTTAATATGCTTTACAATTAACCATAATGGAATATCGATACATCTTGAAGCCATGGGTATTAGGTGATTGAGTTTTGGGCTTGATGACAGCACAAAACATACCTCCTAGTACCATGTTTCCAACTTTCCAAATAGGAGGGAGATTGAAATTGCCAATAAACAGCCAGAGTTTGTTATACTCGTTGTTCGCCAAAATAGTTAGATTATGATAATGAAGATCGATTGAACAAATGTTGCACAAAACAAGAGTGAAGAAACCATTGGTCAAATGTTTTACAATTGATGCATTCGGTTTAACCTTATGGACAACGACAAAACTTAACTACATCATGTTAATTGTCTAAGTATATATCTTCCGCCATATGATCAAATATGCAATATTAGTAAATGTGGATATTGCATTGGAAAAAATCTTGAGAATAAACTCTTTGAATTCAAGATGGACGAACATAAGAATCTGGATGAGAACATTTGATGTTTTCTTGAAGTTATGAGTTCATAAAATTCAATGCAAGTGAAGAGTATCATTGCTATCTACTTACTAAACAGTTTGCCAAGTAGATATGATACCACCATGATGAATAATATCTTGAAAATATGGGAAGGTTTTGCAAGAATCATTTTGATTTACTCAAAATCTTTGGTTTGTGAATGATGAGAATTTACATACTAAAGTATCTATATGTATGTATATATGACAGCTTTTCATCGTCCTTGTACCACAGATTGTGTTAACTCATTGACAGAGAAGTAATCTTTAGACTTTGACCGTGACATTGACGCATCGTTTAGAGTTTGCGCCGCAAACACTGGCTGCTTTGGTGTGGGAAGATCCGTTGTTGAAGTAATCATCGACAATAGTTGAAGAGTGTTGGGTCTATCGACATATTCGTGTTGAACACAGAGAAGACCAATCTGAACACACCTAGCAACTTCGAATGCATTGCAGGAATCGGCAAGATCTCCATCAAGAAGATCCGATCCTCCGGTATCACGCCAAGATTCCCATGCCTGAAAACAAGAATAAGAAATGTTGGCACTTGACGCAAGAATCAAATCAAACACTATAGTTGTGTTCACTTACATATGCAAGAAGGCCTTTGCTTCCATCTCCAAAGGTGAACCTTGAAATCTTCTTACCGCTGATAATTTCCAACATCAGTACTCCGAGGCTGTAGATGTCAGACTTCTCAGAGAACAACCCTGCCCATGCATACTCAGGAGACATATATCCTCTGTTTCAAATACCAAACAGAGTTGCATCAAGTTAATAGAGGATGATAAAGTCTAAAGTATGGATCTTTGTTAAACATGTTGTTGAAGAAAAGGTTCTTACAGAGTTCCTACAACCCTGTGAGTATTGTCCTGATACTGCGTTCCCTGAAACATCCGAGCCAGTCCAAAATCTGATATCTTTGGGATCATCTTCTCGTCCAGAAGAATATTGCTGACCTTAAGATCTCTGTGAATGACCCTGAGGCGTGAGTCACGGTGGAGATAGAGAAGTCCACGCGCAATCCCTTGTATGATATCGAATCTCTTTGGCCAATCAAGCTCGAACTTTAGAGTTGAATCTAGCCAACAACACAGTGTATAGATTAGTGACAGTGACACATTAACTATTACCATATGATAACGAAGAGGTAAATGGAAAAAAAGACAGACCAAAGAGAAATATGTCGAGGCTTTTGTTGACCATAAACTCATATATCAACAGCTTCTCTTCCCCTTCAATGCAGTATCCCAAAAGACGAACCAGGTTTCTATGTTGTAGTTTTGAGATTAGTGTTATCTCATTCAAGAACTCCATTGTACCCTGATCAGAGCTACTAGCTAGACGTTTAACAGCTATTTCCTTCCCATCTAGCAGCTTTCCCTGGAAGAACAGTTTCAGAGAGATATACAGAAGAGAAAAACAAAAAGAAGCAAACAGAATACAAGGTCGCATACCTTGTAAACAGGACCAAATCCACCTTGGCCAAGTTTATTTGAGGCACTGAAGTTATCGGTGGCTGTTCGTAAGGTATGCATGTCAAAGAAATTTACGCCTGAGATATCTTGTGGTTGGAAATCATTCTTCCATGCATCTTGTAAAGCATCCATGACAATAGGAGTTGGTTCTACAAGTAACAAATGTTCGTAAGGTATTAGTACTCGATTTGTAGCAGTTTAGCTCCCAAAGGCTTAAACTTCCAGCATGACAGATCAGATTAGCCTTTAGGAAGACATCAAGCATGACAGATCTTATACCAATTAGTGTAAAACCAATAAAGAGATGAATATAACAAAAATAGGGACAAGGAAAGAGAGTGACAGAGGAAGATAAAGCTTCCAAGTTTTTCAATGTCTCACCATTATGTTTCGCTCTGTTTCTCCAGAACATGATTGCGGCAGAGACCAAGATTGCTAAAATGGTAAGACTGGCAGTGATACCTACGATAATCTTTGTTCTACTGCTTCCAGATGCTACAGAACATTATAAACAAAGCTGAATCTTCAAATGTAAAAAAGGAAAATTATAAGGTATAGGAGAAATGTGTTTAAAGCTTACCTAATTCCGAACTTGCAAGACGGATGGAGAGAGTCTCTCCATTAGTCATAAACTGAACTGTGTCTACAAGCCTTCCATTCCATACTAAGCATCCAATCCCACTTATATAGGCAAAGGCTGTGCAAGAACAGTTTCCTAGACAGCCTTCGTAGCACTGTTTGGCACTGAGAAAGCTTGCAACTTGGTGCAGATCCGGAGTCTTTGCGTTGGCCAGACGATAGAAGACGTCTGTGTCTTTACCTTGTGTTGTCATAGAAGATTTCGCCTGGCAGGATAGTTTTGTCCGTCTCACACACCCACCTGTCCAGTTCCCTTTCCTCCACTCGTTATCTGACTTTGGTACAAACCCTTTCAAGCATATGCACTTCGGAGTCACAGATCTCACACACATACCAAAAGGCCCACACGCACCGTATAAATCACATAAGCTCTCTGGAAGTGTAAGGTGATGCATCCATCTAATGCCGTCATCCCAATAAATCTTCATTTGCCCCTCAGGTGTTAGAGTAATATAAGACAGATTATAGTTTCTCAACATGGAGTAGGAGAAGGTTCCTGTGCCTCTTGCTACATCCTGGACAACACTGAATGGACTTACATAAGATTCATCAAACTGTGGGAACCCACAGAATCTTGTTGTTGCCCATGGACCGGTTCTCCAGTAAGGCCTTGAGCCTTTCCTTATAAGGCCTTGCAAGGGGACTTGTGGTGTAATCTCCAGTGAGAACTCTCCAGGGGATGGGTCGTTGTCAGTTTTCCATGTAGTCAACATACGCTTCTTCCCATGAACAGTATCATACGCCAACGACGACTGAGGCAGCAAAGTGTTACCAAGACTCTCAAAGCTTTGCCATAGAGTGTTTCCTGAAACATCATCGATTACAACAAGATTTCCGGTGTCCAAAAGCTCCGCATGGCACTTGTTGGATGTGAAATTTTCTCCTGCTGACCAAATAACATCTTGTTTCTCATCAAGCAAGATCAGCCTCCCGTTCTTGCTGATTGTGAGATTTGCCGCTGAGTTTGTGACTGGCTTGTCTCTGTTAGCCACCCAGACAACGACCTGAGGAACCATGCTCTTGAACCAGATCCCAACATACTGATTCCGAGTATTGTTAGGACTAAAGAAGCCTAACTCAAAAGATCCAGCAGGGGAAACCAGAGTTTGTCCTATTGACAAAGGACTTGATGTGTTTATCACTGCATAGCCAAAAGTTGGGAGCATGATTAGTAAGAGCAAGCAAATAAATAAAGCCATACCCATTTCTCTGCAAGATCTTTTCTAGAAACTTGAACATATGAACACAGCTGTATGTGGAGAAACTGAGAATTGAGACTAAGTATAAAAAATAATTTCCGTAGATTCTTGAAAACCTCTTAAGATATTAATTGGTTTCATACTACTTCGTTGAATATTACACGCACTAAAGTACAAACCATGTTGACCAGTGTGTACGAGAAAGTAACAAAAGAAAGAAAGAATATGCTGTCCACAGGAAAATAAGGTGTTGTACTTTGACATTGGTGTTTCTGGTTTTGGTCGACCTCATAAATGTTAACATTCTACAAAGTAAAGAAATTTGGAGCGTTTACATTCTCTACAAAGGGGCAGTAAAGACTAAAGAGCTGGAAATTACTTACAAACGTTTTGCTTGCTGCTTCATTTTGATAGATAACGTGCAAGTTTCAAAGTTAAGATCCAGAAACTTTGAAGAATACTACCTAAAGTCCTAATCCAAAACAGTGATTTCACGGGAAATATGGCCAATTATACAATTTCTAGTTAAAGCAATGTATAGACCAACAAAAAAGAGAAAGAAAAAAACTTATCATTTGGTTGAGACATTTCATCGAACAGATTCGATGCATACATAATTCAGACGATCCAACATTCCAAGTAACTACAATGTCGCGGGGCCTTTAGTACAGAGAGACAGCGACTAGCCACAACAATAGGGGCTTGCAGCCAAAAGTCTCAGACTTTTTGACCAATGGGAGCATAAATGCCAAAAAATGCAAGAGAAGCTTAAAAAGATTTCAATTTTATCATCGTGATTTTAAGTTCTTTTCAAAGATATTAAAGCTTAAAAAGCAAAAGAATTCAAACGCCAAATGATCTGCTTTGTTAACACAGACAAATTAAGAAATATTATGAGTTTACATTTAACAAACTAAAGAGGTAAAAGACAACAAAGTTAGGAAATTTCTCCTCAAAACACTCGAAATTTGAAAAGCATTCATGTGCATCGCTAGTTACTACTCAATATCAACACACAAATAGGCAACGCTTGGCTCTTTCTTAGATCAACAAAAGAAAGGCTTAGACTTTTTGGAGCATATGTAGTCTTTCTGCAAAACTGAGGCAAATGCTCTTGCTTCATGCTTAACAAAAACATCACTTTTCTCATGGACGCCAAGCAAATACTAGACACACACATACAAAAGCTATGATTATAAGTTTCATTATATCAAACAAAACCCAAACCCTAAGGCATATGAAAATGGCAAAGGAAAGCTACGATTTTTCTATTTCTTGGAACACAATGGGTCTAGTCTAAGTATAAACTTTATGTACTTGATGTTTTTCTTAATTAAAACGAAGTTAAATGACAAACAAAACAGACCAAAAACAGGAATATTTATGAGTTTTTACCAAGTCAACAAAACATAGACTAAATCTCTGCATAGAAGAAGAGATGGGAGATGCTTATCTTCCTTGGACCGCAGACTGTGTTAACTGATTCACAGAGATAAGATCTTTAGATTTTGACTGTGACATTGACTCAGCGTTTAGTGAATGCACTGCAAATATTGGCTGCTTCGGTGTGGGAAGACCTGTAGCTGAAGTTATCATAGACAGTACTTGAAGAGTGTTGGGTCTATCAACAACTTCGTGTTGAACACAGAGGAGACCAATCTGAACACATCTCGCAACTTCAAATGCGTTGCATGAATCAGCAAGATCTCTGTCCAGAACATTCATTCCCCCGGTCTCGCACCAAGATTCCCATGCCTGAATGTAAAGAATGAGAAATGTTTCAAGAAGGCAACATGGAAGTAAGTATTTTCATGGGAATCAAATTGTTACAACACACAATGTTTCACTTACATATGCAAGAAGGCCTTTGTTTTCATCTCCAAAGATGAAACGTGAAATCCTCTTCCCGCTGATGATTTCCAACATCAGAACTCCGAAGCTATAGATGTCAGACTTCTCAGAGAACAATCCTGTCCATGCATACTCAGGAGACATATATCCTCTGTGCAAACATGAAAAAGTTTAGTATATGTTTATGACTATGAACCCTTATCAAGTATGTTTTTGAAAAATGGTTTCTTAGAGTGTTCCTACAACCCTGCGGCGTGAGTCACGGTGGAGATAGAGAAGTCCACGAGCAATGCCTTGAATGATATCAAATCTCTTTGGCCAATCAAGCTCGAACTTCAGAGATGGATCTAGCCAACAAGACAGAACAGATTAGTGACAGTGACACGGTGGAAGGAATAGGAAAAAACGAATAGGTATATAGAATCAAGGACAAACCAAAGAGAAAAATGTCGAGGCTTTTATTCACCATAAACTCATATATCAATATCTTCTCTTCTCCTTCAATGCAATATCCCAAAAGCCGAACCAAGATTCTATGTTGTAATTTCGAGATCAGTGTTATTTCATTCATGAACTCCTCTGTACCCTGACCGGAGCTACTAGAGAGGCGTTTAACAGCTATTTCCCTCCCATCCGGCAACTTTCCCTGTACGAATAGTTGCAGAAAGCTATTTGAGAACAACAAAAGTACATAACAAAAAAAGAAAAGTAAACAGACCAGAATATCTCTTACCTTATAAACTGGACCAAATCCACCTTGACCGAGTTTATTCGAGGAACTGAAGTCATCGGTGGCAGTTCGTATGGTGTTCATCTCAACGAAATTTACGCCTGAGATATCTCGTGGTGCGAAATCATTCTTCCTTGCATCTTGTGAAGTATCAACGACAACCGGAGTTGATTCTACAAGTAACAAGTTCGCATGTATTAGTGCTTAATCTGTAGCAGTTTAGCATTCAATGGCTTAACTTCCAATATAAGTGAACAGATTAACCAAGCTTTGACAGATCATATACTAATGGAGAAGTGAACATGATTAAAAGAAAGAGAAGTGCAGTAGTTTACTATTGCATCGGTTTTAGTTACAGAGTTTCATGATTATAAAGAAACCTACAATGATCTTTGTAATAGACCAAAGTTACAGCATCTCACCATTTTGTTTTGCTCTGTATCTCCAGAACAGATATGCTGTAACGGCCAAGATCACGAAAATGGAAAGACTGACACTGATACCTACAATAATCTTTGTTCGACTGCTTCCAGCTGAGACATTCACCAGAAAACAAAATCTCTAAATCATGCTGCTACAGAAATATCATCATAAAGAAAGATAAAACTTCAGATGTAACAAGAATATAATAATTTTAGAAGAAATGTGTTTCAGCCTTACCTAATTCCGAGCTTGCAAGACGGATGGAGAGAATCTCTCCATTAGTCAAAAACTGAACTGTGTCAACTAGCTCCCCATTCCATACCAAGCATCCAATCCCACTTATATAGGCAAAGGCTGTGCAAGAACAATTGCCTAGACAACCTTCGTAACACTGTTCTGCATTTAGAAAGCTTGCAAACTGGTACAGATCCGGAGTCTTTACATTGGTCATACGATAGAAGACGTCTGCGTCTCTGCCTTGTCTTCTAGTAGAAGCATTTGCCTTGCAAGATAACTGTGTACGTCTCACACACCCACTTGTCCAATTCCTTTTCCTCCACTCTTCATCTGACTTTGGCACAAACCCTTTCAAGCATCTGCACCTCGGAGAACTGGATCTCACACAGTAACCAAAAGGCCCGCATGCACCATAGAAATCACATGAGTTTTCTGGAGCCGTAAAGTGATGCAACCACCTTTTGCCATTGTCCCAGTAAATCTTGATTTGCCCTTCTGATGTTACCGTGAGATACGATAGATTGTAGTTTCTGAATGTGGAATAAGAGAAAGAGCCTGTGCCGTTCACTACATCTTGGACAAGGCTGAATGGACTCACAAATGATTCATCCCATCCGTCTATGCCAGAGAATCTTGTTCTTGCCCATGGACCACTTCTTGAGTAAGGTACTGAGCCTCTCCTCAACAGCTGCTGCGAAGGGACTTGTGGTGTAATCTCCAGTGTAAACTCCCCAGGGGATGGATCAGTGTCATTTCTCCATGACGTCAATACACGCTTCTTGCCCTGGGGAAGATCATACGTCAACGATGACTGAGGCAGCAAAGTATTACCAAGATTCTCAAAACTTTCCCATAAAGTTTCTCTTGAAACATCATCAATCACAACAAGATTTCCTGTGTCTAAAAGCTCCGCGTGACACTTGTTAGATGTGGAAGCTTCTCCTGCTGACCAAACAACATCTTGATTTCCATCAAGCAAGATCAGAGTCCCGTTGCTGCTGAGAGTGAGACTCGCCGTGGACGTTGTAACTGGTGTATCTCTGTTAGCCACCCACACAGCCACACGAGGATCAACGTTCTTGAACCAGATCCCAGCATATAGATTTCGAGAGTTATTAGGACTGAAGAAACCTAACTCATAAAAATCACTAGGAGAGCTCAGAGTTTGTTCTATTGACAAAGGACTTGACGTGTTTATAGCTGCATAGCCACAAGTTGAGAATATAGTTAGTAAGAGCGAACAAGCAAATAAAATCATTTTCATGTGTTTTCCTATCTCTGTGCAAGATATCATCTTGAATGAGCATTGAGATCAAGAGTAGTAATAATTTCCTCTAGACGTATCTTGTAGATAGTATAGCTTCTGGTTCAAAACTCTTCTTTGAATATGCTAAGCACTAAAATAGACCGTATTGACTGGATTTAAGAGAAAGAACAATAAAAATGAAGACTTTGACAAAGAAAACCTAATCTTTTTTTTACTGTCCACAGAAAATAGCGTGTACTACTTAATTTTTGATTCCCCTCATTTTGTGTCAACTCAAATGTCAAAGCAAACAAAATAGCAAAGTGAATATCCAAAACCATCTCTACTCCTATGAATGAAACCATACCTTTTGGTCAGGCATTTCATCGAACACTTCCACTGCGTAATTTAGTCAGCGATCTCACGGGAAGCATGGCCGATTGATTATACATCTCCCACCATCTGAGCATCATAAATTCAAACGATTTGGTGTTCAAAGGTAACGGCAAAGTCGCAGGGACAGCGACAACCCAGAGATATCAACGCTTTGTAGCCAAAAGTCGAAGACTTTGACTAGCGGGATCACGATTTCTCATAAATCCGAAGAGAAGAAAAAAAATGCAGATTTCTAATTGTGGTCACAGTTGTTCTTGTTCCAAAGTCCCACATCGCTAACAAAAAAAGAAGGGAGGAAAAGAGGAGTAGTATAAATAAATGAGCTACGAAACTTTACAACTCATACCTTTCTCGGCCTTTTGGCTAAGATCAAGTGTAGTATCTGTTCTTATCAGTTTAATATCTGATATGTGGGTCATCGGCCCACACGATATTAACTCTATTTTTTAAGGGAGAAAGCCCATCAAGATAGCTTGCTATCTGGGCTTTCACGAGTCGTCCATGCGTTGCACTATTGCACGGGCCTGGCTCAACCCGCCAATATTAACAGTTTAACTTTGTACTATGTAGCGCTTAATCTTAAGTAATATATATCGATAAAAATTGGTTTACTGGGCCGTTTAGTATTAATTTACAGGTGAATATTGGCCCATGTGAAAATATATGGCCGTCTAGATGTAGTCCACATACCGTAATTGCTAGTATCTTAACACAATTGAACAAAATAAAATAATATCCAGTTGTTATAGAAATTTATCATTTAGAACATTTTAGTCAATGTCGTTATCAGCCAAGAATCTTGTACTCTTAGATCCTTCATGGCAACAAGACAAGTTTGACAGAACATTAAGCATTTCTATATAACTTGTCTTGACACAATCAGTAATCACATAAAGTTATGGTTACAATGAATTTGGATACTAATTACACATTATATGCCTATCTCTTCTTCACACTCATAACCATCTTCCTTCTTCACAAACTCTTCAGCTCCTCCTCTAGCCGCCGCGACAATCTTCCTCCAGGTCCGCGAGGACTTCCGGTTCTTGGTCATATGCATCTTCTACGATCAAGCATCCCTCGTTCTCTACAAGCCTTGGCTCACACGTACGGTCCACTCATGACCATACGCATCGGATCACTACAAGTCCTCGTCGTCTCAGATTCCGACACAGCTAAGCAAATCCTCAAGTCTCACGACGCTGATTTCGCTTCCAAGTTCGTGTTTGGTCCGAGACAGTTCAACGTTTACAAAGGAGCAGAGTTCTTCAACGCACCTTATGGACCTTACTGGAGGTTCATGAAGAAGCTATGCATGACTAAGCTATTCGCTGGTTATCAGCTCGATCGGTTCGTCGATATAAGAGAAGAGGAAACGTTAGCTTTACTGAGATCTCTCGTTGAAAGATCGAGCAATGGAGAGGCTTGCGATCTCGGTTTGGAGTTCACTGCTTTGACTACAAGGATCTTGTCAAGAATGGTTATGGGGAAACGTTGTCTCAAAAACTCGAATCTTCCCATAGAGATCAGGAAGATCGTCAGTGATATAATGACTTGCGCCACAAGGTTCGGTTTCTTGGAGCTGTTTGGACCACTTCGTGATTGGGATGTGTTTGGGAATGGTAAGAGGCTTAGATCTTCCATTTGGCGGTATGATGACTTGGTTGAGAAGGTACTAAAGGAATATGAAGATGATAAGAGCAAGAATGAAGAAGAGAAAGATAAAGATATCGTTATTAATATCTTGTTGGACACGTAGCATGACCCTAAAGCAGAACTCAAGCTCACTATGAATCAAATCAAATTCTTCATTCTTGTAAGCTTTTTTTTTCTTGCCCTTTCTTTTTTATATTAGTCCTTTTAAAAATATTTTTGTACATTCATTACAGGAGCTGTTCATGGCGAGTCTAGACACAACTTCTGCAGCTTTACAATGGACAATGGCAGAGCTAATCAACCATCAAGATTGCTTGACAAAGATCAGAGACGAGATCAAATCGGTTTTAGGAACAAACACGCATCGGTTAATCAAAGAATCAGATTTGAAGAAGCTTCCTTACTTACAAGCAGGTATCAAGGAGGCATTGAGACTTCATCCAGTGGAGATCAATGGGTACGATGTAAAATCAGGGACAAAGATCTTTGTAAATGCTTACGGGATAATGCGTGATCCAACCACATACAAAGATCCTGACAAGTTTAGACCTGAGAGGTTTCTTGTGGTGCAAGAAAACACAGAGAGAAAGATTGGTTATTACCAGCAGCAATATATGTTGGAACTAAAGGGACAGGATGTGAATTATCTTGCGTTTGGGAGTGGAAGAAGAGGATGTCTTGGAGTTTCTCATGCTTCTCTTCTTTTAAGTCTCACTATCGGATCACTTGTGCAGTGTTTTGATTGGAAAGTGAAAGGGGACGAAGACAAAATCAAGATCAAGATCAAGTTACCTAATGGGTTTTCGGCTTCAGGCACCGCAGGAGGAAGTTCTCTTATGTGTTCTCCTGATTTGTATTTTGATCCATTCGGAAACCAAACTTAGTAAATTCTCTGTAGAGAAAACATCATTAGAAATTTAGAATCACCTTATAGTTTGCTCTATTTTGTGCTCTCTTTTCATAAACTTCAAACTTGTGATGAAGAATAAAAATATTTCAGTCTTGTATAATGATCACACATACGTATAGATTTGTTCCATTGCTTTTGGTTGCGATGATACAATGTTTTGAGTTATGAGTGAAGAGAATTGCGAAGATGATGGATGGAACATGAGGCGTGGAGGAACCTGCTAAACGAGAGAGAGGGTGTTGTTTTGTCACACTTGTTCTTGCTCAAAGTCCCACATCGCTAACACAATAAGAATGCAGGAAAAGAGAAGGAGTATAAATAAAGGAGCTACAAATCTATTTATCTCATACCTTTCTCGGCCTTTTGGCTAAGATCAAGTGTAGTATACCATTGGATTTAGCTCGATATTAACTCTATTTTTTTTAGGGAGAAAGTACATCAGATAGCTTGCTATCAGTGCTTTCTGAGAGTTGCTCATGTGTTGCACTATTACATGAGTTTGGCTCATCCCACCAATTATTTAGTTTAACTTTTTAGCTTAACTTTTCTGTCGGTCCTAATTGAATTTCTCATAAAATTGAAGTGCCCTTTCCTAACATTTACGTATCTGATGAGCTATTCGATTTGGGTCCAAACCATGTGAACCGTGCTTCCTTCATATCTGAAAAATCCACAGGAAATTATAGGTGTAGAAACCGTAATAATTGAGACGTACTTGTTATATGGTATGTTTATATTTTGTATCAGTGAACTATTGTGTGGTGTCCTATTTCACAAGGTTGTTGAGAGGCTAAAACAAGGAAAGGGAATAAGTTAAAACAGTTCTTGGCCATGTACTCAAGTGTTGATTGGCTGAAATATGAGACTGTATAGTTTCTTAATTTGTAATAAGAGAAAGAACCCGTGGCGGTAGCTACATCTTGAGCAATGCTGAATTGACTTCGGATTCATCAAACTGTGGAAAACCAGAGAAGGCTCCACTAGGCATAACCACAAATTAAGAATATGATTAGCAAGAGAGATTGCAAGCAAATAAGTTTATCACTTTAATAAACAAGAGAAGAAACCACACCAATATTTTCGTGATGTTCAGAGAAAGGCAATCGGATAGTGGCGGCAAAAGAGAAGAAGTTATCAAAATGGTGGTGGAGTTCTCAATGTTTCTGAAAGGTTTTGGTTCTTGAGAAGGCTTGACTTGCAAGGAATCAAGAAGAGGCTCAAGAATACTCGAGAGGAGTATGATGTGATCATAGAGAAAATTGTCAAAAGAAAGAGCATGAGTCTAAGAAAAAGAAGGAGGCATGAGCAAGGAACATGCTATACATCTTGCTCGATATATATAGAGAAAAAGATGGATATATCCATTTCCAATGCTATCATGAGCTCTAAAATTTAATAATCGTTACACCTGAAAAGTTAATAAACACCCATTCAGATTGGGAACCTAACGTGCTCTGTTTTTCGCAAGTTATGTTTCTATTAGTTCATTCAGATTTTCCTTGGAACATACAAAATGTCAACAAATACTTATAAATTATATATCTAGATTACCATATACAGTAAAACCTCTATAAAACAATAATGTTGGGACTTTGAAAATTTATTATCTTATCGAGTTATTGTTTTATCGATAAAATAATAATTATTATTTTATAAAAATATTCTATAAAAAACAAAAACTTTATAGAAATATATGTAAGTAGGTACACGTAAGGAATCAATTGTGGCTTCGAAAACTCTTCACAACTTTTGGCCCCAGATATTGTTGATGCAATAAGAAAAATTCGAGATGAGCTCCAACGAGAATCCAACTTTCATAAAAGACAAACTACATTGGAGTCATATTTTACTAAATTGCCTTAGATATATATGCCTTAGTTTTATAATTATTATCTTAGCCTATTGTTGGGACTATATTTTTACATAGGAGTTTCAAAAATATTATTGTCTTATCATCTTATCGCATTATGCTATTTTTTACATTGGCCCGAGTTGGGACCGGAGAAATTTATTATCTTATAGTGTTTATTGTTTTATAGAGGTTCTACTGTATGTTATATGCCATCTTTCAAAAGCAACACATACTATTTAGAATAATTATAGTATTGCTAACTTTTTTATTACGTTAAGTTGAATTCTATATATTGCAAACAAAATAAGGAAATATATTAAAATAAAATGAATTACCGCACGGGTTCAAATCCTAGTGGAAGTAATAAAAATATCAATATGTAGTATTTATATTTTCTAGATCCAAAACATGAGTGTTGACTAAACATTTTATGGTATAAAAACTAAATATTTTTATGATATTAGCTAAATATTTTGATGATTTTTATGGTAATATACTAATATGAATAAACTATTTTAATAACTAAACATTTTATTGGAGTGATAAAAACATCAAAATGTTTAGTCAACACTCATTTGAAACACTTTATTCTTATAGACACAATCTTTAATTAGTTTATATTTATAGCATAATAGTATTTAGTAATTATTCCAATAATATAGTTTATGTCCTTCTTAGCATAAAAAAAATCATCAAAATGCTTAGTTAATACCATAATAACTTGGTAATAACCTGCAACCGCTCCCTGCGAACCAAAAACTGAAAAATACAGTTTCATAATAAACTATTTTTTTTTAAATAGTTTATTATGAAACTGTTTATATTAAAAAAATTGTGACCGAACTTGTATGACATATAAAATTCATATTTTATTATAAGATTTTACTATATAATATATAAAAATTAGACAATGGTTTAGCTCTTATGCCTTAGTCATGTTTTTTGAATCTACATTCCATGATAGTACATGCCATAGAGTTTTATCAAATCTATTTGAAAAGTATATCCCATCAATTTTAGCAACCCATACACGTAGTTGGCCACATCGAGGAATAAGTCTTGGCCCTATTTTGTATACTTCAACGTCATAAGAAAACTCCATTTTGGGACCTTGTCTCAAAGCACAAGCCCATCTTGTTGTAAAAATTAGACTGTCATAAATTCTTATAGTAGCAATACTAGTGAAGGTTAAGTTGCGTACACCTAGGTCAGCTCCTTTGGAACGGCAATGATATTCTAGAACACGATCAGATGCAAGGTTATTTTGAACTACAATTTTATTTCTTTTGCAAGCTTCATTAAACTCAAAATATATAGTAGCCACTAACATAAAAAGTATGAAATGCTTCATTTTTTATGATCTAAGATGATTTTTAGAGTAATAAGAACATGCAACATGTACTATTTATAGTTTTTAGATCCATATATGAGAGTTGACTAAACATTTATGGTGTAAACATAAACTATTTTTTTTATGATATTACCTAAACATCTGTATGATTTTATGGTAATAACAACATAAACAAGATATTTGTTTTTATCAACTAAGAACATCAAAATGTTTAGTCTACACTCATTTGAATTAGTTTATGTTTATACCAAATTTTTAATTAAACATTTTGATGATTTTTAAGGTATTAGCTAAATATTTTATTCTTCTAGATCAAATCTTAAAAAACTTTTGGAAATGTATTATTTGAACAATATTTATAATATTTTTTATTAATAGGGATTAAATTTATCTTTTTTTTTTTTGTTTTCTTTTAAATTTATCTATTGTGTGTTATATTAAACATTTGTGTGTAAAGTTGGGATTTTACCTTTTAGGTTATTTTCATAGATTTGAATATGTATGCTATATTTTTCGGTTTGTTCTTTAAGAATCTTACCAATGTCGAGTTTAGTCTTGCTTGTATCGACCATATACTATCACATCCAATGAGTTTTATTAATTATATAATCGAACATATGGATTTGTGGAGTATAGTAGTTAAATTTTCTTGTCTTTCTTCTTCTTCATTATAGGAGTTGTTCTAGACACAACTTCGGCAGATTTGCAATGGACAATGACAGAGCTAATCAATCATCAGGATATCTTGACAAAGATCAGAGACGAGATCGAATCGGTTTTAGGAACCACCTCGAATCGGTTAATCAAAGAATCAGATTTGAAGAAGCTTCCTTACCTACAAGCAGCTAATGGGTTTCCCACTTCAGGGATTGCAGGTGCAGGAGGGTGTTCTCTTATGTGTTCTCCTGAAAGAAGGAAACATAACTTTCATGAAAATATATGTAAATGTTTCAATTTTGTAAAATTACACGACTATAATAAAAAATGAAAATCCTTTGCAGATTTGTAATTGTGGTCACAGTCACACTTGTTCTTGTCGAAAGTCCCACATCGCTGACAAACTAGTAATGGAGGAAAAGAGAAGTAGTATAAATAAAGCACCTACGCATCCATTCAACTCATACCTTTCTCGGCCTTTTGGCTAAGATCAAGTGTAGTATCTGTTCTTATCAGTTTAATATCTGATATGCGGCCCATTGGGTTTAAGATAGCTTGCTATCTGAGCTTTCAAGAGTTGCCTATTGTGTTGCACAACTGCATAGGCTAGGCTCATCCCACCAATATTCAGTTCAACTTTTTAAGTCTCAAATTTTGGCTGCTGGTCCTAAATGATTCGGATCCTAGGTTATGAATCTGATAAGTATAATCACAAAATGGGAATACGATTAGAAAGAGGGAGTGCAAGCAAATAAGTTTATGTCGTTGAACAGAGAATCATTGAGACCAAGAGAAGAAAAACAAATCACTTTCGTAAGACTTATCCTCTAAATGTTTAAGTGTGTCTTATATTTGACCACAGTAATTTGGTTTTACTTGTACTCATACATCAGCTTTTTACACAGCAAAGAAATTTGCAGCTTACATATTTTCCAGAAAAGGTGTTTGAAAAAAAGAAACAATGAAGAATTTATCATCAATCGAAAGAGGAAGTTATCAAAATGGTGGTGGAACGTGTTAGCTGAGTTTTTAAAATGTTTCTGAAACGTTACGTTTTAGTTCTTGAGAATGCTTGACTTTCAAGGTGTGTGCATTTTCCATAAAAAGGTGTTTGACGAAAAGAAACAATGAAGAAGTTATCATCGATCGATTGAAAATCGTTTATCACTTTAATTCACTAAAGAAGAAACCACACACATATTTTCGGAACTTATCAAATGGTGGTGGAGCTGAAGTTGTTAGCTGGGTTTTTAAATGTTTCCGAAACGTTACGTTTTAGTTCTTGAGAATGCTTGACTTTCAAGGAATACAAATTAGGTTCAAGAATGCTCCAAAGAAATATGATGTCGAGTCATAGAGAATAATGAAAGAGCAAGGAACAGGCTAGACATTGCTGTGTCCATGTCAGATTATAAGACGCGAGAGGAAGACGACATTTCAGCCAAATCGTGACATGAGCTAGTTCGTTTTACACATGGTCATCAATGTTACAGGGGCCGCTACAGAATCTGTTACCATTCAATTAAACGAATAATAATAACACGGTATATATAGATAAGGAGGTGTGAAGAATCAATAGAGGTTAATAAGTTGTTGATCACCTTTGGGTTGTTCTGATGTTCTGATAATCTGATAATCTTCTTCTTGCTTCAAATTGTTATAATAAGATTATTTTCAATCCACTTTTATCTCCCACTCTAACTTCTATTTTATAATAATTATTTTTTAACTCACCTCTATTTTCCAACTCTACAATAAACATTTGTTTGATTAAAGATAAGACTTGTTGCTATTCAAAAAAAAAAAAAACAAGAAAAAGATAAGACTTGTTAATCACTAAACACCACTCTTAGTTTTCCATCTTTTACTTTTCTTTGCTCTCAATAAAGCTCATATGAGCAACTTTCCATTTCAGTAAAGCTTTATACAGCTGAAATCCTTGATTAATAAGACTTTTAATTGCATATGATGATTTTACATGGTATCAAAGTAGTGACTTGTTTGAGTAAACTAGTTACTAATTAACTATACATCTTATATACTTGACCACATTCAATTTTTGAATTAAGAAATTAAATAATTTTAATTGAATTAAAAAATACTTGTGCTCCACTCTTGTACAAAATTATTTTGATTAACATAACTCATACCCATTAAATTACACAGCCCAAAATATTAATCTAATTTAAGTATCTATCAAATCATTTATATCTTTGAGTGAGACCAAATGAACCAAATATCATGTTTTGTGGAACAATAAACAAAAATCATTGGCTTCAACCAACATCAATGGATTTGGAAACCAATGTTGGTCGACTCAGTTTCAAAGGACAACCCCGTCTTTTAGTACATTTAGCAGCAGATTCATCGGAGTAATTTTTACCTTTGAGACATGCCAAAAACTACCACCATTGATAAAGCCATTCAAAATCGCCAAAAAATATATTTAACAGAATTTTCTGGATTCCACAATGATTAATATTTTTAACAGTTTTTAACATATCAATCAAGCGATTTACCCTCAGCATAATTAATTAAGTTATAATATTACGTTTCGTCAAGGTGACATATTCAAGCTGAAGAAGACGAATCTCTATTTTTCCCATGTGTTTGTCTCATATTAGTTTAAGAAGCGAACATATTAACAATGTTCTCACAGTTTAAGAAGCAGCCTATTAACATCCTTAAGAAGTTAACATATCCTCCATTTGACGATATTAAGCTGTTCTCACAGCTTAGATCCTCCATTTGACGATATGGTGACTTGGTTGAGAAGGTATTACAGGAAGATGAAGATGATAAGAGCAAGAATGAAGAAGAGAAAGATAAAGATATCGTTGATATCTTGTTAGACACGTAGCATGACCCTAAAGCCGAACTCAAACTCACTATGAATCAGATAAAATTCTTCATTCTTGTAAGCTTTTTTTTTTCTTTAGCTTTCTTTACACGTTAGTCTCTTTTAAAACATATTTTTTTGTACCTTAATTACAGGAGTTATTCATGGCGCCTAGACACATAATCTGCAGCTTTACATGGACAATGACAGAACTAATAAACCATCCAGTGGTTTGCAGAAGCTTCCGTACCTACAAGCAGCTATTAATGAGACAATGAGACTTCATCCAGTGGAACCATTACTACGCAGAGAAAGCAATAGAGACATGAAGACCAATGGGAACGAGATAAAATCGGGAACAAAAAATATTCGTAAATGCTTACGGTACAATGCGTGATCCAGCTACGTACAAAGATCCTGACAAGTTTTAAACCAGAGAGGTTTCTTGCGGTGCAAGAAAACACAGAGAGAAAGATTGGTTATTTGGCAAACATATTTATACTTTGCTCTGTTTAGTGCTCTGTTTGCATAAACTTCAGACTTGTGATGAAAAATATAAATGTTTCAATCTTGTATAATCACACGACTATAAATAAGTAATATTTTCTTCTGGTATCATGATGGTTGCAGATGATACAATGTTTGGAGCTATGCCTTATGAGTGAAGAGAAGTATGGAGATGAAGGATGGAACATGATCTCATCTCTCCCTAGACCTTTGGTGTGTGTTCTTGTTGTTAAAAAGGCGTGGAAGAGGCTGCTAAACAAGAGAGAGGATTTGTTTTGTCACACTTGTTCTTTGCTCAAAGTCCCACATCGCTAACACAACAGGCGTTGAGGAAAAGAGGAATAGGATAAATAAAGGAGCTACGGAACTCAGCAACTCATACCTTTCTCGGCCTTTTGGCTAAGATCAAGTGTAGTATCTGTTCTTATCAGTTTAATATCTGATATGCGGCCCATTGGGTTTAGCTCGATATTAACTCTATTTTTCATGGGAGAAAGTTCTTCAAGATAGCTTGCTATCTGAGCTTTCACGAGTCGCTCGCGCCTTGCACTACTGCACGGGTCAGGCTCATCCCACCAATCATTTAGTTCAATTTTTGGCTGCAGGTTACAAGCTATATCCATGTTTTGTTAAAATGACTTTGTTCTCTCATTAGTTCGTCACTCAATTTCATATATTACGTCTGCTTCTCTTATGCTTTGATTGCCAAATTGGAAGTTCATATTTTGTTTTGCCTTTCATGGGTGATATAGTGACTGTATGTAGTTTTCTCTTTAAACGTAATGAGATCATCTACAAAGAATGAATCTTGAAGTTTATAACATTGAAAGGTTTATCCCTTTTTGGAGAATAATCTAACACACTTTCAATACTACAATTACTCCAGCAAGCATCGTTTTTCTTAACGACCTTGGATCACAGATTGTGTAATCTCATTGACAGTGATCAAATCCTTAGACGTGGATTCATCACATCTAGTGTGCACTACAAATGTGGGTTGTTTGGTGATGGAAGATCTGTTGTTGTGTGGTGAGCATAGACAGTAGCTCAAGCGTGTTGGGTCTGTCTACAGGTTGGTGTTGAACACAAAGCAGACCAATCTGAACACATCTCCCAACTTGTAATGAGTAATAAGAATCAGCAACATCTTGTTCCAGAAAATCAACTCCTCCAGTTTCACACCAAGATTCCCATGCCTGTTGTAATTCAGAATATAAGAGCAAGAAACAATTTCAAACGTATCAAACACGTAACGTATTACTTACATATGCAAGAAGGGTTTTACACTCTTCATTATATCTGAATCTTGAGATCTTCTCTCCACTGATGATTTCTAAGAGAAGAACTCCGAAGCTGTAGATGTCTGATTTCTCAGAGAACATCCCAGTCCATGCATACTCAGGAGACATATATCCACTGTAAATACATCAAATAGTTTCAGCCAAGTTTCTCTATGACTATGAATCTTGTTAAGCATATTGAATACTAATTCTTACATAGTTCCTACAACCCTTGAGTGTTGTCCTGATTTTGAGTTCCCTGAAACATCCGAGCCAATCCAAAATCTGATATTTTCGGGTTCATGTTCTCATCCAGAAGAATATTGCTGACCTTGAGATCTCGGTGAATGACCTTGAGGCGTGAGTCACGGTGGAGATAGAGAAGTCCACGTGCAATACCTTGAATGATATCAAATCTCTTTGGCCAATCAAGCTCAAGCCTTTTTCTTGAATCTAAGCAAAAAATATCAGATAAAACAGTTCCATGTAGAAGCTACTAATAGAAAAGGAAGAGGCAAGAAGAAACCAACCAAAGAGAAATGTATCAAGGCTTTTGTTAACCATAAACTCATAAACCAATAGCCTCTCTTCTCCTTCAATGCAACATCCCAAAAGGACTAAGTTTCTGTGTTGGAGTTTTGAGATGAGTACTATCTCATTCATGAACTCCTCTTTCCCCTGTCCGAGCTGCTAGAAAGACGTTTTACAGCAATTTCTTTCCCATCTTGCAGCTTCCCCTGAAACATATTACATAAGTCATCTCGAAGAGCATAAACAAAAAGTGTAGAAAGAGCAAAAAGGGTTTTATAAATCTGACCTTAAAAACAGAACCAAATCCACCTTGTCCGAGTTTATTTGAGTGACTGAAATAATTTGTGGCAGTTTCAATAGTATTCATCTCAAAGAAACATAAACTTGAGAAATCTTGCGGTGTAAGATCATTTCTCCATGCATCTTGTGAAGCATCCTTTGATATATTGGCTGAAACAATGCCATCAGTGTATTACCGTTAGCAAGAGACCGATTGATAGACATTAAGATCATGCATATTACCATTATGTTTGACTCTGTATCTCCAGAAACAAAACCCAGCAGACCCCAAAATCACAAAAAGGGAAAGGCTGACAACACTAGCAGCAATGGTCTTGTTGCGCTTTTTCCACCTGAAATACATCAACCAAACAAACTAGAACAATAAGCATGTTGTGAAAATGATGAAGTAGTTATATTTTTAACCAAACCATTTCAGAGCGAGCAAGACGGATGGAAATAAGTTCTCCTCTTGCAGAAAACTGCACAGCATCCATCAGCTCCTGGTTCCACACTAAACACCCTATTCCATGAATATAAGCAAAGGCCAAGCAAGAACAATTGTGAACGCAACTTTGGTAGCAATCTTCAGCAGTCTCAGAAGTTGCTGCAAACTCGTAAAAGTCTGGAGGCTTTACGTTGGCAACAGCATGGAAGACGTTTGCATCTTCGCTAGTAGAGTTTCCCTGACATAGTAGTTCCGTGCGTCTCACACAACCACCAGTCCAGTTTCCTCTTCTCCACTCTTCACTGTATTTTGGTATAAACCCTTTGAAGCATTTACATTTTGACATCACACACAACCCAAAAGGTCCACATACACCGTAATGATCACATAAGTTCACTGGAGCCTCAAAGTATAACTCCCATTCAGTCCCATTATACAGAGGAATCTTCAGTGAGCCCTCTGATGTTATCACTATACGAGGAAGTTTGAAGTTTCTGTGAAGAAAAGTGAAGGATCCTGACCCGTTTGCATCCTGCTGAAGGCTGAACGGACTTGTGTATGTTTCATCCATTTCCGGTATCCCAGTGAACCTTGTTTTAGCCCAAGGACCGCTTCTCCAGTAAGGCGTCGAGTCTCTCATAGTAAACGCCTGTGATGGCACTTGCGGTGAAATCTGAACCACAAAGTCTCCAGGCGATGGATCAGTGTCACTTTTCCAAGAAGTCAACACACGCTTCTCACCGGTGGCGAGATTGTAAATCAGAGTTGACAAAGGCAGCATAGTGTCACCAAGATGCTCAAAGCTTTGCCATAGAGTTCTTCCTGAAACTTTGTCTATGACAACAAGATTTCCGATGTCTGAAAGCTCTGCACGAGACCCATTAGATGCAAAAGTCTCTCCGATAGACCAGAGGGGGTCATGTTGGCCATTGAATAAGATAAGAGTTCCATTGCTGGTGATAGCTAGATTTGCCGTGGAGTCTGTAACAGGGTTTTCTCTATTTGCCACCCACAAAACCACCCGGGGAGTGATACCCTTGAACCAGATTCCGACATAGAGATTCTGAGAGTTATTAGGACTGAAGAACCCCAATTCATAAATCTCATTAGGGGAGCTGAGAGTTTGTCCTACTGACAAAGAACTTGTTGGTGTTATTGCTGCATAGCTTAAGCTTAAGAGCATGGCAAACAAGAACAAGTAAGCAAACCTTGTCATCACCATGTGCCTTCTTGTGTCTCCAAGAACGATCTCCTTCGGATTAGTCAATAAGAGCCAGGAAAAGAAACTCAGGGAACTTGTGAGACTGTTCTGAATCACCTATAAACAATGTTGACCAATGACCACATCGTACTTATGTTCCAAAATTCTGCCTTACTTTATTCAGGATCAACTTAAGCCCTGATTAAATAATACACAAAGTCATTGTCAAGAAGAAGTCTCACCTGTTACCCAATCAGCAACGTTTGACCTCATTATATTGCAACATTGTCGTTTTCATGTTTTTTTTTTCAGCCTCGCTAAGTCCAGAACAAGTGAAAGACATACTCTGCATCAAATGAAAGATGAAAACTGCAAAAGATGATTGTAAATGAAAGATATATCTGCATCAATGGAAAGATGATTACATTAATGTATCAGAACACATGCACAGAGACCAATACTACACATGCAAGTATGAGTTTAACTGCTTCTGTGCAAAATAGCCGATTTCAACATTTGTTTGTCCGTTAAGCTTTTTAACAGAAACAAAACACTACTTCAAGAACCTTTATTGAAGAAATGAATAAATGTCTGAAGACTTGAAGTTATCAACATTGCAAAGTTGACCACCTTCAACTTACAGGACTACAAATGACCAATCAATACACTTCAATTCTGTGGTTGCTCTCTCAAGCATCGTTTCTTAACGCCCTTGGATCACAGACTGTGTCATGTCATTGACGGTGATCAAACCCAGGGATTCTTCATCTCTCGTGTGCACTACGAATGTGGGTTGTTTTGGCGAAGGAAGATCTGATTTTGTGGTGAGCATAGATAGCAACTCAAGTGTGTTGGGTCTGTCTGCAGGTTGGTGTTGAACACAGAGCAAGCCGATCTGAACACACCTTCCAACTTCAGACTGGTGACATGAATCAGCAAGATCTTGATGCAAAAGACCAACTCCTCCATCTTCAGACCAAGATTCCCACGCCTGATGTTTAGTTTCAAAGTTTAAGAGCATATGAGCAAGAAACGTTTTGAAATATATGCATATGCAAGAAGAGTATGAAACCCTAAAGTCTTACTCACATATGCAAGAAGGGTTTTCTCTTCATTGCCATAGCTGAATCTTGAGATCTTCTCCCCGCTGATGATTTCTAAGAGAAGAACTCCGAAGCTGTAGATGTCAGATTTCTCAGAGAACATCCCTGTCCATGCATACTCAGGAAACATATATCCTCTGTCCAAACATCAAAAAGTTTCATCCAAGCTTAATATATGATTATGAAAATAAATCTTGTTGTTGAGCAATAAGCATGTTTTTGATAGTAGATTCTTACAGCGTTCCTACAACCCTGCGAGTGTTGTCCTGATATTCAGTTCCTTGATACATCCGAGCCAGTCCAAAATCTGATATTTTTGGGTTCATTTTCTCATCCAGAAGAATATTGCTAACCTTCAGATCTCGGTGAATGACCTTAAGGCATGAGTCACGGTGGAGATAGTGAAGTCCACGCGCAATGCCTTGAATGATATCAAATCTCTTAGTCCAATCAAGCTCAAGCCTTTTCGTTGAATCTAAGCAATAAAACTCTATCAGGCAAACAGTTTGACGTACATAAAAAGCTAATGATAGTTAAAGAAGGAATGCAAGAAGGGACCAACCAAAGAGAAAAGTGTCAAGGCTTTTGTTAACCATAAACTCATAAACTAATAGCCTCTCTTCTCCTTCAATGCAACATCCCAAAATCCGAACTAAGTTTTTGTGTTGTAGTTTTGAGATGAGTACCATTTCATTCATGAACTCTTCTTTGCCCTGCCCCGAGCTGCTAGAAAGACGTTTTACAGCAATCTCTTTCCCATCTTCCAGTTTTCCCTGAAACAGATTGCAAAAGGTCACACTAGAACGTAAACGTAGAATACATAAGAGCAGAGAGGATTGAAAATTCTCCGACCTTGTAAACTGAGCCAAATCCACCTTGTCCTAGTTTATTTGAGAGGCTGAAATCATTGGTGGCAGTTTGAATGGTATGCATCTCAAAGACATCTTGTGGTCCCAAATCATTTCTCCATTCATCTTTTGAAGCAGTCTTTGATATAGCTGAATAGATAATAAGGTAATAAGTGTGTTACCATTAGCAAGCAAATGAATACACAAACAACCAAAGAAATAGACTGAGAGATTGTGAGATCATCAGTGTGTACCATTATGTTTCACTCTGTATCTCCAGAAACCAAACGCAGCAGATCCCAATATCACAAAAAGAGAAAGGCTCACAACACTAGCAGCAATGGTCTTGTTGCGCTCATTTCCACCTGAGATACATAACCCGGAAACAAACTAAACAACAAGCAAAAAGAACAGTATCAATGGAGTTGAATATAAACAATAACCTATACCTAGTTCAGAGCGAGCAAGACGAATGGAAAGAAGCTCTCCTCCCTTAGAGAATTGCGCTACATCCAATAGCTCACGGCTCCAGATTAAGCACCCTATTCCACGTATATAAGCAAAGGCCAAGCAAGAACAATTTTGGAGGCAACTTCGGTAGCAGTCTTCAGCATCCACAGAAGCTGCAAATTGATAAAAGTCTGGAGGCTTTACGTTGGCAACTGCATGGAAGATGTTTACATCTTTGCCAGTAGAGTTTCCTTGACAATGTAGTTCGGTGCGTCTCACACAACCATCAGTCCAGTTTCCTCTTTCCCACTTCTCAGCGTGTTTTGGCACAAACCCTTTGAAGCATTTACACTTTGGTGATGATGCTGACCTAACACACAAACCAAAAGGTCCACATACACCGTAAGAATCGCATGAATTGGCTGGAGACCCATAGGTTTCTTCCCAGTCAGTCCCACTATGCTGAAACCTCTTCAATATGCCCTCTGAGGTTAAAACTAAGCATGAAAGTTTTGAGTTTCTGTTTATATAAGAGAAAGACCCTGACCCGTTTGCATCCTGCTGAAAGCTAAATGGACTTGTTAATGTTTCATCCATTCCCGGTATCCCTGTGAACCTTGTTTTAGCCCATGGACCGGTTCTAAAATAAGGCGTCGAGCCTCTCATAGTAAACGCCTGTGATGGCACTTGCGGTGTAATCTGAACCACAAGGTCGCCAGGCGATGGATCAGTGTCACTTTTCCAAGAGGTCAACACACGCTTCTCACCGGCGGCAAGATTGTAAGTCAGGCTTGACAAAGGGAGCATAGTATCACCAAGATGCTCAAAGCTTTGCCATAGAGATCTTCCTGAGACGTTGTCTATGACAACAAGATTTCCGAGTTCTGAAAGCTCTGCATGAGACCCGTTAAATGCAGAAGTTTCTCCGGCGGACCACACAATGCCACGTTTTCCATCCAATAAGAGAAGACTTCCATTGCTGCTGATAGTTAGATTTGCCTTGGGGTCTGTAACAGGGGTTTCTCTATTGGCCACCCACACAACCGTCCGGGGAGTGATACCCTTGAACCAGATTCCAACATACAGATTCCGCGAGTTATTAGGACTGAAGAAGCCCAATTCATAAACTCCATTAGAGGAGCTGAGAGTTTGTTCTATTGACAAAGGACTCTCTGTTGTTATCCCTGCAAAGATACAATTAAAAAAGATGGTAATTAAGAGCAATGAAGCAAAGAAAACGATCCTCTTCTTCCCCATGTGTTGTTCTCTCTCCAATAACTATCTTTCTTCAGGTTTATTTGAAGAAGCAAGCATATAACAATAGCAAGTAAGCCAAGAAAACAAAACACAGGGACTTTTGAGAAGTATATTCAAACTTCTAACCAAGACCACACCACACTAGTGTTCCAAAACTATGCATTACTATATTCATGATCAGCCTAACCCTTATTTAGTAACACAAAAACATATCAATACTTAGGTAATTGCCACGAAACAGTCAAGATTTTACCCGAATTAATTATGCAACATTGTCATCTTCATGTCTTTATCAGCTTGTTGAGCCAAGAGCCGATGAAAGATAGGTGCATGCATCAATCGAAAGATGAGAAAACTCACAGTTTGACCTCAAGAATCCAACATTTGACCTCGTCAACTACGCATCGATTGACCTCAGACTAACATATCGTATTATTTCCTTGTCATCTACAATTAAAAAAATGACTAAGTGAATAGTATTAACCATTAAGATCGTTCTTAGTGGGTTTTGAAATTCTTCTTTCACCCTTATAACTTTCTAGAACTAAGACTAGAGCCGTGAGAGAAATTAATGATCTACATACCATTTTCTGATTTGCAAGGTGGTCTCCTTCTTCTCTCCAGGTGAATAAGAGCGCAGCTTTTGAAACCTTCAATTTCATTCAGGCATTTCACCGAACACTTACAGCGCGTAATCCAAACGTCCGAGGACATACCGTTAAAGCTTGGCAGAGGTCGCTGGACAGATACTATCTGGGCTTTAGTGATTATGCCAAATATAGCGCACTTGAACAATCATCATTGTTGTGACACTATGTTAGACTTCAGACAACTCAAAACTGAATTAACTATAAACAATGTTGACCATTGCACTTATGTTCCAAAATTCTGCATTACTTTATTCAGGATCAACTTAAGCCTGACTAAATAATACACAAAGTCATTGTCAAGAAGAAGTCTCACCTGTTACCCGACCTCATTATATAGCAACATTGTCGTCTTCTTGTCCTTTTTAGCCTCGCTAAGTCCAGAACAAGTGAGAGACATACTCTGCATCAATTAAAAGATATCATGTCGTTTCTATTTCTTTGTCAGCTTTTCTCAGAACTTGTGAAAGAAAGATCATATGCATCAACGGAAAGATAATTATATTAATCAATCAGAACACATGCACATACCGTTCAGAGACCGATACTACACATGTAAGTGCTTCAGTACAAAATAGCTGATTTCAACAGTTGGTAAAACGGTACTCAACAACTTTTAGTCTTTTAAGCTTTTAACAGAAACAAAACACTACTTCACGAACCTCTCTTATCAAATGTATTAAGAAATATGAATAAATGTTGGAAGACTTGAAGTT